CCAACTTTAATTGATTCCTTCTTTGGGCAACATAGCTCCTGGGGACAATCTCTCTCTATCTACTACTACTGTATCTCCCCGTCCGCATGCCTGCGAGGTAAGGCCTGCCTCTCCAGTCTGGTCCATTGATCGATACTCCATCCCATCTTATACAATTTACAGGACTTTATTATTTTTTTTAAACCACAATTGCAATTCCCCACGAGCTGCTTCATGTCGCCTGCCTCAAGACACAAGAGACGGACACACATTTCGGTGCTCGCCTGGAGAGTCATAATCTAATCCAATCCAATCCAATCCAATCCAATCCAATCCAATCCAATCATTCATCACACCCACCCCCAGTCCCCATCGTCAACCGCCGACTCCAGAGCTCTCGTCTCATCCATCTGTCGCTGTCTCTCGCGCGCGCGCGCCGACTCGCCCCTGCTAGCCGCTCGCCTATTACCCGTCCCCGAGCTTGTCCTTTTCTTTTCTCCTGCTTTTTCTTCCCTCCTCCGAGCCCTTGTTGTAGGAAGAGCCAAGTCCCCTGGTCGCCTCGTCCCATTGCTGTGTCGAGCTATCGTCGGCACCTCGGATCTGGTCTGCGGGTTTGACGCTTCTGCGGCCTACACGCAAAGCCTCGTGCTGCCGGAACACCTTTGGGGGCACCTGATGGCCTCGTCGTCCGCCGTCGCCAATTCCACGCCCGTCTCCACCGCCCAGTCCGCTGCACAACCCCAGCGCCGCCCGTCACAATCCCAGTCGCATCACCATCGCGCCGCCTCCTCGTCCTCCTCCACCGCGGCACCACCGCCGCCTCCTCCTCCTCCTCCTCCTCAGCCTCTGGTGACGTCCTCCAGTAGCAATCTGAATGCGATTGCCGCCGCCGCCGCTGCCACCGCCGACCCCAAGATGTCGCAATCCCAGCCCTCCTCCCAGCAGTCCTTTTCCATGAGCCAGCCCTCGGCCTCCCACTCGCAGGGCTACCGCCAGTTGTCCGACTCCCAGTCGAGGATCGCCCACAATGATGCGCCCCAGATCTACTCGGTTAGTCCACAACCCCCCCGGCTTCTCGACGCCCTTCCCGTTCCCCTCGTGCGCAGTTCGTTGCCGCTAACGTGGCCCTTTCCCCTCCCCTCTAGGCCTCCTACTCCGGCGTAGATGTGTACGAGATGGAGGTCAACCAGATCGCCGTCATGCGCCGCCGCAATGACAGCTGGCTCAACGCCACCCAGATCCTCAAGGTCGCCGGTGTCGACAAGGGCAAGCGCACCAAGATCCTCGAGAAGGAGATCCAGACGGGCGAGCACGAGAAGGTCCAGGGCGGCTACGGCAAGTACCAGGGCACCTGGATCAGGTTCGACCGCGCCGTCGAGGTCTGCCGCCAGTACGGCGTCGAGGAGCTCCTCCGCCCCCTCCTGACCTACGACATGGGCCAGGACGGCGGCGTCGCCGGCCGCGGCGACCTCAACACCCCGACCAAGGAGCAGGCCCTCGCCGCCCAGAGGAAGCGCATGTACAGCAACACGGCCGCCGACGGCCGCACCAACGGCCTGTCCGGCACCTTCTTCAAGAACATCTCCAGCACCGCCTCCAACGCCGTCGCCGCCATCAGCAAGGCTCGCTTCGACTCCCCCGCGCCTCGGAACCGCACCGGCCCGACCCGCCCTCCCAGCTTCAGCCGCCAGTCCTCCATGCAGAACCCCGACGACTTCCCCGGCAACTCCCAGCAGAGCTTCACCTCGGACTATGGGAACCAGGTCGACTCGGCCTACTCGACCCAGAACTCCCACATCTTCGCCGCCGACGAGCCCCCGCGCAAGCGGCCGCGCGTCATCACCCCCAGCGACAGCTTCGGCTACGCCTCCCAGTCCATGGATGTGTATGCCAGCAACTTCCCCGGCTCGCCCACCGAGCCGAACGAGTCCTTCATCTACTCGCAGGCCGGCATCCACGCCCAGACCTCCGAGGACGGCGTGCCCCTGCCCCCCCTGCCCATGGACATGTCCCCGGAGGCCGAGCAGAAGCGCCACCACCTGATGAACCTCTTTGCCGACGAGAACCTCAAGGATTTCTCCCAGCACGAGCTCTTCCAGTCGCTGACGTCCTTGGACTTTGACTCGCCCATCGACTCGGCAAACAACACGGCACTTCACTGGGCGGCGACCTTGGCGCGGATACCGCTCTTGCGAGCCCTGATCGCCGCCGGTGCGGATCCGTTCCGCGTGAACACGTCGGGCGAGACGGCACTCATGAGAGCCTGCCTCGTGACCAACAACTGGGATCTGAGCTGTTTCCCGGAGCTCCTCGACGCCCTGGGCAGCACCATCGAGATCACGGACAACAAGGGGCGCACCGTCCTGCACCACATTGCCGTCGCCAGCGCCGTCAAGGGCCGCAGCCAGTCCAGCCGTTATTACCTCGAGAGCCTCCTGGAATGGGTCGTCCGGCAGGGGAGCGCACCTAGCAGCCAGACGACGAATGGTGTTCCCGCCGCGCCGCGGATCAACCTGGGGCGCTTCATGAGCGAGATCGTCAACGCCCAGGACAAGGGGGGCGACACGGCCCTCAACATTGTTGCGCGCATCAACAACCGAAGCATCATCTCGCAGCTCTTGGAAGTGGGTGCAGACCCCGGCATCCCCAACAACAACGGGCTCCGGCCCGTCGACTTTGGCATCCGAGGGAACGGAGGCGAGGACGGCGTCAACGGCGACGTGGCCCAGCAGAACGGCGCGCTAGACGCCGAGAAGAGCCGCGAGAGCAGCGATGATATTATCAAGTGTGAGTTTCTCCTCCGCAGCAACATCCATGCCCTGATGGACGCCGTACTAACTCGGGGGGTTGCAGCCATCACGCAGCTTGTGACGGAGACGTCGACGAGTTTCCAGTCAGAGCTGAGCAAGAAGCAGACCGACCTGGACTCCTTGCACGCGTCCCTCCGAACAGCGTCGGCGCAGCTGGGAGATTCAAAGCGCCAGCTGGAGTCGCTGCAAGCACAGGCCAAGGCGCAGTCCCTCACGCGGCAGAAGATACACAACCTGGCCCGTGGGCGCGAGGAGGAGCATGTCCGCCTCCGCCGGATCGAGGAGAGCCACGGCCCCCTGAGCCCTTCGGCGACTGCCTGGGAGGCCGAGCTCACGGACGCGGCGAGTGACCCCAGCAGTCTGCCGGGCGCGCCGGTCCTGCGTGCGAGGATACAGGCCCTTCGGCAACGCAGTGAGGTGACACGGAAGGCGGTCGGGTCCATGAAAGGGAGGAGTAAGGACGTGGAGGTCAAGTACCGCAGAGTGGTTGCTCTCTGCTCCGGCGTCCCCGAGTCGGACGTCGACGCCGTCATCGACGGGCTGCTGAGAGCGGTCGAGAGCGAGAAAGACGGGTTGGAAATAGGGCGCGTCCGGAGGTTCCTTGGTGGTGTAGATGGTGTCGTGCATTAATGTTTCTCCTTTTTTTTTTTTTTCTTCTGTCAATGATTCTTGTTGCATTTCTGGCGAGCGGCGTTGGTGGCGTTGCGAAAAAGCTTTCTGGCATAAGAGTTGCTATATCAATATTACACGCTGTGGACGAACAAATAGTATAGCTGGCTGGTTGGGCTAGTGGGGAAGAGGAGTACCCCCTTTTTTATTTTCATGAGCATGCCGCCGAGTCTGCGCAGCTTTGGAGCGACTTGGATCCTGGATGTGTATATAGCCTCGAGGAAAGGGATACAAACATGCAATCTACACATGTTTGAACTGTGTTTTGTTTTCTTTCTTCTACGGCATTATCGCCCATCTGTCTCTGAGCCACCCAATCTGCTACAGCGACTCGCCCAAGCAACCATAGTCTTCGTCAAGGGTATCATGAGAAAAACAAAATCTTATCGTTGCGCGTCGTTCTCCTCAGAGCAGCGGGCTGCAATCCTCGAGGCGTGGAGGAGTAACGTCTTTCGTTCCGTGTTGTCTCATCTCCCTCTAGCCTGCCAGAGCATGTGCCATTCGTGATTAATCCATCGTCCCCTTCGATATATCCCCTTCAGCCTCGCAAGCCCTTGCCCTTGGCTTTCTGTACCAGCCCGTCCAGCAGATTCCACGCTGCATCGCCGCCCTGCGAAAGCCTGACCCTCCCCTCGCTCAACACGAACCCGTCGCAGGCAATCCTCAGCACCCGCACCGCGGCGTGCCGTGTGTCCAGCGCCAGGTGGTGCCTCAAGTAGTCGGCCAGGGCGTCGGTGAAGGGCTGAGCCGTCTCGGCCGCCCGGCCGGCGCGCACGAAGCCGCCCACGTCCTCGGCGGGGATGGTGACGTCGATGCTCTTGAGCCCCAGCGGCTGCTTCTCCGCCGTCGCCCCCTCCTCTCCTCCTCCTTGTCCGGCGTCGTCTGCCGCCGGAGTCCCGTGTCTACTGCTGATGGCGGCGGATACGGCCGCGGGCGTGAACCCCAGCGTCAGCACCACGTCCTTGCCCGCCCTGGCGCCGCCGCCGACGGACCCGGAGTCGACGAGCCAGCGCTCAAACGCCGCCACCAGGGTCCCCGGGTCCAAGCCCAGCGGGCTGACGCGCACGTCAAAGGTCCGGGTCAGGAAGTCGGTAAGCACGGCGCGCAGAGGCGCCGGGGCGCGGATCAGCAGGAGGGGCAGGGCAAGGAAGCTGTCGCCGGCGGGCGCGGTACTGTTGCTAGGGTTGGCGGGCGCGGGGACCGAGGGGTGCGACGTCCACTGCTGCTGCTCTTCAGCGGAGCTGGACTGGGCGTCGCCGGAGAGCGCAGGGAGGAGAAGCGCGGAGAAGGCGTTGCTCTCGTACTTTAGCTCGAGCTTGAGGGCCCCGGGTGAGGAGTCGGGCACTGTGGCGTTGTTTCTCTTCTTCCTCTGCCCTCCCCGCCTGCCTCCACGGCGGCCGCTCGGCTCCGGCGCCGGAGATGCTGCGTCCTGCTCGTCGTCGTCCGCGGTGTCTTCCCCGGCCTCCCCCTGCGCCTCGAGCATACCGCGCACGCCGGCCCAGTCCCACTCGACGCTCTCGAGGGCGCCGGTCTGGCCCAGCGCCGCGGCGTCCGAGGAGGCAGTGTCGAGTCCGACCTGCACGCCGCGCACGACGTCGCCGACCAGGACGTCGCGCAGGCGCTTGGACAGGGTGGCGAGGCGCTGCGGGGTCAGCGGCTCCGAACCGACGTGCAGGGGCGACAGGCGGTGGGCGGTGAAGGTGGTGTTGAGGAGGGCCATGGTTGGAGGTGTGTGTGTGTATGTATGATGGTCTACGTTTTTACGTTCTGGGTCGTGCAAACGGGCGAGGGCGTCTCGGGAATCTATCTGTCTACCCCTACCCGGGCGTGCCTGTCGGAGGAGGAACTGAGTGCGGTTCTGCGTGAGGCGGAGGCATGTCGACGCGACGAGCGCAGGTGGGCATGCGAGACAGAGCAACGGGGAACAGTCAACTAATTGTCCATGTTGGATTGTGATCTAGTTCACTACTTGTCATAGTTAGCGTATAAGTGACCTACCTGGCTGACCGCGTCGACGCGTCGGGTTGTGGGGCAAAAGGGACAGACAGCTGGAGAGCTGGAGAACTGGGGAGCTGGAGAGCTGGAGAGGGTTTACTGCTGTAACTACGTACGTACAACAGCTAACTCAACTCGACTTGAGTTTGGGCAGTAGTATATTTAGTTGATGGCGGGGCCCCCACGTCATACCTAGGTACTTTAGGGTAGGCTTGGTCGGAGAGTATACCATAACTGCCTAGGTCAATCCAGCTTTCTCCCTGCCCCTTGATGGGCTGCTCCATCTACGATACTCTCTCGTAAAGCGTGGAGTCACCGGCTTATCGATCATCAGTGGTGAAATTGGTGAAATTGGTGAAACCAGCATCGGCATCAGCCTCAGAGTGAGGTGAGGCAGATCAATCACACTTGTCTGTTGGGCGCCCCCAATGCTTCGGCCTCTGTCTCCATCTAATCATGTCGTCAGCCCGTGTTGTCTCCCTTGGCCAACTCGCATTCGGCACATGTCCATGCCCCCGCACGTACGCATACTGAACGTGTCGACATGTCGGACTCGGACACAGACCTCTCGTCCCGGTTCTCCCCAGGATCCCTCAGCGCCTCCCGGCAATCCCCTGTGGCCCATGAGGCTGAAGGCGACTTCCCAGGCTTCATGAGGCTGCCTCCAGAAATCCGCCACCAGATCTACCTGGCCGCCATCCCCTCGCCCGGCGTCAACTTTTTCAATGTCCACAGCTTCCCGAATGACCACAAGGGAGCAAACCGGAGCGATTCGCCACCTAATCTGCATCTGGACCTGCGTCGTCTCTCCATCGAGGACGACGACCATGCCGTGGCCCTGTACGACCCCTCGGCCTGGCAGACCAGGCACGCCCTCCGTCAGACCTGCCGAGAGGCCCGGCTCGTCTGTGCCATCCCCGAGGACAAGATAATACGCCTCACTCTCTCGCTTCCGAGGAGGGGCTTGTTCACCCATGCTGGCGATGGCCTGCAACGCTCCATGACGCCACTGCAGAAGGACCCCCTCCTCCAAGCCGAGTCTGTCGTCTACCGCCAAGTCGAGGTGCATGCCGATGATATCGTGGCCTTGTCGGTGGAGAACTGCAGCTTCAACATTGTCTTTGAGGAATCCACCATGTTCCACGTCGGCCGCGATGACGATGAGGACGAGATCAATCTGGGCTGGGCGTACGACCCAGAGTTCAAGGGCGGCCGGCCGCTGGGCATCCCGAGGCATAGGTTCTGTCTCAACCTGGCGCGTGACGACTGGGCCACCATGCGCTCCATGGAGGAGATCAGCACCGCGCTCTTCGAAGCCGCCACCGGAGGCGCGAGCCAGAGTGGCAGTGGGCTGATCATGCTGGATGACGAGCTGGAGACGAATAAGGATCGCGTCCGCTCGCAATCCTACACCCAGGATCCCCTGGGGTTTTGGGACCGCTGGGGAGACCACTACATCACTGTCCCTTGGTCATACGAGGATCTGGGAATGAATACACAGCTCATCAAGGCCGGCCCTGAGAGGGAGCAGATGCGCACAAGATATCTGAGGTCGGCCCAGCTCAAGAGCCCGAAACGGCCAGTAGACTCTCAGAGGCCTAGGGATCCTTGATTGTCTGGACTCGTATGCGCTTCAGAGCTTCGTCCAGAGATCTTTGGTGATAGCCAAACCCCCCGGCCCCCTGATTATAAAACCGTGCTTCCGCGGACAGTTTCACTCTATGGGTCTCTGGAGGGAAGAAATTTTTTGTTATTAATTTTTTAAAATTTGATCGTGCTATCTCATTTCTAGTCTGATGCGATAAACATCATATTCTCCCCTACCCAACTAAACCTCGCATGTGGGACAGAACAATGAACCACAAACCGGCACTTCGCTCTCAAATCAGACCTCTCCTCCTTTCTTCTACTCCAGCGTATCCTCCCGTTTCATGACGCCGGGTGAGGCTTCTGGCTGTCGGTGCTCCTGCCAGGGTTACCAGGCCCGGGCGGGTTAGGTGGAGGGGTCGATGGCGTTACACTCCTGAGCGTCACCTGGACCTTGTTGTCTGAGCTGTCGGTGCTAGGATCCCAGTTGAGGAGCCAGATGTTGGTATTTTCGTACGGCGTGGCAAACCACTTAGTTTGGAGCTTCCCACTGCTGGTCGCCCAGGCAGCTGTGTTGCCATAGAAGACAAACCCGGTTGTCAGGTCCTCGGTAGTCGCCTCACCAGAGACGAAACCTGTCTGGTGAGTTGTTGCAGTGTCGCTGGGGATATAGTATGTAACGCCAGACCAAGACGGGGTCGCCTGGCCAGGGGTGGTCACTGGGATCCCAACCATGCTGGTGGAATCACTGCTGCTCCTGGTAACTGTTGAAATTTAGAAAGAGTACCCTCCCAAAGAAAATTCTAAACGGCTCTACTTGCATAGGACTGCGGCAGCCTCGGTGTCGTTGGCGAGAGAGGCGTCGCCCAAATACGCGAGGCCTATGCTCCAGTCAGCTTCCTTCCCCTGACTATTAATGTGCATCTCTCTGTTTTACCATTCCAGTAGAAAACTGACAGGCCACCGAAGCCCTCGCCATACGCATACAGCTGGAATGAACTGCTTGGGACACCCGGAGCGTCCGGCGTGGGCACCGCTTGGGCGGCCAGGGGTAAGAGACCTAAGGCGAAGATGGATGACAACATCTTGCGAAGACTGATGGTTGATGAAAAAGGCTTTACAAGCTACGGGTCAAAGTGAGTCGGTGACTAGGCAATGGTGGAATGGACTAAGATATGTATAAGACGTGAGTCGCTCGAGGTGGCGGGGATCGACACGTCATGTTCCCTCAAGCGGATGGCATGTGCTGGGTCGAGGCCTTTCAAAGTCGAGCCATGTTACCATGGTCCCAGTTCCCGGTTTCCAGGGCCCTTTCTCTCACTTGGGCAGGACGGTATGGGGGGCCCTGCAAGCAGACGCTGAAAGACTGGCTATGTGCCTACGACCCGCAATGTCAACGGCCTCGGGAGATCGCCTCGGCCGGGAGGGTGGGGTGTTGCATCGGACCCCAGACCGTACTTTGCTAAACACAAAGGCTCAACACGTAATCCCATTAACTTATTGGTCAGCTGTCTATAATCGTCCGCGGCCCTATTTTTGCGCCGTCGGCACTGCAGCACGTGTGCCACCAAGTAACATTGCGACGGACGCGGCCTGCGCGTGCCCTTTATACCCCGGTAAGCTCTGTCCGGAAGAGGCAACTTCCTACGCGAGTGGATCTCCGGCTCCGAGATAGGATGGTGTTAAACAGACAAAAACTCCGGCCCCTGGACTGCAGGCGGAAGTAACCGTGCCGCGATCCATCATTGACCTCTTTCCCCCATTGTGAGCCCTCAACTGGATCCCAGAAACCATGGCGGCAAGGCGGTGGGCTACCAGAAATAGCACACCGACGGGAATATCTGTTCTCGACGTCACATCCGATATGGAAACCCGGCAATCTTTCATTGGTTGAGATAATCACGCGAGCCTGCATCCAGTGGCAGTACCAGTTTTCTTGGTATTTCGTTGAAACCTGTCTCGCATGGACATGGACTTGCAGCCTTACGCATCTTCCGCATGACATCCCGGTGTATTCCTATATTGTATAGACATGAACTCGGGCAGGATCCTATTGAAGAAGGTACTTGAGCCCCAATGACCCCACAAAGCTTTCAGGTGCTTCTTTCCGGATGCACTGGCCAATCAGAAGAGTCATTGCGTTTGAAGTAACCTTTGAGTTACCAATATTCAATGGCGATAGAGCATATAGACCGGAGATGATCCACGGGCCAGTAACCTGCTTCAAGCGCCCAACCATCACAAGGCTGACGTGGATTTTCAGCTGCAGGCTTCTATAGCTAGGCTAACGTACGCGTTGTACGTCAGTATCATATGCTATTTGGTATAGTCCCCTTTCAGAGTTTCGGAACACCGAGCCAAGTAAACAAGGCACAACTCCACGGGCAGGCAAGCAGCCAGACAGTCAAGTGCGATACTCACAAGAGAAGCGCACGTCAGCTCAGCCTGACCCCGTAAATGAAGCTGGGGAAGTGTACGTAGCCGGAATGTCTGTGGCCCCGAGGCTGATGGCGCAGTCTTTCTGTTATCAATCGCAATCATCTGAGCGCCAGGTGTCGCTTGGACTCGGGAAATTAGAAAATGTTCTTCAACATAAAGACCAGAACTAGGTTGCTAAGAGACTTTTATACCAGCGATGCTCCTCAAGTGTCTATATAACAAGACTCAAGATTCATCTCTAATTCCCGTTGATCAACATTCCTCCGCTCGAGGTGATACATACATTACTCGTTGTTGAGGACGACACGAGCCCAGCTCCCTCAAATTTCTTTGTCTTCATTACCCTTTCCCCTTTATTGCTAGCGTGGGTCGCCACTTGGTATCCCAGGTTTGTCACCATGCAATTATCCATCTCGAACCCCTTGATCCTGGTCTACGTCCTCATCACAGGCGCAGTAGCCACACCTGTGCTTGGGCCTGTGACTCCCCGCACAGCTTGCAGTGGTAACACACCTTCCACACGCTCAGAATGGTGTAACTATTCGATTGATACCGACTACTCCACCATCGTTCCTGACACAGGCGTGATGAGAGAATACTGGCTGGAGTTGACTGACGTGACCGTTGCCCCTGATGGGATCTGTCAGTTTTCCCGCTTAAGAAGACTCTCTGAACATTTGCTGATGAATACTTTCTAGCCCGTGCCGCCATGGCTGTCAACGGTTCCATTCCAGGTCCAACTCTGATCGGTGATTGGGGCGATACTTTCGTGATTCATGTAAAGAACTCTCTGACAACCTCCAATAATGGCACCAGCGTTCACTTCCATGGCATTCGGCAAAACTATACCAACGCCCAGGATGGTGTCAGCTCCATCACGCAATGCCCAACGGCACCTGGCGAGAGCATTACCTACACGTGGCGCGCAACTCAGTACGGCTCTTCTTGGTACCATTCGCACTTCTCGCTTCAGGCCTGGGAGGGCGTCTTTGGGGGGATCATCATAAACGGCCCGGCTACGGCTAATTACGATGAGGATCTTGGTACGCTTTTGTTGAACGATTGGGACCACTCCACCGTTGACGAGCTGTACAATTACGCCCAGACTGTCGGCCCGCCGACTCTTGCGAATGGCCTCATTAATGGGACCAACACATTCGAGGACGGGGGTTCCAGATTCACCATGTCGCTCACCTCGGGAACATCGTACCGCCTTCGCCTTGTCAACGGCGCTATTGACACACACTGGAAGTTTATGATCGACAACCACACCCTGACGGTTATTGCTTCGGATTTCGTGCCTGTGGTGCCATTCACAGTGGACTACGTAAATATTGGAATGGGTAAGTCATATCACCTGCTCCACAAGCCCATCAAAGGGGCATTTGAATTAACGGGGAAGTGTTTAAGTTGCTGACGTCCTTCAGGCCAACGTTACGATGTAATAGTTACTGCTGACCAGACCGACCTTGCTGATAATTTCTGGCTTCGTGCCATCCCACAGTCAGCCTGCTCCGACAATGACAATGGCGACGGCATCTTGGGCATCGTGAACTATGACGGCGCGAGTGTCACAGATCCGTCAACTATTCGGTTGGACTACGGCGCCGATGCCTGCGATGACGAGACGGATAACCTAGTGCCCTACATTGCCAAGGAGGTGGGCGGTTCTGACCTCTCAGCGCTTGAAGATGCAGGCATCGCGCTGCAGGGCAACTTGTTCAAGTGGACGCTAAACTCGACGTCGCTGCTGACGGACTGGGCGGCCCCGACGCTGATGCAAGTGCTGGCGGGCACCAAAGACTATGAAGCTGATGACGCCGTCATTAAGCTCCCGAGTGCCAACCAGTGGTTCTACCTGGTGATCGAGACGGACCTAGCCGTGACGCATCCAATCCACCTGCACGGACACGACTTTTTCGTGCTGGCGCAGGGAACGGGGGCCTACTCATCGTCTGTGGCGCTCAAACTCAACAATCCACCACGCCGCGACGTAGCCATGCTGCCCGCCAGTGGCCACCTCGTCATGGCTTGGGAGACGGACAACCCGGGTGTATGGTTGCTGCACTGTCACATAGGCTGGCACACGAGCGAAGGTTTCGCGTTGCAGTTCGTCGAGCGCTTTGACGAGATTGCCACCGTCGCCGAAAATACCTATGTCGTTGACACGTGCGACACCTGGAGTACATTCTCGGATGCCAACCTCGTTGTGCAGGAAGACTCGGGGATCTGATCCTTAAGAGACAGAAGAGATATGGGAAGGAGCAGAGGGGTAGCGTTGCAGAGATGGACATGGAACTGAGGCAATCATTTTTGTTGCCTAATACCAAAACGTTGCATCGCACATTCTCTGTTATTGCCGGGGAAGATGGCGAATTTGGACGCTACGTACCACGCGACCAACTTCTAGACTCTTTCCAACGCTGACTTACTAGGCCTACTCCGAATGTGCCATTGATCCCATGATGGCGACCAGATTAATGCCATGCCTCTCAGTGAAGGAGATCCGTACTGTTAGTGAATGACCACACTGAGTTGGTCTGGGATGACGCTATAGAACCCTGCGGACATGCCATGCGCCTGCAAGCTTCCGTTGGACTTGGCGGGATTATGTGCCAGTGTTGCTCCAGGCCAAGCCATTCGGATTTGCACACATACCGGCCCGCGTTCATCAAGAAAAATTTCTTTCTTTGCTTTTTTCCACGTTGTAAGAGCAATTGGCATATTTGGGCATTACTCGATACGTTACCGAATAGCGTCTGGTTAATCCGATAATCAGATGCAGTTTTTATCATGACTTTAGCTAGGAAAGAAAAAGTCTTTACTCCGGTCAGCCTCTCGGCTCGACCTGCGATATACCACAGTATCTCATGGCGGGTCGTTGTCACGTTTTGGGTGCCATAGTTTCGTGGGGCAGCTATGTCGCGATTGATGACGATCAAGGCGTGATACCCCATTCACCAATCACAATCCGCAGATTGGTAGCTGGGGCTCCTTATGAGGCTAGAGTTGTATTGTGCCATAGATCGATTTCATCATACAAGACCACGCAGGTAGCTTAAGCCCAGCCTGCAGTTTTGGCACTGGTAGTCTGTGAGTGAGCCTAGATTACGAGCGCTTGAAGGTTTCAGTAGGAAGTACTGTAGAATATTCGACCCTTCGACGTTGATTGCAGGCCGGACATTCTACGTCAGGTAGCTACGCTTGCTGTTGCCTGATGTGACTTACTGCATTACCTTGTAAGTAATCTGGCTTACTTTGAAGCTGGCGCCATACTGCCCCGACTGTATCTCGCCTGAGCCGCACTGAATCTAGTCAAGCTAGCCAGTCAGTCACATAAAGCTACCTCTCACTCCCGAACCCTGACACCATGACATCTCTCACTACATCAATGTGGTAACACGTCCGAGGCACCAAGGCTGACGCATTGTATATAGTTCGTCTTCAGCTCGCCCGCTTCTCTCATTGTGACAAATTCTAGTAATCTGTAGCCCTCGCTGGTCGCTACTTTTCGCAGTCATGGCTGAAGAGATCCGCGAGACAAAGGCCGCACCGTATTTGGAGAGTCCGGTGGCGTCGGACACAGAAACGGCAGGCCGCAAGATCAGCGAGAAGTCACTGCTTCGCAAGATTGATAGCAGGCTCTTGCCCGCTGTAGGACTACTGTATCTTTTGTCGTTCCTGGACCGAAGCAATGGTGAGTGGTTGGAAACCCCTTATCGGCAATGCCTGGGGGATTCAATCTAACCCAAATTACAATACAGTTGGAAACGCCCGAATCGAAGGCCTGTTAACCGATCTACACATGAGTGAGTTTCCGTACCCATTTTGACCGGAACGCCTGGCTGAGTTTATGATCTTCTAGCTGATGATCAGTACCTCAATGGGTTGACATTATACTTCGTTGGCTATGTCTTGTTCGAAGTGAGCAGATACCTACGTGAAACTGCGTGATACCACCACAAGCTCACCGGAACTCAGATCCCATGCAACATTATCCTTAAGAAAACCACGCCAAGGATCTGGCTTCCTGTCCTCACGATCGCCTGGGGAATCGTCGCAACCCTGTTGGGTGTAGTAGAGAACTACGCCGGCTTCCTCACCGCACGATTCTTTCTCGGTGTAACAGAATCTGGTCTCTTTCCTGGTGTCGTCTACTACTTTTCCATGTGGTACAAGAGACGCGAGCGGCAATATCGTGTTTCACTCTTCTTCAGTGCGGCATCGCTTGCTGGTGCATTTGGCGGTATACTAGCTTACGTGAGTCTCCCTGTAACACGGGTATACAGCTGGTAATTCCGAATACTAACAATAAGTCTAGGGTATTGGGCGGATGGGGGGTATAGTATGGGCGAATGGATGGCGGTGGATCTTCATTCTCGTTAGTGCATCGCATCACCACAAACACGTATGGCTGGTACTAACGGATGTACAGGAGGGGATCTTCACGGTGGTGGTGGCTGTCGCAGCATTTTGGTAAGAGAGCGTGTCTGGGTTGATTAGTCTATCATACAATTACTGACCAGATACGCAAGGTTTATCCACAACTACCCTAACACTTCGACCTTCTTGAACGATGACGAAAGGGAACTCATACAGCAGAGACTGTCTTCAGACTCGGATGCTACGAACGAGGAACACTTCACCTGGGCTGCGGTTGTTGAGGCTCTGAAGGATCCCAGTTGTTGGCTTTATGGCCTTGGCTTCCACACCATGAGCTTGCCGCTTTACACACTTTCCCTCTTCTTGGTAAGTTCCGTCATGCAACTTATTTGAATAATTGCTGACCAACTCTCAGCCAACCATCATCACGAACCTAGGCTACACAGCTGCCAAATCCCAGTTGCTTACCGTTCCTCCATACGCCTTCGCTTTCATTACAACCTTGACCGTTGCAATCGCATCGGAACGTCGGGGGCAGAGAGCACTCTTCATCGGTGGCTCTTCCCTCTTCGCTGCCATTGGATACGCCATCCTGCTTGGCAATACCGATCCAGTTGCCAGGCCAGGAGTCTCCTACGTGGGTGTATTCTTCGCGGCTGGTGGAATATATCCCGCCGTTGCACTTGTGCTATCGTGGCCAGCCATAAATGTTTCAGGCCAGACAAAGCGGGCCACAGCAAACGCCATGCAGATAAGTATCGGGAACTGTGGCGCGGTCATCGGTACACAATTGTACCGAACTACGGACAGGCCGCGATTCGTGGTAGGACACAGTGTTGCGCTTGCGTATTTGCTTGCAAACATTGCTGTTGTGGCCGTCTTGGGTTTTCGGCTGAAGAAGGAGAACCAGCGCAGAGAGGGTGTTGCCCCTGAAATCAAGGATGTCGGGCAGGTTGTCGACTGGAAGGGTGACTCGGATCCTAGATGGAGGTTTGAATACTAGTTCAGGGATACTACATCAACTGGGAGGTCGAGGTCAGCGATATAATGGTGTCAACACTTGATATATTTTGCCTTGCACATGCTCCAAGTAGACAGCCGAGGTATTAATAAAAACTCAAGTGGTATCACTGGACATATCTATACGTAAGCCAACCAACCAGTACCAAACCCATGGAAACGCCCGTTAGCTCACCACTAAAGACCGACAAGTCTTCGCAATGCCGAGTTCTCCAATATCGGGAAGTCCCCAATCTTTTGAATGCCGTTGCCAGCCACAAACTGGTCCTTATGTCTTCCCATTGCCATCTCAGTCAATACCTTCCCAAGGGCATCCGTTGGGCTGTGAATGCTCTTAATACCCAGACGCACCAGCGGGCTGAGCAAGGGCTCCAGGAACTTGTTGACTAGAGGCTTGTTGGGCAGATAGGGTTTTATGGCTTGGTGAGAAGCAGCATCTACGAAGGCAGGTCGTGCGGAGCTCGTGTGGAAGTTCGGATTTTCCTTGCGCAACACTGCCAGTGCCAACTCAGTCTCTCCTTTGACGCGGGCGAATATCGCGGCAAAGCGCCCAGGTTGTGTTGTTGCTCCGAGGCCAGACACGTAGACGAAGTTGAAGGGTTCTGTTTCAGACGCCAAGCCCCTAAACGCCTTTGCGGCTTCTACGGCGTAAGTCTTTGTGATCTTCACGTACTCCCTGAATTGAAGTCAGTTTGGCTGATACAGGTTGTAAGTGGGTAGAACGAATGACACACTCTGCGCCAACTTGAGTCTGGCTGATTCCCAGAGCCCACACGCAGCCATGAGCCCCTTTCAGCTTCTCGATAAGCTCAGAGTCGTACTGCTCAAAATTCTTGTGGATGATCACATTGATTCTGGGGTCTTTTGCGTCATCTACCATTGGGACAGGCCGGCGGCTGAGGATGGAGATCTTGCTAATGTCTTTCGTCTTGATCATGGCGTCCAGAACCCCCGACCCAACAAGGCCGGTGGCCCCTGTCAGAATGACATGCATCTTGGTGTGGCTTTTATGCACTAAGAGATATGTGGACGAAGGAGATAGATGATATGCGTCTAATGGGATCACGACATCTCGCGAGGAGTCAACAACCCGATCCAATTCGCTTCCAAGTTAAGATCAATGGCGGACACTAATTTGACTTTCCAACATGGTCGAGCCGGTATTTATAACAAAGAGATAGGTGAGGACAGCTTTAACAAGCTGAGCCCCAGATCCTCCGGCTGCAGCGTTCAAGGGGGCAGTGGAGCATATATCAGCGCTAATGCACGGGCTTATCCCTATTTCCGGTCGGTTCCTGTATTAACTCCGTGAGCTAATTGCAGATTTGGATATCGAGAAAAGATGTTGAGTGCAGTATTCCCACCGCAGTGCCGAGTCCTGCTTTAATATTGAGCTATTTCCAACGGCTACGGCTATGTGTGCGTATTAATACGTCTGTGCCAACGGCGCTACCCCAGTCTCCACGACACCCTCGACCACTGAGTTACAACCTTACATCTTTAGACTCCTATACGTTGGCAGCTCGGTGACCCGTGGGCTCGATTGGCTCGAGTTCGAGTTGCTTGTCGACGTTGCGTTTCTGTTTGTCCTGAGCCTCATGGCCCTCAAACATGAAGGTCAGTTCTTCTAGAGTCCTCCCCTTTGTCTCTGGGAACAGTAGATAAACCGTCGTGATCTCCACGAGGATCCAAACGCAATACACGATGTAATACTTCCAGCCGATCTTATCGAGTGCGATCGGGTTGACGTAAGTGTTGAAGAAGACGGCGGTCCGGACTGCGAGTTGCTCAAAAGCTATCCCTTTGGCTCGCTGGCTGTACGGAAAGATCTCCACCAGGTACGTGTAGGCCAATGCGTTCCAGCCAATGTTATAAAACCTGGCGCGGTCAGTCATTACGAGGGACAGATGTTCGGCAATGAAACTTACGGTGAGTAGAAAAAGATGAAAACCAAAACGGCGATGCCCGCCGATGCTGACTTATCAATGGCATATCGTGCCGAGGCAATCGTCCATACGACATACACGCATGCTGTACCGATAGTACAGGTCAGAAACATCTTCCTACGTTTGAAGCGTGGCGCGACGAGAGCGATCGGGACGCCCGTCAACAAGTCCCAGCAACTCTTGCTCAGGATGATTTTCTGGACCGTCTGATTGTCTGTTATACCGACAAGGTTCAGGATTGCCTTCATGTAGAAAGACAACAGGCCGTTGCCACTCCACTGGGTAAAGAACCCGATGATCAGCGCAAGCAGGAAACGCCGCCTCATTGGCGCGTCGCGTATGACGTCTGCCCACACGAAAGCCTTGGCCGTTTCCTTCTCGAGGGCGAGGGTGCTCTGGATCTGGGCGAACTCGAGTCGCACATACTCCTCCCCGTTCTCGCCCTCGCTGTGGTACTTGGATAAGATAGCAAATGCCTCGTCACTTCGGTCCTTGGACACGAGCCATCGGGGGCTCTCTGGACAGAAGGGTAAGAAGCAGACCTGGCACATGCTTGGTACTAGTTGGAGAAGCGATGGCAGGCGCCATGCCCAAGTACTACTCATCTGAAATGTCCCGTAGGTCGTTCCTGCGGCCACAATCGCACCGATGAACCAAGATGCGTTAAAAAGAGAAGTCATCGTAGACCGCTCCTTCTCGTAGGACAGCTCGCCGATGAGAGAAGAGGCGTTCACAATAGCGAACGGTATGCCGAATCCAAGGACCCATCGGGAGGCTAGGAACATATCTTGGTTCAATGCCCCAGCTTGTAGGCCAGCGCCAAGGAACATGATAAGTGAGGCCGTTGCAATGGTCCATCGGCGGCCAAGATACTGCGACACGGTTGGTACAAAAGGGACAGCCATCAGCCCCCCCAAAGAATACATGGCATTGAGCAAACCCAGCCTGTCGGAGGTAGGATTGTTGAAGTCTGTTAATGCAGTCAGTCACTGCTTGCGGGGGGCTACTCCTATTTCAACAAGGCGACATACAAGAAACCCAGGAAGCCACCGCCTGTAAGCTATTCATCATTGATGAGTCGAAACCAGAAGTCCATTCGACACCGAGGCCGCAAGGCACCAGTATCAGGTACAGAAACCGCAGGTTGGGTTTTTGATACCATTTCATTGTGTCATTCTGGGCGATGTTAGATACCCGCGGGTCCCCCAACTCCTCCTTTTGCCCAATGATCGCCATGGTCGATTCAATTCAATATTGGCTTTTCAAATCGCCCCTCCGTGGTAATTCGGACCGTTCAGTCGTGCTGTGCCCGGTCTTCGAGACAACCTTCTGAGAGAGCTGTTCGTCAACCTATGGGATAGGAGAACCTCAAGCGTCGAGGCTCTTGCCGCGAGGACCGCCTCTTTATTTCAATACGAGCCTCCCAAGTCCTAGCCCTCGAGGTATCCACCTCCCGCAAAGGCCAAGAAGTCGGGCACCGTAGCGATTGGGTGGCAGGAGGCGGGTTATACAGATCCTGGCCTTGGGGAAAGCGGGGAAGTGTGATAGTGTGATAGCAAGGCACTCTATTGATGGAATATGCGAGGCTGACTACTGTGGTGCATGGCAAGGCCGGGGTCGCAAGCTTGGCATGATTCGCTGTTCCGCTCCTATCTCGCTCGTGGATTGAACGTCCCAACCGAGGAATGACGGGTCACCATTCACAGTCATCGATGTTCCAGTACGGTTCTTGGCAATGCTGACATGTTGCATTCACTCCTACTAAGTATGCATGGCAGGATGACTACAACAAGAGAAATGCTTCACCGCACAGCATAAGGCCCGATTGCGTGGCATGGAAGCAGCGTAGCTCAAAGTTGTTCCGGCCTCAAAGGAGCCTATGTGGGAAGCAATCGTGGTTTTTGTCTTATTTGATTAGCATTGAGGCTACAAATAAAGTGCGGACCCACCACCACCCGGGAGCTCAAGGCATCCCGCCGCAACAGAGATCTGTATGTACAGTGAAGACCTGAAACATCTCGAGCTTCCTCCGCTCCGCCCACTTCCACGTATTCCCAGCTTCCCTTTCCAATCTTCTAGGCAACCGGCTTTTTTCCCCCTTCTCTTCCCAACAGTATGGTATCAATGTTCAGTGCTGCCGCTGCTACTGCTGTCTCATTTCGGGGTCAAAGCCATCTCCCGCAAAACCGCACCCTCACAATGACTGCAGCCACAGCCTGCACTACTCTCGCGTTCCTGATGTTTTCCATTTGCATTAAATCATGCTGTCCTGCGGTATGCAGTGCCTTGACACGCTCGACTGACAGACATGCATGAAGTCGTTGGGCAGGAGAGCCATTTGCTGCCACTGGGGGCGCTGGTGTCACTGCGGCAACTTGCAAAGTACTTCCACCGTACTGATCGAATAAGGTAGGCATGAAGTGGGACGGGGTCAAGAAGGGATTGGAGTTGAAGGTAGAATGGACGGTGACGAGGAAAATAAGGTGCAGGTCAATGTGTGGATCGAGTGAATGAAGGGGATGTTACTGGGTAGACTTGTCAGGTAATTGCTGTCCAGCTGAATGATGAGCAGAACTTACTTGAATCCAGCAGGCACTGGCAAAATCTGAGGCTGTGCAATGCAGCGAGGAATCTTTTAGGACAGTTCGTTCCACCATGTGTGATGGACAAAGTCGACTTATGCATATATGAGTAGGAGGAAAGTGAAAAGAATGTGAGTCAAGCTTACTGGTGTTGTGGTTCCGCGTTTGTTCGCAGTGAAGATTCGCGTGCTGGCGCGTGTCGATGTGTTTGGTGTTTGTCTCAAGGGTTCAGATGAGGTCTGCCAGAGTAACCATCAGGCCAATCGAGGCATCGTCTGAACAACGCAACGATGAGACTAGAAGAAGTAGGAGATGGTGAGGTGATGACTTACGCGGCTTGGTTGTGTTTTCTTTGGGGGGCGGGGGCTTATTGCGTGTTCTAAGAGTGGCGCGTTCCAGTAGCTGTTGAGGTTTTGACCAAAAGGAAATGCGAAATAGGAAAGCAATGAAATCTCGAGGATGTCTTACGCAGTGCCATAGTGTGGTGCAGTACGGTGACGCGCCTGTGTTTGGAGTGGTGACAAACGCGCTTGGGATGCCCCAAGGAAGAGTATTTTTTTTTCCCCCGAGAAATGGAGATGCCTGTTCATGGTATGAGGGGCGGCTGAAATATCGAGTCGAGAGATGAGAGGTAGTGAGCGGTGGTGAGTGGTGGTGGCTCTGAATATTGAAGTGATGAAGGCATTGACCAATGCAGATCCCCGCCGGTCACGGTTCACCAAGAACAATGGTTGAGATGGTTGGAGTGGGTGATGGATGGCATGATGGATGAAAGAGGATGAGAGAGAGAGAGCATCGATGGTTATGCCTCCAGCTCGATCAGGCCTCGAGGGTGTGGATGATGGAGTGGAATCGGGGAGAAGATGTGAATCTGGGGAAGAGGAGCTGCTTTTGTATTCCCACGGGTGCCTGAGGGCTGATTACTGATTACACGCAATCCTAGGCTTAGCCGTAAAATCCAACAGGGTTGGCCACGACTTTCCATTGGTCCAGAGGTACCTGTCGTCCGTGATCTGCGGATCTGTATAGCAGAGCCGCACCTTATCCCAACGACACACGACAGGGGGTACATCGGTTGCCCGGTGCCTTAGGTACCAGCAAAAACACCACGACCAGAATTTTTTTAATTCTGCCAATCAGACCAATGAAAACCCAAGATCAGCCAGAAATCATAGTTCTATCTTTATTGCGTGTGCACCAATCTCGGGGTACGTACCTCAGCCCGCCATTAATCCGCATCTCGAGTGCTGAGGCGCAGCAACACCCGCGATGCGATGCCGGTGCAGGCCATCATCGCATACTGTGAGCCACAATTGCATAGTTATTCCAAGGTGCTATGCTCTATGCTATTATTCTTGAACATGGTCACGTATGCCCGGGATTCTGAGATTGTAGGCGATCCCGCGGACGATGCAGCGAGTGCAGAGCTGGCTCCGCTTATGTTTGAGAGCTCTCCAATTGCTCGCGAGTAACGCGCTCCTTATGAGCATAGAAAGCCAGTTGATAAATACCGATCTATCGCCGGCTGTCCAGGGCGATGCGACGTCTCATGATAGTACGTACGGCACTATCCTTTACACAGGTCTGTACATCGATCTATCGTGCCGCGTAAAAAGATAATCCATTTCCTCTATCGGCTGTGTAGAAAAAGAAGAAGAGAAATCACAATTTAAGGCGAAACTGCCTGAACATTTCATTCAGACCATCCTCACTCCATTCTTCAAGGTTTGCAGCCTCCCATTCGGCCTGCAAATGTCTCAGTACCATCCTGTAGCCTCGTTAGCCAATATTGTCTACTTAGCAAGCTCCCAAACGTGCAGAGGAGATCGATACTGTCTAGGAAAGAAAAGAATATAGATGCCATCCCCAGGAAGAGTGCCACATCATAGCTCTGGCCCAACATACCAGACTTGCCAGAACTCGACATCGCCGTCATCCGACTCTGGCTCCCACTGTCCATGATCCCACGGCCCGTCTTTGCGCCAGCTATATTGAAGAGCCTGGACCATGAACCTGGTTGCATGATCCAATGCGCACCAACCGGATTTGTCTACGGCGCTGCGGTGTGCGTAGTTTTTGGATTGAAACGCGTTTTTCATCCTGCAAAAGGACTGCAAGGCCTGGTAATCGATGTCTTCGACCTCCTCGGCCTCCATCAGGTAGTCTCTGGTGTACTCGTCGAAGAACGGGGCTATATATGGACTGCGTAGCACATGCCGCACGAGCCCGCCCGCAGTCGTGTCGAGGTCGCCGCCGAAATTGAGATAGTCGCAGAGTAGCTCAAAACTGCGCTGTATGGCTCGGCTGCGACCTGGATTATAGGCCACCGGACTTGCCATATTCTGCGCTTGCATGTGCGTGGACTGACAAGGGCCAGGGCGCTCGAGTCTATCGTCTATTGAACATGTACTCCACTTGAAAGTGAGACACTGGGCTTGACGCTCAACGACCGATTGTTTCAGCCGTCACGCCAGAATCACAAAAGATGGCTGGCAAACAATGGAAATGGGGAAAGAAGATTGACTCGATCCTGGGAGTCGGGACCAAGCCGAAAATGTCTACTGTTATGGGGAGAGGGGTCTAGCAATTGTTCTTTCATACGCGATCCAAAGAATGAGGCCTCGAAGCTAAGGCGACCAAACGGGCACATCCCGCCCCGATCAAGCCCCTGGTCTATCTGCACGTACGCGGCTGTTGGAAGTGGCAGCGTCCAACACAATGCGTTCAACGAATATGTGGTCATACACCAGTGCCGGGCCGACGCATTGTTCGCCCGATTTTCACACGAGGCCGCGCCGCGAGGCCGTTGGTCACAATCAACCCTCGTGCTGTGATAGGAAGCCCCACTTCTCGGAGCTTGAGCCTCGCCGCTGAAAACTGTGCTGGAGACTCCATGATACCGAGCAGCAATTTCTTGCCCTAAATACATGCGCAACAGCAAGTTAGGTTTAAAAAGGAGGGAAACAGACACTTGGGCAGTGAAGTCCAGTGTCGGTCCCACATCCAATCGTCCCGAGACCGAGGACCCTCACTTGTGGGACGGGACGGGACGGGACGTGGAAGACTGCAAAAAAATTACGGTTCAGGATCACCACCTATCTTCACAAGGCCAAAAAAGGAAATGTCCCTCGAGCCGGATTTGAACCGGCGACTTGCGGATTACAGCAAAGCGTGTAGAAGCTTCTCACATTTACAGTCCGACACTCTGCCAACTGAGTTATCAAGGGTTTGATTGGTTGCAGGTTTCATTATTACGTTTTATGTTAGATTCAATCTCGCCAAGTGGGCATCCTTCGGACAGGATGGGAAATTTACACATTTCGGACAGACTGGCTTGGAGGGTCCGCTGCGGGTCTGATGAGTCATATGCGGGCAGATCGCAACCTCACATGAATCGGTAGTCCGTCCGTCGGTGTCGCTAGGCCCTTGTTCGTCCGATAAGCCCGATCCCCGTCCAGAACATGCTTCGAGGTACCGGTATTGTCTCTTTTGACAGACATACGTCAGCTCTGCTTCTTGGGAGTTTGTACAACAGTCTGGCCGGAGGGCGCGCCGTATAACTCACTGTGACTTGTCCCACTCATCCCATGACGCCTCGATTTCAACCTCACGTACGGTAAAGAGCAAGACCATCTTCAGTTCAATCATGGCCAGCTCCTGACCAATGCAGTTCATCACTCCGTACTCGAAGGGTCTCCATTGGCCAGGTTGCGACGGATGCAGAGGATCACTCTGAGGCACCAGCCACCTGTCGGGTAGGAACTCGTTCACTCGTGGCCAAAGGTCCGGGTGATAATGTATGCAGGCGGTCCCCGTTACCACGGCAAACCCATCCGTAGGGAGTCGCATGCCTTTTCTCGTGGTCAAGAAGAACTCAGGGCTCCCATTGCGGAGTGTCGCAGCGATCGGGGTAAGTCGAAGGGTTTCCTTAACCACCGCTAGGGTGTAAGGCAGAGAGTTCAGAACTTGGGGAGATTGGCGCAGGGTCTCGGCTACGGCGTCGGTGTTGGGTCCAAAGACCTCGTCATGCTCCGCACGGAGCCTTTGCAGTACCCCTGGGTTCTTGGACAAGTATTGAAAGGCCCAAGTGATGGTGATGGCTGTGGTGTCATGACCAGCAAAGAGAAATTGCTGAACGAGTCCCAAAACATCGTCTGTGAATTCAGAGCTGGAGGTTCTGGCTTGTCCTGTCCGAGTCTCGTTGATGTACTCCTTCATCGCCAGCTGTATTACCGTTTTTTGAGTTGCCGATTGTTCAGCGCCCATTTGTTCCTTGATACGCGGCATCAGGATTTTGCGCAGTTGTCGACGACATCGCCATCCATCATACTGGTAAAAGGGACTCAGCCGCCTGCGTAGTGTAGCTAGATTCTTGAATTGCACCTGACCAACGAGAGTTCTGAGCGCAGTCTGTAACTCTGTTGGCCCCTTACTCTGCTCATCCAGACGCAGGTCGCTTGGTATTGGTCAGCTTTTCTAATGCCGAGACATAACTATATTGCCCAGTGCCACTTACAGCACAACGCGGCCAATTATGTCAAGGGTCAAATCGACAGTCTTGGGAAGGAGTGGGAACACTGCACCCCAGCTGCCATTCTTCCCAGCGTGAGCCTTCAGGATGTCCAAGAAGACTTCAACCTCATCCACCAGTGCGGACACGTGCGATTGCAAGTTCCGCTGCGAGAATCCTGGGTTCAAACGAGACCTCCAAAGTCTGTGCAATGCGCCACCCCACCAGGTAAGGTTCCTTCTGCCTGCTACAGGTTCAATGAGATACTTGATCTGGGCGTGTTTCGGTTGGTTTCTCTCCAGCACAAGATCCTGACACATGGCTGGATCTAATACCAGAGCGATTGGTTCCTGTGCTGGCCATACATCAATATACAGGACACTAGGGCATTCTTGGGCGTGTGGGAAAAAATCGCGCCAATGTTGAACAACATGTATCTGGGCATAGAACTGATGGGCATCTGGTGGATATTTTCTGAAAGTCTCGGCCAGTAAAGGCAAGTGGCCGGAAATGAAAGAGTGCGGTTCCAGGATGGGCTGCAAGACTCAGATCAGCACGCGTATCTTCTCCGTATCTTCTGCAAGGCTAGAAGGAAGGCTAGATAACCAGGTCACAGGGCAGGCGAATGCCACAGTGAGTCGATAAACGGGCAGCAGCGCTCGACTTACTATACCCTGCGCTTTCAATCGCCGTATTCTGAGTCGAATTTGAAGGCCCTCATACAAGAACAATGCGAACTTTCCGCAAACCAAGAGCAAGACAGCAGCGCAGAGCGACTTCAGCGTATCCGCCGACACCACCTGATACATCCTCCCGTTCGTGCCTATAGACATATTCTTTTAATCTTCTATCGGTGAATACAATGAGTTATGACAGACGAACGGTTCAGTTATGTTGTATGCACACCGCTGTTCACTTAAGGACGCGTCTCCAGCTGGGTATTCGGGGAGGTGTTGACTCCGAAATGCATGGCTTATCAGGAAGAGCGTCAAACTTCCACGTTAGCTACATCAGCTCATTAGCGGATTCAAGTCAAACTTTTGGATCTTTCCCCGATGCGAACCTTGCTGCTGGACTAAGAGGGCGCGCCTCCTCCGGGCGGAATACCTTAATCCCCGCCTAACGTTGATTAGAAGCTCCACGACTCCATTCACGGTGCTAGCTTCCCGTACGAGTGGCTAGTTATTTAAATTTACTAAAGACCGTACAGAGGATCTGCTACTATGTATAACACTTGCCTCGCTACATCTGCGATTATGGTGCGGTCTCATTGCCTTGATGGAAATTTTGACCTGACATCTATACATACTGAGACAGAAGGCATTATGGAATGCCTGGCTGGGTTTGGTTTGAGACAATCTACTCAACATGACCAGCTTGCGATTAGCTTGCGTAACTATTGCCGCAGACAAAATTCAAGTAATAATACATCAGAAACGTAGAGCTCAGGTCACAGTTGCACTCCTGAAGAACGAATTCTCCTACAAAGATTCATCAAGGAAGACAAAAAGCGTGTCTAGAGCTTCGCTGAGGACAAAGCCCAACTTGACTCGATTTTGCACCACCTTCTGGAACTTCACCACTTCTTACTGTACATACAAATGCAGAGCATCCGCCGCAGTCGTCGGAAGCGTAAGTCCTTCCTCTCCCCAAACAAGTTTGGGGACCTGTAGCAGCATATATATTCGGAGCACGACGCAAGCTAGGTCACTCAAAGTTGGGTACGGTTGAATACAAAACAAAGAGATTTTGGCACTCGGAAATCGTGCTATGACGTCAAGCCATGATCCAAACCCAGGAAGAATACCGATGATAGATTCGTCTGCCTTAGCAAAGAGTTTTCAGACCTCTTGCTCCATGCTCCAAGACAGCCCCCGGTGCGAGGCCTGCAAGAGCCCAATGATTAAATAAGCAAATATCGATCAGCTTAATAGATTGATATTATATATATTCGTTGGTTTCATTACATCGAACTCGGCGCCTGGCATAAAAATTAACATTACGTATATACAGGGTAGTAGTGAACGATGCGCAGTCGCCTTGACTCGTGTGGCTTCCTATGGTATACTTCGTTGCCCAATTTCACTGTCAGGCCCTAGAAGGCCTGAGAAAATCTGACAACCTCCTTGTTGCATTGGGTCTCGTCCTATAATCCATGCCTGCCGTGTCTGGACTTGGATTTGCATTGTGGGCGTCGCCAGCCACGGACAACCTCCGCCTCTCATCATCGCGTTTATGATCACTTCGATAGCTGGCTCGCCTCCACGAACTCTCTTTCGTTTTGGAGCCCTGCTTGTCCCGCTTCGAACGCCCAAATGTGTCGGAGCGCTCTAGCGAGCCCGGGTTCATGAAAGCCAGATCAGGGTGATCGAGAACAACCTTCTTCTTCCCGGGGCGGTTTGTGATGGCATTCCACATCACTTCGCGTTCCTGGCGATCACCATCGCCAGCCTGCTGCACAAACTGCTGGAAGTCCGAAGGCTCTTCATGGGTATGAGAAGGGTCTTGAGCAGGGGGGAGGGTGTCTGAGTGCTGGTCGCGCGTAGGTAATGGCGAAGGCGGTGGCTGCAACTTATTTACCGCAGCCTCACGGGTCCCTATTGACTCATGCGATGCATTGTAGTTCAACGTGTCCGTCGTTAATGCCGATAGCGGTCTGTCGTCGCGAGAGATCCTGTTTGGGACACCTAAAGGTTGATAGCCCGTGTGCTCCACGTCTAGGGAGGATGCTTGGGTAACTGCCGACAGCTGCCGCGTCTTGGGCTCACCACTGTCGAGCGTGTGTTGGGTGTGGTCCAGCGTGAGCACAGGCGCAAAGACCGGGGTTTCGTGCGCGGGAACGTGGGAATGTCGCGTTGCCGCCTTCGATTCCGCCCTGGGCAGCGACTCGCCAGGCTCGTGGCTGGCAGCAGGTCTCAATGCCAAGCCTTGTGCTGGACGGGACGCCTGCCCACTGCCCCCATTCTCCAAATCCGCGCTCCTGCCAGGGGCCTTGGCGCTCTGGGCTGGCCTGCTGCGCGACTGCTTCAGGTTCTTCTTGCTCCGGGCGTTGCGCAGCATCCGGGAGAAGATGTTTGGCTGTGCATTCCGCGGCGTCGTTGTCTCGGTTGGGGAGGCGGCGCTAGTATCCGGCGCCCGGCGGGCTGAGGCGCCGGCGGCCGTGTCCAGCTTCTGAGGCCGACTGGCCCGTGACTTCAGCGGCGACATGGGAGACATAGGATGAGAAGACGAGAGTCTCGCACCCTCTGCCAGCCTACGCCGGGTCTTTGTCTTTCGAAAGCGATCAAATATCAATCGCAACCCATGACCATGCTCTCCCCCCTCCCTTGTCTCCTTGCCCTCGGCCGGCGGGGGGCTGCTACGTTTTGGCTCCTCATTCAAGCCCAAAATCCTGTGTGTGGCGACCATCCTGCTGGATTTATGGGCCATGGGCTATCAGACCCCAGCCGCTAGATTTCTGCAGCAGGTCCCCTTGTCGCCTTGGAATGACGCGTTCCCGGGCTCCCAGCAGGGGGCGTCGGGGACGTGATTTGCCTACAGGCGGTCATGCGAGGCGGTCCGGACAAGCTCCCCTGGTAAGAAATGACGATGGATCCTGATAAGTCAAGTGCCGGGGCCCCCCAATGATCTTTGTGCCAGAATGCCGAGCAGGAGACGGCCAGACAACGTGCAGCGACAGGGGATCAACTCCAACTGCAATGCGAGACTTGGAACGATGCAACTGATAGAAATGGTTGGGACGGTGTCGACGACGACGGCGGTGATGATGGGAGATACTCCCGGCCTCAAGTTTACAAGTCAAGTCGAGTTTATCTCTCTAGACTGCCCAATTGGGCTACGAACCATGATCACCATGGGCAGGTATCTAGCTCGAGTCATCTGCAAGCAGTAGTTTTCCGCCACCGCAGGAGCTAGGCTGTTGTCGCTGCGACATTGAAGCTTCAGAGCTTTCAAGCTTATGATAAACGGCTGCCCGGCGCTGCTTAGCTGGCTCCACACCCATCCACATGCACATCCAACAGAACATTATCCTACGTACTGTAACTTGGTAGGTGCTGCATCGTGCATCGTGCATCGTGCATCGTGCAGCGTGCGCGAACCCGCGCCAGCAATCGCCCGTGGGGCATCGACTCAGCTCCACGCCCATGTCGTACAGCGACGGTTGGCGCTTGGCAGCCAAGCCAGGCTCAGAGTCAAGCGATACAACGTTTTGCAGTGTGGCCGCATCAGATGACAGACCTACATGCATGGATATAACTGCCTAGGTATGTGTGTGTGCACATCCGATACTACACAACGATGTGAGGGGTGGAAGGGGACCATTTCACACCGAGAATTGGTTCCTACTCCAAGAAACATTATGATATTTATTACTTGGGTTTAAGGATCGGCCAAGGACTTGCGAGTCGTGAGGTGCCCAGCCATGACGACAATTTCAACTTACCTCGGCACTTGGCTTTGGCCACCTTCAAATATCCGGGGACAAAGTCGCGTGGCCAACGTTACTGTCTGTCTCAATTTGGCATCACAGACGGAAGCACGGTCGCTGGCTGCACGGTATTATCCACTGCGACCGATGTAGGGTACTCGGCACGGACTGTGGCATTTCCCAACCAAGCCTGAAGACTGGATCACCTAGACATGGACGATTTCATTGTTATTTCGGAGCAGCCCACCTGCATACGGGGACGGCGCAGACGACGGCGCCGAAATGCCAGGGGTCGGTCGCTCAAGTCATGTTTTAGACTTCCGAGCCCCCTTCTTCGGCTTCGGCTTTGGCTTTGACAGTCCCACGCGACTGGTCCCCACATCAACGTCGTACGTTCAACTTACACTACATACACACAGACACTGCACACCAACCGCTCAGAGAATGATTGGCCAGCCAATAAGAAGGAACTTGCGCCATCGTAGAGAATTACCCACTGCTATACTTCATAACACTCACTTTAGGAGGTCTTGGGCTTGGAGAAGAGTCCTTGCGTGCGAGTGTACTTCCCGCATCATGCGCTTCTGTCAGCGTTCCGAGCAGCCATGAAATATGCACGCTGTCAACCTGACCAACCACGGTGAGCGATGTAGATATCGTTGGAGTCGATCAATTCTATTCTATTCATGTTACAGACCCTGGTTCTACTTAAACGGTCTCACCCGCTTCTATATCTTGGAGCTACTCACACATGTACGGGCATAGTCGGTCGCAGCTATACGCTCCAGTGCCTTGCTGGCCTCCCCTGCTGCATCATATTTATCCATCCATATTTCAAATGTGTTTCTGTCGGACACTTGGTGTGCCGATTAGCGTCTGAAAATCATGGGAAACCGAGGAAGCACTCACAGTGAGATTGGTCCTGCCCCTGAAACCACTTTCCGGCTTCGTCCAGTACCTGTTGGTAATGCTCTTCCATGTTCGGCTCGTTCTGTCGTACCGTCGAAGCCATTTGACTGCATGCATACCTTGGAACCCGCAGACTCTGCAGTAGTTCCAGCCTTCGCGGCACCTGAGCGCGGTCGGTCACTCCACGGAGGCACATTTCCACCACCGCGGCATCTTCCATTGCCTGGCTCCCACCTTGACCTCGGTACGGACCCATGGGGTGCAATGCATCACCCAGCATGCACAGCAGTCCTCTATACACGCTCTCGATCGGCGGCCTGTCACAAATTTTCCAAAGCAGCGGCTCCTCTACTTTGCTGAGGATCTCGCCAAAGAGCGGGTGCCAATGACGAAACTCTTCCAAGAGGATGCTTTTATCGCATCTTGCAAGCCACTCCTCTGAGCTGGCATACGACTCGTGGTCTGGGATGACGATATCAAATGCGTGCATGGAATCAAATCGACAACACCACCAGGCCAACACGCGGTCAGGAGGCTCGGTTGCGATCCATACTTCCCCCGTTGATTTTTCGAATCTGGACTTGATGAAGTGGTCATTGGGGAACTTTTGTGCTACTTCTCTGATCTTTGCGTCGGGAAGCAGTAACCTAAACGCAGAGAATCCCGTTGGCTTTGCCGGAAGTTCTTTCCCGATGATTATAGTGGCGGCTTTCGACTTGATCCCGTCGCAAGCAATCACAAGGTCGGCTTCCTTCCACGTTCCGCCTGCGAGCTGAACTGCCGGTCTCTCAGCATCGTAGTCGACAATATGCTTGTCATATAAGACTTTGATGGTGCCTTCTCCAGTGGTGGGCCGCTCCACTTCTCGTCGCAGTAGCTGGTGAAGGTCACTCCTCGTGGCGTTGATTTGCAATCCACCACGTTCCCCTTCCTGTTGCGCCACGTCGCTTTCCATGTATATTCTCAAGCTCTTTCCGTCAAGGAGAAGACGATTCGTGCATGGGAGCGCGCCGTACGATGTGAGATCGAGCCCCCATCGCTCTAGTATCCTGGCAGCGTTGGCACGGATCGTTATGCCAGCACCGGCATCAGCTTCTGAGGAGTATCGTTCGTAGACTATGACATGATGCCCTGCGCGACGCAAGGCAATGGCGGTACTAAGACCACAGATTCCCCCGCCAACAACTATGGTTTGCAAAGGCATTGTTACCGCGGCCTCGTACAAAGAATACACGTTTGTTGTAGGGTCGAACGATACAGAAATGATTTGACCGAGTATGACATAGCCACTGAGGAATAAGCGTAGATGATTATGACCGAAACGCATATAGCCGAAGTGAATATGACCGAAGAAGATTTGGCCGAGGACGATCCTACAAACTAAAACGTACAACTGGGCTCTACCGTGTCGCAGATTTGGCATTTTCCGAAACTCCCAGTGTGGAACTAATTTGACGAATTATTACTTGCATTCTGGTTCTGCAGATATACTAAAATTCACTTCCGCTTACGTTCAATTAACATTGATGGAGTGTTGATATATTATGGGGCCATACCAGGTGACACAGTATCCCATTTCGAACTGCTAATTAGTAAGGTCCTCCAACCATAGAAATGCCAAGGATCTAGTTTATGCAATGGCGTATTTACTTCAATGCAAATCATGAACAAGTCAGGGTGTTGTGTAACTGCGGAGCATACTTCCCATGATAATCCATGAAAAGATTTTTGGGGCTGGCCTCAAATCTGACCCCAGTTGGGGAGTATTATACGACAACCGGCTCAGTAGGAGATCACGTATGTCAGCGATCAAGCGAGAATGTAAGAGACAACTAAAGCCGCCTATAAGTAACCCGATGAAGTATAAACAACTAATATCTCTTACGATATAAATGATTAAATAAGAGCTACCATGCCGCGAGGGAGACTGCCTCTCAAGACCCAGCCGACATCACGAATTTAGAGATGCATTCCAACAACAACCCTCTCCACCCCTAGTATAAGAATTTAGTTTTGTAATCGTAAACCGTTGTACTATATCATCTAATGCTAGGTTGAAAATATAGTAATATATTAGGATCGTAATTACGATATAACTGGCCGGGACGGAAACGTCTACGGAAACCTTATTCCGTTCCCCGAGAATGATTTCTGCCGCTCCACTGGTGCTAGGACTCAAGCATGCGAACGTCCGGTTCTATAACTAACTTTACTGTGGAGCAAATCAAGGCTGGAGATGATGGAGATAACTGAAAAACGTTCCTCACCGCCGCCAATATTGTAACACACACGAAAGCCGGAGGTGTTGATCTCACTAATGGTTCTTGTTTGTTGTTTGGGGTGTAGCCTATCCGCAGACCATGCCTATGGAACATTCACTTCCATATTGAGTTTCAGAAATATATCAAAAATGCTGAACACTACTTGTTGATTCTTGATACCTATACCAAACAAGAGCACACATACAGTCCAGGCCTGCAGAAGAATAGGTTTGGTGGTATACGTGTATCGAAACCACAAGCCTCTTGCCCATGCGACATACGATTGGTTCCCCTCTTTCCGGCATTATAACCCTTGGAACTGACCAATGCGATCGTCTTCAGACCCCAGCATATCGATGTGGGCAATGCAACGCAACTCTTTGACAGGAAAAACACAACGAGTAAATTTGCACTCTGTGATGACGCCGGCGATCTTGGATTACCCCGCTGATATCATTGCTCTCCCACAACCACGCTACCTGTTTCTGCCCAGATTCCACAGGAAACGACACATGTAAGGTAAGATCAGATGTGTATCGTATCTAGCCATTTTAAGAATCTGAATTGCTGAGTAACCTCGAGCACCATAACAAAACTGTTTTCACACCACTATCCTAAGAGCGACACACCAAGATGGAGATCGATAGAACTCTGTACCTTAACGGTACACTTGACCGATACACCGATGGCAATGTAGCAGTGCCGCGCATGTTTGGCAAAATTGCCCTGGAGGAGGCTGTTGGCTCCAACATCTGGGCTGCCAGCGGAACACTACCCGTAACGGACCAAGTGTCTGGCTTCTCAGGTATACCCTTTGCCCCTGTAAGGCCCTCTCTGGTGTGGCGAGAATGCGGAAAACTAACGACATTAGTCCGTTACCGCCGACATTGGAGTTCGCCTGTTTGACATCCCAAGCCGCCTACAGTCCATGGACGCGAGCGGTATCGGCTATGTTATTGTCTCGCTCACATCTCCCGGCGTCCAGGGTGTATTTGACGTGAAAAATGCCACGAGACTGGCGACGTTGGTGAATGACGAGGTGTATGCCAACTACGTCCAGGCGTACCCGGACCGCTTCGGCTTCTTCGCCGCGGTCGCCATGCAGGACCCAGTGGCGGCGGCGGCGGAGCTCGAACGCGCGGTCGGTCTCGGGGCCAAGGGCGCTCTGATCAACGGCTATAGTCAGATCGGAAACCCTGACAACTACACGGTGCGGTACCTGGATGATGAGGCGTGCGACCCGTTCTGGGCTAAGGTTTGCGAACTCAATGTCCCGGTCTACCTGCACCCTCGTCCACCACCGCTTGGCCAACAGCTCCTCTACCAAGGTTACCCGATGCTAGCGCACTCGGCCTACGGCTTTGGTACAGAGACGGCAGGGCACGCGCTGCGGCTGATACTGTCTGGACTTTTTGATCGTTACCCCAGCGTCCAGATTATCCTGGGCCACTGCGCAGAGGCACTGCCATTTCTGGCCCATCGCATTGACACGCGTCTCATGAACGGGATCGAGGGCGCCGATGGTCCTTACAGGCACACTGTGAAGTACTACCTGCGGAACAATTTCTACGCCACCCTGGCCGGGGTGCGGAGGCTCGCTACGGTCAGGGATACCATCGAGGAGATGGGGGAGGACCGTGTCATGTGGAGTGTTGACTACCCATACGAGAGCAACGAGGCGGCGGCGAACTGGTTTGATTACATCGAAGGGTTGGGCGTGAGAACGAAGGAGAAACTTGCGTGGGAAAATGCACAAAGAGTCTTGAATATCGCGGCCAACAGAAACAGATACCAGGTAGACCAGGAATATCTGTGAACTTCGATCCGAGGAACATACACCAATACAAAGTTTGAGACCCAAAGTTTTTCCCGTACTGAAAATGATTCATGCTCGCTATGTATATGCAGCCATTCGCCCGGAACTAGATGCAATGATGCAATAAACCCTACCGTGTGTTGGTTGATATGGATGTTAGTACACAGTGTCTGTTCAGCACCGAAAATACCTCTTCTCTACCCATCGTTCCTCGATGTCACTCAGCAGATTCGCAACCACGACCGTGATCTCAGGAAAGACCTTAGTCAGACGATGTATGCCAACCCGTCCGCCGGAGTAGGTCGCAAAGACAATTCGGTCTTGTGGCACACCATGATCCACCAGTACCTGAACAGCCATCAGGGCTGAGCCGCCGCTCGACATCTGTGCATCGAGCAGTAGAACACTATCATGCTTGGAGATGTCAGATGGCAGCTTGAGATAGTGCAGCTCTGGCTCGCCAGTGCGAATGTTAGACTGGATCAGGAGGCGACCGGTCCGACAGTCTGGAATGACCCGGCGAAGGCCAGCCTCAAAAGTAGCTCCGCCGCGGAGAACGATGACGGCACTGACCTCGCCTTTAGCGGTCAGGCCTCGGTATCGGTGTCCTTGGGGCGTCTCAACGAATTTTTCTCTGAAGTGAACGTTGTTCAAGGCTCTGTAATTTATTAGCCTGACCCGGGTCTGGCGGGAATTGCAGCCAAGCAATAGAACATTGGATGGACGGGGAGAAAAGAGAGTCAGGAGTTCGGGGTCTTACTCTTCGATCAACAGGCACGATAGTCTGTCGAAGTAGAAAATGAAATCCTCGCTGGTGGTGTCGATATCCTGCAGGATAGTCCTCATTCCTCTGATCTGGGTCGTTGGCTTGAGAACAATGACTCGCTCGGAGAGTGGCTCGCTCTCGGAACCATGTTCTAGGCTTTTGAGCGCTGCTCGATGATGGGTCGACTTCTCCAGAAGCTTCCTCTCGATGTACTGAGTCACCATATCTGGGAATGTCAGCGAGGACTACCGAGCTCCAGGGTGAAGGCGACCTACTCATGGCTACCCGGTTCTCTATACCTCTGGGTACAATGATGTCTTGAGTGAATTAATTAGCTGCAGGCATCTTTCACAGGAGCAGTCTGTTTATAACGCTGGTGGGGACTTGAATGGTGCTCACCTGCTACATTTCTTTGCGGTTGCACGAACTGACAACTCGTCAACGACAGGCCTACTGTGCAGGAAGAATGCAACAAACCTTCTCAAAGTTCGGCTTGACGAACCCAAACCACTGCTTGATGCAGCCTTCTACGTCACGCCCACGATCTCTCACGTCGCGTATGACTAGGGTTGAACTGATCAGCCTGGGTCTCGACACGGAGGCGGCTTTGCCTTACTTCGTCGCGACAGACACGTATCTAAGTCAGCCTCACAGTAGATCTGGCGAGATAGGTCAGCAGGTGAGAGGTCGAACTGAAACCGATAAAACTGACCCCCATGTCCATCAGTTCCCGCACCCGAGGGTCGTATAATGCGAAAATGCCCTCTATCACCAAGACGTGGGGGGAGTATATAACGGTGGTCTTGTCCAGCCGCTGGTGCTTCTCAAAGGAATACACAGGGATTTCAGTACGCTTCCTGTTTGTACGACCCGTGTCAGAGGACAGCTCTTATGAAATTGGCCGAAAGGGAGATCCGTAATTGAAACAAGGACGGTCCTGAGCTTACCCTGCCTTGAGATCCCGCAAGCAGCTAACCAGCTCATCGAAGTCAATGGCATCAGGGGAATCAAAATCATATTCATTCCTGAAGGCAAGCTGGTGTGCTGCCTCGTCTAATGGTTTATAGAAGGAGTCCTGCACATCAATGGTGAGCACTCGTTGCTACGGGCCCAAGGAGGAGAGAGAGAGAGAGAGCGAGAGAGGTAGGGGTGGGCGGGCCTGTACCATGGACATGATGACGACCCAGGGAAGGTTCAGTTGACGAACGATGGCATTAGAAAGGGTCGTCTTGCCCGAACCCGAGCTGCCAGCAACTCCAATGATGCTCACATCGGCCCATGGCGGGCTGTAGTGGGCTCGCTGAGCTACAGTATCATGGTCCGAACGATAATCGGAGATGATTGGCGGGGTGGAAATGCCTGCGTTCATATTCACGCCTGCTCAGGATATATAGGCGAGCAGATGATTGGGCGGCTTGCGTGGGAAGAACAGCTATAGACCTGCGCAAGCCGTCTGCAGCAGCACAAGGAAGCAGGTGGTTGTTGAGACAGACTGCGATGTGAAGTGTCGCGTGCCAGACGGTTGGATACCTGGCGGGCAGGTACCACTGGAAGTAGTCAGTACCTCAGTGACCCATGTACCTAATGTAGGCAGGGCGCCGTGGGTCTCCGTCGGGCGGCGCCGAGAATACTCAACCCCGGAGAGCGAACAATGTGAAACCGAACGTGAAGAAATGAAGAGAAGGGGGCCGAGGCCAGACTTGCAGATACAGAGAAGCCTGACAGTCCAACTCGGTCAATGGGCCTAGCCAGCCCAGATCTATCTGGAGTCGTAAAGGACGGTGGTGGTGGTCGAGTCCTCTGTGGTGCAGTACCGAAAACCCACCCGCGACAAAAATTGGATGTCTGGTGCCATGTGCCAACTGGGGTCCAGTGTGCGAGCAGTGTGAGAGGATGGGCCGCGCACCAGTGAGATGGGGCAATTGGCACTGGCGGCGTCGTGGGTGCAGCTGCGCGCTGGAGCTCGAGGTGTTCCGCTAGAGAGAAGCACCTGCAGCCCTACCTAGGTACTACCAGCACTCCCCTCCATGCCGCCCAGCTGCCTTTGCCTCTGCCTCGCCTGTGTCCACTGGTCCAAGGAACCTTGGAAACCTTGGAACTTGCCTCTGCGCCGCCCAGAAGACAATGGGCCCCCTGAAGAGCTGCTGCTCTACACACACACACACACACACACACACACACACACACACACCCCCGATACATTGTGGTGCACAGTAACCTGAGCCCCACTGGAGCAAGCTAACCTGGGACCCAGGCAAGCAGAAAAAAAATCACCCACACAGAAAAGACCTAAAAAGCACCGACGGTGGCCCTAGCTGGAAGTCTGGAAGTAGGGCCATGCCATCGCACCCAGGTACTGTACATTTCTGCTGCTGCGCTCCGATCTGCCCGCCCGCCCATTGGATTGGATGGACCTACTGTGCCCGACCCAGGTACCCCAACGTGGTTAACCATCTTCCGGACGCCGAAAACTTCCTCCCGCGCTCTCATCCTTCTTCTTCCCATCTTCCATCACCCATCACATCCCATCCTATCCCTTCCCTTCCCTTCCCCATCTTCCGATTTGACCTCTGCTCCCGGCAAGTCGAACGCCAACCCCCCCGAGCCACTCCCATGTCTCTACCGCTGCTCTGTGCCCTTCCATAATTAATGGCATGTCCTCGCCAATCGCTCGCGAGTTTGAGGAACAGCTCCGCTACACGAGGGATCTGGCCGAGGCCTTGTTGAACCCCAGGATGACTTCATCAGCCTCCACGGCCACCCCGATGAAGCATGCCTTTGCCCGCCATGTCGACGACGTCAAGGCCCCCAAAAGGTGAGTGAGCTCCGCCCAGGCCCTTTCCCTGCCCGCCTTGCCGTTGAGCAAAGCCGACACCCTCTCGTCTTCATATGATGCAACAATCAATCAATGGGAATCTCTCTGAGCAAACAAAACGCTGTGCGGAGACCGATTTGAATATCTTCATTTCTTCTGATCCGAAGCCCTCCCCCACTCTTCCTCACATTCCTTCGTCCCCAATTGTGGACCTCGCGACTGACAGCCTCCATTCTCAAGCGACATCAATGCTCTGATCCTCGACTACCTCACCATGGCTGGCTATCCTAATGCCGCCAAGAAGTTCTCGGCCGAGGCCAACCTGCCTGCTCACCAGGACAACGCCTCCATCGTGGCCAGACAGCAGATCCAGACGGCCATACACAGGGGAGACATTGCCACGGCCATCAGCGAGCTCAATGACCTAGACCCGGAGGTACGTTTTAACTTGTTGATCTTGCTGAAGTCTTTTTACCTTTATTTTTTGGCCCTTCCTTTCCCACCCCAACCCCGTGTGTATATACCCACACATACACACACTGCGAGGATTAGAACACGAGTTTTACATGCACCACTCTTAGCGCCTTTGGGCGTGGTGATGAGAAACAACCACCATTTTATGAGCACAACTCCACTTCAACCCTTTCTAGCTTGGTACCGCATGCCTGCCACCGTCGTCTAACCCGGCCACAGATCTTGGACACCGATGCTGCTCTGCACTTTGCCGTTCTGCGCCTCCAGCTGGTCGAGCTGATCCGCCAGTGCAATGCCACGCCGGGCCGTGACATCCAGCCTGCTCTGGACTTCGCAACCCAGCAGCTCGCTCCCAGGGCACCCACCAACCAGCAGTTCCTCGAAGACCTCGAGAAGACCATGCTGCTTGTTGTTTTCTCCCCAGAGGCTGCCGATCCTTCCTCGGCCGCGCTCCTCAAGCCGGATCTCCGCCGCCAGGTCGCCGACATGGTCAACAAGGCCATCCTGCAGCGCGAGACACAGCGGAGAGACGCGGCGATCCGCCATCTGGTACAGATGCGAGCGTGGGGCGAGGATACGGTCAGGAAGCAGACCAAGAAGGACCTGCCGCCTCGCATCGACCTCGGCCTCAATGGCGACGAGGGTGACAAGAATGGTCTGCATGAAAATGGTCAGGACACTGTCATGACCTAGATGATTTTACCACGACGCCATTCTGGTGTTGACTTTACGGGTGTCTGTAGGGTCGCGGCTCCCCACGCCAGCATGATGGCAGACATACATCCAGAGGAATTGTGTTGGACTGGGAGAGGCTTCCCCGGTCCAGCCAACTCAAGCATTGCGGGTGGTGCCAAGCAGATGTTGGTCTGGTTGCTGAACAGACACGAGAAATCGAGTCAGCGCTAGACGGACTAGATCTGGTCCAAGGCCCTTGTTTCTGATGACTCTACGGCGCTGCTTAGGCTTTTATGTGTTTGGTGGAATGTGGTTGTCTTTTTAAGCGGTCTCTATGATTTTGACATTGGTATTGCAAGGAGTTTTGGTCAGGGAATGAATTGGGTTGGACACAACACGGAAAGTAACGACTGGCGTTTAAGGGAGTTTTTGACTCCGGTATTACGACAACCCGATGGGTCATGCATGGATGAACGGCAGCACTCGGTGAGCATGCCAGACCAGGCGTTTCGATTTTTTACGCAGAACTGCACCCACACGGGGAATAGATGACTGGCCTGTATTGATGGCCCTGGCTTGCTCTGCACAGTTTCCTGGAAATTGCCTCGCGGTTTGAAATGTCTTTGTGTGATGCGGTGATGAAGGTTGGCTGTCTGGCCGAGTACATACTTTTATGGGCGAGGAGCTTTGCTAGAGGGTTGAAAGTGTGCAAGAAATCCCATTGTCTAAAAGTATGTACAAGCAGCTAGGGTCCGTGGCAGCATGAGCTGCTTCTAGTGGTCTTGTCCCATGGCCTACCGGGGGGACATGCCACCAGGAGTCTAGTAAATCCTGCATTCATTGCCTGCTCCCTCTATAAATGAAGGGAGCTTGGTCCGCGCCACAGAAACCGTCCACGTCTCTTCTACTCTTAGCCCCGCCGCTGCCATGTCCCCTTTTCATCATCTTCTTCTTCGTACTTCCCTCCTTCTTGTCTACTTGGTCCTCACGTGCTTGAGCTTGCCGGGCGAGTACATGAAGTTGTTGGCGTAGGCCTTGGGGGTGAAGGCGCGGGTGTTGGGCTCCTGGACGAAGAACTCGTAGCCCTGCTTCTGGGCAAAGGCGATGGCGTCCTCCTTGGACTTGAAGTTGAGGTGGGTGCCCTGCATGATGTCGCCCGACGACTGCCAGCCCATCAGGGGATTCTCCCAGCGGTGGCCCTTGGCCAGCACGTCCCAGTCCATGCGCCAGTGGTGCGAGCCCCAGTTGCCCGACTGCGAGGCGGGCTTGGCGGGCTGGTAGATGCTGTCGACGGACGCATGACGTGAGTAAAAAAAGGAATCAAGTACTTTCCCGTCGCCGGGGAGATTGGGGAAAGGCTACTACGTACCGGACGGTGCGGGCTTGCAGCTCGACGGGGGCCCCCGAGAGCACGGCGGCGGGCAGGACCTCGGTGTCCTCGCTGCCGTCCATGACGCGCTTGGGGACGGGGGTGTACGTCCTGTTCGTGGGCAGAGGTTCGTCAGCGACTGATCCCGAGTTTTGAATGCATCAATTGCGTCCATCTCGGTCGATGTCTTTCTCTCTCTTTCTCTCTCTCTCTCTATCCCCCCTCCCCACCGGATTGTCTTTCCCTACCCTTGAGGCCTGGGGAAGAAAGGGGGAGACGTACGACGTAGCCTTGTCAATGTGTGCGGCGTAATCGGGAGAATTGGGGGCGCGCTCGGCCGGGGTCTTGGTGGCCGTGGTGACGGGGCCGGACTCGGTGAGGGCTTTGGCAGCGGTATCGTCGGTCTTGAAGCGTCGCTGGCCGGCGACGACGCGCGGGACCGCCGTGCGCAGCAGCTTGGCGGCGCTGTGTACCCGGAGGGACGACGCCATGGTGGTTGGTCAATTGGGGGGCGGCCGGGAAGCTGAGCAATTGACGGGCGGTTCGATGGCGATGGGTGTGTTGCGTGGGTGTACGTCGTTCGAGAGCTCGGCCAAAGAGAAGCTCCTGCACCCAAGCCAAAAGCCAAAGAGGACCCAAGTGGAAGAGTGAGGTTGCCGATGGGCGGCTGTGTGTGGCTTAGGTGTGTGTGTGTGTGGCTTGTGTGTGGGCCAAGTTGGGTGACGGCGGCCAGACAGCCCAGGTGGTTGACTGGCCCGGGCTTTGGGTCTGGCTGTGGCGCAGGATCCCGTCACCTGACTGAGCGCCGAAGTGGTGCGGCAGGGATTCGGACAGTCGGAGGAGAACATCACCGCGAACCGCTTGCACTTCCTGGCTTTGTTACCTAGGTATGGGTAGGTATGGGTTTGCGCACTCCTCATCGTGGCGTATATGTATATATTTGAAATCATCATGATGGATCCACGCGACCCTGCAGCATCTTGAATTCCCCCGTATCTACCTACCTAGGTAAAGCCCTGGCATCTGTGCAGCATGTACATACTGTAGCACGCATGGGTTAACATCACCCGGCTCTTTGGCAGTGGGTTGGGTGTCCCAAAACCTGGTTTGTCTCTCTCCGGGCTCTGCCGGGCCCCCAAATGGCGCTAACGGGGGTTGCGAGGTCTTTTCGTGCCTCCCGCCCAGTGTTCGACCTCATCTTGGAAGCAGATCGAGCCATCAAACCACCGACGACAGCCACTCTTCTCCGCCTTCACAGCCCGTCAATTGCGTCGCCCCGAGGCCCAATTGACTCCTGTGCCTTTGACACCTCCCCCCATCGCATCGAACCCGACCCGACACCACCCGCCAACATGAGCTTCGTCACTCGCCGGGGTCTTTCCACCCTCATCCCCCCCAAGGTCCGTCTGCAACCCGCCCTCGTGCTGCCCGTGTGTCTGCACCCTCTTGGGGCCTCCCTCTGACTGACCTTTTGTGTTTCCAGGTTGCTTCGCCAAGCGTATGTATCCCCCCCGTGCCCCCTCCGTCTGCCGCCGAGCGAGGATGCGATTCCCGACAGCATGCGAGACCACGGCCATGTGCCTCCTTGAGCACCCGGCGACCATGAACGGTGGACGGTGCACGATGGGGCACGCAGACCCGCCGAATCGAGTGGCAAGGCATCTCCTGGTGGAATCTGAGGCTGACATTTCGCCCGCTCACAGGCTATCGGCGGCGCCCCTGATGCCGTCCGCATGAAGCGCGTCGTCAACTTCTACGAGAAGCTTCCCCGTGGCCCTGCCCCCAAGGTCGAGGCCAAGGGTCTTTTCGGCCGTTACGAGGCCAAGCACTTTGGCGGCAGCAACGCCTCCGCTAAGCGTACGTTTCCATCCACCACTGCTTCTCCACGAGCCACTCGTCTGGCACAGGCACGGGCACGGGCACGGGCACCCGCGCCCTGTCCGGCTTCGTATCACGCAGCGAGCATGATATGCCGCTGGAAGACCGCACATACACCCCCGGAACCACGCTGACCAGCCTTCATACAGCCATCATCCAGGCCATCGGTCTCATTCTCGTCATCGGCTACCCCATGACCTACTACTTCCACCTGCGTAAGCTCTTCCTTCCGTGTTCACAACCCAACCCCCCTCAAACGAAGCTGACAACTCCCCTCCTCCCCAGGCCACCACAAGAACAACGCTCACTAAGCTGGGATACCATGACGTGACGGGGAGCGGAGACTAGGCCTACGGACAAGGGGCTTGTACATATCATAGAAAAGGCGAAGCGTGCTAGCAGACCTTTGTGTACTAGAAAGGAGAGAGAATTTGATCCGACCTGAATCTTTTCTTTTGTGCGAGTCTCTTCTCGTTCCCATAAACCTTGGTGTCAATGTTTGTGAACAACCCAGCGGCGCTACAGGGATGCGGCCCAGGGTAGAATGTACAGGCATCGGAGCTACGCCGGTTACTACCTACCAAGTTCCGGGCAACCTTCTTGTCTATCCTTCTTTGTTCCTGCTAACAATGCCTTGTGGTCAACAGGCAGTTGCTATGAGTTAGTCTTGCGCACGTCACCGGGCCCACCGGCCTTGTCGATACCATCGACATGTATCTAACAACTAGCTTAGCTACAGAAAACAGGCCGAGTCGAATACGATATTCTCTGATCTATATCATGAGGGTGAAAGCGCCAATAAACGCAACCAGAATATAGACTCGCCATCACTCGGCATCTAGTAGCTCATTGCCTAAAACTTGCGTGGCCGGCTTTCATTTCCACCACTGCCTCTTGCCCCGTCCTCCAAAATGCCAGCACGATTCCCAGACAAGACAGTGGCAGCAAACGCGTCCGATTCTTCGTCGGACTCGCTACCCCGAACCTGTTGTCTCCTCGTCGCGAGAAACGGACGGGACGTTTGGACGATTGGATCCAACGTGATCCTCAAGAACAAGGTCCACTACCCGGGCTGCGACGTCGAAGTAGCCAACTTGGATTTCGTGTCGGAACAGATCGAGACTCCCGTCTCCAAGATTTTGTACTCTTGGCGTGAGTCGGACCGCCTCTACACTCTTCAGGAGCGCGTGGCCGGTGTGCCGCTCGCCGACGCCCTGCCGCGTCTGTCCCAGAAGGACCTCGCTCGCATTGGCGAGCAGTTAGGCTCATTCCTTGCCCAGCTTCGCGGCATCACTAACCAGACAATGCAGATGCTGGACGGCCGAACTGTCATCGATCGTCGTCTGCTGAAACCCTTGGCCGCCGCATCCGAGCGCGAGCAGGAGCCCAAGGTGATCAGTACCGACGAGGGGGTGGCCGAGGCTCTCGCGCTTCGCATCCGGGGCCACGTTGACGAGACGACGCTCGCCCGGCTGATGGCGCGGATGCCGACCGCCACACCATTCACTTTCAGCCACTCGGACCTTCACGAGGGCAACGTCATGGTCAGCGACGGGCAGTTTACAGGCTTGATTGATTGGGAGCTCGCGGGCTTCTACCCAGTCTGGTGGGAGACAGTGAATGCCACCCCGGTGCTCGACGGCCATCTGCCGGAGGAGCTTGGTCACCCTGACGCGCTGAAGTGGTTTGATGTGTACCACGCTGTGCGTGATGCGCCTGAAAGTCATGAGACTGTGGAAAAGCTGCAAGAGTATCTTGGTTCCTGAGTTTGTGGTGACTAGGTTCTTTCAGGTTCGTAAAACATGAAAGTTCATCCAATCCGATGATACCTAGCGGCGAACAGGAGGCCACTCGGGTGCCTTAGCACTTGGTAAGTAGAGAGGGGGTTCAATCCTATCTCGTTGAACCTTTGTCTTCTATGCTGCTAGCCTTGGATCCCTCCACAAACATCATCATGCCAGACGTATGTATTCGCCGTTGTACATCAGATATCTACCGGTAGTATCCTCTCAATTAACATTTCATGCTGCTCACTCACTGACCTGCTCCATAATGGCCTAACTCAAGTTTAGTGACGCCCAGATGACTTCATTTCACTTTTAATGATCTCCTCCACAATATCCAACCTCATCATCTTTTTCAGAATGCTATCCATTATACTACAAGGCATCATACTCGCCAGTCGTGCCCAAAGCGCGGTATCTCCTCTCCAGATGAACACTGGTGGGTTGCGCTTCATCAAGTCTCCCACGACTGCCTTCGCCCAGTTTTCCGCCGTCATGCCTCTGCCGTCAAACTGCGCCTGGCTCATAATGTCCTCCACCACCTCACGGGCGGGCTCGTACAGGGACCCTTCAGGGAGCTGCAGCCGCTTTCCCTCGACGTTATTCGTGTTGCTATTCCGGATGAAGTTGGTTCGGACCATGGCCGTCTTGAGCTCGACGACGTGGATGCCGAATGGCGCTAGCTCCAGGCGCATGCCGTCAGACAGCCGAGCGAAGGCGGCCTTTGAGGCACTGTAGAGGCTTTGGAACGGCATCGCGCTAACGGACCCCACAGAGGTATGGTTCACTATCATGGGAGTTGCAGGGCCATTTGCAGTACGCGAGGACGTTGAAGAGGCTGACTTCATCAGCAGAGGCAAGAAAGCCTGGGTGACGGCGAGCTGGGCCCATACATTGAGATCGAAGAGCGTCTTCGCTGAGTCTATCGAAGCGTCTGAGATGGGCGCTGTGTAATGTCCCCCGGCATTGTTAATGAGGATGTCTATCCCCTCCGAGACTGCAGCGTGGGGTGAAGATGGTCTTGTGGAGAGATTCTCCGTCAGAGTTTCGACGGCAGATCCGATGGAAGCTGCTGATGTTATGTCCAAACTCAAGGTTTTAATGCCCTGCAGGGCGAGCGAGGATAAGCTGGAGGGATTCCGCGCCGTGGCGTACACAAGATGCCCAGCAGCATGGAAAGCCTGGGCCAGAGCCGCGCCCATCCCACCCGGGGAGCAACCGGTAATCAGCACTGTGAGTTGTCCGTGGGACGGCATAATTTTGGCAACGCGACGGCCTCTCTTTACCCCTTCTGCCGACCCGTTCCCCTTCCTGAAGGAAGTCAAGGGATGTACAGATAGTAAATGGTCTAGAAGGATGTGGCAATCCAGCGTGGGGTACAAGTATGACGAGAAAAAGCAGCGCTAGTGATTGGTATTGGTATACCAGTGGATGAGATGTGCGGATGTAAGAATAACACAGAAAGAGGGAATTTATATGTCAGTCTCACGAGGGAGCGTGCCATCCTCCTACTCCGTCCGAAAGGGGGCAATGCTGATTTGGCGTGTGGATTTGCGGACTTGCGGACTTTACAAGGTTGACTTTTGCGTGGTAGAAATCATACTTACTACCCATATGTAAAGTAATATATCAAATGTCATCTTTGCGTCCAAAATACATTGAACCCGTATAATTCGTAGCTTTCTATGTATCTTTGCGAGTGAAACATCCAAAATCGAACGCCCTCAATCGATATTCTGGCGACTTGGAAATCGCCCAGAGCCTATAATGGGTCCGTGCGCGGCGCTCTGGAAGAAGCTGAACATACTTCGTGATCCGCATCGTCAATCCCAAACTCCGCAGCTCCGATCTCTGTCATGTTTCTTTACCAGGCGCAATATCCAGGGCTTGGAGCTATATCCTCTGCCTGTGTGTAATTTGGGACATTATTTATAATCTCATTGATTGCATTATGATTCTCTGAAAACATTGAGTTACATACATTGAGAGCTCCAAGGTCTTATAGTTAGAGGCTACCAAGACATGACAGGAATTGAGACAGGACCAACAGGCGCCGAGGAAGCCCCAATATTTGCCTGGTGCATTGTCCTAGGGCCATATGAGTCTGGGTAGTCAATAGCAGTGTGAAAGCATTGCCAATTTGCCCTGTTGGGAACAATGTCAGCCACCATCTGCAAGTCCACTTGCGAACAACACTAAACACGCATGCAGGAACTGACTCACCACATGACAATGTCGCCTTCCTCAAGGCTCGGCAAAATGATATACTCTGGTTTCAAGATTCGCTCCTGGAGAGGCTTCAACCATCGTCGAATCTCGGCAACGTCGTCTACAATCTTGGGCTCGTCTTTCTCCGAAGCTCTCAGGAATAGTCTGCGGGCGCAGATCCCGTGCACCATAAAGGACTTCTCACCAGTCACTGGGTTAACCCAGACCATCGGGTACCGTTTGACTTTGGTTGGGTCCCATTCCCCAAGGTCCTCCAGAGCTTTCTCGCGCCCCTCGGAGACGACGCCTAGCCCGTTGGAATTGCCGCGGCAGCTGCCCATCCACTGGTACGGGTGTGGCGCATACTCAACCCAACTGTGGTCGACGACGTTTCTCTCGTCTGTTGTCATGAGCTCATATGTCTGTACGTTACTGAAGAATGCTGTCAAGCCAGGCTCCACCTCCATAGTTTGACCAGAGCCATCGTCCCAATGCACAGTGACTTTCGGGTAAGTCGGCCGCTTGATGCAACGAAGTGTCGTGAACCATGCTGGGTCTCGTTCGTACCTATCAACCAGTAAGGTGAGTAACGTGACAAATTGTTTGTTCTAGGCAAACTCATTGGATAACGCAAATCAAGTGGCAGTTCTGGTCACGTCGATGGTGCATGACTGGGTAAAAGCACTCACAATGGCGCGTCTATATGCCACCGTTGAAAGCGAGTGTGCCCGCACTCAAAATCTTCTTGTGGGAGTTCAGTCGCATGCCAATCATGGCTCAGAGGCTTATTGACAGTCTTATTCTTGATGCCATAGTGGTCGCTACCCTGGTAACCCTTTCCGATAAGGCGCACATTCTCAGCACCTGGAATGCCGATTACATCACGGCTTTTCTATTCTTCTTTTAGTCCAGTCTTGAGCCAATGTACGTGGAAGACACCTACAGATAGCAGGCCCCCGAACTTGTTAAATGACTGGACAGAACCATGAGAGTGAACTTGAGGAGCTTCAGGATCAAACCGTGTGACTAATTCCCATTGCTTAGCTGGCAGGAGATCTTTCTGGCCCCGTACAACGACCACTTTATTCACCCAGATTGCATCCTTCAGAGCTTGCACCTCATCATCTGTGACCATTAGCAATTTTCCCTAGTTTACCCTTTCAAAGTTTATTGTTGGGATACGCACTACTTATGTTGTTGAGATCAATACCGTCAATAACAGCCCCGAAATTTGCCTTCTTGCCACTCTCTTTCGGCAATGTTGTTATCTCAAGAGATGAAACGTTTGCTCCTGCTATCGAGCCCATGATCTAGCTTTCACGCCGTATTTCTGGTGAAATACAATACATAAATTCAATAATGATGCCTTTATGCTATTTTATAACATTTCTTATCTTTGCAGCCGTGTTAAGAAATAGAACAGGGAAGAAGTATCTCTCATACGGTTGGCGCCTGTCTTGGATTGTGGATACATTCCGGGGTTATCCGCACCTCGGCCGAACCTTGATAAGGGAGTTGGCCAATGACGGCGACACTGCAAGGCGGCACCAATGACCTGAATGACAGGAGAAGAATCCTGCCTGCTGCATGCAATGCACCTCTTCCTCTCAGAAGTTAATGCAACGAATACGATCGCAATGACTTGCCGAACACTGCTCCCGCTCCTAGCTTGTTTGCCTGTTGCGCTGGCGCATCAAGTTCACGCTCGGTCGCAGACACCTTTAGCGGACCCGAAGCTCACAATCAATGGCATCCCGTATAGTACTCGAGCTTATTGGATGAGAAAGGCCAACGAGGCTCTTTTCGATGTCCTTGGTGACCCGTGCCCCTTTGCGGCATTTGGCACAGTCATTGTCAACCATACGGATGTAAGTGGGCCGGGCCAACTGGTCTGTATAGGGGCCAATTCGAACAGGATTACTGGCAATCCTTCACTTCACGGTGCGTGTTTTGACTCTCAGCTTGTGTTGTAGGATTGCAACTAATGGGAATGCAGGGGAAATGGCTGCCATCCAGAACTGCAGCCAGATCCTAACAGATTCCTCCGGGCCTTATAATATGAGCGCGAGTGAAGCCCTTGATGCATTTTCTTCATTATCATTGTACACAAACGCTGAGAGCTGTCCAATGTGTGCATCGGCGATACAATGGGCTGGTTTCAAGGAGTACATATATGGAACATCTATCAACGAACTCATCGGAAAAGGATGGGGCCAGATCCGGATTTCATCCATGGAGGTCTTTCGCCAGTCATTCGACATGGGAACGACAACAAGGCTCATTGGGGAGGTCTTGTCCAACGAGACAAACCCGTATTTTCTGTGGCAATATGATCCTGACTATCCTTGCCCTAAGGGTTGCAGCCGATCAGAGGGGTCTTGTACTACGGCAGCTTAGGGCAACAGACACGTTTCGTGCCAAAATAGGGCGATATCAGTTTAGTATCATTTGAAGGGCCCTAAACAACCCCATACTATAATATACTCACATCAATTAATGCCTCACATAGAATACAGGAGAGAATAAATCAACTATGCCCCCATAAAATTTAGAATTGGAAACAATAACATACCAAGTTCAGTACGTATCCGCTTCTGCCTAGCGTCATCGTCTTGTTATCTCGATATAAGAGCCTTCTGTTATCATAGCTACCACGATCCAATGGTCTTTCAGGTTCGACGAAATCTGCTTAGACCGGTCCTTCTACTCCTGCAAAAGCTGTGGAGTTGTCGCTTGTCTTATGTTTCTCCTAGAAAGTCTTGTAGTATATACCCTATCATTTGCCGTGGAAGCTTCATCTTTGACTTTTAGGTACTTTTGTGTAGGCCCTGGATGACTGTATCCTTGCATGGCTGATTAAAGAACGCAATGCGGGACCTCTCGTCCCACTTGTCGTTCTCGACTTCTGGGGCTTGACATGGTAGAATGTGCTCTTGAACCGGCCATCGGACCAGATCATAAGCAGATCGCCGATGTTGCAGATTATGGTGCCTGGCTCGAACTCAACCTTGGTCCACGCCTCACGCTGTAGCCCATTGCGTGATAACTTCTCGTACAGGGCAAACTAAAAAGCCTGATTGACCCTGTCGCTGGAAGAATAAGGATAAGAAACCCCAGTCTGCATGAGCATCAGCATGATGATGTACTTGGGCCATCATTCGGCGTTTCGAAGTATTACGACAACAGCAACCTCAATACGGATTGTGAATTTAGTCTGGTCGTGGCATTACCTTAACGAAATAACTTAGTGATCAGGAAACCCAAGCCCTCTGGCCAAGCAAATAAACAGCTTCTTGGAAATGCCTTGTACCAAGTGCATAGCCCAATCTATTGGGTTTGAACGTGGGCAAATCATCGTTCCTGACTCACAGATCCTTCGTTTTCTCCCCAACCTGTATTTGATATGACTCCTTTGATCAACAGCACCGTTCGATGGCCGAATCTGCGATTTGAACTCGTATCCAACGTTGTGGGCATTCCAACGGGCACCTTTCTTCACTATTCCTCGTAGATGGAAAAAAGATTCTGATATTGAGCTCGGGCTGGTGAGACGTGGTATAGAATTGTGGCTGAGAAATTGTGGCTAGACTTTTTCGTGCTTTACTTATTTAATTTCCTTCTTTTCCGTAGAATTTAATACACCATCGCACTTTTTACCTTTAATTTACGACTATTCGGTTTGGCGACCGTCGAATTATACGTTTGTTCTAGCCACACAAACAATATACGTTCGATCCGTCGACACTGACGAGGAGGACTGCGTTGGCTGAGGTTGTGTTACTTAGGGAATATGGCCCAGGAGCACCACTCCAGTCCATTACCAAAATTCGTCATAACTTTCTGTGGTTGCCTCAGTCTGCTATTAAGGCTACATTTAGCATTTAAGCGAAGAGCTTACGCTATTATCGAAGGTCATGGTTTATCATAGGCAATCCGATCGAGCGGCCGAGAAATATTCCCCGCCTCATCGTAGGAAAGCAAGCTGTTGCAAATGGAAAAGCTAACACGCGTCTAGTGTTTGACCTAAGATATAAAGCTGTAGCAATCTCCCAATAGGAGATAAAGTACTTGTACTTGTGCATATGGAACAATCAGCTCATTGTGTAAGGAAACTCTCATGAACCGAATTTTCTTCCCTCCCGGCCATAGTTGCTAGGGAGTACTACGGCGCCCAAAACCTCACGGGGGGGGTTTTTTTTGGGGGGTTTTTTTTTTTGGACATCTCCATGCCTAGTAGACAAATTTTGCATGCAATATCTACAACCAAAAGGAAGCGCTCAAAAAACTATGGACCAGAAGCACTGCGTGATTCCTTCGCCACCGAGAACCCTGCTTCAACCTTTCTGTCGTTGTCGCTCGTAGTCTGCTGGCTTTCTGCGTCTGCCTCGATGCTATCTATATACGGGTGCCCATGTATTACTTTTGGAATCAAAGTAGCGCGGTGAGGGGACACGAGGTTGAGCATATAGTATACCAAAATCGATGTCACAAAGCCATATATCCAATTGAAATCGAAGAGATGCTGAAGTCCTTCGCTAATAGTGACATTTTGTGGTGTAACTTTGTGCCCTAGAGCTGGAAGCAACGGGCAGATGACCACTAACGTTGTAAGCAATGCTCTCCAATTGGCACCCCAACCGAAGCGGTAAATGCCATGGGGATCGTAAAGAGCAGGGACATCATATCTGCGGTGTTTGACGAGCCAGTAGTCTGTGGTTAGAATTCCAGCAATCGGTGCCATAAATATGGCATATGCCGACATGAAACTCAAGAAAGCAGTAGCGGAGGCCATGATAATCCAGGGACAAAGTGCCCACCCGCCGATGAAGGCCGCGAAAACGGTGCCTCGACGAATATTGAACCATTTTGGAGATAGTGTTGTAATGTCATTAGCGAAGCTGACAGCGTTGGCGCTAATGTTGACCGATATCTGAGCAAGCAGCCAGATGGCACCACAGAAGAAAGCAGCAGCTCGACCCCCAGGAGAGCCTTGCCAGCGGTTGACAATATCCAGCGGGTTCCACAAGGCTTCCCCATAGACTTCTTTTGCAGCACTAGCACTAATAACGCCAAAAACTCCGACTAGTGTTTTCAGCAATGGGATGATGGGAAGTTGCCACCACGGGTCTTTGTTTTTCTTGCTGAAACGGGAGAAGTCAGAGATATTTACAGCCAAGGTACTATACCCTCCTGTGACAGAGGTCTGCTGCCTTGGTTAGCACTTGACAAAGGAAGTTGGCTCAGCAAGATCTCACCTACCAAGCTGGAAAGCCAAAGCCATGATCTGGCAGTGCCGGAGACAGAAGCGGGAGTATTGAAGAAACTAGCCGAATTACTGCCTGCCTTGACAGAGATCCAGACAACCATGGCCAGAGCCATTGGGGGGACTAAAACAGACTTGACACTGAATAGGTACTGCAATTTGTGCGTAGGAATTAGAAGGAGAGGGAATTGGAGGAGCCAATACAGTAGATATGACACCATCCCCTGGCTTGTGATGCCCGCCGACTCTGGGAGATGGTTTGGAAGTGTCTGAAAACTGGGCCAGATGGCAGTGATAATCTAGGAAACGGTATTGTTAGATCGTGCAACAATGAGGAAAGGACTTGTTACACACAGCTGCAACGCAGTCACCTCCACCGGCACTTTGTACACCGAACCAGAACAGAGCCAGGATACCACGGCTGATGATACAGAAGTAGCTCAGCCAATACCCGTAACTAGCCCGAGCTGCAATAGGAAATGGAATGTGCAAATCAGAGCCCATGCACCCGTTCAATACCGTTGGTATAGCATTGCATATACCAGCTACGAGGACAATGATGATGGCGTCTGTAGCAGATAGCCCGGTGGCAACAATGGAACTAGCTGCTGCCCAACCTGAAATGGTCACAAGATCAGAGAGCCAATAGGTGAAGAAGGCCCTCTTCGTCCAGGTCCGTTTCTCGGGCGGGACTGGATCTTGGTCGGCATTCGTCCACACATCTGGGGGCGCAATGCTGCTCTCTTGCTTTGGCAACGCCCAACTACTCGGCTGTGTCAAGCGTAAATTTGCCTTGTTCGCGGTGGATGCCAGCCTAATTTGACCTCGCTGGGCAATATGGCTGAAGTCCATGTTCATTATATTGGTGGTTGCCATTAGATAGCCAGCCACAATTGGATTCCGAGGAGCTTGGCATGGGCCGTCTAATAACGAAAATGACGAGTGTATAAGTGTGGGGATGTTGATACTTTTCAAAGAGAAAGGGGAAGCTACGAACTTACCCTGGTTTCTATGTACATCTCGTAGAATGCTATCGCGCCTATGGGATCACTGATAATGCTGACGCGATGCTGATCTGAAAGATAATGTGATGATTGACCGATACCAGCCGGCATGGAGTGGGCTTCCTTCTAAATGGCTGGCTGGCGGCAGAGCCAGTGGAGATAAGCCAGGGGGACTAGTGCTACTGTTACTGTGCTGCCGGCACCACAGGGATCCCGAGTATCGCCAACCCGAAACCCGAAGGCTCCTGTGCGACTTCCGGCAGGACTGGGAAACACCAATCAGTCACCACTCAGGTGCATGCATCGCTATGAGTGTTGCGCGAGGTCGAATGGCTTGTGCATCTTGCACAAAAAGGAAAGTCAAGTGCTCCAAGACAGTACCGTGTGTTCATTGCATCCGAAGGTACGTCTGGGCCGGGCACGATTCGGGGCTAACCCGAGCTAACCTTCGTTCCATTTCTACATCCAGAGGGGAGCAAGACACCTGTGGTATAATATCAAATATCGAATCACCAGTCATCGAACATACTGTCTCGCAGTACTTCCCATCATCCGCGGCACCACTTGATCATGATGAACAACTATCGGCGCTCAGCCGTCGGGTGGCCGAACTCGAAGCCGAGCTCCAGCAGAAAACCTATTCCACACCTGAAGTGGCATCGCATCGGGTCCGAAACCTCGACACAAGCATTAATCGCGAGACTGGAGGCGCAGAGCTGGCTCGCGATGCAGTGGCTGAAGACGCTGCGTCGATCCTGGAATTCCTTGCCTGGGGTCGGAGAAAGAACCCAGAGTATCATGCAGTCGCTTCACCCGAGGCTGCTGTGACGACGGCACAGGCCGGGGAAGTGGTAGCAAATGCCCAAGTTGAACCATCGGCAGCCGACACTGGGTTTCTACAAGATATATCTCATACTTCAGTTCTTCAGCTGCTGTTACCTGACAAGCAGCGAACTTGGGACTTGGTTCTGTGGCATGAGAGATGCTGTAAGTATCAAAGTTCCTTATGGACAGTAAAGCTTCCAAACCCTTGTGTGATTCTGTGATAAACGAAATTTCTGAAAGTATTCGAGCAAGAAGAATTTTAAGGAGAACACCAAAAGAAAGTTGCTAAATGCGCAAATACAGTATTATGGTACCACTGCTCATATTATGCGCCGTCTCTCAGAAAGCAACTAGAAAGCTTTTATAGCAACCACGGCGGCTCCGTCGAAAACCCCGGGGTAAATCTTCAATGGGTCGCATTTCTATTTGCGGTTCTAGCGGGAAGCTTGACGTGCATGCCAAACAACACCGCTGAACAATGGGGCTTCGGTGAGGACGAGCGAGAGACCCTCTCGAAGCGATGGTTTCAAGCGGTTATTTCCTGTCTTAACAAGGCCGATTATGCTGCCAACCATTCAATACTTTCTATCCAGGCAATCGCTACGCTCACCGTATCAGCTCATATGCTGGGCTTCTCCAGCACCCAGTCAATCCATCTCGCTGCAGCAGTCCGGATAGCACAAAGTCTTGGCCTTCATCGTCTAACCTCCGACGCCTCCGGGAGCGAGGTAGAGAAAGAAACCGGGCGGCGGGTCTGGTCCCAACTCTGCAGTCAGGATTGGTTTTCCTTGCCTTTTTCCGAGACATATCTCGTCAACCCCCTTTACTCAAAATCGGAACTCCCGATGAACTGCCATGACGAGGAAGTCCTGCCGCTGCCCGACTTTGTTCCCACCGTCACTGGTTATAGTCGCTTTCTACACTCAATTGCCAGTATCATGCCTCGTTTGCAAGATGGCCTCGTGTCCTCCAATACACTGTTCACAAAGTATGAACAAGTCGTGAAGTGGGATAAGCAGCTCAGGACTCTCGCCACAGCCGGTCGGCCAATCTATCTGTCCGCTGTCCCACTAGACTCACAATGGCCCGTATTCGTCCCTTGGGCCCGCAGGTCACTCGCCATATCCTCATCTCACAAAATAATCATGATACACCGGTCGTTCTTATCCGAGAGCTTTACAAACCCAGCTTTTGGTTTCACCAGACGAACATGCCTTGCCGCCTCGAAGACAATCATCAAAGAGTATAAGTGTGTCGTCGAGGAAAATGGACCAGTTCTTTGGATCCATCAAGCGTTTTCAGTTGCCGCATCCGTAATCTTGATATTGGATGTCTTGCATCGGGAAAACTGTGAGCCAGAATCTATGGAACATCTTCAGCTGGTAAGAGACATAATCGATATACTGAAAAAATGCCGAAATAGCATGATCGCAGTACGAGGGGTGAAGCTTCTATCGGCCCTGCTTGAGGAAAGCTCATCGGCTTCGCTGTATAAGAATTCTAGAAAGAGGCGATCGCAAGGTGACCCTGATGAGACTGACCTCCGACCTTCGAAGCGATTACGCGCCTTCAATGTCCCTGACTTTGTCAAATCATTTTGTGCGGATCCGAAAAATGGCATTCGCCCACCAACGCAGCCTGAAATGAGTCCACACAACTCAGTTCAGCTCCAAACATCTGCGGCCGATTCCTTGTTTGACACTGGTTCATTTGAAGGAGCGACTTTTGAGAATCTTCTATATTTAGCGAACCAGGATCTCTATTCAATCTAGTCAATGCTGATGAACTTGAACAAGCGTCCCATGGCACCAACTACGCCAACCTGGTCTTCTAAAATAGGCTGGTGTCCACTCTTTACTGCTTCCACCCAACAGGTTTCGGAGCCAATGAGTTTAGACAGTTCAGTGCTACGCTCAACGGGGCTTATGATGTCCAAGTCTCCAGCCACGAGCACAGTAGGGCAGTTGATATTGACATATTCAGGGTCCTTATGCGACTCGTCAACAATCATTTCGCAGGTCCAAGCATACGCCTCTGCATTCGAACGCGCAACTGCAGCGTATATTTCTTTACGGAATCGATCATCGACTAAGCGCTTATCAACTGGGGGAAAGTTTGACTTTGAGGCAAGTTCGGCTGCCCACTCAACCCCATTTTGCCGTGTATTAGCTGCCATGTCGAGCATTCTTTGCCGGACTGGGAGGATATGAGAGCCTGAGCGAGCGGCGCCAATGAGGAGAAGTCCAGCCACGAGCGGTGGGAAGGATGCCGCAAGATGCATTGCGATTACGGTTCCGAGTGAATGGCCAACCAGAACGACCTGTCTTACATGAGCGATCTGAACTTGGTAGGCCTCTTGGAAATCACCTATTACCTTGTGTATAATTTCTGCACCCACGGTGCTCGGGGTCAGAAATTTGATGACATGGTACAAGTCCGCGGCGTAGCTTGGTACTGATGGACGGAATGAAGGCGCGGGTGACTTCCCGAAGCCCGGAAAATCGAGAAGAATTACTCTGTAATTCGTAGGGAAATGATGTATAATAGGGGTAAAGGTACTTGAAGAGCCACCCAATCCGTGGAGACATATAAGCAATGGTCCTTGGGAATTACCAGACTCGACATAGTGAAGTTCCGCTCCAGTGGGCGTAGCCAAGGAGCGATACATCATTGTCGGTGTTCACTAGAGTTTTCAAGGCGAACTCTTTTGAAGAGATCTTTGCTTGTCTTACACTAGTCGCAGCCTACGTCCTGAAACAGAGCTGTATTACAATTCCGGATAATCCGTGCAAAACCTGAGGCACCGAAGCTTCGGTCTCCCCAGAGATACTCGTTTGTGGCGCCAAGACAGCTTCGGCCGAAGACCCACCCATCCTATATCTAACACTGCGACCCAATCAGATAGTGGTGTCGACTTGAACTGACGTCGCCACTCAACGGGATTACACGATTTTTCTAAATGATAACTAACACAACACAATTAAGAGTTGAATTTCTGTCTCTGAATAATTCAGATAGGCCAAATCTGCTATTGGGCCATGTCACGAGTTCCAAGTGTCTAATCACCAAATCCTTGGCGTCGCATATGATTTCTGACTCGGCTTGGACCTGTCCCCAATCCTGACTTCGTTATTGACTTGTTGAGAGACGATGGTGATCTCGGTGATCACTACTGCGGAGGTTGAGAGCCCAAGGCTCATCCCCGGGAAACCTCAGATTACGCTTCCGCACGCCGACACCTCAAACGGAAAAGCGGTGCCTATCGAACACAGATCAGACAGCAATGTTGACTTTGGAGCTGAGGTTCACGGGATTGACTTGAACAATTTCACTGACGCAGACTTCAACTTCATTCATGATGCTCTTCACCGACACAAACTTCTCGTCTTCAAGGAACAGCCACAGATGTTGAAACCTCAACAACAATATCGTCTCACCGCAAGGTAGAGCAAAGAACCTGTGTTTCTCTGATACTGCACTAATTTATTGTAGTTTTGATCCCGATGAAAAAACAGGAGGGTTTGCCCACGGCAAAGATCCTTGGGTGAGTATTCATGTAGAAGAGCGACCAACAAGTCAGTGCAGAGAGCGAATAGCTAATATAACACGAATAGCTGACGTCCCACAATGGAGTTGATATTTACGGCATTCCTAAAAGACCAGCGATACCTGTCCAGCCGCAGGTACATATCCTCGGGCGCGGCCATCTGCCCGAAGGCCACTACGGTTTTCCACCTGGCTTCCAGGTCCAGGGAATCAATCATGAGGAGTTCCACCTCCCACCCCACATTCATGTAGACGAACGAGAAAGGGGCGCTAGTCGCTTCTATCAGTGGCACTTCGACGGATCCCTTTACAACATTCCCCCTCCCCGGGTTGGTTGCCTCCTGGCTGTGCGGACCCCCAAGGGCCCAGATGTGACCGTTCGTTGGGATGATGGCACGGGCACGGAGATGACCATGGCTCCAGGAGCAACAGCGATGGTGGCTGGCTCTCGTGCCCTAGCTCTGCTTGATAACGACACTCGAAACTTGGTCATGAATAGCCGTATAGAGTACGCACCCCATGCATTCGTGTGGATGTCTACTGCACACAGTACTCGTCTCGGTCATCTTCTCGAAACAGAAGGCCTTGAAAAGTCCCTGGACCAATTGCCCGCATGGGAACAATCTAAGATATGCATTTACCCGATGGTTTGGACCAACCCTGTGACGGGCGAAAAATCACTACAGGTGCATGGACAAGGTGCGTTCAAGCTGTATCTCAAGGATGCGCCAAATGGCGAAGAGAGAATCGTAGATGACTTGAAAGAGGTTCGGGCCTTCATGCACAAGTAAGTCAGATTGTCTACATGAATTGCGGCTACTAAGGGTTGACATAGGCTGATGCGACCGGCATTGAGTCCCGAGAACATATACGCACACCCCCATGAGGAGCAGGATGTAATTTTGTGGTATAATCGAGCCCTGTGGCATAGTATCGTGAGTATTAAGCAAGCTCAGCTATGACATCAGTAACCAGCTGATCTCTTGAAAGACCGAGTTCCCAAAATCATACGGAGAAAGAATAATGCACCAGTGCAACGTAGCAGCCAGCGACCATCCTGTGCGTTAGGATCCTGACTACGCTATGCAATCATCGATGCCCATTTCTGCATGAGCCACTGAGTGCAGTAGAGCTTCAGGTCCCAACCAGACAATAGGGGCACTGTTTACACTGTTTACACTGTTAATTGACTTACTATGGAAGATAGCTGGGGTTTGTCTGATGAATGAATCATAAATACGATCATGCACAAAGTAGTAATCACAGTATCACCGTTAGAAGAGAGAGTTCAAGTGCGCTCCGTGGATTTAGTATAGCGTAGACTAGCTAACGTAATGTTGACCTCTCAGCAGTAGAGACAGAAACAGCCACGCTGAAAAGGCGTAGTCCATCTGGAAGTACTTCAAACTCGGGCAAGATAACAATAGGCCAGACGCGACAAAGGAAAGGATATCTAGCTATTAGCTCCCACGACTATTTACAACGTCCAGAAATGACTGAAAACAGACCAATTTATGTACTCGACACACGCTCAGTCCGCGCCGAACCGTGAATTCTCGGGCTATAGCCATGTGTGACCATTGCTGACTTAAAAGAAAGCGCCCTGTCAATCAAAGTAGGATCGGGATCGCGAGCGCGGCCCCGGCGAGGACTCCTAGACCTGCGCTCACACCAGGCGCCGCGGCTTGAACTGGACTGGCGGTGATAGCCGCTCCCGCCGTAGTAGATGAGGTGCGAGAGCGGGTAGAGGTAGAGTCATCTCCACTCCTGAAAGTGGTAGATACTGTAGTTGCTGAAGTAGAAGCGGTACGAGTGGTGGCAGAATCATCTCCAGTTCTGGTACGGGTCGAGTCATCTCCTGTTCTGGTACTGGTAGAGTCGTCCCCTGTTCTGGTACGGGTCGAGTCATCTCCTGTTCTGGTACTGGTAGAGTCGTCCCCAGTCCTGGTACGAGTAGAGTCGTCCCCTGTTCTGGTACGGGTCGAGTCATCTCCTGTTCTGGTACTGGTAGAGTCATCCCCTGTCCTGGTACGGCCGGAGTCATCGCCAGTTCGGGTACGAGTAGAGTCATCACCACCTCTGGCAGTGGTTGGAGACCCAGTGACTGTAGCGCCGGCGCTGCCCGTGAGGGTGGTTGTGGCGGGTGAGTTGTAGGCCCACCCACAAGAAGACATCAAATCCGTGACATCTGTTGATGCACCATTAATTCAGCCAGGCTTTTCCAAGTATATTTTTCAAAGGCGGAAGGCATACCGTTATCGTGATCATTGCCGCCACCGTTCTGGAAAACACAAGTGGCGCAGTCGTTCAACAACGCCTGCGCGTTGGCAGTGCCGCAAGCGCAGCTGCGACGAGCATCGTCGCCGTTTGTGGACCCATCACAAGAGCGAGAGAAGCTCACAACCTGCTGGCAACTGGTGTTGCTGCGGCAAGCTGCTGGAAGGTCGTGGTCCTCGACCTTGTCCTTGGCCAAGGCTACAGCACAGAGGCTGAGCAGAGTAAGAGCAGTATGAAATTGCATCTTGCTTAGAGGGGATGAATCTTTGAAGCGATGGTAAAGAGTTATGATCCTGGTAAAGCGAATGTTCTTCGGCGTTGGGATTTACGATATTTCCTCCCAGAAGCTGGGCTTCTTCATCATTAAATACTCCATGGCCAAGGTCCCCGCTGTTGTAAGGTCGTCTTGCGGACCCTGGATTTTCCAAGTCAAGACTTCCCATGCGTGCCCGCAACGAGCTTGTTTCTAAGCCAAACGCGTAATCGCTTTTGAACTAATACCGTTTCTCTACGGCTGAATGTACAATAGCTGGGAATGTTTCGTGACTGTCTGAGCCGACCGCTGCGCACCCGGACGCAAGCAGCGCAATTGCACCGCCGTGCCAAGTAAGCTAGGCCCAAGTCTTCGTGGCAGCGACATGAGGGCGCAAACTGCCACGCGCACGCAAGCCTGTCGAGACCATCGTTGTCGAAGGGTCTAGATCACGATGGCGCTAGACTAACATCGCCCCGTCGAATATACTCCCGTGATGCGCGTGGTGGTCGATCGCTGTGGGGGCGGAAAGGGGAGAAAGGAACCAGACAGGCCAGAAGCAGAGAGAGGCAGGAGCCGTTGAACAGAATTACAAGATGCACATCCATGTAATGCGACACGTACCTTGCGGCAGTCAGTTCCCGAAGCTTAAGTTCAGGGCCACGTTTGGATGGTTTTCCTTTCTCGGCAATCGCCAGCGACGCCGCAAGCTTTGCCCAGCCGCACCGCCAAGAACAATGACACCGCTTGCATTGTGGGGGAGTGGCTTTCTGCAGGGCCATGGTTGGAAGATGAATGTCGTTGTTTGAAGATGACACAGCGCGAGCAGACCTAGTGGCCGTCATTTGAAGCAAGCCTTTCTTGGCCTGCATTGAGATGCGCAACACTCTTCAGCAGTGCTACTCGTATTTCAGAGACATGCCGACTATAGGCTATTAATTGGACGTTGAGGAACACGTAACCCACGGGGCTTGGAACAAAGTAAGGTGACTTGTGCCTGTCATTGTGTAAAGACGCGTTTCTCATTGACCAAATTCGGGAAATCTGCTATTGAGCTGACCTAACCAGCATATACTGCCTTGATGCTCAACAATACTGGGCCCATATTATAGCTAAGAGCAGGACTAAGTGGAGAGATACTGCTCCGAGCCCACTCAGTATCACGGGCAACTATGACGATGGCCCATCATCGGGCGTCTCTCTGTGAAAAAGTTTGTAAATGCAAGGCGACATCGCCACCATGGCGCGGAACTCGAGAAAGTCATGGGAAACTCCCCGGAACCTCTTAAGTCGGAAGTCGGACATGGGAAGAAACGACTTCAGAGCAGGTTTCCTACAGTCTCGACCCAAGGCGCCTTCTGGATGGAAGTGACAGATGAACATCCATAATCCTCAAATTGATGATTCTCGGAAACAAGCCACGGCAAATTCGTCACGGGCGAGAGTATCGAGGTGTGAGGGAAAGCACAAATGTTTATGCGTACAAATTTATAAAGCTCTGACAGTGATATATTAATATCAGTGATCATGTTGAGGTTCGGCTATATTGACTCTATCCAATGACAGAACTGGACTTATGTAAGTCGGACAATACGTTCGATATATATCGACTATCGTCGAAGTCGTTCAGTTTCTGGAGTCATGGGGACCATTTTTCTCAAGCATGGCGCAGGTTGGTGCGCAGGCTGGTGAAGGGAAGGCCCGCAGCAAGCATGTGGTTGATGGATAATAAGACAAGCGTCAAGCTGCATTCCCGCCAGCCATTTGTCTCGGTACGGACCAAGACCCTGATGCTTTTGGAGGATGGTAGTTCTTTAGCATTTCGCCATCAACGCGGTCGGCACCCAAGTTGTCGTGGCGGATGGCTAGAAACCATGGGCAAGTCTGGGGAAAGCGCCTCCGAGGATTGAACTGCAGACGATGTCAATTCGACTCACTCCATCTATGTTGGTGATTTGCCGCGACGTCGCCCCTTGGCGAGCTCTGTCGGCGATCCTCTTCCAAGGGACTTCTCGTGACCAATGCTAGAGTTGCCAACGTGGGGAGGTCAAAAACGGGCACTGCGGTGCGGAGGCGCCAAGGAGGGTGATTTGGGTTCGACTTTTGTGTAATTGGGTATCATCTCGTCTAGTAGCATCTCAAAACAACATACTGGCGACTCGCTTCGAGTCTGCTGACAGATTGTCGCCCTTCTTCTTGGCCACAGCGGCCTGCTCGAAGGTGCGCCGGCTCTTTGGCTCGGCGCGTGCGATGCCCTCCTTCTCCTTCCTAGTGGCAGCTTTGGACTGTATCCCATCGACCATCTTTGCCTTCTCGACGTTGAGGACGAACTCCTTGTTCTCCTTGGTGGTCCTCGAGATCTCGGCCCTCATCCTGCTCGTCCTCTCGGCCGCCTCGGCCGATATCTGCTCCGTCAAATTGTCTGCAAGAAAGTGTTAGCTGTGGGGTTTCCGACATGTGGACGGGACAATGGGGGAAAGGTACGTACTCCACTTGAAGCCCTTGAGGTACAGGAGCGACCATATGTCGTCCCTGTAGAAAGAGCCCTTCTTGCCGCCGATGGGACGAGCGTTCAGCAGGTCCACGGCCTTCTTTGCGTCCTTCTTTTTCACAAACTCGACCCAGCCGTCGGTGTATGTGCGCTTCTTGTTGCCGCCGTTGCGAACGCGGCGCGAGTGGGCAGTGGGGTCCTCAGGGGACAGGAAGATGCGGTTGATAGTGCCGTAGGGCTCGAGGAGAGAACGCAGCTTCTGGGGTTTCATGACTTTGGAAAAGGTGGGAGTTAGTTGGATTCCTAGGTCTGGTCTGGGAGAGAAAGGGGCCAAAGGCGTGAAAGGGGGGGCGACGTACAAGGCGGTACTCTGGAGATGTAGACCACGCCCGACTTCTTGACGGCGGCCTCTGTTGCAACCAGATTCTTCCTGGTCAGAGGTTTGGAGATGTCCGGCAGCTCGTCGGGCTGCAGCTTCTGCTTCTTTGGCGCAGGGCGACCGGCTTCTTGAGCACCCGAGTCCCCGTCTGATTCTGTGCCCTCGCCGCCGTGTTGGCTGTCCAGGGCGCTCGCAGCGTCAGCGTCGCCGTCGCTGAAGTCGTCGTCGTCGTCGTCGTCCAACTTCCGCTTCTTGGCGCCGCCCTTGCGAATCTCTTCCTCCGAGTCGTATCCGCCGCCATCCTCGTCGCTGTCGCCGGCGTCGAGGAAATCGTTGCGTTTTTCAGCGGGCATGGTGGCGGGTGTGGATGCTGGATCGGGCAGCGCGGGCTTTCTTCTCATTCTCTCGCAGCAATCGACCTGGGCTGGTTATCGTGAACCATGCAACCTTTGGTTGTCCGCGGGAGGGAAGGGCGCCAGTGCCAGAAAAATTATAGTGGAGCCGGTGACCAACGGCGTTTGGGTAAAGGTTCCAGCCGGTGGTTCAGTGCTTATCGCGGCCCCTATCAACTAATTATCAGCCTATCGGCGCACCGAGATCGGGCGGCGGGGGAGACCCAGGCCGGGGCCCACGCAGAGGGGCACCATTGGCTAGCAAGGTGCTACAGTAGTTATTTCGTACGGTAACTAGGTTCAGTCCATCCACTGAACAGCTGGAGCTGGGCGGCGAGGGCCCGAGTCGCGGGGCACCTTTGCCCCTCCATGCATGCATGTGGTGCGTACCTAGGTAGGGGTACGCAGCGGGTTGTCCGTTAGTAGGTATATATGTATTGATGGACCGCCAGCTCACGACGTCACTGCACACCCTGACATTTCTGTGAGACACCCGACCTCTCGGCCCTCGCCCCTCGCTCCTCCATAATTCCCTCCCAGACATTACTTGCACGTTACATACCCGGACCGAACCAGAACCTGTGTCGGCACCGAAGCGTCGCACTCGTCGCCTGTACACTAAACGCCCCGAGAGCCCCCAGGATGTCGGTCGAGGTCATAACAACCATCTCCCCCACCACCAACGAGCCCATCGTCACCCGCAATGGCCTCAGCACCTCGGAGCTGGAGCAGCTGCCCGAGACGGCCGCCACAGCTTTCGAGTCCTGGCGGCAGACGCCCTTCACCGACCGCCAGATCATCATCCGCAAGGCCCTGAAGATCCTCGACGGCAAGAAGGATGAGCTGGCCAACGAGCTCACCGTCCAGATGGGCCGTCCCATTCGCTACACCCCCGTCGAGGTCACAACCGCCGTCAAGCGTGGCGACTACCTGGTCAAGATTGCCGAGGACACCCTGAAGGACACGCCCGGCGAGGAAGAAAAGGGCTTCAAGAGATTCATCCGCAAGGTCCCCGTCGGCCCAGTCCTCATTGTCTTTGCTTGGAACGTTAGTCTCGTCCCCGGTCCAGCCCACCTCACCGTATACAACCCCCCCGGGACTAACTCTGCCTACAGTACCCCTATCTGATTCTAGTCAACTCCATAGTCCCTGCCCTGCTCGCGGGAAACACGGTCATCCTCAAGCCCTCGCCCCAGACCCCCACCATTGTCGAGCAGGTCGCAAAGGCCTTCTCCGAGGCCGGTCTGCCCGCCGGTGTCCTGCAGTACTTCCACTGCGGCTCGCCCACCATGATGGAGTCCATTGTCAGGAACCCAAAGATTGCCCTGGTGTGTTTCACTGGGTCCGTTGCTGGGGGCTTGTCCGTGCAGAAGGCCGCGTCCGATCGTATTGTCAACGTCGGTCTCGAGCTTGGTGGAAAGGACCCTGCCTACGTGCGAGGTGATGTCGACATCGCCTGGGCTGCCGAGGAGATTGTCGATGGTTCCATTTTCAACTCGGGCCAGAGCTGCTGTGCCATTGAGCGCGTCTATGTCGACGAGAAGATCCACGACGATTTCGTCAAGGCCGTGCAAAAGGTCCTGGAGGGTTACAAGGTTGGCGACCCCCTGGACAAGGAGACACAGATTGGACCTGTCATCTCCAAGAGGTCCAAGGAGACCATCGAGGGCCACATCAAGGATGCACTCAGCAAGGGTGCCAAGGACGAGACGCCCGAGAACCCGACTTTCAACTCTCTGCCCTCCAAGGGCAACTTTGTCAAGCCTACTCTGCTTACTGGTGTGAATCACACCATGACCGTCATGACTGAGGAGACCTTCGGCCCCGTCATCTCCGTCATGAAGGTTAAGACTGACGATGAGGCCGTCGTGCTGATGAACTCGAGCGAGTTCGGCCTGACGGCAAGCATCTGGACCAAGGACACTGCCAAGGGGTACGAGCTGGCCGAGCGTGTTGAGGCCGGCACCGTTTTCGTGAACCGAGCAGACTTCCCTAGCCCGGTAAGTACCATACCTCTGCACCCTTGCATTCTAACGCATCACTGACGATGTCCCCAGGATCTGGCTTGGACAGGCTGGAAGAACTCGGGCAAGGGCGTCACACTAAGCAAGTTCGGCTTTGACCAATTCGTCAAACTGAAGAGCTACCACCTCAAGGACTACCCCAAATAAGCAAGATATCATATCCCGACCTTACTTCGGCCTTTTCACATGTAAATATCTTCTTGAAACCCATAGCAATAGCTCTGCCTACTCGGTCGCCCTGGCTTTCACCAAATGTCCAGCCCCGCTACGTACTTCTCTAGCGTGAACGTCTTGGCCTCCGGGTTCCGCGGGCAACTCTGTTAGACCCGTGATATGGGCGAGCGCTGATAGGCATTAGTTGCCATAACGGGATAGGCACGAGTGTACCGCGCTTGACAGCACTAACTCCGCCCTGATCTGCCAAATCTTGAGCCGCATTGCTGTCAACCGGTCACCGGCCTTTGAGTTGTTTCCCACATGGCCTGAAATGACGTCCAGTCCACCACCCAATCGGCCGACACAGAAGGCTCTCTCCGGAACGAAACCTGGCTATATCCAGATGCCCCAAGCTACAAAGCGGAAGGACGCCAATCGTAATCCAGGCCCTCAGACTCAGACACCTGGCCCCTCCGACCCTGCTGCCCAGGCTCAATCATACCCTTACAAGGGACCTTACCGTAATTGAGATAAAAGTTATAGCCTATGCATTACCCCAAATCGGCAATTGCATCAACATTATAATCATCACCTTCCGGCATCCCTTTGTCGCATACCTCGCTCGCCTACAGCCAGCCGATTGCAGCACTTTTATGGTCCACAACCCAGCATCGTGACCGACCATTCCGGCACGGAATGACTTGTGATCCCAATAGTGATCCCCGTAGCTACATAGCCCGGGAAACATGGTGAAGAAGTCAGGTTGGCGACGACCCACGACAACAAGTCGAATCGGTCCTTTGGCCCAATGGCAAGGCGTCTGACTACGATGGTTTCCAAGCGATCAATCAGGAGATTCTGGGTTCGACCCCCAGGAGGACCTTTCTTTTTGCAGATTCCCGAAGTACTGTTGTAGGCAAAAAGCCTGCTTCTTAGCAACTGCATTCCCCGAAGAATTTTCTTTCTCAGGGCGTCGCCCGACTCATGTTGTTCTTTTCCTTTTCGTGCCTTGTATTGCGTCGCTGCCAAAAGAATGCATGGAATGCGACATGAAATGCGACATGGGAGTAAATTCTTTAGTAATGGTGCGGAACGGGATGGGTTTTTCGTACTTGCTCACTCTTCCACTTGGTATCAGGCTCTATGTTTTCGATGCTGGGCACCCCATATCTACAGTCGCTCTTTGATCTTGTATTCCCTCTTGCCCACTCTTTGAGCCAAATCTAGTAAGACTTTCCCAGCCCATTCGAAATCGCGCATGTCAAGATATACCTGCGCACTCAGTCTTGCCCATACCTGACCAGCGCTGATGAAGAATGGGATGAACGTTTTGTAGTCTTTGACCAGCACCTCTGACATCCACTGGCACACCACAGAAGCTTCTCCGGTGGGCATTGAAACAGAACTAGAATATCCGGTGCTTGTGGTGGTTGCCGATGAGCTCCTGTTGGATGAGCTGACGTGAATTGGCATGGCAATGTTAACCAAGGCACATTTGGTCAACGTCCTTGTCTTGTTGTCCATGATCTTGGTCCCGACAATCTGCGCGGCTTTCTTGCCTCCCTCTCGAGCGAGCCATTCCGTATACGCCATGATGCGGTCCTCGCCGCCCAACACCTCCTCGCGCCACTTGACTGCATCCTTCGCACACAAGAACGGACTCGCGTCAACGGTACCGACGAACTCGAAATTACTGACGAAAGGGGACTTTGTGGTCGGGGGAAGAGGGTTGAAGCGGGCCCCTGTTTTGGCAACGTAGCCGTGGGACGTCGGAAGGGTGGACGGGACCAGCGCTTGGTTTCTCAATGGCACGTAGAGAATTGCACATCCCCGAGGGGTATGGAGCCATTTGTGACAGTTGGTCGTAAAGAAGTCGGCATCCAGGGCCGTCAGGTCGAGCTTGATCTGCCCAATGCCTTGTGCGCCGTCGACGAGACTGAGCACGCCATACTTCCTGCATTCCCGCGTAATATTTTCGAAAGGGAAAACGACACCGGGTAGGCTAGAAATAGTGTCGTAAAGGCACACCCTGGGCCTCTTTCCTACCGATCTGGAGCTATCAACTGCGTGCCTAAACTTGGCCACGGCTTCGTCGTCCTCGAAAGGATAAGCAATCGTGATCTCTTTGGCCGAGACAAGTCCACTGTTAGAGTCGACGATGTAGTCGATTGTCTTGCCACAGCTGCCGTAGACCGTATTGAAGTAGAGGATCTCGTCCCTCCCGTCATCATTCCAGACTAGGTTACGAAGCACCGTGTTGATTCCGATGGTCGCGTTGGGCACGAAGACCACAGTCTCCGTTGGTGCGTTGAGAAGCTTCGCCACGGCCTCCCTGGACTTGTCCAAGAGCTTCGGCAGGTCATAACGGATGAACTGATCCGGGCGCGCTTCATACAGTTCCTGGTAGTGGCGCAACCGGTTCTGGATATGGCGTGGGATTGTTCCGAATGAGCCTACTCATATAGTTAGGGGAAGTCTCAAAGCACACTGGGGATATGCGAAGACATACCATGATTGAGATTGCGGTAGTCGGAGTCGAATAGGAAGTGCTTTAGCACTTCGGAGCCAAACTCTGGGAGCGAATTGTGTCCGGCGCCATCATGCGAAGAAGCCATGTTTACCACACTGGAAAACACAACATACAAGAGATGGATTTAGCAAAATGAAATGCCAAACGCTGAGTATGATTCTATCTAGGCAAGTCGTCAAGTCTGCTTCGGAAAGATATATCCTATCTAGTGGTGCGGCGCCAGGGCGGACCCCACAACGATGGCCAAGAGCGCATATTGAGTCAAGAGCTAACGACGTAGCCGGCCATCGGAGCCGGATCTAGTGTAAATTCGCTGTGACGCCCTCCGGTGACATGAAAGGCGTTTCCACCGCGGATGTTTTGCCTGGCTTATTACGTCCACGACGGCTCGACATCGTGATGAGACTTAGTCGTACCTGTTGTTGTGACTTTAGGATACTGGTCACCCAGGGGTTGTTTCGTAACGAACCCATCGCATAGTATGGGCATAGGCGCGATCTGTTAGTGATGCACAGGGCAATATGCTGTCGGTCTACGAGAGGTGGTAGACCAATATTCTGTGCTCGTGCGCACGAATGGAGCCATACGTTCGCGAAATAAGATGCATTGAGAGCCGGCTACTGATAAAATCGGAAAGACACTCTGCATTGAGTCGGTTTATATTCATGGCCCTGTGATTAACTGTCGTTCCTGCATAGATTGACTTGCCAGGAACACCGGCAACTTTCTGAAGCCACGTCAAGAGTACATTGCCAATTTCCACAATGGTCATCTCAAAGATTAAGATAGCCTAGCTCATCTGGCCCGCAAGCCTCCTATCAAGTTCCTAGCACTCTATGCGTCATGTCTTCAATTCACTGCAAGATTCGATGAGCTTCAACTCGGACCGTGAACTGGAAGTCCGTGCCTGGCAGATGGGCGCTGAGAACAACGCCACCATCCTGGTTCAGGAACCAGCCCAGTCGTCCCTTGTCGCGAATGGACCACTCATGCCGGACCCAGGCGTGGCGGCACCAGTGCTGTCGGTCAACTTCCGGCTTGCCCGCTAGATGTTCCTGGTCGTGAGGCTTTGCTGCGAGAGCGGGAAATCGCTTTGCCACCCAGCGTCTGAAGTAAAGAAGCGCGTATGTATTGGCCTTGTTGAGATCAAAAGTGGTCTCGCGGATCTCTCGGAACGGGGAGTCGGTGTTCTTCTCGAGCTTGATAATGTAGATTGGGTACCCGTGCCAAGCTCGTTCGCCTCCCTTGCGGTCCAGAGCGGTCTGGAAGACGTTCAAGGCGGCATCGCGCTCGCCAGCGAGGACCGACTCGAAAAGATCGTCGGGGTACGTGATGCCAAGATACTCATCAGGCTGTCGGATTAGTTCCGTGGCCTTGGTCACATTCCAAACCCAACGGTTGCCAAGCTCGGCCGGAGGAAAATCCGGCTGGAAGGGGTTACTGACTGCTTGGGTATGAGGTGACGGGTTGTGATCGAGTTTCTGCTCCGGTGTCTCCTGGGAATGCAGCTGGATCTGATGGTTCACTTCCTGGGATTGATGAGTCTCGGGCGCGAGAGACTGAGGGTCCCGTGTAGGAAGTGCGTAACCTGAGAACGCATTCGGAGGAGCCGACCATTGCTGGGACAGACAAATGTCTTGGCTCGCCGTCTTTCCAATGTGCTTCGAATTCAGTCGCGGCTTCTTGGTTGATGATTGGGAAGGAGGTGGTGTAGTTTTGGTGGCGCCAAGAGGTCGCTTGCCCTTCGGAGACATCTTGCGCTGGCTGGACGTGACAGGCAACGTTGGATTCGGGAGACTATCATTGCGCAGACGCTGTGCGGCACCTGTATGGTCCTTTGAGCCTCGAGCAATGATTTCGTCGTCGTCAACTTCCATCTTCATCCAGTCACTGTTGGCCGTGGACATTTTGCGGTCAGCCTTTGGAGCGCGGATATTCACCTTGCCGGTACTCTTGCGTGTTTTGCCGCTGGCAGCTGAGACGTTACCTGGGACACGCATCTCCTGCTTGAGGTGCTTCGACGGGGCGTTTTCACTCATCGTCGCACTATTCGTAGTCGGACAATCAGTATTACGCAAAACCGAAACGGCTGGAAATTTAGTCCGGGAAGAGATGGAAAAATAGCGTACCGCAGTAGGGAAGGAGTAGCCGACTTGAAGAGGCCAAGGTGAATGTTTTGATGATAAAAGTTCGGTTGTTGGGGGTCAATAAATATTCACTTCAAGAACTCAGGTGAATATTGGCAACCTAAAGTTCTGCATCGTAAGATTGAAACGGAGTAGTGCCACAACTTCCAGGACCGCGTAATAACGGAATAGGCTTGGTCTCTTTGACACAATGAATTGGCATAACCAGCGTGCTGGAGATCGTATCAGGGTCACCGTTGCCTATGGTTGCCACAGCAGCATAGTAGCTCTACCTATGTTGCGATATTGGGCTCATCTGAGAAGCCCCAGGAACATCCAACCAGTCATGAGCATGGAGGGTGCTACTTGTTGGCTCAAACGGCTGACCTGGGAGAGTGTTCAGGGTCAGCATGATATCTGTACCTGATGTAACAGTGGCAATGTACTCTCCCGTCGTCCCTCCAGCGACATACCGGTTGGGAAACCAGCTTGAAAATAGCAACAATATTATCGTATCCTTTCGCTTGTCCACCGAGTAGCAGAGGGCCAGTCCGACAGTCTATGGAACGCCAAATGGTCATGGAGCCGAACCGCATAGTTTCTATAAAGGTGGCGTCCTGCTTCAGAAGCCTGAGGCAAAGACGTGTGCTGGACGTCAAATTCAAGGTAGCGTCGGCTCTCTTGTTCTGTCCAGCCAACTGAGGTAGCTTGACTTCGGTCTGGCGATGTCTAGACTACTCTAACTTCTAGAAATCTGCAAGATGGGCAGAAGCTTGTTTAAAGCGAAGGAACGACGAAACAAGGACCAAGGTACCGCAAAAGGCATGGCGTAAGGTCCATGTCCCTTTCAACAAAGGAAACGGCACGCATTTCGTTCGGCATTCTCACTTTGTCCGTAAGTAGTGTAGATCGAGATGATTTTGAGCTGCTCTCACAGCTTCTATCTCTGCCGATAATATCAAAATAGCGTGCTACGCCTTGCATCACCGACCGCACTCCTATTCACCATCTCGTGGGAAAATCTTCGCCCCTCTCCTTGCTCGGCAGCTCCCCACTGTTCGACGTGCCGCTTCAATAAATTGTAGACACCTACAGCACACATCAGTTTGGCATTCGCTTTGCTACACACCTGGGTATACGTCATAACCTTGGCCACTTGGGTGTTGCATGGCACTTTCAGATCGGATGTAGCTCATCTAAATTTGCCATTGCAAATCAACAAATATTGTTAATCATGCAAGTCCAAACCTGCCCAGTCATACACGATACAAAATGGACATGTCTCCATGCTTTGGTGGCAAACACTCTATGCATTTTGAATGCCTTATAGGATTGCGGTTCACGTGAATACCGTATCTCACATTACCAGCACGCTAGCTGGAATGGGTCCTTAAGTACCTACATCGGGTAGGTAAACTTGGGGCGTAGGCAAAGAGTAACGAAACGCTGCAATTTTCCAGCCCCACCACGCCTATCCCCGCCTTCCGGAAGCGGCACCACGTCTGTTTTCCAGGCTCTAACTAACTTGGTGCTTCAGGCCGCTGGGTATTCGCTCGTCCTCCATGCGAACGGGCAAGAACTACACGTCGGTGAATCGAAGATGTTCAAGAAGAAGCCTGACATTAAGAATCTGTCGCCGCTGCGGTCTTCAGACCGTCGCAAGCTCGCAGACCAGATCATCCACGACTACGCCATCTCCGTCCCTGAGCAGCAGGCACAGGCACAGGCACAGGCACAGGCCGGCGACGATGCATCAACCCCTCAAGTGACGTTATCATCGCTTCGGACTTCCCTGCTGCCCGAGTCAACGTCTAGCGCTCGCTTCACCACGACGTCTGGCCCGAATCTTGCACCCGTCAGCGGGACCATCTATGTTGGCACGCATCCAGGCCAGGATGAGAGGATCCTGTGGTTTCAGACGGGCAAGAACCCCCGACTGATTCCCACCGTCTACACGTTATGGCAGAACCCCGGCGTGCTGCCACTGTTGCACACCCCTGACTTCGTGGTGGATGAGAAACTAACGCATGGCTCCGACCTGATGATTCCTGGCCTTGTGAAGGCGAAGGGAACGCAATGGGACCAGAGGGCTGCCACTGGCGCCGTGGTTGCAGTCGCAGGCATACGGAAAGACACTGTTCCCCTTTGGGTCGGCACTTGTGAAGTGGATTTGCGCAACCTTCCAAACGATCTTCGTGGCCAGAAAGGTGTCGCCGTCAAAGGCCTTCACTGGGCAGGGGATGAGGCCTGGGGTTGGAAACCACTGGGTAGTGGGGGCAGGGAGGCACCAGATGGCATTGAAGGCTGGCAAGGTCTGACGCATGATATAACGGCTGCCGTTGATCAGACTATTCTTGCAGACGATCGCGACGAAGGCCAGGGCGGTGCCGCCTTGGACCAGTCTTCGACCGGCCCAGGACCCGAAGGAAACGATCAGATTGTCGACCTGGAGGACCTGGAACCAACGACGAAAGAAGTTGATGCTGCCTTTCACCAAGCCTTCCTTTTCGCAGTGCACAAGGCGAAAGCTAGTAATCCGGCGCCGCACCATGGTTTCGACTTTCCCATCCAACCATCTTATCTCATATCCAACATGATTCAACCGAACCTGAGGTTTCAGAACCAGCACTATAACATCAAGAAGTCGTCCTGGAAGAACGTGAAGAAGTTTATAAAGCACCTGGACAAGACTGGGCTGCTGAAGTCAAAAGACCGTAGTGGAGGAGAGACGGTGATTCTCGACATTGACTTTGACGATGCCCAAGTCACCGGTTTCAGGCCGTACACCCTGCCAAAACCAAAAGCCACTGCGTCTGACTCGGGTGCGGACAAAGCTCGTGCCAGCGATGCTTCATCATCCAGTGACCCATCCATAGGGCAGAAGGTGACCATCCAAACCGTATATCGTGCCTCGTCAAAACTGGTGCCAACCCTCCTCCCGTCAAAGACAGAATTCTACAGCGCTCAGCAGATTTCTGCTGCTCTGAAATCATATATCGAAGCCCACCCAGACCTAGGTGGACAAGGCACGTCTAGCATCAAGCTGGACCCATTCATTGCGAATAGCATCCTAGGGTCAAACCCTTCTCAAGACGACAGCAAACCGCTTGCAGCAGGTCGCATCGCACGAGGCGCCTTGCAAAGGCGCGTTTTGGAAGATACTCACCTCTGCCAACCATATCATATGATTGTACGATCGTCAGCTACATCCGATGCGAAGCCCAAGGCCGGCCCGGCACCCCAAATTCATCTTACCATCGAAAAGCGGACGGGCACGAAGGTGGTCACCAAGGTATCGAACCTGGAGCCTTTCTTTATAGACCCTCAGGTTCTGGCTCCTGAGCTCCAGAAGAAGTGTGCTGGGTCTGCGAGTGTAGGCCAGATCTCAGGAGGGAAGCCTGGCTTGATGGAGGTAGTGGTTCAAGGCGACCAACGCAAGGTTCTTATTAGCGACGTCCTAGCCAAAAGAGGGATCGATGCCAAGTGGGTGGATATAACTGATAAGACCAAACCAAAGAAGAAGTAACCAGGCCAATCTAGGCGGGAGAATTCACCACACGAAGACCACCCCAGTAACTTGAGAGCATTTCACTGAAGCCACAAGGTAGAACAACAGAAGCCCTAGGGTTCAGCATATTGGCACCACCAGCGCATTGCCATATTGACTGTGAGACACAAAGGCGGTGCAATCTTTGATAGTTGCTCTTCCCAACTACTAAGACCGCAGAACTTTACCCGTCACAACCAATTCGCCATTCCAGGAAAGGAAATGTCCTGCGCAGTGACGCACCCGAGGCTGAAGTGAGCCGCCGGAGAATGCCCTTTGGGGGTTTAGCGCATGCGAAGGAACCCTTGCAGCGAACTAAGTTGACATACAGCAGATGCGAGCAATCCAGAAAACCTGCCAGACTGCCATCTCCAAGTGGAGGGGAAAGGGTCGCGGAAGGACATACCCCAGATCTGCATGCGGGGCGACAGAAGCCAAGCGGCCTATCGGCAGCATTCAAGAAGCTGAACCCCTGCCAACCAGCCCCTGTTAATTAATTTTTGGGTTCGCGGTCCGGCTGTAGTCTCGATGCGCATTTTCTACTTCCGTCACGAAAACGCTGACGAGTAATATCGTGCCGCCTGTTGTTGCCCAGCCTGTCTGCTGAGCCCCTGGAAACGGAGAATCTCTGCCCTACCAAGACCTGTGCAGCTGATGTGCCGATAGCCAAGAGGGGTCAGGATCACAATCAACATCTGTCATGAAAGCGGCAAGGGATTCATCTTGGCAGATGGCCCGCGCCTCCGCGGTTGGCCATATGGGACATCGCATGACGAGATGATCTCCGCCAGATCTTGAATTGCTACTTTAGACGAGTGGATACCAGAGAATATCCCCGCAGTCGTGACTGGTGTCGAATGAACCCAGCCGTATAAGATGGATGGGAGGCAAGCTCCCGTATGGTTGCAAACATCAGGCGCACTCTGACTCGGCTCAAGGAAAGATTGGATGCTTGACAGGATGATTTCGACAGCTCTTGCACTGCTCTCCGGGGCTTCGTTGGCACTTGGTCAAACCACAACGTGGGCCGCTGCTTATGAAAAGGCTAACAGTGCTCTGGCCAAGCTATCGACGAATGACAAGATCAATATCGTTTCAGGTATTGGGTGGAATAAAGGCCCATGTGTCGGAAATACTGCTGCGATTAGCTCGATTGGCTATCCGCAACTTTGCTTGCAGGATGGTCCACTTGGAATTCGGTACGGCACCAGCGTCACGGCGTTCACTCCCGGAATTCAAGCTGCCTCAACATGGGATCGTGCATTAATCAAAGAGCGAGGCCAGTTCATGGGTGCAGAGGCAAAAGGTTGTGGGATCCATGTTCTCCTTGGGCCCGTCTCTGGACCCCTTGGAAAGGTCCCTACTGGTGGAAGGAACTGGGAAGGCTTCGGCGCGGATCCCTACCTGGCCGGCATCGCCATGGCTGATACCATCAGTGGCATGCAAGCCAGCGGTGTGCAAGCGACCGCCAAACACTATATCGGCAATGAACAGGAGCTTAATCGCGAAACAATGAGCTCGAACATAGATGACCGCACCATGCACGAGCTTTATCTTTGGCCCTTCGCCGATGCTGTTCAAGCAAATGTCGCGTCAGTTATGTGCAGCTACAACAAGCTGAATAGCACTTGGGCCTGCGAGAACGACAAGATAATCAACCAGCTGCTCAAGAAGGAGCTTGGATTCCAGGGATATGTTATGACAGATTGGAACGCTCAACACACCACCCAGCAAAGTGCCAACGCTGGCCTGGACATGACTATGCCAGGATCGGACTATAACGGCGGCACCGTTCTCTGGGGTTCGAAACTGGCCAGTGCCGTGAGCAGTGGACAAGTTCAACAATCTCGTGTAGACGATATGGTCCGTCGTATTCTTGCTGCATGGTACCTTACAGGCCAGAGCAGTGGTTACCCAGCCATCAACATCAAGGCGAACGTCCAAGGTACGCACAAGACCAACGTGCGCAGCGTTGGCCGGGATGGTATTGTTCTTCTCAAGAATGATGGCGGCGCCTTGCCTCTGAAAAAGCCTGCAAAGCTCGCTCTTGTGGGCTCTGCGGCAGTCGTAAATCCGAAGGGCATGAACGCCTGCACAGATCAAGGCTGCAATGATGGTGCACTGGGAATGGGCTGGGGATCAGGGACCGCTACTTATCCGTATTTTGTTGCGCCCGCAGACGCCATTAAAACGCGGGCCCAGAGCGACGGGACTACCATCAGCGTATCTGCTTCCGACGCCACATCTGGCGTTTCATCGGCCGTCAACGGGGCCGATGCCGCGATTGTCTTCATTACGGCTGACAGTGGCGAAGGCTACATCACAGTCGAGGGCAATGCCGGAGACCGTAACAACCTGGACCCATGGCACAACGGAAACCAGCTTGTGCAGGCCGTTGCACAGGCGAACAAGAACGTTATCGTCGTAGTGCATTCCGTTGGTCCCATCCTGCTCGAGACAATCCTTGCCCAGCCAAATGTCAAAGCCATTGTCTGGGCAGGTCTGCCGTCTCAGGAGAGCGGAAATGCCCTGGTGGATATTCTATATGGATCCACCTCCCCATCTGGAAAGCTTCCTTACACCATTGCAAAGGCTGCAGCGGACTACGGGACAAGCCAGATCAGAGGAGACGACAGTTTCAAAGAGGGTCTATATGTCGACTACAGGCACTTTGATCAGGCTGGTATTACTCCAAGATATGAGTTTGGTTTCGGTCTATGTAAGTATTTGCGAGAATTGATGGAGATACTAATAAAAATAAAAAGGTAATCGGCAGCTAATAAGCTCACAGCTTACACCAACTTCACCTACTCTGATATCAAGGTCACTGGTGCGCCAACCTCCGGCCCAGCTACAGGGGCTATCACATCCGGAGGTCATGCTGACCTCTTTGGGACTGTTGCAACGGTTACAACCACCATCAGTAACAGCGGCTCTGTTAGCGGCTCAGAAGTAGCTCAACTTTATGTCGGATATCCTGCCTCTGCCGCGACCCCTCCAAGGCAGCTTCGCGGGTTTGTAAAGCTGCCTCTCGCGGCAGGTGCTTCTGGCACGGCGACTTTCGCACTCCGGAGAAGAGATTTGAGTTACTGGGACACGAAGCAACAAAACTGGGTTGTCCCGAGTGGTTCGTTCAATATTACTGTCGGCGCCAGCAGTCGGGACTTGCGCCAGATTGCGACTTTGACGGTTGCATAAGTTGTAACATCAAATATCAACGTTGAACAGTCACTTTCCATTGGGATGTACATAGTCGCGGAAAACTGATTCAGGTAGTATATCGAGTCATGTTTACGAATCAAAAAGTAGTTGTATCTGAATGCGCCGAATATCTCTGCTGACCCCTAATGCAACGCTTATGCTATATACCAGCCTGAACAGTTCTCGGTGGCGACGAGAAGGATATTGATCACTTTAGACTATGGCTTAGATTTCGCCCTGCCTTGCAGCCTTAGCCCTCACTGTCTGCTTCCTTGTCTTCCTTGTCTGAGGCTCCCGTGGAGTCCTCAAGCTGGAGAAGACCTTGACCTCGCGGCCGCCAGGTAACTTGGCCGTCAGCTTCAGAGTCGTCATCGCCGTGAACTTCCAGGCACCGATGTAGATGAATTGACGCTCAAGATCCACCACATCGGGTGTCCTCAAAACGCGAGTCTCTTCCCGTGCACCAGCGGTTCCATTGGCCGCACCGCTGGCTGACGTATTCCCCGCCATCTGGAGATCGATGGCAGATGGGTCATCGCCATCCTCTTCCTTGATCACGATAGCATTGTCTGAGCTAATATCTTCCCCCTTCGTCAGTCGGCGCTTGACACCCTCTCGCTCGAAGATAGCCTGCAAGGTCTGCGGCTCCTCTTCCTCCTTGATGAAGGCCTCAGACTCCTTGGGAGACGGCACGGCGAAGAATTCTGGGTGTGAATTCTGCATTATACTCAAGGCGTCTAAGTTAGCATCCTTTAGGCGGGAGAAGACGCGAACTTCGCGCATTTGTGTGCCATCCTGATGAGTAACGACGAATACTGTCTTGCTGGAGTGGGTCTCCTTGTCAAGCCATCGGTGCTGGGACTGGATGTACTCGCGAAGCAGTGCCGGCGGAAAGAACAACTGTTCTGATGGTGTGAAGCTGGTTGCACGTTCGTGCTCAGGTTCTGGTACCGCATTCGGGCCAGTGTATATTAAGAACGGGGTGGATCTTTGAGTCACAGCGTTAGTACAAGCATGTGATGGGAGCGGGAAAGACTTACCGGACTCCCGGGGGAATGAGGGTAGGGGTACCTTCTTCCATCGAAGACATACCTGTCATGGTCAATCGATGCCCTTTTGATACATCATGCTCTGGCTCTTCGGCGTCTTCGTTCAGTTCAGCCGTAAGAGGCTCGTGTTCCTGATCATTATTATTCTTCCTGACCATCTTTGTTGAGGTACCATACCGTCGCCGGGTGAATCCACAGCCATCTTCAATCAGCTTCTTCCGAAGACGTTCGCCGTACTCTCGTGTGGCGTATTTCGGGCCACCGTATTGTCTCATCTCCAGGAATTGGTTTGTATACGTTGGTCCTGGCTGTGACCACTGCGGTATGCGGTGGTGCTGTTGGTGTAAGCCTGCCTCTTGGTCCACTGTAAAGTGAGTGTTATGGTGTCCATGAATATTCACCGCAGATGTGTCCTCGCTCCCAGGCCTTGGATCACCGTCCATACGAACTTGTGTGCTGCAGAACCACCTCGCGTAACTCTCTTGGCCTGGCCATGGAGTTGTATTACTTTCTGGTTGTAACACAGCACCCGAAGCTTGCAGCGATTTCTGCTCAACATTTTGGGCCGACCCGAAGGACATAGGTACCGCAGTGGGATACTGGTAGGCGCTCCAGGTCTGTTGAGGCGATGGAGACGGCGGTGGTCTACACCAGTCCTGCAGGGTTGGTATCCTCCTTTGAGTGCCGGCATGTGCATAGTTCTGAGACCAGTCAGGATCACCGAACTGCGTCGAGGGGCTCGTGACATTGGAGGCATAAGTGAGTTGGCAGAGGTCTTTTCCAAGACTGGCAAAGAAATTAAAACCAAGGTCGCTTGGCCCAGAATTCGCTGCACCATCTGCAATCGTGTATTCGCTGTCCTGCGTGGTACCAGTTGCTGTTCCGTATTTCCCAGACTGCACTTCCTTAATGGAGTCATCAGCACACGGTTCCGGCACAGAAACCTGCGAGAACTGTTCATCCATTAGAATTGCGAAGCCGCTGGGATTGAGAGACAGATAATCTGTGTATGAACTTGTGAATTGGGCAGACCTGCGACGATCCATTGCCAACTCTCATCATTATGGGTAAGCAGCCAAGGTGATGTTAGATTCGGAGAGAAGATATGAGAGTGGCGGTTCACGGGCGGTTGCTGATCAGTACAAGATCTGCTCTTGTCGCTGTGAAAAGTTGAAGCGATGTACGGGGTTTCGGTACTGTAATGGAAGAAACGGTATCTAGCATTGACGGACAAGACGCTCAGAGGGGTGAAGCGAACAATGTTGGAAGGTAGTAGGTTTTGCGTGAATGGCAAGAGCAGTTGCCAAATGTACAACAATGGTGACTACATCAATCATAAGAGAGGAGACAACTTTGCTAAAGTTACGAAGTAGCATCTAGTGATATTGAACAAAAGATGGCGGTGACGACGATGACGATGCTAACGGTGAAAGGCAGTCGCACAGTCAACTAGTATCTAGGTAGGCCTGTGAAGCGAAAGAATCATAGCCAAAGCAGATGCACCCGTTGCCCTGATCTAGAATGACAAACAGCCCGGGTAACTCAATGGCACATATACACATAGACTACGGCTAAAATGTGAAGATTTCTACACGAGATGAATTAGTTGCGAATTTTTCAAACGTACATGAGCGGCAAATGTCACCAAATTTCGGCAGCAGCAACTTCATTTGCCCTCTTGGCGATGAAAGGTGATCACTTGGTCGTTGATCGAGGTGTTTTGTTGACTGATGTGGTTAACATGGGCCCAGCAGGGCACAATTGACAAGGGCAGTTCCAGGGTGGTAAGTTCATGTTTGCTCTGGAGTTGAAGAGAACAAAAATAACTTAATCGTAGGCTCTCGTTCTCGGCCAGCATCGGCTAAAAGATCTAAATGCTATGATACTTGATCTTACTCTTCGACAACCACAATGCTGCCTCGTTACGATGCAAAAGTTACTTTGGTCGTGAAATGCAGTGTACAGCACGCGTCGGTTTGGATATCCTGATTGGGGTAGACGAGAAGGTAGTTTGAGCCTCTGACTCGCTAGTCCTGTTCATGAACTGATTGATGGATGGCTGAGACGGACCGGTCGCTTGGCGCTAGCGTAAGGCTGTATCGGTGTGGGATGGCACGCGATACGATGGCCGCTGGATGGCCGAACCCGTCAGGAGTGGACTCTCTCTGAAGTTCCAGTGCGCCGCTCAGAATGTTGCGCAACGTAGTACGGGAGGCGAGAAAGAAAACAGCCCATGTCACCATACCCAGGCCCCCAGCTGCCCAGGTCCAGCATGCTCAACGGGATATAACTTATGATTGGTATGGGATACATTATTATCTCGCAGATCTCCGTCTTGGTCGTCGTTTTGGGACCGACGACGCACGCACAGGGGCAGGCAGGGATACCGATAGAGTCGTTGGCAACCTGAGCTTGGCGGGATGGGTGATGGTGCTCTTCTTGCTCCTCTTGCTCCTCTTGCTCCTCTCCTCCTCTACAACTCCAGACACAGGTTGACAGGGCTCCCGACATACTGGGACGGGTGAGATTGACTAGTGTCAACGTGTCGACCACGATCCCAGACCCATTGGCAATGCTGGAAATTGGACGGTGTTCCCGTGCATCCCACAACGGAATAAGTTTCCTCGCAAGCCGAGACAGATTACCATTATCCCCGGGTCTGCGGATTTCCCAGTCCCAGGGCAACAATTCGCGTAAGCCCCCGACGAGAGCCGTGCAGGCCCGCGAAATGCGAATCCATAGTGGTTCCGGTTTTACGTTATTAGCGCTCCTGAGCCTCGCCTTGGCCCTGGGGCCACGCCCAAACGGGCACAGTGGGATGGAGAAGTGCCGGGTCGTCAGACAAGTGAGATGCCTGGATTGTACGTCAGAAGTCTAAATCATCCTGGCCAGTGGCCGCTTGGCCGCAATGGCACCGACGCTGGCCGACCAGGGAACTGACTTTCGACGTTCATCGCCACTGCGCGTGAGACGCACACAAATGGCAATTATGAATGTCTTCTTACGTTATCGAATCCTACCCCAGTATTCTGGACCGCGGCCTTGATAAGCACGAGCGGGGTGCTGGAGTCTGGGGATATATGACTTGAGCGCTCCCGCAGTCAACCCCAACCGGACCAACCGACTACCAACACCGCAGCCGTATCGCACAAGTGCTGCATAGAAGAAGTTCGTCCCCGGCAGCTCCTTCGCCCGGCAAACCGACGACTCTGCGCGACGTGCAGTCCCCTGGCACGGGATCCAGGTCCTCATTATGGCCGTCACCATGGGGGAGAAGGACGACTTGAGCAGCGCTGAGATGGGCGGGGTGCACAACGTCACCCATACCCAGTCGAATGTCGCCGGGAGCCTGGTCGAAAACAGCGACCAGCTGCATCGGGGCATGAAGAGCCGGCACATCCAGTTCATGGCGCTGGGCGGTGCGTAAGTATTGCGTCTTGAGTCCTCGTGTGCGTCCAGCTATTGACTATTGGCAGCATCGGCACGGGTCTTTTCGTCGGTTCTGGTGCGATTCTGTCGACTCTTGGCCCCTTACCCCTTTGGCTTGGCTACCTCAGTATGATGTCAGTGGTGTACTTTGTCATGAACGACCTGGGCGAGATTGCGACTTTTCTACCGTTGAAGGGAATTTCAATCCCCTATTTTGTGTCACGATTTCTAGACCCATCCCTGGCCTTTGCTGCCGGCTGGAACTACTTCTACGCCTACGGAATGCTGGTCGCAGCCGAAGCCACTGCTGGCGCCATCCTTCTGGATTACTGGAAAACGCTCACACCCGTCTGGATCACCATTATCTTGATTGTCGTCTTGGTCTTGAACATCATTGCTGTCGAAGTTTTTGGTGAGGCCGAGTTCTGGTTCGCCAGCATTAAGCTGATCACGATCATGGGCCTCATCATCCTTGGCATCGTCCTGATGTGCGGGGGTGGCCCTAACCACGACGCGGTTGGTTTTCGTTACTGGTATCCCAATTCTCCTGGAGCTATAAACGAATACATGGTACCTGGCGCGACCGGCCGATTCCTGGCGTACTGGAAGGGTTTCATCAAGGCAGGCTTTGCTTTCATCACCAGCCCGGAGCTCATTGCCCTGGCAGCAGGAGAGACTGTTGCGCCGCGCCGCAACATCCCGAAAGCTGTCAAGCGATTCATTTGGCGATTGGCCTTGTTCTACGGTGTCTCGACTCTTATTCTCGGCTGCATTGTCCCTAGCACTGACCCGCGTCTGTTGTCCGGTTCCAGCAATGCCTCCGCTAGTCCGTGGGTCATTGCTATTCAGAATGCCGGTATTGGCGGCCTGAACCATGTTATCAACTTCGCAATTCTGACGTCGGCATGGTCGGCTGGAAATGCTTTCCTGTATTCCGGTAGCCGTGTCATCTACAGTATGTCCCTTACGGGCCAAGCACCAAAGATTCTTAGTCGCACAACGTCGAAGGGCACACCTTATGCTGCCGTACTCGCTACCTGGGCGTTTGGTCTGTTGTCGTACCTGAACGTTAGCAACAGCGGTGCTACAGTCTTCAACTGGTTCAGCAACATATCTACCATCAGCGGTTTCATTGCCTGGATTGTTATTCTGGTTACTTACATCCGCTTCCGAGCCGCCATGAACTTCCGAGGACTGCTCCAAAGCTTACCCTTCAGAACGCCACTCCAGCCTTATGGAACTTACTATGCTTTGTTTGTTATAAGCCTCCTGACCATCACAAATGGTTTCGAGGTCTTCTTCCCGTCAAAGTGGAGCGTTAACGACTTCTTGGCTGCTTATATTACGTTACCCATATTCCTCGTTCTCTACCTTGGTCACAAGATTTGGTTTAGAACTAGATTTTACATAAAGAAGGAAGACATTGATGTAGACACGGGAGTCAAAGAGATGGATGATCTCGCGGCGATGGATGTCCCACCTGTGGCCAAAAACTGGCTAGAAAAGGTGTGGTTCTGGTTAGCCTAGGTACCTAGCCCTGAAATTTTGTGATACATCATGGAATTTGCGAACCATTATTCGAAGTTTTAGGCCCGCTCGAGCACACCGGCGTACAGTTTGATTGAGTATTGGCCAGAAAATGTGAACGAGGCCACTCGGATGGCCGTATTAGTCCAATTGTGCCATTGGCAGTTGGCCACGGGTATCTCCAAGGCGGGTGCTAGTTTCTTAGATACTCACGTACTGCCTTGGAAAGACGGGACTGCTGCAGTCGTGACTTGTCTCGATACTGGATGTATCGAAGGTGTCTCGCCTTTGTTCATTGTTCATTGGATACAATGGTATAGCTCCTCTGCATTGGACAGATGCTTGTACTATTTACGGTACAATGCCTCCCCATCGCCTCCTATTCATCGTCTTTGAAACTTGATGCGTCTTTTATTCCCCTTTGTCAATTGGAGACGTTCCCTTATCTATCACGTACCTCTCTCCATCTTGCTCAAATAGGTTGTTCCCACAGCAGTTCTATAAAGACCGTCTGATCCTCTGGTGGCATACTCAAAATGTTTTTATTCATTAGTCCGCATACCTTAAGCTCTGAATTACCATCTCTCATCAAGAAGACTCACTTCAAGCACAGTACACAAAATCACACTGAGCAACAAACGACCTGAGCATAGCTCGAAAGATTGAGGACTGTCCTACAAATATGTGGAGCTTGACACTTTTCCTCCTGGCTATTTCTGCCATCATGGCAGTTGGAGCCTTCGTCAGTCTGACATTACCATACCTTTGGTATGGACAATTTCATTCGTTCCTTGGATTAGAGGTGACGTCTTCCGTCGCTTTCCTCGCTCTCTTTGGTTTTCGTTACTGGCGCATGGTTGTTCATTTGGCGAGCTACCTTCTGTACAAACCGGCACCTATACCTGAGAACCCCAAGTACACTAACAAGGATACTACAGTCATTCTTCCTACGGTTGAACCCCATGGAGATGTCTTCCGTCGATGCTGCGAATCGGTGTGTTTGCAGAATCCGGCGGCATTCTTCATTGTGGTCGGCCACAAGCCTATGCTCGACATTGCAGAAGAGGTTGTTGCGCCGCTCCGTATGCGCTATCCTGATATTGACATCCAAGTTCACGCATCATTGGCAGGCAAGCGAGTCCAAATTGCTCACGTTTTGCCTCGTATCAAGACAGAAATAACGTTCTTTGTCGACGATCACGTTTTTTGGGGTCGATCGTTCTTACCATGCGTCCTGGCTGCGTTCGAGGACCCTCACATCAATCTTGTTGGCACTAACAAGGCGGTCATCGTTGAGCGACGCACGACCTGGGCAGCGGCTTTTTGGAACTTCCTCGGCGCAACTTACCTGCAACGGCACAATATAGAAATCGCAGCCACGACCCATATTGATGGAGGCATCTTTGCTGTGTCTGGTCGTACCTGTGCCATACGGAGTGAGGTCCTCGCTGGCGAGGAATTCAGAGCCCAGTACCTTAACGAGATGTTCGGGTTCCTTAATTGGACGTGGGGACCTCTTGGCGCCGATGACGATAACTTCATCACGCGTTGGATGGTTGAGCATGGTCTGGGGATTCGGATCCAATTCCACCCTGATGCTCTCATAGAGACGCCCCTAGGTACATATCCGAAATTCTTGGCGACTTGTGTCCGATGGGCTAGGACTACGTTTCGCTCCAACCCTCGATCACTCCTTATGAAGCAAACTTGGATTCATCAGCCATGGTCTGTCTACGGGGTCTATATTGCTGGCCTCACAAACTTCGCATTACTGTTCGACCCGCTGCTTGTCTATGTCTTTTCGCAAACACCCGCTTACGAACTCAACTGGAGTGTCTGGTACCTCATGGGATGGATTATCATGACAAAGTTCTTGAAGTTGATCCCGTACTTCCTTCAGAATCCTAGAGATCTTATTCTTTTCCCGGGATACGTTCTTTTCGCCTATTTTCATTCCTTAATCAAGCTCTTCGCGCTGGTTACTTTCTGGGATGTTGCTTGGTCTGGGCGAAATATTGAACAGGTAAGCAATGTAGGCGATGGCACCGATGGCGAGAATGTGTCTTAAGTGTCTCGTAAGGTTCGTCTTTCGAAGCGCAAGGTTATGGGTACTGATGTCACTAGCTAGAAAATTGAGTGTTGTTAGTTTGCAATTTACTATTTCTCAACTTCCACAAGCGCGCGATTAATCCCCTGGTTTTTCCAGAGCCTATGAAAGCCCATTGATCTTTGCCCTACTCTTCATCAAGGGTTGGACAAATTGACCGAACTTTTCAACTCCGCTCAAGAACTCGTCAAAGGTTAGCATAACTCCCTTGAGCCCATCCACTTCTGAAATACCATCCAACATATTTGCAATAGACTCATAAGACCCGATCAGAGCACCACCATTCATATTGACAGGGTCGCCAAGCGTCGAGACCAACCTACGAGCAGTTGACGTTTCATCTGCTTTTGTGTCTTTGCCAGTCTGTTCAGCCACCCAGGCGAGTGCCTCATGGTCGGTGCCTTCTCTGTACTTGTTCCATTTGGCTATGGCCGCTTCATCGGTCTCATCAAAGATTACCATGAACAGAACCTTCATTAAGTTAGCTTGGTTCTTACTCTGGCCTGTTAGGCCTGGTTCAGCGACTCACCATAGCACCCACATCTCTCCCAGTCTCCTTGGCGGCGTCCACCAACCTGCCATTCGCCTCTGCAAATGCCGTTGGGGTGTTGATGCCTTTACCACTCGTGAAGTTGTAGTCTGCATACTCGCTGGCAAACTTGACACCCCGCGGACTTTGACCAGCAGCGATGACTTTGATTTCTCCGGCGGGCTTTGGCGAGAGCTTGCAATCGTTCATGACGAAATGCCTACCCTTGAAATCTGAGGTCCCTGTGGACCACAGATCTTTCATTACCTGGACGTATTCCTGCGCGTAGTCATAACGATAGCCAAAGTACTCATTGCCCGGCCAAATTGACATCTGCTCATCTGGTAGTTACGTGTCAGCAATGCGAATATGTAGTTTCACGGGTTCATTTTACATTCGGCAGATTGCCATCCCGTCACAATATTGACTCCGAAGCGGCCAGGTGCTATGGAGTCGATGGTTGTGGCCATCCGGGCACAGAGAGCTGGTGGCAACGTAAGAATTGCCGTGGATGCGAACAACTTGATCTTTGACGTAACCGCGGCGATTCCGGCCTATAGGAGTTAAGGCTGCTTGATTTGGCAAAGTTGGAGTAGAGAGTCCAGTCATACATACCATGAGGGTGAACGACTCCAAGTTGTGATCCCAGTGTTCCGTTTTGCCCCCGAAACCCCGCAACTTGATCATGGACAGCGCAAAATCGAACCCATAACTTTCCGCTTTCAACACAATCTCTTTGTTCAACTCGAACGTTGGCATATAACGGGGAGCGGTTGTAGAGATAAGCCAGCCATCGTTTCCTATCGGGATGAAAACACCGATATCCAGGGATTTGGGAGCCATGACGGAATATCTTCCGCGTGATAAATCCTTGTTATGATTATACAGAGTTGAGACAATGAGTTGATTCTGCACGCGATACCGAAAGGAGAGGGATACCTCATCAATCTTTCAAAACAATCAAAAGATTGAGCGCCTTGTATTGCGTACGAATACTTCCGACGGCAATGTCAAATCGACTGATAAGCCAAGCGAATACTTGTAAAAGAAGGGGGCAATTCTGAGAGAGGTGGGGTTGAGCATAGAACTGCTGTATATAAGCGGTTCTTGGGTAACAGGTCCCTTATCTGGACACTCCCAGATGCGGATAGCTCCGAAGGAGCCTTCGGCCCATGTTTCGGGGTTGACCCACCCGACACGCGCGTAGCACGGGCTCCAGCCGGCGTGCCAAGTGCAAGAACTGGCCAGGTACATCATACTGAATAATTCATATAGTTGTTTTGGAAAAGTATATTCCCGCTTCCACTGTTTGGGGGTTTGCAGACGGATTATCTACAAGATTTTGCCTCATTCAACCATGAGGCGCTGTGGTCTGATCTAGAAAGTTTCATACCTATAGCAAGCATCAAGCTACGGCTAGCCTACGAGGATTACGGTGTTTGGGAAGCTAGGAGTGTGAAGGGTAGCCTGAGAGTTCTAAACACAAATTAATACAAACTATGTCTGAGAACGGGAGTACCTAGTCTAACACGCTATACTCGAATGCACTGACCTATAGAACTTACTGCTCGTCGACTGTTTATATACTACTATTTCTTTTTCAACTTAGATAACAAATGGCAAAAACCCTTTGAGTTCACCGCCAACTCAGTATATTTCTCACACTAATATGCCCATTGCTTACACCAGTGCTGCATCAGCTCTGGGCTGACCGCTTTCGCATCTCTCATGGATGGGCTTGTCTTGGTAGTGCGGTGCATATCAAACTGGACCGACTTATGCCCGGCTTCTGCAGCCTCAGCCATGCCTCTGTACGAGTCGATCAGCTTGATTCCGGGGTTGGAATCCACGACCATCATGTCCTCCGACTGGGTCTTCTCTAGCCTATCGACCCACTCCTTGAAGCTGATCATCTCGGGGAGTCGTTCCTTGCCGTAAAACTCTTGTACCGCGGGGGCCAACTTCTTCCATGTCGTACTTGAGGGATTCACTCCGTGGAAATATCCGCTGACGTCCTTCGGCTCAATCTTCTGTGCCACGCCCGCAACCTCGACGACCAGCCCCGCAATACGCTCAACAGGGGTCCAGTCAACCCGGGACATAAGTCCGAGGTCCGAGGGCAGTGCTTTCAGGTGCAGACTGCTAGCGATGATACTGGGGAACCATTCATGTCTGTTCCAAGCCCCCTTTTCGGACTCTGGGCCTGCAATCTGTCCGACACGGATGGTGGCCGCTGGAAAATCGCCTGCCTTGGATGCGTCCTCCATAATCATACTGCCAACCATCTTGCTACGGCCGTAACCACCGCTTGGGAGACCAATATCCTCAAGACGCTGCTCGGGAACTGGCCCTTTGCTGGAGTCCCAACGATCAGCTGTGCCAATGGATGAGATAAAAACGACTGCCACACGTTTGTCGGCGTGGGTGGCAAAGTCGGCGACATTGCGCACTCCACGGAGATGAGGTTCAAATGTTTCGACCGTAATGTTGAAATTGACAGGCCAAGCATTGTGAATCCAACGATCGGTCTCCTTAAGCATGCGCTTATACAGCTCTTTCGGAATTCCCAAGTCACTACGGGAGATGTCCATGTGATAGAACTCGGTCTTCGACTGATACTCAGTAGTGAGTCCACGATCAGCCATTACCTTAGCTTGCTGCTTGACGCCACCATCTTCCGCCCGATTAAGACAAATAATCTTCCTGACATTGGGATTATTGACCATAAGGTCAAGAAGGTAAGATCCGAGCATCCCAGTAGACCCTGTGAGAACAACTGTCTGCCCCTTGTCAGCGGCATCCGGTCTGCCTTTTTTCGCAGTTTGCAGATTGCGAGTGTATTTCTCATGAAGCTGTTTCATCGCGTTCTGCTGTTCAAGGTCCTCGTTGGGGGCATCTTTACCGCCACCCTTGATAAGCGCCTGCATCAGGTACTGGGCAAGTCTTCGAGGTGTGGGATTGCTGTAGACCACGCGAGTTGCCAGGGCAGTGCCATCCGTGTGATGGCCAGCAGCTTCGAGTCCGGCACGGAGCAGTCGAGACGCGTTGATGACTTGCATGGAGTCAATTCCTACATATCGAATTAGTATCCAGCCCATGAATATTAGTGTTTGAGGTAACTCACCAGCTGAGAAGAAATCCGTGTCCGGCTGGAGTTGTGTGGAGCCGAGATGGGTCTCAAACATGTCCTCAATCGACTCCACCAGTGCTCCCACTGAGCTGACATCAAGCCGTGGGGCTTCTGATGATGATACCTTGCCAACATTCTCATAAAGCTGGTCGATTTCCTCCTTGTAGAGCTTGATTGCACCGGCTCGTTGGATGGTACCTTTTCCAGCCCTGGGGAACGGCTTGTCTTTGGTGGTTAGAGCCAGGAACTCGCGACCAATCTGGCCGTGAGCTACAGTCTCCTTATTTGCTTGGACCACCAGTGGCCATACACTGTCAAGAAGTTTCTTTTCGTCGTCTTTGGTCTCCGGGTGGGAGACAGGCTCGACAAATATAGCAGGTTGGAATCGATTGGAGCCAACGACCACAGCGCCCTTGACTCTTGGGTGGTCTTCCACGATTTCCTCAATGGTGACAGGGTTGAGTTTCTCGCCATTAGAGAAGACGATGATGTTGTCTGCACGACCATAGTAGATCCAATGGTTGGGCAAGGATGGATGTGGTTTGTAGAGATCCTTGGTATAGTATTCATGGTCATCTGGAAATGTGAAGAAAAACCCTTGTAACCCTGGCTTCTTGCCCTGGCGCACAATCACTTGCTCATAAACATTCTCCTCACCCGTCTTGCGCCAATCGGCGCCGAACACTTCAGAATTGATGATGAAGTATTGCCAGAGTTCAGGCTTGGTCTGATAGTAGTACGGCCATGGGCAGAACCTGTCAAAGTCAGTATTGTTTTTTTAACCACAGTTCCAATCGACCTACTCTGTCGCAGCAATGGCATTCAAGATATTGACACCATTCTTGACTAGCCTGTTACCAGCCTCGCGTGCCAGATTCCCTTGAGTCAAGTTAGCCTCCATGGTTAGCTGCAGCAGAAGATGACCTACCGCCGCCAAAGGGAACAAATTTCATCTTCTCCAATGCCTTTATGCAGGTCTCATCTTGGCTCATATCTTCCAGGATCGCCGGCGGAAGCATGGCGGCCTCGACATCGACATTGTTCAAGCACTCGACCACCAAATCCGACGACATGGGTCGCTCTACACCAAGAGCTACTTTGCTGTCCCAGTAAAAAACGGCATTAATGAAGGAATACAGGCCGGCAGCATGAAAGAGAGGCACTGAGTCTTGTTAGCGGCTAAACTCGGCGGCCTACAAATGAACAGCGCTTACTAGGAAGCCATTGCCGCTTCGACTCTCTGAACCATTTTCCAAACACGAACTCTGTTCCCTGCCATTTAGGTAGATTATGAAATGCATCACCAATCGAGATCATGCCTACGCGGACCACAATAGGTTTAGGCAGGCCGGTGGAACCGCTTGTATGCAGCACAACCACAGGATCCCATTCTGCTTGCTCGAAGGTTTTGTTGTACGGGAAATGGGGCACTTCTTTTGGAGGAAACCATTTTTCGAAGTCGCCGACTTCCACGGCTTTCATATCTCTCTCCTGTAACCATGGCTGGACGATCTTATGATGAGACTTGGGAAACACCACAATGTTACAGTCTGTCTTGTCGAACAGGTTGATTTGACCCTCCTGCGAGTTGCGAGGAGAAATAAAGAGCGCCTAGAAGGCTGATTAATCGCTATGAAAGGAATAATCAATACGCATGTGATGATACTCACTTTATAGCCAGCCTTGATGGCAGCGACCATCAACACCTACAGAGATCGTGTCAGTTGCCTCGAACTTGAGATGTCACGAATGGTGTTACTTACGACGTAACGTGCATCATTGGGCCCAATGTAGGCAATTGTCGGGAAAGAGTCTTTCTTGGGCTCGCCAGTTGTCTCGATGATGCGGCGGGCAACGTGATTGATCGCGTTGGCGTATTCCTTCCAAGTCACTACTCTCCAACCGTCCTTTGGATCCGACGAGTTTGGGACCTGGAAGGCCTCGCTCTGGGGCTGCTGGCGGGCGTTCTCGTCGACAATGTGGGGGATGAGCCTTTTACCGTACTCAGTTGTTTTACTATCTGATGCCATAATAATCGAATGGATCAAGGTTTCCGCGTGCGCAATGTATATTCAGATTCAGATTGCTGCAAGTGTCTACGATGGCTATCCCGACTATTGCGGTGACCTGTCTCTTTTATCATCCAGGCCGTTCTCGTGCTCGCCCTCTAGCGGAGACGCGAGGTTCTTACTGAGGCGAACCTTCAACTGCAAGCGTAATTATATGTCTCATTGTAGTTCCACCACGTAGAGTCACAATGGCGGGTGGGTTTCGTCCATAGAGTGGAAACGTATACGACGTCATCGCCATTGTGACATTTCGCATCGAATGCGGATGTTCCGGTCTGTAGCTTAATGGAACAGACCACTGGCCGAATACAGCGCATGTACGAGTGCCGAGCTTGGGATACACCATATCCGGACTTCCGGCTGAGGATCGACAAGTTGTCGCAAAGTCGTTCCTGTTTGCTTGCAGGTGTGCCATGCCGAAGCTAGTCCCTTCGGATACACGCGGCGTTGATCTAAGCTTTCCTATGTAAGTCTACCCAGGCACGGAGGCCCACCTGTGCTCACAGCGTGTCTAGGCAGGTGGATACAACTTCGCGCCGACGGTGTTCGCGAGTTTGCAATACGCCACGTTAAATCCGCTGAGGAGTGCTTAATATGCTTGCGAAATCCCGGGCGAGTGTCACAGTTGATCTACATTACATGGTAGGCGCGTTGATTCGCGGGAGGCTTTCGATCGCCACCGAACAGGGGCCAGCTCGCGACACGATGGCATGAAGGGCATGGATGGCGCCCCTTTCCTTGACCTGAACCTTTCCGCGACACTTTAGCCATCTCAATGCTCCCAGCTAGGGTGAGTGCTGGTTTGCCCTTGAGATATTTTGCTGAGTAAGTGCTGCCGATCTAAGACAAATCGGCTCGACTCAGCTTAATGTCAGCCCAATAAGGAAGCCGAGGCTGATTAGGTGAACTCGTGGGTGCCGTGCCCAGGACCTCGGTCTGTTGGTCAATTGTCTAGGTCTTGTCAGTTCTTCAATTATTGGCATTTCCGCCATTTAGTACGTGTCATATCAAGCCTCTTCCCGTAAAGTATGGACGAAACGACATCGGGAGAGTCTGCGCTACCAGCAAGTTGTGAGACCGACCAGCATGGAAAATGCGGGGAGCTTCAAGGTTTGGGATAACTGGACGATCGATCTGAACTCTCAACAATGTTATGCGTCTAGTAACCTTGGACAGATTAATTTCGTCGACGAGATGATGTGACTCGCCAAGCGTGCTGTGGTGATGAGCTGCGGCTTGTCCTCCTATAGGATTATGTGAGGCTGGAGTCGGGCTCTGGTACGCACTCTGCGACTAGCAACATAGTAAGGGGTGCTGTTCATTCCGACCCTTGGGAGTTCACCCAGGAATATTTGTACACTCACTCACTAAGCAGTGTTCAGACACTTTTTCTCGAAACAGGCGGTGCCGAGTTATCGTGGCTTTTGCATGAATACAAAGCAGGTCAAACGTATACGCAAATGCTTCAAAGATACGCAAGCCCGGGCAAGCCCCGGTCAAGACCGACATATGTTCGTCCAAAGGGCGGGGAAATAGTATGCGGACTATAGGACGACTTCGTACGGCTGACTGTTGAGAGTTGCAAAGGTCAAATTTACTTGGGCACGGGACAGTAACAGCCAAAATTCGGGGCCTCACGTTTCGAGAAACAACAGTAACTCAGATAACCACCCGTTCAGCCGATGGGGTCAGACGGCTCCTAGTTGACAATGCATTGATGGAGAGATCAGTCCATGGACTTTGGATTTTTCATGGCTAGTTCGCCATTGCCAGAAATGAGTATGGTATCAGTATCTTGTTCCCTTTTTCTCCAAGGACCACAGGCACTCGAGGTAAGACGGGATAGGCGTCCAACGGTCCAACAGTCCAACAGCGACACGCTAGCGGCTGGCGGCCAATAACCTAATCATGCATGCATATGGTTTTTACATCATCATGACCGATCAAGATGCAGTACGCAGGAGGATCACTTTATTATCCTTATACATGGCAGGGCACGCTTCTGCACCCAAAAACCACCAGGTTGACGACCTGGATAGTAAGCAAAGAAAATCTAGTGGCCTTGGATTTACTTGGTCAGCATTTCGGGTGGGGCTACAGGGGCTGTCTTTGGGACGTGGATCTCATGGAATATGACACGAGAGACAGGTGGGGATAACAGGAGGAGATATACGATCTAGAGAGCACACCACGATAACAAACACCGTGATGGAATTCACAGCTGAGGCTCGAATATGCAAGCTAAAGAGGAAACAACGTAAAAACAAGGGCGTTGAACACAGCTGGGGAGAAATACCAGTGGTAGAAGAACAGTGGTGACGTTTCAGCTCATCGACCAGCAGGTGGCCCGTCCACAGCTGAGGCTGGCGCCACTAGCAGGGGCAGCAGGGGGAAGGCAGGTCTTGGACTCGTCAGGCCTAGCGCGTCACCTGCCAGTCAAGCCAGTGGTTGGGGAGGCCAGGCTTTGCCAGGTGCTGCGCTGGGTTGGAATGGATGCTGGCTGGTTGCTGGCTGGTTGCTGGCGGTTCAGGGTACCCGTGGTCCTACAGCACTGGACAGAGCTCACCTGCGCTGAGAGGGCCCTACCCCCCCCTACACAGCACTGTGATTAGGTACCTAGGCAGGTAGTTACTATGGTAGAGGTACTGGACGTACCTTGGGGGGGACGGGCCCTCCGGCACGGCGCCGCTTCGCATCCCAATTCGACGGGCGGAAAGGCGAACCAAAGTGGAGTGGAGCCGCGGGTGCATGGTGGTTGAATTTCTGATGAACGAAATTTCGACGTCTTCTCCAGGACTGAAATCTCGACTGACTGTCCAAAAAAAAAATCGACGCCGTCACGAACCAGAACCTCGCAACTCGCAACTCGCAACTCGCAACCCGCAACCCGCACGTCAACGACCTCAACCACCATCACCAACCACCCCCGCCCCGCGCGTCAGAGAAACCATCGATTTCTCCTCGGAATCCCATCCTCCTACCAGGTCCAGGCGAACACCAGCAGCTGCACCCGCACCCTTGCCAGTCCAGCTTGCTTGCTCTTCTTGTCCATCCCATCCCGTCCCGTCCCGTCCCATCCTCTCCTCGCCATTCTGTGCTCTGCTTCTGCAGACGACGCCTGCGACATCCTGCTGGGCCTGCTTCTGTTTCCCTCGACTAGCCGCAGGGACACCAGAGAAGAAAATAAATCCCCCAACGCGCCCGCGCCTGCTCGGAGCACGAGAGAAAGAGCTGTCTACGGTTTGATCCGCGACACGTAGCGACCTCCCGCCCCCCGTCCTCAACCCTTGTCACGAGCTAGCTCTCTCTCTCTCTCTCCTGGCCAAAAGGAACAAGACTCCTTTTCCATCAGAGACGCAGAGCTATTCTGGTTTGTTTGAGCTTCATCTCTTCAGCACACACACTGCAGCCCTACCCAGCATGCCTTCAAATCTTCCCTCGAGTTTCGCCTCAGCCGCCGCTGGCCAGAACCGCGAAGGACGAGGTGCCAACAGCGGAGAGTGGTAGGTGCCCTTCTTCTGCTTGAAAACCTTTTTCCTGTTCCTCCCTTACTCCTTCCCACCCCCTCCCTCTATGTCTCTTCCTTCTCCTTTCTTCCTCCTTCGTCCCCTCTCTGCTCGTGCTGCACGCGTGGCTCGACCGCCGCGCGCAGCACCTGGGGAGGGGACCAGCACAAACACCCGGACCATGACCTATCGCACATGCTAACCCCCCATGGCGTCACAGGTCCAGGACCGGCCGACTCAACGGCACCCAGATCTTCCGCAGAGCCTCCACCACCCCGAGCCAGTCCATCAGCAGCCAGACGCCCTTGGCCGACCTGGTCCAGCCGCCAGCCACCATGCTCGAACCCGCCCCCCGCAAATACACCCGAGAACAGCTGCTCGCCATCTTCGACTCGGTGCCTGCAACAGACGTATCCTCCCTGTTCGTGCAAGGTTGGAACCCGGGTCATGTCAACGGCAGCGCTACGGGGACCGCCACTCGCGGATGGGGCAAGAACGTCGACACGCATGTGCAACCCCAGGAGCCTGACCAGTGCTGGGATCCCACGGCGTCGACGCGAGCCAGCAACCTGCGAGACCTGTCGCCCGACGAGAGGGAGCTGTTCTCGACCGACGTCAACTCGCCCGTCAAGCCTCCGCCCCAGAACAAGGACGGCAATGCTCTGAACGGACGCAAGACCTCAGTCAGCCAGGGAGCTTCAAACAACTTCGGTCTGGCCTCGCCCTCGTCTGCCTCCAGACCTGGCACGCGGCGGCGCGAGACAACGGACACGAATCCCTACTCGGGCGGCGGCGGCGGCCTCATGTCGCCCACTGCCTCGCGCGGTGATGGCGGCTCCTTCTGGCAGCGTAAGAACACCGAGGCCAAGGACTCCATGTACGAGGAACCCGAGGAGGACACCAACCCGCGCGAGGCACCGGCCGGCCAAAACCCATCCTTGCCCTTCGGCGGTCTGGTGCGCAACAATACCTCCGGCGCGGGCGGCCTGGCTACTTCCTCGTCTCTGTGGGGCCAGCCCGCTCCCTCGCCAACCACGGCTTCTGGCTTGGGGAGCTTCGGTAACTTCGCTCTGCCTGCTTCTTCCGCCATTGGCGACAAGCGTCCCGGGGGTGCGGGCGGCCAGTCCAGGCTCCAGCGACTGATCCCCAAGGACAGCAGCGACAGCATGGGTGCCCGCGGGAGCGAGCCATCTTCTGCTGTCGATCCCCGAGGTCCTTGGCGTTCCCGCCAACGCACCGACACTGACCCTTTCGCTGCCGAGGAGAACCTGTCTGGCAGCGCCGTCCTCGGCGGTGCTCAGGACACCAGCCCGCCGCCCATGCCTCGTGGCTCCATGTTCGACACGCCCGTCAAGGGATCTGCCGCCGACTTCGGCATGTCCGGACTCAACCTGGGCAGTCAAGCCGAGAATGAACCTCTCAGCCCCTCCGAGACCAACCCATACCGAAGCCCCCCTGGCGAGCGCGGCGAGAACGACGAGGCCGGCGAGAGGCTCCATGGTCACGGCCATGGCCTTGGTGCAGGTGGCTCTGAGCACCCGCCTGCGTTTGGCGGCGCGTTCCCCCGTGCTTTTGGCCAGAATGCGTTTGACGGCAGTGACCGCAGTCAGACCTCCAGCGTGGGTGCCAACAAGCCGCATCCTCACCTCAGCAACCTTACTGGCTGGCCCTCTTCCGCGACGCCTGACCGCGAGCGAAACCCTTTCGGCAACGCATTTGGCAGCTCGCTGTTTGGCCCCATGGGCGACCTCCATTCCCCAAGTCTGGGCAACCTGGGCGGTGTGTTTGGTCCCTCCAGCACAACCGGCCTGCCTGGCTCGGGCTCCATCAGTCGTGGGAGCAAGCTGGGCTCTCTGTTCCCGGCTGCTATGCAGTCTCAGATGCAGGGCCACGATACCGAGAGCCTGACCGATTCGGTCCCCGACCTGCGGCAGATCAACCCCCTTGGTGCCATTGGCCGAAATGCCTTTGGCGACCAACATCGTGATACTGAGAGCCCGATGCGGGCGGGCCGTGGGCCATTCTCCGACATGTTCGGTGGTGATCCATCGCAGTCTGCTGCCACCTCTGGGGCCCTATCTAGTGGCATTCCGGCCCTGTCGCAGGGGCAGGGTTTCCCCCAAAGCACCGGCACACCCTTCAGCGTGAACCAATCCTCGGAACCACCCTCGACGCAGGCTCGTAGTATGGTTATGCCCGACCGCATGCGCTGGGTCTACTTGGACCCCCAGGGGCAGCAGCAAGGCCCCTTTACTGGCCTCGAGATGAACGACTGGTACAAGGGCAATTTTTTCACCACTGACCTGCGGGTCAAGAGGGTGGAGGATGCTGAGTTCGAGCCCTTGGGCCAGCTAATCAGACGAATTGGGAACTCTAGAGAACCTTTCCTTGTGCCCATGATGGGCATCCCTCATGGCCCTCCGTCTCAATCTGGCCCCTTCTCGCCCAACCCCAGTGGCGTCGTTCAGCCGCCCCTGCTTGGGGCTTTCCCAAGCTTTGGCCGGACCCTGACGGCCCAGGAGCAGAACGATCTCGAGCGCCGAAAGCAGGAAGAACAGTACCTGATGGCTCAGCAACGGGATATTTTGTCCAACCAACCCCGACTGCCCAAGTTCCCGATCCAAAGCCACCCAGGATTACATCACCACTCGAGTGCCCACAGCCTCCAGAGCCAGCCCAGTTTTGGAAGCATCAACTCGCCCATCACCATGCCCCCTCAGGCCCCCATTGGTTCCGTTGCTGGCAATGCTTCTTTTTTGGGCGGGCCTCCCCAACAGCCGCACATGGGTCCCGGGGGTGCTGGCCCTAGCCTCAGCGATATCTTCCGGGAGGAAGAGCTTGCCCGCCTTTCCGCCGAAGAGCGCCAAGTGGTAGCGAATATACAAGGGCCTGGTGCTATTGGCTCTGCACCTCAGCCGCCCGTCGGCAGTGCCTCGTTGGAGTCCTTTCGAAGCCGGCTTCCTGGCACCCAGGAACTAGTTGAGGATGAGGAGGGTTTTCGGGGCCGCCTGGAGGAATTTGAACAACTCCGGGCCCAGCATGAAGCCCACGCGGAACAGACTAGGGCAGCTCTGGATCCCCAGTCCCCCGAGATCAACTCTTCCGTCGCTAGTCCCTCTACCCAACCCGCGGAGGCCAAGGGATCGGCGCACGAGGTTTTGACACAGAAGGACAACGGGCATACTGCCCAGGAAGCAGAGCTGATTTCTGCCAGCAGGCAGTTGGAACAGGCACAGGCCGCTGCCCAAAAGGCTGGCCTGCCCATGCCGTTCCCCCCGCCTCAATCTTCGACTCCTCTGCCCGCCCCTGCTCCGCAGCGTATCAAGTCAAACCTGCCTGAGCAGTACGCCTCGAGTTCTCGATCCGAGACCCCCGAGATCACGCCTCTGTCTGCGGCTACGCAGCCGCCTCCGCTGGCGCCCTGGGCCAAGGACCCTTCATCTGAGTCTCACCGCGGCCCGAGCTTGAAGGAGATCCAGGAGGCCGAGGCCAAGAAGGCCGCCAAGAGAGAGGAGGCTCTCGCTGCTTCTCGTCGTGCCGCGGCAGAGCAAGAGGCCGCGCGTGAACGTGAGAAGGCTGCCACACTCGCCACGGGTTTACCCACATCCAGTACTTGGGGTACATCCTCTCCTGCAGCCGCCACCAGCCCATGGGTCACCCCTACAGCCACCAAGGCTCCTGCCCCCGGCTTGACCGCCGCCTCTACATCCGCGGCGGATAAGAAGAAGACCCTGGCCGATATCCAGCGCGAAGAGGAAGCTCGCAAGAGCAAGGCAAGAGACGTCTCGGGACAGCCTAGCGCTGGGTCAAGCGCTGGCAAGCGCTACGCGGATCTGGCCAGCAAGCCTAATGCCACGCCGGTCGCAGGCGCAGTGGCAGGTCCGCCAGCGGCAGGTTGGGCCACAGTTGGGGCTGGTGGTAAAGTCAAGATTCCCACTGGACCGGCCGCGCAGTCGCGCTCTGCCAGCTCAACCAACGTGAAACCCGTGGCCGCCGCTTCTCCCCCTGTTCGCCCGGTTATCAAGTCCGCCAATTCATCGACATCCCGCACCGAGGCCATGGACGAGTTCATCAAGTGGGTCCAGGGCCAACTGTCTCGTGGTGGCGTCGCCGATGGTAAGTTTGTTGTACAGAGCTCGATTGGTACACAGTGAGCTAACGGAATCTCTGCAGTTGATGGATATACCGACCTCCTGAACAGTTTCCCTCTTGATGTTAACACCATCGCGGATACCGTTTATAGCATTTCCAAGACCATGCATGGGCAGCAGTTCGGCACCGAGTATGTTCGACGCAAGAAGCTTGCCGAGAAGGGCGTCGTTGAGAAGCGGGCTAGCGACTCGCCTGTCTCTGCCAACACCGGAGGCTGGAACGAGGTCGCTAAGAAGAATCCCCACAAGGAGAATGGCGACCCGGTCCCGTCGGGATTCAAGGTGGTCCCTGCCCGCAAGAAGGGAGCCAAGAAATAGAGCAAAGTCGGGGTCTGGCCGCTATATGTTGTGCTACTACCCTGGGCAACTCTGCGGTGTCCTTTCGGAGGGCAGAAGGTGTGGAAGTACCGGAGCGATGACTTTTGTAGTTGTGCATAGTGCTGGAAACCCAGAAGCAAGCGTGGCATCGTGTTAAAGTGGGATCATCCCACCTGTATGTACGAGTATTGAGAACTGAAGAATACGACATACTGATCAGCGAGTATGCCGAGACTGCATAGGTATCTGTAAGCACCTATTCTAGTGCCATTGGATCTACCTACCACAAATACAAGACCGCTCTTGACCAAGACGGGCATGATACTAGGCTGTAGAAATCAAAACTTGCTCTGTATTCCTATGACCAGGACTGCATACACAGACTTATTACATGGGCGTGCACATTGATATATCCAAAGTTGGAGGTGTGGTTTGTGAACATACGAGGCCCAATTATGCACAGGCCATCTGCGCCGATCCGCCCGAAGTGTACGCTGTGCATGACCTGCATAAATTACACAAATTGCCCCTCCCCCACCAAAAAATAACGAACGGCGATCTCCATAGAAATTTTCTATTGCGACCTAATATTTCATGACACTGCAGATTGTCTGAAGCTGTCTGATATACCAAGCGTCGACTTTTGTTTTTCACCTGTGTGTCGAGTATCACGTCTTTGATACTCACGAAGCACCACATCACGGGGAAGGCACGTCACGGACCAGATATTTGCTAAACGGCGGCGCTTCTTTTGGTGAACTTACACACGAACCCCGCCATCCGATTCCGGGGGGGCTTTATACACGCAGAACTCAACCCTGACAAAGGCCAGGTGCGGACGGCACCGGGGCTTCTGGAGAGTGAAGCTAAAAACATCATTTTTCCTGTCACCATCTCGGTCATTACCGGGATATTACCAACGTCATGTCAGGTTTCGACGACGTTGACCTCCCAGCGGACACCGGGGATGATGCCAACCAGGAGGTCGGGGAGGAGCAGCAGCACAAGTCTTATGTCCCGGCCGATCAGCTGGGTCTAGCCAATATCACAGGCGAGGCGCCATACCTGTCTGTCTTTGGGACTGAGCGTGCCGGGAAGCTGGTCCAGCGGTTTGTACGAACTGTTGTGCGGGACACTGGACTGTCAGTGGGCCAAGACGATGCCGCCGGGCCGTTGAATGGGGACGCACGCGAGGAGGCCTTGAATATAGCGTCGGCGTCCCTCAACGCTTTCCTGCAGGCCAATGTCACGGGCCCCGTGCTTGAAGGCGCGGCGAAGTGTCAAGGTATCTTTGCAGCCGCTTATGAGAGCCTTTCTGTAGAGGCGCAGCCCCAAAAGTCAAGCCGAGGGCAGGACCAGCAGCCGATTGAAGAGCTCAGGCGCATATGCCTCCGCTCACTGGATACAGACGGTGTCTCGGTCTACACGTACATACCGTGGATCGAGCTATTCTGTCTGGCGAGGTGGGTATTCACTTCGGAGGATGTATTAAAACCGGCACAGATAGGAAGCACCAGGGAGAGCTTGAAGCGGGACCTTGCTTGGATGCGCTTCAGGGTTCATCTATGGCATTACAAGCTACTTTCTCAACCATCCCTAGGGCCCGGTTCCTTATTCACGAAAAGTGGACGATGGACTGATGTGGCCACCCTACAGGAACTGATCGAGAAAAGTCTCGAGGAGGCCGGTAAATGTGTTCTAGGACCGGTACATGGAAGTGAGAGGGTAGGAAAGGATGCCAAGGTGCAGTTTCTGCTTGAGAAAGCGAACGCAGAGATCATGCTGGGCCACGATATTCAAGCCCGAGAGGATCTGCGACAAGCGACGGAGATCAGTAAACTCGTGTATGCTCTCTCCGGTGCGCTCGGGAAGAGGACGAGGTTTCAACAGGAGAGCATTAGCCAGCTGGTTGTGCTTGCCAAGAGTCACACGGAAAGGGAGGATTATAACGAGGAGGCCCCGGCCGAGCCCGAACCAGGGCCTAGCGCATTGGCCTTGAATGACGACACGCTACTCGAGAGAATATCGTTCACAAACGTCGACAACAAGGTGGAAGACGTTTCGCAGTCGACATTGCCAGATGTGTTGCAGGGTGTGACGCCAGAGAACCAACCGCGCTTGAAAGCGGAGGATCAAATCATCTTGCTCACCGAGGCGACATTGAAGGACACATTCTCCCCAGCTGACTCGTTGACTTCGGAGGAGATCTTGCCATTTGCGGTCCGGGTAATCGAGGACAAGTCGGCGAATTGGCAAATCTACACTCAGGCACTCCTCGTGAGATCCCGGATAGAGTTGAACAGAAGTCGAACGTTGGAAAGAGGTGTTTTGCAGATGCAAGCAGTCGTCGACCAGGTTATCGTGGATACCGATACACCTTCTCAGAGCCAACCGAAGGGTGCAGAATCCGGCGGCGCCAATGAATACACTGGTATTCCTGCGATTGAGGTTTCTGGTACGGACGATATACAGAAGAACGGCGCATCAAAGCCCACGTCCTTTCTGCCAGCCGCGAAACCATCTGAATCGGCCTCGCCACAGGTACGCTTGCGGTACGTGAACGCTTTAGCTTCGCCCCCAAGATGGCATTTGGAATCAGAACTGGCTTTCGCGTGGACGTCGGTCGGCTCGTTAGTCTCCGCGCTTGAGATCTTCAAGCGCCTGCGGCTATGGCCCGAGGTTGCACTCTGTCTTGCCGCCAGCGCTGCCACCGATGACGAGGACGGCCGAGGCAGCGGGGGTGAGGAAAAGGCACGCGCGATCGTCCGGTGGAGACTCTTCCACCGTACCGGCACTTCCGCCGCAGACGACGACGAAGACGAATATGATGGCCGGATCCCCGACACCAGCAGCTTGAAAGTACAAGACTACTATGGCCCCGAGCGTGCCCCTCCCCCGCCAAACGCCCCAAGGTTGTGGTGTATCCTGGGTGACATGGAAAACAACCCAGAACACTACCAAAGAGCATGGGAAATTTCTAACCGGCGCTTCGGGAGGGCTCAAAAGTCCCTTGGCGAACTGTACCTCCAGCAAAAAGATTGGGCCAAGGCACGCGAAGCCTATCGCCTTGCGGTGGGTGTCAACAGATTGAGCCCGGAACTGTGGGGTAGACTGGGCGATATCGAGCTGAGATTGGGGCACTTCCCAGATGCTGCCGAGGCTTTTCAGCGGAGTGTCAGTTCGAGCAACGGAGAGGAGGGCGGTGAAGGGGCAAGGACATGGAGCAATCTGGGAACGGCACTGTTGAGTTGGTACCGGGAGATCATCAAGGAGAATAAGGGCCAGACCGTAAAGGAGGTGAAGCGCGTCAATGACGATGAGGAAGACTTGGATACACCGACGAGCAAGGAGGAGGAAGGAGAAGGCTTAGACGCCACTGCGATGCCAGCGACTGCTCGTGCCGCCGCACTCAACAAGCCTGCCTACAAGCTCATTCAAGACGCCCTCCAAGCATTCAAGCGCGGCGCCACTATTGCCAGCACGAACTGGCGAATCTGGGACAACGTCGTCACTCTCGCAGCCTCGCTCTCGCCGGAGCCTGCACTCGACGACGTCATCTTGGGCACAAGGAATGTTATCAGAATCCGGGGCAACGAAGAGGCGCTCGATGCCGAAGTTCTGGGACTTCTCCTAAGAGAGGTGACCAAGGAGCCGCCGGCAAGCACTGGGGAGGCCGTCCACCAACCAGATCGCGGGAGTCTGCAAAGCAAGGTCATTACGCTATTCGAGGACATCATCGTCCCGCTCATAACAGCCAACTCCGAGGTTTGGTCCCTGATCTCGCGCCTCCGTGCGTGGCGCCGTGACTACGCCGGTGCCTTGGACGCCGCAGAGAAGGGTTGGCGGGCGGCAACGGGCGGCGGGGCGGCGAGCTCGCTCTCGGCATCGTCGACGACGACGACGTCTCCTACGGCTGGCAAGTGGCAGTCGGGCGAGAGCAAAGACGCCTGGGAGACTGTGGTGTCGAGGACGAGCGAACTGGTGGCTGCATATGAGAACTGGGGACCCAGAGTCGAGGCGGTTGGCGACCGGTGGAGGGGCAAGGCGAGGAGCGCCGCCAGGAGTGTCATGGGCAAGGGCAAGGAGAGCTGGGAAGGGAGTGAAGGCTGGAGCTTGCTGGAGGGACTGATGGCAGATCTGAAGATATGATGGGGGGAAGACGGATAGTCAATTGCGATAGGAGCTGAACAGCTGGATACCCGATGGGTTGGGCATGTTCAGATGGTCTGGGACGGATTAGAGAGTTGCACGAAGCAGGTCCGCACCTAGGCAGCCAAGGGCGTATTTCGTGATGGAATGCCAGCTAGTGCTCATAGAGATTAAGCCAACATGAAGACGAGAATCCTCTGAAACTCAAGCTGATGATCACATCTTGAGTCGTGACCACTGGCCTATGGAAACGAAGTCTGCTTGGTAACGCATGTGACGGACAGACTGGGACCTGTGACGAGGCTAATCCCCAAATGCAACCAGCCGCTGGCCGTCTCAATTTTCCAGGGTCTTCTCCAACGGGGCGGCGGCCGCCACCAGATCCTAATGGAAATCATGCATGGCGATGGCCGGGTCTCCAAAGAAGCCGTTGGGGAATTTGGGGAATGTGCCTTTCGCAAGCCAATCAGCCTGCTCGGTAGTGATTTCATTCTCGACTTCGAATATATATGCCCTCCCCCTCGACCCAGACATGCCGACCTACACACGATACGCCCATTGCCATGTTCCATTGAGCAACGTCGCGCGCACCGACGCGTCTCAACCTTGAGGTCCCTCCAGGCCCCGTACCATAGTAATGGCGCGATTCAGCTGGGCCCCCACCGAACTAGGGACGTCGTCAAATAGCAGGCCTCGGCGGGATGGGAGAATGGGTCCATCCCCCGTGGTGGGTGGATACGAGAACGGGTGCCGGCTGGCCCTGGACGCCCGATATCCAGACTGAGGCGGAAGAGAAGCAAGAGGTGTCGGGGGGCCAACGAGGATGGGCGACCCATGCATCATGTGGGCACGCGTTAAGCCGAAAACCAGGAGCAGATAAGGGAAGAAAAACGTCGCGTCGTTCGATTGTTCCTGACTAATAGAGCAAACTGCCGAACCCGACTCCGAATAGCTTCTTTTGTTTTTCTTTCTCTCCTTCCTGCTGCTGCTGCATCATCGTCACCACCATCGTCCTCCCCCTTCACCACACACGTCTCTACGGCAAGTTGATTGCAACTACATCATACCGTCAGCCAAGATCACCAGACCAGCAATCCGCCCAGCCAACATGTCCAAGGCTTTCGTTCAGCGTCCGGCCCCGGCCTTCAAGGCCATGACCGTCTTTGCCAACGGCGAGTTCAAGGAGATTGAGCTGTCCGACTACCTCGGTCAATGGTATGTCTAATTGCCTCCCATGACATCCTATCGTACTCCATCTGCCTGCTTCCCTGCCTGCTCGCGAACCTATCTGCGGCGATGCTGACACGGATGCCCCTTTCTTCTAGGGTCGTCCTCCTGTTCTACCCTATGGACTTCACCTTTGTGTGCCCGACCGAGATTATCCAGTACAACGACGCCCTGGCACGCTTCCGCGCCATCAACACCAGCGTTCTCGCCCTCTCGACCGATAGCCACTACTCGCACCTGGCATGGCAGACGCAGCCGCGCAAGCAGGGCGGTCTGGGCCCGGACCTGCAGCTGCCCCTGGTGGCGGACCGCTCGCAGAAGATCTCCCGCGACTACGGTGTGCTGCTCGAGGACGAGGGCGTCGCCCTGCGCGGCCTCTTCATCATCGACCCCAAGGGTGTCCTGCGCCAAATCACCGTTAACGACCTGCCTGTCGGCCGCAACGTCGAGGAGACCATCCGTCTCGTCGAGGCCTTCCAGTTCACCGACGAGCACGGCGAGGTTTGCCCTGCCGGCTGGATGAAGGGCGCCAAGACCATGAAGGCCGACCCCAAGGGCAGCCTCGAGTACTTTGGCAGCGTTGGGGAGCAGGGCGCCAACGGCCACGCCAATGGCCATGCCAACGGTAACGGAGTCAAGAGGGCTCGCGTTGAGTAAATCGGAGACGTCTGCAGCATGCGTTAGTGTATACCTTTAGGAAGAATCAGCAGGATAAAGAGGGAGGCACAGAAAGACTAGATTCATGTGCGCTATAGATGTAGACATAGATGTAGACTAGACCACAGCAATGCCACGATATGAACATATTCTCGGTCGTTCTTTCACATAACTCGGTGAACCTGTAACGAACTGTGCATAGAAATAGTTATGATCCCATCACAAAGATAACCGGTGACCCAGAAGTGATCGCCACTAATGGAAGGAGGAAGGGAATGGAATGTATTCTTGCTAAGCTGAATCCAAATGAATGGCCATGAAAAGTAAAAAAGAGAGCTCTTGACGGGGGCAAGGTTCGAACTTGCGATTCCCTGGTGTTCAGCAGGCCCGCCTAACAGGTAAGGCCTGCATTCTCACACCTCGGCGTGTTACCACGGGGCTACACCACCTCGCCGACAGAAACAGCGCTCAATTAGAGCATATGTGCCAGTCAGGAGATCCATCTTGAGGATACCTGATGCCTGGGGCCCCTGACCGAGGAACAGCAGCGTAAGTCTTGAGAGACTACCTACCCGGGCTACTCTATCATCGGTAACCAAAACGGTGGCGACGTGGTAGAAAACACCACTGGGGAAAGTGACACGCGCCACAATTCTCGTAGTAATCGTGGTGTGTAAACTGTCAGAGAACATACACACACACTGGCCCTATTGGGTCGGCCTGGATAGCCCATGCACGAAGCCGAGCTGTTTCTAAGAGGCATCTCAAAACAACCTCTTTGCTGGCCAGCGTGTCTTCCAGACAATCATGCCCGCCAGATGCTTGCTGCTGTATATTCAAACTGCAGATATCAAGATTCGGATCTTTCAAGCTCCGCAAGCGTGAAAATTTGGCATTCTTGCCGAAAATGGCCTCTGCTGTCAGTATGACCGAATCGACGACGAGCGAAGCATGGATGCGCAGCACCGCAAGGTCGTGGAAGAGCGTATTTCCTAGGAAGATGATGGTGTCGTCTACAGGCCGGAAGAGCTCCTCCCGGGCTTCTCTCCATCCCTGAAGGGCGTGCCCTTGGTCTTAGGCATGGCGCAGTTGTGCCTCGGTCACGCCGCTCACTGAAGTTCGCCAGTCGCTTATACCCTGTCCAGGGTCGACAAAGGTGTGCATCAGCTTCTCGCCCGTGAAGAAATTGACGACGCAGATCAGCGCGAGCTCCCAGCTCCCGTCAGGGAAGCCCACCATCTCGCAGTTCATCGCAATTGCCCTGCGTTTCGGAGCGGCATAGGTACTAAGCGGCGGTTCTTTGAAGTAAGACAGTAGGTAGCCACGTGTACGATTATTTGACTCTGAATCAACACGTGAGGTGTAGTGATGCATTCGCAGCCGCTGTGGAGTATGCGTTTCATCGTAAAGAGATGCCCATATACGGTTCTTATCGGCCACGGGAATTATGGTGTGTATATTTGTCAGGCACCGGAAAATGGTAGTGACATATTCTCCAAGGGCTTTGGTGGACGATCAGTCGCGGTGAAAGCCAAGCGGTCGAGGGAGACCTACATTTGTCAACGAGTAACTGCTTCTCCGCCCTCCTGGTCCCTTCGTACTTGTGTACTACATGGCGCAAGCCAGGTTTCGACGCCGGCCGCTCGTGAACGAAGGTGTCCCCGCCTTGAGAGGGTAAGACCCTGTGGCCCTGCCGATGCCAGAAACGGTCGGGCCTGGCTGGATGGCGATCGCGGCAGTGATATGCTAAGGCCTGACGACCACGAACACCTTGTAGCATTCTACAGAGAACCGGACCCTCATATGTCCCGTGCCCCAGGCATGGTCGCTGGCGGCTTCTCTGTCACTCCACACCCCAGGACACTGGTCGCAAGTGAGTGCGCGAGGAACACAAGTCCATGGTCGAGAGCCCATTGTGATCCAGTAGCAGCCTGGCGTTCGCCGTCTGGTCAACGAATATATGCGCTGGTCCATGGAGGGAAACCGTTTTGGAGGGACCCTAGGCCAAGAATGCTAAGCTATTAAGTCCGTGCTGCGCAACTGAGTTACACAGCTTCAGCTGGGTCAACGCTCCCATCCTTGTAAATTTCCAATTGGTGAGACTGACCTGATACAAGATCAGACATCGCTGACGAATAATTGACAACATCGGAGCAATATCTACTCTTAAGTCGTAGATTAGAATTATTGTGCATATCACAGCTATTCAACATTAATGGATTGCAATGGGAATGGGGTATCGTTGTCTCCTCATGTAACTTAGTTATTCGTTTGACGGTTAGAAACACTTTTCAATGCTAGGTACCCCCGGCTGCGCCGAATCGCTTTCTCAAAAATTTGTGGGTTCTTCCTTTACTGTAGTGCTGTGATAACTTCTTCGGCCGCTCGCACCCCGAGAAACCTACCGTCTCTACTTGGTGGTGGGAGACAACCCGTTGCGAGCCATAAAGGCCGAATGGCCAAGTATCTTATCCTAATCCCCTCGGTGCCTTCGAGTAGGCGACTACGAAATGTTATTGCATGTGATAGGTAACCTGCTAAGTCTCAGGTATGGTACTTGGAACGAGGCGGAGTTCGCTATAGTATGTGCTATCTGCAATGGCAGGCCAAAGAAACTGCCCTACACAGCACGGGCACCGACCCATCTTTGCAGGGCCACAGGTCTGGCATAATATACGCCCAGAAGCTGAGCCGAATAGTCCAGGGTTCATTGGCCCTTGGCAATGACCTGAATTCAGAACCTCTGTGGTTCGTCAGATCAACTTTCTCTCCAGTCTGTTCTGAAACAATCCCGGGAAACTGACTCGACTCAGCCTGGACTTTGGACCACCAGTGACGGCATGCCATTTTCGTTGGGTTCTTTTGAACCAACCCCTTTCTGTCGAACCAACTAGATGTCTGAATGCGGGAAATTCCTTTCCTGTTCCCTTTCGAACGTACAGTGCTGCCAAGGCCATTCACAGCCTTAATAAGGTAGTTTGCTCACCACATACCGGATTGCCGTGGTGAATTGCCATTTCGGTTGTCGATGGCCCAAGGAATTTTTCCGATGGCTTTTGCGGGGTAATTTCCGTCGCGACTAGGGTCATAACAAGCTCGAGATGCGAGGCAAGGCTTGCTCCGTGCCAATATAGGTAAGCGTGCGTGGGGATTGCCTATTGGGGGTCTTGTATACGTAACTGTTCCCAAGTCATGTTTTACACGAATCTTTGCATCCGGATGACATACACTCAAAGTCCCCTTTGCATAGAAGTTCGCCAGGCGACGCAACTGGCGCCCACGGTCTGATGCCTTTATTTGATGCTTAAATGGCTTGTTTCTATTGACGCGCTAAGTAAAGATCTGCATGTCCTCGACAGGCCTCAACCATTTCGGAATTGTTACACTGCCGGTTTAGTCGAAACTCGCTTCCAAAGTGTTAAAAACGTGGGGTACCGGCACTTCACATGCAGCCTCAAGAAGCGAGACCAATTAAGATCGCTGTGCCCGAATGCAACATCAGGGCGTACGGTCCTGTGGTACTCAATGAATGTATCGTTTTGCATTATCCACAAGTTGTAAACCGGGGCAAAGGGAGAGTATTTCTGATAAAACTATGTACGTTGAATAAAGCTATGTACAGCCACGAGCTCTCGGCTTCATGCATTCTCATCCCATTTTAACACTTGCAGGTAGGCCCTTGACTTGATGAGCACCCAATCGAGTATCAAATTGGATTCCTCTAGCGCTTCAGGGTCAGCAGACCCGGTCGGTAAGGCAGGAGGCCGTAGTCGCCGCCGGAGCTGGGGGCCCGTCCTTGGTAGAGGAGCTGTAAGTTGCATGGATCGACCGTCATTGTCTGGTCATTGGTACTGCGGATAAGATCACCGTGACTGATGTCGTTGGTCCAGGTGGCGCCGCTGTTGGCCTTGCCGGCAAACGGTGCGCTCTCGCTTGTAGCCTGGGCCGTCCACGATCCACTCAGGCTGGTAGCCGTGTACGAACGGAAGTACCGACCATTACCTCCAATCGACTCAACGATCATGAGATACTTGTTCTGGCCCGCTAGGGTATAGACCTGCACTGCTTCAAATAGGTTGTTGGTCGAGTCGCTCATGATCACGGTGGATGAAGAGCCGAAACTGCCCGGGAAATTTCCAATAGGCATGCTGGCCCGGTAGATCTTGCCATTGTCTCCTGCAAAGAACAGGTACATATTCGAGCTGTCGCCGATAAGCGTCTGGTCGATGGGACCGGTACCGGATCCGCTGATGGACCCGGTAAAGAGCGGCTGGGGCGATGACCACCCATTCTGGTTGGTAGGATTGCTTGACGTTCGGTACGAGAACGCAGTCGGGCCCCATTGATGGGCGAGAATCCAGATGCTCTTGGGTGCGAAATAGAAGAGAGTTGGGGCGACAGCGCCCGAAGACATCGCGTTTTGGCTAGCTGAGCCCATGGCAGACCAGTCCGAGAAGGTGCTAAAAGCCATTGAGCCCCAGCTCGAGCCTTGGTCGTGGGTTGTTCCATATACGAGATGCTGACCATTGTAGGGGACGTGAGTGAAGTCCTTTAGAGAGGCCCATCCCGACTTTGGGTTCGCCAGCGAGCCGCTCGAAGTCCATGTATACTTCGATGGAAGATCGCACGCCCTTGCCGAGACAGGCTCTGCTGGGACAGCGGCTGCTGAAACGGTGGCTGCCAACGCAAGTAGCGTGGTGCCGGTCGACACTAGGCTGTCGGACTGTAGAAATCTCATATTGAATTTTTTTTCTTTCTTTCTCCCTCACAAGAGTGGATAATGAATATGAGTCTGGTCAAGTATTCGAAGATATAGACCTGCGAGCTGAGGCGGACGGCGACGATGGCCAGGTTTATATAACTGCCTCTGAGCCTGAGCCCCCTGCACTCTTTAACTGAATAAAAAGCGTGACCCGGGTCACTTGCCTCTTGAAAGCTTGGTATCTTTCTTATTCATGGATTATTACCAAAAACAAAGTGATCTCTTGGAGAAATGCTCTCTGGTTGCCATTGAAGCTACCTCTGCCGGACCCAATTACTCCATCCATGTTGCGGGGACGTACCCCGGACCCGACCCGAACACCCGGGACACGATTGCCCACGAATGGCGGAACTCGGCCATTTTCGTGTGCTAAACATGCGGCGCGACAAATGGGCTGTAACCGGGGTAAGAGTAATTGGGTTATGCGCATAGTATGAAATCTAGTGTCGTGCGACAAGTGTGCCTGACGCGAAATCGCACGTCATTGGATAGGCTATCACAAGTAGGTGGGTCGAGGAGCCGGTTATGCCTTCTTCGCGTTTTAATCCCTATCGAGTCTTTGCCGCAGGGGTCCAAGAGACTAGGCGATGTTGCGATGTTAGGCGCTCCATTCACGCAGCAGCGCCTTCTCACGAACTACACCTGAGTAAACCACATCCGGAATTGATCGGCGTTGCATCACCATCGAGTCTGAATGGGCTCTGGTCCCTGCGTAGCCTGAGCACGACCTGACCATGACAATGAATAATATACACATGACGTGCTGTACATGCACGCGTACACGGTCAACCGACTGGCCAGTAAATCTTCGTGGCGAAGAAGCGTTTATAGACGATATAGTTTGAGAGAATGTTACAAGAACGAGCAGCAGATGATAAAAGCACTTGGGAGCGAAAAGCAAGTATGCTTGGTTGGTAAACCAAGCATCCCGATGAGACGATCATGTGTTCTCGAATGCATCGGATAGGTCTTGGCTCAAGTTATAAATCGCGCCAATATCATCTTTCGGGTGGCTTGGATTGGCGCTGGAGAAAAAACTCAAGGCCAAGTAAGTACACCTCATATTTACCCAGCACAACCTTTTGAACTACACATAGACGTAGCAGAAAGCCCCGCCATTTCCGCCAAGAGAATCATGGGTCTCCAGAAGCTTGATCGGGGGGCCGAGCCATTCCATGTCAACCACAATATCCATAGGGTCTGTTGCCCGTCGGTGGGGCATCGACATGCCTCCAGTTGGGACAGCATTGAGACGAACATCTGGATCTTGCATCTGCCAGATCCACCACAAGCGGTCAAGTGCCCCGTGGTGAAAGTAAAAGCCAGGGTCGCCGGGCGAGGTGTTGGGATCACCACCTGGGTCGACACCGTGGATGTAGTGACCTGCTGTATGAATCTAATTTCACGGGGTTAGGTATGATTTTTCTGTAGGTCTAGGATGTGTGATGATCAGGAACAGAGGGAGGAAGAAGAAGAAGAGGAGGAGGAGGAGGAGGATGAGGAGGAGGAGGTGGTGGTGGTGGTGGTGGTGGTGGTGGTGGTGGTGGAGAAAGGGGAATGACAAGTATGGAAAACGTACACCCCAGGGATAGGAGTCATTCTTTGGCGGTGGTGTTCCTAATAGTTGATTGTAAAAGCCATTGATGTCTTTGTTGCCACTAATTAGACTAAAAGCCCGATCGGCCGTGGCCCCCATGGCCGAGTTGCGGTTAATGTCACGGCGCAAGCAGCGCGGGTTAGAGCCAGTGCCATTGGTTCTAGGATTTTTTGGAATATCATTGGCTGTAGACATTGAAGTAGGGCCAAGGCTAACAACCATACTATGGCAAAGTTAGCTACTGACTTAATTTGTATCGAATCACACTGGAATGAGGGCGTGGGTGTAGAGATAACTAACTCTGAGAAGGGCCCCTCCGTGACGCACCCTCCGCCACCTCCCGTTTTGATGATATTTGGAGTTCGGCCGGGCTGTGCAACACCCTTATATCTAGGGTCCGGTACACCATTTCCACCCAAACTGGACGCATTGCCATTCCACAAGGGCGAGTTAATTGGATCCTCGGCGTAGCGATCATAATTTTCGTACTACTGCACAGTTAATAACGCCACAGCGCGATGATGAGGTGTATTGTTGCTTACGTACGGGTTGGTAACCAGTATACCCACACTCCTTGCGAAGGGCCTGCTCGTATAACCACACAAAATATTTATGGGCGCCAAAGAGGTGATAATTGTCGTGCAGTTGCATAGCGTGAGTCATGTGATACGCGACGAAGTCATCAAATCGACTCAGGGCACCTGGAAATCTCGTCTTATCTGCTTTTGGAGGCAATTTCATCAAGCACTTGACGGCGGCAACATATTCCTCTCTCTGTGTAACGCTTAGATCGCTCCTGTTAAGTACGTTAGCTCAGAACAAGGGCTCAAGGCTCTAGGCTCTTGTAACCACAAAATACGGACCACTCTCTCCGCACAGCTGCATTCTCCAGCGTGCAGTTGTTGTTCTTGCCCGTGGCAATCTTTTTCGACATCCATGCTTCGACCTTGGGCATGGTGGCTTCTTCCAGCTTGTCAACGACATCGAGTGGATAGTAGCCATTGCGGATCCTAGGAATTCTGGGTCATCAGTGGAAGCCGGGTGGGAGAACGACCATAAGCGGGGAGCCTACACTTCGACGGGCCCTCCTACTGCAGCCACTCCGACTCTCACCAGGAGGCAAGGCACCAGAATAGTTCTCAGCAGCGCCAGCATGTTGAAGCATATGTTATTCCAAGTTGAATCTAGAGCTGGACATCACATATTAGAAGACCATCTTTGTTCAATCGGAAGGTCGAGGTGTTATAAAGAAATGTTCCCCATATTTGCCCCTACCGGCTCAATCCATCAATCTCGGTGGGAATCTGTACCTCGCCACGGCACTTGAAGTAGATGCAATAGCAAGACATACTTTTGTGACGCAACCAATAACAGCATTTACCGATATATAGCCGTGTTGATCATATGTGAAGCGCAATAGCGGGAGTGACCAATGAATTGTCCTGGCTAAATTGTAAAGGGTAAACTCCGATCGACACACCAATAGATACTGAAAATATCATCGGGAAACGAGTCCGACTTAAATACACGTTTCGGCAAAGGTTTTCTATGCTATTGTACGGATGTCTAAATTGGATGCTACTATTTGATTGAACTGGACGCCGCGCATGCGAGTCGGAACACTTTCAAAATGCATACCAGCCGGTTTCAAAGAAAACGAATCCTTTGGACGATGGTAATATGTTGTCTATGCCCATAGGTTTGTAAAAGTGGTTCAAGGGCTAGCATTAGTTGGCTTTCCTTTTAATATTTCATCAAATTCGCTATCTAAAAATTTACACTTTCTAACTCCCCTCCTTTTACAGCTATAAGGTAAGGTTTGATCTAAAACTAGAGACAAATTTTCGACAGTGTAAGCTTGAAGGACTCGAGATAGCCTGATCTAAACTATGCTCGAGCCTGCTCACTATTAATAGGGTCCTACGTTAAGCTATGACTTAAGACAAAAAGACTTATAACTCCATAGTTTTCACTAGGATATAAAAGTAAAAACAATAAGTAATAATACGGTTCGGTGGAAAAGTAATTCTTCAGTCGTAGTCTACAAGTGGTATCGAAGAACTCTTTATGAGTAGATAGGCCATCTCCATAAACGAGTCAAGAGCGACGTTGTTGAATTATAATACAGCAACAGCAGCGAAAACTCCAAGAACTAAACAAGAACGAATTGAGGAAGCCCCAGATGTAGCAGCATCAGAGATCGTTGGTGCCGCGGGCATCGCAGATAGTGATACCGATACCGAGGTAGCAGATCTGCTGCTCATTATGAGACTTGACACGCTTCTACTTGACATACTAGGGACGCTGGCGGTAGTCACGCAGTTGCCTTTGGAAGAGCTCGTTGAGGCCACGATTACCGGGATGCCGCTTCTGCTTGCATTTCCAGTAGTTGGGGGAGTATATATACCGATCGTGACGTTTCTAGCAGGCTGGCTATAGATTGATGCTGAAGATGTCGATGGCCTTATTGTCACTTGGCTGCTGACTGGCGATGAAGTGATGCCCATACTTTGCTGTGTGGCGCTCCTGCTCGACAAAGCTGTTGGAACTCTAGGAACAGGAATAAAAGACAAGGTTACGGTGCGCGTGGAGGCGACTGAAGAAGGCAGAGCAGGCCGCGATGTCGACGTTGTCGGCGTTTAGGGTACCAGGTCGTAGTGATAGTCACGACGCCTGTGGTCGTACTACCTCTGGGGCAGTTGGTTACAATTGGGAGACAGGAAGTGATTTTGTATATTGTGGTCCGTTTAAACGTCGATGTGAAAGCATACAGCGAAGCGATGTTTGTTGACACGCTTGTTACTAGTGGGGCGGTGGTGGCCGGGCAATACGTCGTGAGCTAGGTGAGAGTTTGTGTCGTGACAAATCTCAATGGACAGTTCGTGTGGTTCGCAGCACAAGAAGTGGTAGAAAAGATACGTGTTGTGAGAATGGTTAAGATGATCGACGAGGTGGTTGTTGGTATATTATTGATAGAAGAGACTAGCACAAGCGTATTTTTTGTTGGATTCGAGATCACAATAGTGTCCGATGGAGCTTCACTTAGTGAAGCCACGAAGGTTGAGGTTGCAAGACAAGGCGAGTCTGTAGGTGCCGATGTAGTTGATCTTGTAGAGCCCGATGAGGTACAAGACACAAAATGTTGCGACATTGAAGCAGTCGATAAAAATTGACTGCTTGATCGGGTTGTTCGAGACGATACTGGTGAGGTAGCCGTAGACAAGAGTCGACCCACTGATTCACCTGCGCTGGAGGACACGGAGAGCGTTGTCGTGGTCAAGAAGGAAATTGTCAGGCTGCTCGTGGCGGAAGATATCGATGGTATAGTTGACGAAAAAGAGGACGTGCTTAAAATGCTAGAAATTGTTGGTATAGTCACAATCGTCGACGATGAAATCATCCAAGACAGAGAAGTACCACAGGCACCCGGGACCGAAGGCACGGTATCTGCATCCGAAGTGATAGAAACAATATTGGTGCCGTAGTTCGCAGCGTGCACAAGATGAGTGTTGCGGTTATCTTGGTCATAGACAACGCAGGCCGCACGAAGAAAGGAATCGCCTAATACCGGATCGCCTGCAGTAGTCAAGTAAGTACAATTGGATAAAGAAAGTGTAGCCAATAACGACAGGGCACCAAACACTTACTGTTATCAGGCAAAACTCCAACAACACACAATTGTCAGTTGGGGATAGTCCATATGAAGTTTTTGTACCAAACTCGGATGATACTGTTGCCAAAGCCAAAGTCAATGCTGGCATTCAAAATCGCATCCTGGCAATCAACTATGTACAACCATGAGCCTCCTGGGTCAAGTAGTGAAGAAGGAAATGACTTTCCAATGGCATTGTAGATACCAGTCGGTAAGTAACTGAAGGTATTACCACTGTCGAGAAACACTGCCAACGGGGTGCCAGTGTAGAAAGTTTGAGTGATTCCATCAACTTTGGTCGTGCTAAACGACTTCAGCCCAACCCAGCACCTAGTATCGAGTCTTTAATTTGAGGTTCAATGATCAGGCAATATTACTTACCGGTCGTCCTTGGTTGCAGAAAGGTCTATGATTGCGACCTTCTCTAGATTCCCACAATATTTGCCCTTGTCAATACCTCCAAAAATGACAGAGCCTGAGGGTGTCTCAGTAAGCAAGCCGGATAATCTATGACAAGAGTGCTTACTAACTGCCGAATCAGCGCTGCGCAAATTAAGGGTGAATGCCTGACTCTGAATAAAGTTCTGCGATTTCAAGCTGTCAAGAATACACGGATAAGATTGTTGAGAAGCTCCAAGGCGCGGCCCAACACCGAGAATACCAACATAAATATCTACCGAATTGCTGGTCTTGAATCCTGGCAGCTAGAGAATTTCATTAAAGTCATGATTCGTGTAAGTTTCCATCAGTATCAACTCACCACCAGCAGTCACGAAATCCTTCAAATATTCAATGTTTACTGATGCTTTGCCATAATTCAAAGTGTTTGACATTGCAGTGTCTGAAAGAGATGTGCTCTTGCTGGGGTCGAATCGAGGAAGCTTGTTGCAGAAGGCGACACTGTTGGCGTTATCAGAATTGGCAAATGTTGGGTTCTATCAATCAAGTAATAACTTCAAGACTCCATCTGAATGTATAGTTGTGACGTCGATGGCGGTTTACTTACAACCCGGAGCTCAGAGCTTGCAGAGTCGATCATGACAGTGACCTCCTGAGGCGTTGTTCCAATATCGAGGTCAAGAGTATAGATCGTCCCAGTCAATTGATTCGCAAGGGTCTCTGTATCCTGTCTTTTGACGTGACGTGTGGAACTTACATTGACAGGTGAAACGACCTGGCGAATGTAGCCGTTACCGACAACCGTCCCGGCTACGGAACCCAGCACTGCCAAGCAAAGAAAAAACGAGGGACGGCGTTGAAGGCATGATGGCCAGTGAACGAAGGCCTGGAGATCAAGCAAGATGCGAATGAAACTCATCGGAACCAAACACACAGTAAGTTCCATGCAAGTTCTTATATATCCAGTATCAAACAGTTACAGTTATGACCGGTTGAATTCGCCCCCACACATGATGAGTAATGTATATAGATAGGCTACGTGGATTTTAGCTCCAGTATGCTAGCTGCTAGACTGAACAACGAACTCATGCGTACCTGCATGGAAGGCTTACTTTATTGAACATCTAGCGGGGCCGCGACTAGGATGAACCGGGCGAGGAAAAGCAAATATGCTAGAGAACTGGAGAGTTTATGCCTCGTAGGTGGGTAGCATAGCTCAGTAATCGGGTAAGACGCTTCCCTCCGTCGCTCTCCCCTATTACCCCAAGGAATTGAGTATCAACCAGCCACGCGTGTCATTGTAACGCTAAGGAGGATCTGACGGTGCGGTCAACACGAATGCGGCTGAATAACGCCATTCTCGCTTTACTGTCCGGTTCACTTGCAAGTGCACATCACCTGCCCGAATTACGAAACCCTTGCCAAGCTCTGTTTACCTATCAACTGAGCAAAATATGATGATTGTTCTGCACAGCGATTGAGCTTAACCAAGGATACCAGGTCGAGCGACTCATGATGCATCATTTGTTCGACATAATCAACCATCTCCAGGGCCAGAAAGAGCAAGAAATCTCACAAGCTTGTTGATTATTCTACCGAGTTTGCCAAAACGCTTAAGAGTTGCGTCAACACCGACACACTCAGTGCAATCGTTTAGGAAATTGAGAGTTTGACATGGGGATTATGGATGATGTGGAAACGCGGATGGTTGTAGGTGCGCGAATTACCAAATTCACAGGCTCTAAATGTCTCATCCTCAAAGATATATATCGCAACGTAGGAGTATCACAGGACGATACTGGGCTAGGTTATCGCTATGATATCCCATGTGATCATTGGTTTTGAAGTGTTCAAAATTCAGCTTGAGAGTCGCAAAGTGGGCACCCGTAAGCCTCGTGTTTCTTGCCCATCTCATGTTCAGCTGGCCTTTATTGTGTCCAAAGACACAAGTGGCTCTAGCCTACGCCGGAAATGGATACTGTGGGTTCGGAATGAACTATGTTTGAGATTCCCGGGCCTCGTTTCAAGGAGGACTCTAACACGACTAGAACTCTGTGTCTGAAAGAGAAACCCGGTCACAAGGTGGGATCGATAACACGAGGAAAACTGTATCACAGGTGCTGTGGGGGCATACACCAATTCAATTCTTTTACTTACCTCCTTAGTTTAAATACCATTGAATATGCAACATGGTGGATCGATCAGCGAGCAGCTAAAGAAGTGTAGAAATCGATGTCCTTCTGAGTTCATCTACTTGAACAGTCAAGTTTCGTCTGCTCAGCATATTTATGCACTGGCGCTCCCTGAATTGGAACATTGGCAAGACATATTGGACAGCTAGCTGTGGAGATTATCATATAATGCAATGTGTTCTTGTATCTTCCTCCACGTCCGAGACTAGCAACTCAGTTCTGAGACGTAGCTTTGGCTGGCGCGCTCTTCTTGGCGGAGGCAGCAGCTGTTGGACTTGCAGACTGAGTAACAACTGATTTGGCAGACTGAGTACCAGCTGACTTGGCAGATTGAGTACCAGCTGATTTGGCAGACGTCGCCTTGGCTTTCGATGAAGAAGCCGCAGCAGCAGCATCAGAGCTAGAGGTTGAAGCAGCAGCCGTCGCGCTTGATGTTACAACGGAAGAGGCCTCTCCGCTGGCATCAGCGGCGGCTGTAGCAGTTGGCGCACCAGTAACCTCCAGACACCCTGTGGGACGAACAGCAGTGACATCAGCTGAGCCAGCGGCAGCAAAGTACTTGTCGATATTTGGGAGACTGTAAACATTAATTATTAAAGTCTTAACATAAACTGGTGATGGATTTACTTACACGTTGACACATCGGTTCTGATTGATGGCATTAACATCTGCCTGTGCAGTGTCTGGTCCTTTGTCGACCATCTTCTGAAGCACATCAACCACCATCTGGAAGGTTCCTTGCATAGCGAGTACATTATTGGCATCCTGTACATCAGTCTGCATTCCTATGGCCGCATCCAGAACCATCTTGTGGTTGAGTTCATCCTTCTCGGCGTTGAGTGCGATGGTGGCCTGCCGAGTGAACTCATCGCCGGTGAACGAAGTAGCCGTGTTGAGGAAGTTCGTGACCTTTCCGGTATCGTTCTGCCAGGATTTCACCGCGTTGGCAATTTGAGTGTCGCTTACTAGCTGCATGCCCACTGCAACATTGGGAGTCAGTAATTTTCTTACTGTGTCTAATTAGAGGTGTAGAGCCTCTGAAGAACTAGTCTCTGGAGCTCCGAACTTGGGATCCCAATGGTACATACTCGTGACGCCGTTGCTGTCCATTGGGCTGGGCGCAGCTTTGGTCGAATTAGCAGCTGCAGAAGCCGAAGGGCTGGCCGCGGAGGTAGAGTTGGATGACGCAGTTGCCGCAGGCTTAACTGAAGATTTTTTTGCAGAGGTACCTGCCGGGACAGCGGCACTGAAAGCCGGTAAGAGGGCGAAGAAAGCCGTGAGCAATTTCAGGGAACGCATAGTGGCTGATAGTAGTTATATACGTGTCTCTTTTTATGGCGAGAATAATACGGATATGTTTATGGGAGAGGAGAAAAGAAAATATTAGCGAATTTACTTTATGTCAACCTTACAAAGGGACAACGGAAAGAGAGTGTATGATCGTGATGAAATGAGAGTGAGCACCTTCAAGGTGACGAGATCAGCCTGTGGGGAGGGAAAAGGTCCGAACGCGGGCTCTGGCTGATGACAGAAGTTCGGCCATTATCTATACTAGATGAATTGCGCGGGCTTGAATGCAAGGTGAAAGATCGCAGGGCAATGTAACAGCCAAGACATCTCCATGAGTGACTGCAAATGCCCAGACCTGCCCAAACCTCGACCCATCCAGAAACACACATAGGGTACATGCATGAGACACTTCTTGTTCAAATAGACAAGGTCACACCCGTGGTTGGAAATGTCAGCGCCGATTGACTCCAGTGGAGATTGGCCGTAACTACGCGACCACGATTTGTTTCGCGGCAAACAACCTTAACCAGATCCATGCCGTGATCCGAGCTAGGATCACTCATTCGCGGTGTACCATTCAATGCTTGTTTTGCTGTAGCCAATCGCGACTATCCAAGCTCGTCAAGGGCGCCAAATGCGGCAAGCGTCGGTGTGAAACTAGCGACCGCATTGACACCTAGGAGTTGTTCATGAGGCTCAAACGATGAAACAGTAGTGTTTCGGCCAATAACGACCGCCTTCAAGAAGAACCTCCCTTTCGCCAAGATTTCTCCTTGTAGCGCATCATCAGGCCAGACTCCTTCAGCACCGGAGCATTCTGATCCGTTGGTCAACATCAGCCAACACGCTGCCGTCTTAACGTTATCACATCTTCTGCCCCTCAGACACCGCGATAGTGCAACCTGACGTTCATCACGGGAGCACAGGAAGTCAGCGGCAAGAGATCATGGCGGTGGTAGATGAGACTGATCCGAACCCGGATCATGCGATAACCCCGTAACATACAGCCCTGCTGAGGCTTGTGTTTTCTTATATGGTCAGCGTTTCTGTTGCTCTCGAATTGGACACTAGAGCGCAAAATTGGATCGTGCAATTGAATTGCATTTCGGCTTTACTCGTCGAAGGTCGTAGGGCAGCTTTGCCCCGTTCGTTCTCTTGTTCGCCTTACATTCTTTCGATTCGTACAGCCCCGGAGGTTGAGCTCTTTTCTAATCATAATGGCTTTCCGTTCGAAGATTCTTTCATTTCTTGCAGTCATCTACTGGCTCGGCTCACTCGTCGCTGCACAGGAGCAAACGGTTCAATTCAGCCAGGTTATCAATCTGAATGGTGACGTGAGTCCTGATGCGGGAACTTAAATTGGCTGCAATTTCACCATCACTAATCCGTTGATATCCAGATGCAATTGAATAGGCTCATCTTCCCTGATAATTCAAAAATCGAGACATTCTCTCAAGCTCAGAAACAGATTATTGTAAACCAAAACCCCAACCCATTGTCTGCCAATCATGTTGTCGGTTCTACAGGACAGCCTTTTGTGCAGCTGTCACCAAACTCAATGACAATCCAGACGAATAAGGCAACAGATCTTGTCGGTGCTCAAATCGAAATGCCAATAGACCCTGCTGTTATCCAACAAATGGGCGTCAGCTCAGACAATACCTTCGTTGCTCAGCTGTCCCCGGACAGACAGGCCTGGATCATTATGGAGGGCATTAAAAGTGTGAACACGTACGTTAAACGCGACAGGTCCTAAAGCTCAACACTATGAAATACCTCACAACATAGACATATATGTTAACGTGTCACAGTACTGATAATACCGTTCGCATGATCAAAATGACCAGCTTGGACGGCGAGTATATGGCCGTGGGCCGACAAACTGTCGAGACCGGTAACGTCCTGACAACCTTCAACCAGAACCAACAAGTCCAAATTTCAGGTTCTGGTATTCAAGAAGTCGAGTTCACCGATGGTTTTCGTATGTCTATCCGTGCTAGCCAGCCTATGACTCTGCAGGCCAACGTGGTCAATGGAATCAGCTCATCGATGACCACTGGCGGCATTATGTCTGTTAGTAAGTGCTTGGAATCTCACATGTTCCCTGGACAAGAATCTTGACCTCTATTTTAGATAACTATCGATACAAGGTGACATCGAACCTCGCCGGCGTATCGACAGATCTCAATTCCATGGTCGCTGTTGTCCAACTACCTTGTAGGCCCTAACATTTTCCGTGGGACGACCCACACTGATTTGCAAATTTTAGTAAATGCTCAGCGCATCATGGCAATGGCAAAACAAATGGGAGCGCAAGCCAACAGTGCTATTGCTCTCGGTGTTGCGCAGCGGGCGGTACTCCAGAACCCTGGAGGCTCATCTGTTCAAAACCTGAACCGGAAACGGCAGGAGGGCACGAACACAACATCTACAGCCATCGATTCTGCCAAACCAACAGAGAGCAAAGCAGCTTCATCTAGCTCTACTGTTACTGAATCTCTGTCTACAGCAGGTGATGCGAGTACATCCACTTCTAGTACAAATGCAGCTGCGACAAGTGCAGCACCGGACAAGCAACAGCCAGCATCATCTCCGACGGAGGCGCAAGCAACCATTCCAGCTGCCACTCAGTTACTTCTTTCTCCGACGTTCTCTCCCTTAAGCGGACAGCCTCTCATTGATGGTCAAAACAGCCGTATAGCCGTACCCGTCAGTCAGATTGATGGCGAATTCATCGTGACCATGAGTATGGCGGGGTCACCCGGTACTATACAGGTGACACCCGGTGCTCAAGCCCCGGCTCAAGGAGGGACCCCTCCTGGGGAAGTACAAGGGCAACCAGGAACAACTGCCCAACAACCCAATCAAGCGCAGGAAAGTAATCAGACATTGGCGGCTCCTGTTGGTGCCCCGGTCAAGAGGCAAACGCCTGCCGCTCTTTCGCAAGGGACTATAATCATGACTATGGCTCAACTTGGCGAGATGGCGCAAATTCAAGCTAGTGGAAGGGTTACACCGGTGTGGAGCATGATGACTGATTATCTCGCTCAAGAGGCGGCTCGGTCACAGGGTTCGGTGGCTGCTCAGAGTATCGATAATACGCTAGGACGACGTGGAGTACATTTCAAAGGCTAGCTGACTATGCAACTACGACGGCACCTTGTCATGAATTAGGTGCAAGAGTTGCCCGTGCAGGAAAACTTCAACTGTACATGGAGGGGGATTTTAATTGTAGCTAGCACCCCGTGAATCTGAAAAATACCTTTGCGTTCTGGTATCTTTGGACATTGTGGCCAACGCATGTCTCACGCGTATTAAGAGGCAGACGAGGCCGTGTACATGGTCGTCTTTGGTCATCTCATCGAACTATACTCCAAAATAAGGTTGCAAACAATTATTGAACATCGCTAATAAACGCTAACAAAATATGGACAGTATGAAGATCTGGCAACTGCGAAACAGCTGCCGCCCGACAACTCGCCGTCCCCAGGCGCCAGAGGCTATGTCTAGTTCAAGGGCCGAGCATGGCTACTCATTCTCAAGAAGGCTCGCGCTTAAAGCGACTTGGTAGCGAAACCAACCTGGGGAGTCGAGGCTCCGTTAAAAACAACGTAGGCCGCCTTCAGGGCAACATCACCGAAGATGTTGATACCAATATCAGCGCTGGACTGAAGTCCACCGAAGCAGGTCGATGAACCGTCAGAGACAGGGGAGAAGTTCATGTAGTCAGCCGGGATGACGATGCTGACCGAGCCAACGGTATATGTGAAAGTCGGCAGGGTGGCGGAGCACGGGAAGACGTAACCGCCCTCAGAGGAGGAATTCACGGCGCCAGAGACTTTGCTGTAGTAATTCTTGACGACGGAAGCTGGAAGAAGGAGCAGAGTAGTACCAGTGTCGGCAATACCGGTGAGCTTGGTGCTGTACGACGTGCTGCCAACTTTGTAGCTGCTAGCCGTGAAGTCCCAGAAGCCCTCGGATGTGTCGACAGATGTGTAAGCAATGGAACCAGTGTACTTGGAGCTGGTGGTCTTGCCGAACTCATAGGTACCGGCTAAATGAGGTTAGCATTCGCAGTAGCCCGGATTGGTTTCATATGACCTACGTTGGTTGTGCTTGAGGTCGACGGCAAACAGAGGTGAGCTCAGCGAGGACTTGACGTTGTCGAAGAATGTCTTCTGCGCGTTGGGCGAGACAGTGTTGATGCTGCTGAAAGCAAGTCCCACAAGTCCATCGTTGTTGGTATCTTGAACGAACTGGGAAGAGACCTTGCTGGCCGCCTCGACAGCTTGAGTTGCGAACGAGACGCCACCAATGTTGACGACATCGGTGTACACATCTCCAGAGGCGCCACTTCCATCGCCGTAGGAGATGCTCCAAGTGGACCCAGACAACTTCTTGGCCGTGCTGCTCTTGGACGGGTTGTATACGCTGTGGCCGCTCTGGGTACTCGAGGACAGCTCGGTGGAGAAAACCCACAGGTCTGCACTGCCGGTGTCGAAGTCCAAGTTCAGGGTGGTGGCTGGAGTTCCGATGCTCACGGGAGTGAGGTACTCGGTATCAGAATCCTCGGGTGTTGTTACTGCAGAGCCCGTGGTAGCACGCTTGGCGTGCGAGTTGTTGAGCGCAGTGACGAGGGACTCAGGCAGCGGCTTGCCATACTTGCGGTACGCCTTGGCCAAGGCGTGCGCACCGCTCTTCACGTAGTGAGGGTTACGGACCTGGTGAACAGTGAAGTCGTGGGTCTGGGGTCCCTCAACAGGGGCGGCTGAAACCAAGGAGGCACAGGCAGCCAAGGCCAGGAGGAGGTTCTGCGCAGTCTTCATCTTGAATGTTTGTTTGGCTAAGAGTCACCGACAAGTACTTTGCTCTGGAGTGCTGATGTGAGTGCTGCGTGGGATATCACTGATGGGGGAGGAAGCCGTATTTATATTCCAAGACCACAGGTTACTCATCTATAGACGAAGCCGGGGAGCTATCGTGATCCCTCGGAGGCGGCGATCGTCATCGCCAAGCTGCCAGCTCAACACCCCTGTTGCTGGGTCTCGCGACATATTGCAACTGTCAATGGTTTATGGAGTAGCGCTGGTCGTACCACACATTCGCCCAGTCGAGAGAAGGGACCAAAAGGCACGAAGACGCATATGGCAAGAGATTGCCAGAGTCATGACCAGGGGCGGAATTTCCGCGAATAGCTGGAGAGCCGCTGGGCGAGGCAACGGGGTGGCCCTCTAGCATCCCCACCTCTCCGCTTGATTGGCGAACGGGTGTGATCCAGTAATCTGTGCCACGAACCTCAGGATGCTGGCAGACGAGTTAGAATCAACGACCCGCGTGCCCTATCTGACCAATTGTGAGCCAAGTCGCAGGAGGTTGATTGCCGGAACTAGCAAGGTGCTTCACCCTCAAGCGGCGCTAAGCATCTCTGCTGAGATTCCTGTCCGTCCTTTGGACCAGGGTGCGCATTGAGTCGCGCACCCTCTCATCTTGGGCGTCGAGCGGGGCCCAAGTTTTGGGTTGCATGCGCTGCCGCATTGAGGCTCTGGTTCAGGCTTAGGGAGCCGTGTGTCCTGGAGGTCCAGAGATTTCCGTCGGCCGTGTGTGGGCCTCGCAGTCAAGTGGTGTGCCGTATAGATCACGACCTTCTCGATCCGGCCTGATGTTCTGAGCCTATGCTCATCACGCCAGTCAGCTCTGGCGAAGACGTTATCTGGCCGGTCAGCCACAACGTCTGTCGTGCGCCGACGAGCCCAGAGTCGTCGCGCTCAATCGCGCTCTCAGCCCGGATCGGGCCGCGATAAGCCCGGCATTGGAAGAATGCGATTCGCGTGAGACTGGCACACGTGGAGGCCGTGGTAGAGGCAGAATGAAGGGCGACGGGGTGGAGTAGTGGGCTGTCCCCCCAAATTCAGCAAACGACTCTGCACCAGATGTCTGATATCCAAAGCAGCCTGTCTTTGCCGCCCACCCGTCACCCGTCTAGATCCAGAAGGTGACAATGGCAAAGGAAAGCTTGTCCCCAAGGTTTCTGCAGGCAGACCTACCACGATATTGGATGGCGAAATCCATGGATCCAAGGCTCGGGGACCACCTGTAGCGCAGCGGACAAGCTTTTGGGGGCCGAGTCGCCGGTAGCATTGTCTGCAGGTCCCCAACCTTGGCTGAGCTTGGCTAGGCTTGGTTGAGCTTGTTTTCAGAGCCAAGAGCTTTTGGCAGGTGGTGAAGAAACTCAGGGGGCACCCCAGAACGCGGAGCCGAAGCCCGCTAACCCATTTTGTCAGGTGTTCTGTCGCAGCCGCAAGCCTCGGCGGCAAGGAAGCTGATGCGTCGGCCGCTGTCCATGCCGACATAGCACGTAACGACTGGACAGCGAATGCTTCTGCGCGGGCTGGAGACCCTGATTGGGTCGCTGGAGGAGGCGGCGACAGATAAACCATCCTTGGACGGAATCTAAGCTTCGAGGGTAGCATCCTTGGATGCAATCTCCGTCTCCGTCAGATGCTTAAAAGGAGACGTACTTTGGCCGAGAGCCGATCGTCAGAGCACTGGACAGTACTGCAACTAGTAGCGTAGTCTAACCGATCGACAGAGCAGCCACCCCTGGCCAGGGCACGTGCATCACGCTGATTGACTGCAGGTGAGGACTCATGGACACACGTAAATGCGTAATCGTTGGCCGGGTCCAGTTCAGAAGGGCTAATCACAGCCTACATAACTGCTCTGTGCTGCTGCCGCTCGACGGCCGGGTCCATGAGAGATATGTTCCAGATGCCACAGGGGAGATCCGTTAAGCAACCGAACCTGATCAGTTCATGGTCTAGCACTCTTCGGTGCAAACAGATTGCCACATGAATGGCCCCTTGTCTGTAAAACAAGGCGTCCATTGTACGATATTGCCGCATGATACCGCGTTTCTCTGCCCCTCGTGGCAAGCGTCAGGGAGGAACGCGGTGCGCGCTGATCGAGCGATGTATTGCTTGTGGTGAACATAGATTATCACAAATTTGCCATTGAACAGGTGCAGGCAAATGAACTCGCAATGTCCAAGAGTTTTCAGCCACGACCGGAATATGGATTATACCAAAGTTCGTTTCTGCCGTTGGCTGAGCCAAGTTGCTAGCCTCCTTTCTCGCGGAGGATGGTGAGATCTCGCTTTATTGTGACTGCCCATCCGTATTCGACATTGGAAGCGAGATCCATCATAAACGACCAATGATATCATAAATTCGGATCTATCCATTCTTCACCAATGGGATAAGGATTGACTTCAACCACAGTCTTTCTGGAAGACTTTGTTGGAAGAGGGTTCGGCGACATTACATTGGCTGCAAAGACGTCGCGAACTGCCACTCGGATAAGCCTTCAAACGTCTGGCAAGCTGTCAAATCATGCCGCGTTGAATAACTCGTGACCAGACTCTAGCAACGCGCAATCAAGGCGTCTTTTCAGATAGGGCTGTATCAGATTCCTCTCGGCTGCGGGACATCAGCTACTCATACTCAACTGTCACGTGGCGGGCTGATGCGGCGCATTGGAACTCAGGCGCTGCTGACTAGACCCAAGTGAAAACTCTCGTGGCTAACTCTACGAAACATATGAGCTCGACTGCTGAAATGCTACGGACTGTACATAATAAAGTGTAGTCGCTACAAGATCGATGGTAGAGTGCTTCCTTAAAAAGATAATTCTTCTTTTGGTAATATTGGGCAAACCATCCTGGGTAGGGCCAGTCCCTGTATTCATCCAGTCATGTCGGATTTGTGATTTGAAGGAGCTGTAAGCAACGGCTGAAGCGACTATAAGGCGCGATCTCATGGCCGGTATGGCAGTGTCTTACTCGACGGCTCTGAATACAACCATAAGAAAGCGAATAGGGCGGTGACGTGCCACCTCAAGACAACCACTTCTACCCGCTTGTAGGCCAGGATACAATAGCGCTACAAAAGAAAACCTCTCCGCATTGTTGCAGTATAGACATAATCCAGAGTTTCCGATGTACCAGTGATCATTGTACCCTAGAAGTGAGTTTCTAGTTTGTGGCGTATTCCTCGGAGTGGGGATTTCCAAAGAAGTAAGGATCTGTCGACTTGGCTGTGACGGAGATATATATTGATCTCGTGATGCATTTGATTACGGGGGCCAGCACGGGGCCATGACAGGCCGCGGCGCAGTACAACCTTGTCGACCCTGACCTTGCTGCAATCTCATTATTATATGAGAATTGGACCAGCAGACACATGTATATAAGTAGCTGAAGCCCAAAGCATTTATAAACAGCTTAAGTGCGAAGCTCTTCCCCGCAAACTTTGTGAACCTTCTTGTTAAGCAATCCAAAGTTAGCTATCTTATAAATGAAGGCTTCTGGTACCATGACACGTCATCCACTTCCCCATAATACATTAAAGCATCTGAAAAGGGCATTGAGCTCCATCTTCGGCCGTGAGACTGTTAGCATGGTCAAACAGGATGTGGTACCATGGTACAAGCCGCTACCTTTCTACCCTACCCTGGAAAAGGAACTGCAGAATCTGGGCGGACTCGAGGGGGTGATGACTTTAGCGCCACAAAAAGTACAAGACGTTCTCACTCCCGACCTGGTACACGAGGAACGCGTAATCGGTGGCCCAGACAACAATGACCTTACCGTATCGATTTTCCGCCGCGCCGGAAGTCAGGGAAGCTCTGAGAGGAAACTGGGCATATACGACATTCATGGTGGGGGGATGATTACGGGGACTAGGTTCACAACTGCGGCCTGGGCGCTACATGTCGTGCGGAAGTTTGACGCTGTCTGTGTCACCATCGAATACCGACTTGCTCCAGCACACCCTGATCCAGCTCCCGTAAAAGACTGCTATGCAGGCCTGGTGTGGTTGTCGGAACATGCTGCTGAGCTTCAAATTGACCCCTGCCGGATCCTTATTAGTGGATGTTCGGCAGGAGGAGGGCTCGCCGCCGGTGTTGCACTTCTTGCGCGAGACAGGGATGGTCCAAGCCTTATTGGACAGATGCTCATGTGCCCCATGCTTGATGATCGCAGTAACAGTGTTTCAGCTTATCAGATGGATGGGCTAGGAGTTTGGGACCGTAAAACGAATCTTCAAGGATGGACAGCGCTATTAGGAGATCGCAGAGGGACGAAGAATGTCAGCATTTATGCCTCACCAGCGAGAAGCAGGGACTTGTCTCGGTTGCCGCCCGTATATATTGACGTTGGGTCCTGTGAGACGTTCCGCGATGAAGATGTGCAGTATGCTTCTGGGTTGTGGAAAGACGGCGTTCAGTGCGAGCTGCATGTGTGGCCTGGTGGATTTCATGGATCTGATATGCTTTTCCCTACTGTTGATCTATCAGTAGAGGCTATCGATGCCAAGATGAGGTGGCTTCAAAGATTGTTGACACAGTTGGAATAACCCCTTACGATGCATCCTTCATGGGTTGAATTCATAGAGTAATCAGTAGCCACACTGGCTGTAACGGGATACCCGTTCAAGAATTGTGCATCGTTCGTGCACCATGCTGGGAGAGCTAGGAGGCTACGCTATGGAATCATTGTGATCATGCTGATACGGACGCATCAGAAGATCAGCTGGTTAGCCCAGCAATCGAAGTATGATGACAGTGTTGGTATCTTGGTCGATCTCTGTTTCATTCTTACGAAAAACTGGTCACAACGAGTGAAACCTTCGGATGAGTTATGAGGATAACCACCCGCTGCACCATTATAGTTTCATTTGAACCTCAAAGCTCCAGCGCTCCAAGAATAAACTGGTGGTCATGCTCATGGAAGTCATCTTCGGAGCTGGGCTTGTTCAACCTTCCCAACGACCACGTCTCCTCTGATCCAGGTTGCCAATCGCTGCCAGACCAGATTTGCAGTCTGATTTCATCATCTTCATTGACTCCGAGTACATATAAGAAACCTTTCACGGTTAGCTTGGAAAAACAACTGTGCAGGAAAGGTTGGCGAACTTGAACCATGTTTGGTTTCCAAAGCCGGTTCTGAGCTGAAGGGGCCAGCCAGGTCATACCACCCATCTTTGGATGGATTCCACCGTGAACCATCAAAGTTCTTCACGTGGAACTTATCATCGCTCAATCCTTTCCCAACAATATCGATGTGTGATTCTTTCCAGTGCACCACTTTGGGCGTGTCAGTATACTCACCGCCAAGGTGTTCCCACTCCGAGTACATTTTTCCATTCCAGTAAATATGGTTCAGTGCTCCATCCGAATCGATGGCCCAAAAGTCAAGTCTTCCTTTGCCCCAAGACGTAGCCACCGGGTTTCCGACAAACGGACCACCACCCAGATCTTCCCACTCAGACCACCCGCGGTGGTAGAATTTAAGCTTGAGAGTGCCGCTGTCAGCATCAATACCGATGATAGCCAAGTGGCCGGAACCCCATGAGACAGTGGCCGGGTTGCTGAAGAAATAGCCACCAAAGTCCTCCCACTTAGATCCCGACGGGTACCATCCTTGACCGGTCCACGCCTTATGAACATATGACCCGGTGTCGGACCTTCCAACAATGTCGAGTCTGTCTTCGCCCCAAGACAAGGATGAAATGGCCTCTACCTCGCCACCCAGGTCGACAGCCCCTTCCCATGAGGGACCCCAGCTCCCACCCCCAAAATACTTGTGTAGCACATTGTTCCCAGACTCGTTAATGTATAGAACGTCAAGGCGGCCTTCGCCCCAGGACGTGACTGATGGACACCCGGCGGCCTTTGATGGAAGACGTTCTAATCCATTCGATGGCTGCCAGTCCCAACCAGTCCAAAATTTATGCCCAATTGATGCATCGGGATTGACTGCAAACAGGTCAACTCGGGTATTACTCCAAGATACGGTCGAGAGGCAAGTGCCGCCTCCAACAGCTCCATCGGTCTGGCCATTGTTAGCTCATTACATCTCTCGGCACTGTTGATCAGTAGCAATACATACCACTACCACGGACAGAAAAATTGCGAGTATGTATCGATTCATTGTGAACAGGAAGCGTAATAGTCGCGGATGTTACAGTTGGGAAATATGGGAGCTGGGATGCACAAGTCAAGGATGTAAACTTCCTATATGCTCTCCGGGGAAGAGGAACGCCCAAGACAATGTGTTCACTATACGTTTGTGGCGTTTTCGGGAACTAGCCTGATGTCCCATTAATTTGAGACACGCATTTTGATCGCCTACTCAGATTTGCTGCTATGAAGGGTGTCTTAGATCTTCCCGCTGCAGGTCTTCACTTAGGGGCACTTTACACCTTTCATTCGCCGATTAGGTACAACAGAAAGTCATCGCCCGGCCCCTTGAGTTTCATAAGTAAGACCAACGCTCTTCCCCATATATTCGTGTTCTAGCAACGATCGATAAGTAAGTACCTATGAGACATTGCTTAATCGCAGGAAAAGAATATATACTGTGTGATATACGATACACACGCTTCTACAGACCAGGGAAAGTGAATGGTGGATTTCAACAACGTCTGCTGATCTTTATCCTTTTGCACCTTGCCTGGAACAGTGTTCATGGGTGACACGCAAATTTGAGCAAGGAGAGGCTTTTCAACTATCACATGATTTTTTAGCTTTCACTGCGATTTTGGGACCCAACCGCCTCTCCATCTCATTTTCTCCCTGCTCGCAAGCTGCTTGCTTTTCAGAAACAGTGCCCGCTGTTCTGAGACACACAAGTGCATTAGACTACTTTGGTCTTCGGCTTGCAAACTTGCAAGCTGCAAGCTGGTTGCGAAAAGCAGCTTCCTGATTGCCTTTGCTTTTCTAGACTTCGTGTTTGAACCATTGTTGGGGGGAGGGAGGTTAGAGGTTGATTTGGGTTGACGGATGCCAAAGCCCGCGGGTCGGAGTTGGTCCGATATTTTTCTTATTTTCAGAAGACTTCCGATGAGTGTAAAACCTTTGAAATTCCCTGTTTAGGCAACATGACTTTTCCAGGCAGGCGTATGAAGCCGTCAGCCCTTGAGAAGAGGTTTGTGGGTGCTTTTTACCTCACGTCGCGCTGTCTCAACACCGCTCACAACATCGTTGCTTCCCAATTGCCAAGTTATAGAAACCTCTGGACTCCGAGTTATTTCTGAGAGTGTATAGACTTTTGAACATTGCTTACCCAATACGTGCTGCTTAGCTGCGGCAGCACTGCTTGGGAGCTGCAACATAATCACTCAAACTTGCCGAACGCGACAAGATGCCCTAAGTCGACCAAAGCTTCGAATTGCACTGTTAGATGATATTTTTCTGGTATGGAGAGCCCATGTATTTGTTGCAAACGGTCGAAAAAGTTGGCCGAGACCCAGGTTGTTGCACACAGAAAGTTTTTATGCGAGACTTTTAGTCAGCACGTCCAAATTCCAATTAACTGCACATCTTCTACGAAAGCGCTTTGCGTTCTAAATACTCGCATATTATTCTCCAGAAGACAGACAAAAGCATTTGGGCTGGGCGCATTTGTACTTGTCTCCATTTAATTTGGCTACCTGGAGTGCCTTTCCCCCACATCTCAAGACATAATTGACCAGAATAGCATTCTCAAGTTGAATGACGTCAGAGTGAGAGCCACGATCGAGTCTATGTCGCATACATCCTGGTGCACTATGGATTTGAGATCTGCAAGGTCGAAAACTAGTGAGATTCTAGACTATGGTAACTTCTGAGTCCTCCGCGCTGTCGTACCAATGCTTAGGTAACCCGAAGATTGCTCCAACCCGTTCCATACATGTAGGAAATCGTGGCGAGGTTCCCAGAACCAGGCCTGCATATTGCTTACCTATGTGTCCAACAAGCGGACTGCAAGCTATGAGGAACACTACTGCTGTCGTCTGCAGATCATTCGTGTACGGCCCTGCACGACCTCTTCGAACAAAAGTTCCGTATTGGCCAGCCTCTTTCTCGTATGAAAGTGGCCCATCGGTACGATAATGCTGCGGCCTGCAGTTGGTACCGTCCACCTGCGTGTAGAAAGCGTCGTGATCCAATGCGCTGTTGGACTTCAGCTGACATCGCCTAAGTCTTCCTCGCAGCCTGATCGCGCCATATGACACTTTCCCATAGGGATTCACTCCCTCAACGCTCGTTTGAGCATCCAAAACTGTGGCCACTAGCTGTGGTGACTTTAGCGGAGACCAAACCACACCCCAATTGATCGAAGCCCATGACCATGTCGGTGGCCCTCCGTTCCCATCCTCGTAAGCAAGCGACTGGCTCTCCTGTCCAGACAAGACCAGCCATGGCATCACCTGCCACATAAGGTCCAAGAGCAGCGACTCCGACCAAAGACCAGCGAGATATCGGCTCGTACGCGCCTGCGGCATTGCACTAGCTGCTCCGCCAATAGCCGGCATCTTGTCAGTTCCGAATGTCAACTGGCGGGACGTGAAGGACTTCACTATCATCCGCCACTGTTCAGCAGGATCCACAATGCCAACGGTTCCTGGCACGGTGGAAGGGTACGGAGGCAGCTGGTCTTCACTGCGCCTATGTGTTTTACACTCAAAGACAATTGCGCCTGGGGTGAAATGGAGATTCCGAGTCGCCAGGTACGATTCCTGAAAACACCACCCGCGGTTATACAGCGGTCCAATGCGTTTGAGCGTGGCCCATGAGCTAGTGAAAGGTGGTTCAAGTAATCCTTGCTCGAGCGGGGCTGCCAAAATGTGTCGCTTGCGTGCCTCGATGAGGACGTCATCCCCTGTCAGTGTGTCGTGATGGGCCGTAAACTTGAATGTTTTCGGTAGCCACTCCTCTTCTCTCGGTCCTATGACTGGTGTCTCTGGATTTGGGGACGAGGCGGTTGTGACAACAATGAAGGCCTGACTGTAGACATCTGCCATCCGCGCCGCCTCCTTCTGCCAGTCTGTTTTGTCCTCTTTGTCTTGTATGATGCAGAGGGAATCAATCCAGAGGTAAGACAGTTGCAGCTCTCGTGCCACAGTGACGGCATCTTTGAATGTGTTTGGTAGCTTAGAGAAGTCAACGCGCCTTTTGAAGTCCTCCAAGTAGTCTTTTGTTAACGAGAGTGGTGTACCTCCACCCCAGCAGTGACTCAAAGCCGCATAGGCAACCGGGTCTTTCCAAGTGGAAGTTTCACACAAACGGAGATCCGTGTCCTCTTTTCCAACGTACAAGAGTCGCGTGGGTATGAAGGTGCGGGCGACATTATGACAAGCCGGGTGCTTGCCCCAACATTCCCACACGCAGTCCTTGATGAACCACATGCTGGCGGCAGAACTACTGTCTGCTTGCCGGATATTTGCTGGACCCAGTGCTGGCAGACCCGGTGCAAGGCTCGGTGGAAAAGCCGAGTTGCAGTAGATTTCGACATCTGCACGGGCATCTTTCAGATACTTGTCGTGTACAAATCCGATGGTTGTCACGATCAACGGCGCACCCTGCCTTATCATCAGACCGAAGCTGACGGGCATACTGTTCTTGGTTTCGGTAACCCAGCTCATCCACTCATCAATGAAGAAGGCATCGAATACCTCACAGATCAAGCGGCAGTACTTGCAGTCCCTTGCGAACGTGCCAGTCCTGGGGTCAATCTCTCGGCTTCGAAGTAGTTCCTTCGTCGACAAGTTCTCCAGTAGTAAAGCCAGAGCGTAGCCCTTGTCCATTGCCTTGCCAGATTGACCAAACCGATCAATCTTTTGGGCGCCAGAACTCGTCCAAACGAATGTGTTTTCATGGTTCGCTGGCTGGAGGTTGTTGCACAGGAGACAGACGCCATTCTTGCCGCTGTTGTACTGCCGTTTAGCATAACGGCCTAGCCATACAGCCGTGTCGGCGGCGACACGTGCACCTTGGGTAAGATCACCCAAGGCATCAAAGAGCTTGGGCATGACAATGGGAATCCTCTGGAAGACAACTTGGCTTGTGGAAGCATCTCAAGGCGGGGCAGGATTCAGTTGATTCGGGTTACGGTGCTATCGGGATGCCAAGCTTCAGCCGCTTCAGCCGCATCTGGCGTCCGTGGTCTAATCTAATTTGACGTGTATAACGTTTGACCGACGAATCTGCTTGAGCCACCAACAACAATGGCTGCGGCCTGTGTTGGAAGACTTATCACCTACGATCATAGAATGATAGTCTGCTACGTATATCTCCCCTCAACAAGCGACATCACTCAAGACTACAAACTGACGGACTCCACGATAGTATTCTTCAAAATAACTCTCCAAGGCATGTCCTGGGCCCACCGCCGTGTTGCGATGGCTTGAAAGACCTAAAGAGATGTAGTGACCGCAATTTTGCCCGAGTTATGAAATCGTGCCACGCCAATGCAGCCGATGAATGTCCTGATAGACTGATCATTTTTACTGATGGCTCTAGGACCACCGCTTCATATCCGAAGTCACCATCCTGGTTCTCCCCCGGAAGCAGTCAGATTGGTTAACGAATTAGGTGCTATAAGGGCCAGCTCAGGTCATTATTGTCATGCCTGGCAGGCGGTCAACGCAAGCTAGTCCTCTTGTGGAGCAGCCAGAGCAGTAACTCTTAGCAGAGTAACTTATATACCACAGTACTGCCTCCGTAAGTTAGCTAGCCGACTTACCGTCATGATCGGCCAGTCACGTCGGCAAACTGGCTGGTGATTGTTCTTGCTAGGGGCCGTGGCACGGGCGTCAAACCGGGGTGTGCCAAGCTTTCTGGGCCAACGGTAGCAGGGTTGAAATGAGCTTAGCTCGCGCGACTGAGAAACCCCCTGCTGATCGCGCTGTGCCCGTGGAAGCTTTTTATGGTTATTTAGCCGAAGTCAAAGCACGCTAAGGCACACCAGGCACCCGTATTCCTCATCCTTTGGCCCCGTATTCTCTGCAGGTCCCAGGGGAGGGTAGAGGACTAAATAGGAGATGCCCGACCTAGGTAGCGAGAGTGGCTGTGCCTTTTTTTAGACTGTCGCCCAAAATGCCAGTGCCATTCGTGGTCGTCGCATTCTCTCCATCCTTTCTGAGCTTATTTCTGAGTGTTTGGTAGGAGTTGCTCTTGTCTTGTGGGCTGTGCAGCTCGGGCATTCGTCCGGCCACGCAGTCATGTCTTATAACACGCCTTCGATTTCGAGCGTGACAAGTTTTGGCGCGATTGAGTCCTTCAGCGCCCTACAGAGGGTGCCGGCTCTGCTGACCCGGTTTGAACCACCGGAACACTGCTCGACGGACTGGTATTGGGATACGGGTGCCTTGTGGTCTTCCAGCACAGCCTTCAGCAATGACGCGCACAACACCAAATGGTCTACTTGCCAGCCGTACAACGCGACCAGGGCCACCTACTCGGCTGGAATCTGTCCTCAGAAGTCCGAGTTCAAGACTGTGACACAAATATCGTGGGATGGGGTCTCCGAGTCATATTATCTGGGCGCGTGCTGCGGCAGGTAAGAGCATGGTTGCATTGTCCAATGATAATGACTGACACGGCTTCAGCACTGCGACGCTTCGGTCATATCAGAGTGCCGATGCGTCTAATTTGCAAGGCTGCTTCATTACGGTCACACAAAGCAGTGTCGTGGCCTCGATGATCCAGGAGAATTCGCTAACTACTGTGCTGACTTCCGCCGGGCCTGTGACAGTCATCGCCGAGCCTCTTTACATGGTCTGGCACCAAAATGATACGTCGCTACACCCAGAGTCCGACGCAAACTCGCTTCGCGCTGCCATGGGCATGCCAGTGATGTCCTCGGCGGTTACCGCGATACCGACTGCAACGGGCACCGCAGACGACTCTGAAACGTCACCCAGCATCCCGACGGGCGCTATCGCAGGAATCGCAGTGGCCTTTGCTTTATGTCTGATGGCGATAGGGGCATTAGCATTTCTAGCTTTCAGGCGACGATGGAAAGCGAAGGAGCCTGCGCAAAATTACACATGGGCGGGCCAGGGGCCAGGGAATCGGCAGGCATGGAACAGCAGCGAGCTAGATGGGCGCCAGGCGCCACAGGAGATGCCTGACTCAGTCATCAAACCGTCCTCTTTTGTCGAAATGTATGCCATTCCAAGTGCTGGAAGTCGCACGCCTATCACCACACCCACCACGCCCATTGCATTGAGAAGGGGCAAAGATGATGATTTTGGAGTAGAACAGAAGATGTTACTTCAATAACCATTGGTGCTGATGTGCTGCAGACATATTAGACACATAATACTAATAAAGAAGCTGTTAGGATGGGAAGCGGGGGTTACTGTAATCAAGTGGCCACTCACTATACGCCTTTTGAGACTTCATTAAATAGGAAGAAATATGCTCGGTCGCCTAAGGCATGCAGGCGGATAAGGAAATCTGTCAGCTCTGTATAAAAGGGATGGTCCCGGCTATGTAGGCGGGCTTCAAGTTGCAGGCTGCATGCAGCTCACGTGTGCATTCCGGTTTATATGCTTTATGATATATATGTTAGGTATTGACACTGCAGCCAACTTTATAGAACTGTGATTCTATCAGTTCTCGGGCACTATCCTGGTTGACCTGTTACAGCAGCGTCCTTTGCTTCGCGGCAGGACTTCTACAACCACTTGGCGGCTTGGTTGTGCCTTTGATCACTATACTCGAAACTGCTTTTCACAGATAAGTGTCTCGCCTATCTGTATTAGTCAAGTTTCGAACTTAAGTGTCGAAGGGTGCTTTCGGAGAATCAGACGCCAAGTCATGTGAGTGAACAGTTGGACATGGCATAGACTTAGAGAGGCATATCCCGCGAACAACTGCAAAATAACGCGCTCAGTCCTCTGGCATCAGGACAGATTTCCTAATGACTACTGAGACCTCTCGCTCATTCTGGTTTCTACTCAGGGCTATAAACAAGTTACCTATTCAGGAGAAGCGTAGCGCGAGGCTACAACGTTTCTTAGAGCTCTGATTTGCTCTCCCGCACATTCTTTCAAGTCAGATGCAGATATGCGGCAGGTGTGTATATGTGATTACTAATGCCGGTGCAAATCGCATTAGGGGAATATATCCTCCTTTTCTGTCTGCTAGGTCTCAATCATCGCGTTCGGAGAGTATCTCGATCTGATTAACCAGCATATTGGCAGGTGGTGCCTCTCACCTGGAATGCTACTGCGTTGGCAATAAGAACATGGTGAGTGAGCATCCAGACCTGGATGCCGGAACACAGTTCTGCAATCAGCTCTCGATGCATCCAGTGCTACCAGTTCATATATGTCAGCATGTATTAGCGTGGTTAAAAGTGGTAAGTAACCTGATCTTTATCCACAGCACAGTCAATTGATCCTGGGAGATCATAGCCGGAACATGTCAGTACTGGGCTGTAGTGGAGGGGACGCGGAGGTGAGTCGATGTTTTGAAGGAGGCTACGCATATTTGTTAATCCCAGTACCCAGAAGGGGTGCTCGAAGTGATCATGGCTTCTTTACATGGCAGGCTCCTTGAGACCAACTCGTGGGATGACGATTCAGTAGGACATCATACGTGGTTTCGACGTTGAGACCACAAATCAAGGAGGATGTCACTGCATAAATTAATTACCAATCATACAAATCAATCGACAACCAGCGTGTTAGTCGAGTAGAATGGTACATTATTCGCAGCGTACAGGTAACAAAGACTATTCTGTTACAAAATATTAAGTATTGTAGTAAGGAAATGTACTTGTTAATATAGCAAGAAGCATGTATATACTCACATTCTCCAGCATATACTTTGCACTACGGGAACAAAAAGTTGCAAAAGCGAGCCGAGAGGTATATACCTATTTTAGCCCGTTAGTCGCTGTTCCATCCCTGACCAAACAGGCGCTCATTAACCCAGCCATTTCTCAGCTATGCTCAACCCCACGATGTCTGAGCGAGGAATTCGCCTGAAAACTCGGGATTCAGTGCTGGTATGGGTATCTTGGTATACAGAAGAAGTAAACACGTACGGATTGCACACGGATCATCCGATGAAACACTGTAAGACGTTGGACTTTTGCCAAGCAATGACCCACTGTCCAGCAGATGTTTTTCCACCACTCACAGCCGAAACCTTTCTCGTCGTGAAGCAGAGAGCTGGTAAGAGTGTCCTTCGACATATTCACTCATTCTCCCATCCTATCAACACTGCGTATCATCAAAGACAAAGGCCAATAAGAATTTCAGGATGTCACTCGAAGAACACACCCAAGCGCTGCGCGCCTCTCTCACTGATGCGAAGCTGGTGCCCGGGTCGGCCGCCTCACTGATCCCCTCCTCCTTTAGCCCGAGCACTATCCTCTCAATCGACTACGACAGCAAAGCCGTGTCACTGGGCAACTTCTTCCGGGCTTCGGAATGCAGGATTGCGCCAGGCGTCCGGTTCCCGGCCGAGGCCGAGGCCCCATCCAGCGCCTCCTACACTCTAATTATGACGGATCCGGACGCACCCACGCCGGATGACCCTAAATTCGCCTTCTGGCGGCACTGGATCCTGGCTGGGCTTCAGCCCCTGAGCTCGAGCGCTGAGGGCCAGGTGGCGCAGACGAAGCCCACGGTTACGGAGTATCTGGGACCAGGACCCAAGGACGAGTATGTGACGCCATCAATGAAAAACAGATCCGATGTTCACGTTGAAGTGCCGCTAATCATCGTTGCAGTTCGAAGCCGCACAGGTACCTGTTCTTGCTCTATAAGGAGCCAGAGGGACTTGAGTTGAAGAAGGAAGACGCTGGTGGTGAGGAATTTGTGCAGAGACGGTCTTTCAAACCCGATGTATTTGCAGAAAAACACCGCCTGAAGCTGGTTGCTGTAAATTGGATGACTGTGGCGGGAGACGGGTGGAGCGAGTAGGTGCTCTGCTAAGACGTTATTGCTGCGCACTGCAAACCTGATTGGATTTTGTTTGAATTGTAGTGATACAATAGACTGTAATGGTGCTGTCGTCCCCCTGAGCTACAATTCAAAGCTAGGGGAGCACGCGGTTGCCATGCAACTTTCAACGATGAACCCGATGAACCCAAAAACCCAAACGCCGTACACCATTCGCTGTGAGTTTTTTCGCCCTTTTAGTCTTCCTCATCATACTTGGTTTTGTCCTCCTCGAAGAAGCCATGCTCAAAACTTTTCTCTTGGCGGAATGCGAACCGCTCCCAGCTGACTCCCCTCCTCACTATCTTCCCGTCCTTGGCGACTCGATGTGATTGCGGCTCAAAGCTCATGACAGATCGCCACAGTTTGAACATTCGGCGCCAGTAGCAAGCTTCGGCAGCTGGAGTAAGATATCTATCTCTGAAAACCCTGGTAGATTCGCCGGCAATATGTCTTGCTAGGTCGGGGTGTTGGATTAAGTATTCCATCTTTTCGCTGAGGTCTGACCAGTTCCGGTTTACCTCTACAAAGTTTTGTTGAGGACCAGATGACTTCAGCAACGGATAATAGTGGGCGACGTAGTCCAGCTTGTGGATTACCGGGACGCTATCGCAATTGTGTAGATACCGTAGCCGTCCACTCCAAGAGTTGCCTTCCGTGTGGGCGACGTACTGATAGCGACAAAAGTCCTGCATGGCCATAATGTTGGAGCGGTCGTGCCAGTCGATAGCCTCTACATCGCTCCAGTTGTGTCCTTTAGCGGCCGCAACAAGGTCGCCGCGCAACTGTGTGTTGACGGCAAGACTTCCACGCCAACTGAGCTTGGAGGGCTTTTCGTCCCAGCCATTTCTGTAGCCGAGCTCTAGCTCAGCGACATCTTCCCGAAATTGAGGATACGAAGCAACACCATCGTCGGGATAAGCCCAACCATCGAAGTCAGGCATCACCCAAAACCAAGGATTTTCGGTGCGGCGAGCCCAAGTCCAACGAACGCGGTCAGGCTTGTGGTTCGCATCCTGTGCCACGTCTTCGATGTCGAAAATAAACTCGATATTAGGGATAGATTTCGGGTCTGGAATTGACGACAACGCGCGGTACATGTTGGCGAGAGCTGCTAGTCCACGAGACCGATCTGGCTCGCCAGGGACCTCTTTGATGATGTACAGCTAGAGATGATGTAAGTCAAGGCTGAGATGAGAGTCAGTATTCGCGAATAACGTACCTGGCCATCAAATATCATGACATGAAACTCCCCATGCTGGCGACCTTTGTATTCTTCCTTGCGATCAACGTGCACATCCTCCTTGGTGATCGAACCTTTGGACTTGATGATATGGTCCCGTGCGCGAGTGAGCTCCTGGAATATGTCAGGGAAAGCAGCCTGAGAGGAAGGTTAGAACATAGTACTCCCGGCACAAGAACCACGGCAGATTGCGGCGTTCACTTCTCGCCACTAAGCCACGTGGTGGCGAGGGAAGAAACCTACATCACACTGCTCATCGGATAGTCCATAATTCAGCCCATCTCTGTGCGTATCAAAGCGCCAGGGCTCAGGGACTTTAACTGGCTCTTTGGCAGGAGGAACAGCAACTGGGTGTACTTCTGGGGAGGGCGGCCGGAAGGAAGAGATCTTTGAGTTCGTGCGGCTGAGAAGAAAGAGTGTTGAGGTTGTGAGAACAGCCAATACCAGCCAAAAGAGGCGGCGGTGGAAGGCGGTCGACGAGATGTCGCCCAGGTTCCAGCGTTCCTTGCCGTACATGGCGAATGGAGTGGGCGGGACCAAAGAACGCAGAGCAAGGAAATGTCCGAAGGCTAACGAGAAGTGACCTAATGTCACGACTTGATTTGCATGTTCGGCTGAAGGACTGTGAAGTTGGCGAAGCCGAGGAAAAAGCAGAAGCGAAAGAAGGAGCAACGGAACAGCGACGACTTGAACGCGAATTCCACAGGACGAAAGCAGCAATTAAACTCCCAGAACTGCAGCCGCTTATCTCACAAAAAGGCCTAGCCTCCTGTGAGTCGAGCTCGACATGCCGTGTGGGAGTGCAATGGATTCATTGGTGAACTGCCAGGGTCTGGAGCTTGCTGGGCTTGGCGCATGGGGCTGAAAATAGTTGTTGGTTGGATGCCTGGAAAGAGGAGATCGCCAGCTCCTCCCTGCCACTAGGAACCTCATACTGTTGATTGTGCAGCGTACCTATGTACAAGGCAGTGAGAATGGAGGTTGAGGCTGGGGCCGGAACCACTGCTGTTGCGATGGCTCCCGTTTCCGCTCGCACGCCAATAGGCGAGAAGAAAATGATAGTCCATCGGACATGACCTCTACTAGTGCGGCTTGCCATGATTATTACCTTACAGCAAGTTGCTGAATAGATAGATCGAACGCCACTGGTCAGCTAACTGCCAGAGCGCGCGATCAGGCCAGCGCCAGTGACATCCGGGATGCAGACGCCAGAGTCGGTCCGCGGGTTGAACTGGGATCCCGTGCAGCATTCCGAAATTGTGGCCGGATTGGTCTTATCAGGCGGGAGAACATGTTTGTACACCTAGCTAACTTAGGTACCCGTTGAATGGGCAGAGCACTGCCGCAATTTTTATGATGAAATGGTTGAACTTCCAACAGTGGCAGCATACTCATCCTCCCTCCTCTCCTCCTCCTTCTCCTTCTCCTCCTCCTCATGTTGTTATCACCCTCACAAAGAAAATTTGCCAACGAGTTTCTCGCTGCGTAGTCCGCGCCGCTACCCCCACTGCAAAATGGTTCTCGACCCAAGACGCTGGATACTTGAGGAGCGATGTGGGGCACATCAAGGCTATGCCATGCCGCTTGGACTACTTCCGGTGCTAGACTCTGCAGATAATGGAAGCCAACTGCTACTAGAGGTTTGCTAAAGACCCGAATTCAGGTCAAGTGCTATGTAAGCTGAGCCCTTAGCGAAGAGACGTTAGCTCGGTAGTCCGCGGGCAGAGAACGCAAGGGGACTTATTCTCAGCGACAGACGTCCTAGTCAAGAAACTTAAAATAACCATATCAGCCCAGTCTACCTACCCCTCCTGCAAGGGGGGATCGTGGAGCAGGGTTTCGACCCTGGGTGAACAGGTCAGTCGCAACGCAGCCTCCCAACTGATCGGCAGCCAGCGACACCACATCAGAGTTGTAAGGCCCAGGGCGCAGAGAGACACTCATACACAGGTGGTTCAACTCCAACATCTATGACATTGGATGCTGCTGGTGGGGGGTCCCATGCCGTCGCGGAACCGGGAAGACGCTGACAACGACGCTATTTGGTCCCCTTATCGCCCGAGTTCAGGCTGCTCGGGCGCTAACGCTTTCCAGGCTGACAGCGGACAAGGGGGCCCTAGATTACACCTGGGCAGTAGGGCAGCTCATTTCCCACGTGGCGCCAGCCTCTCTTGGGGCTAGCTGCGGCTTGGAGCTTCAGCAAGTATCCCGACTCAAGATGGGCTTGGATTGCCGATTGTGGCTGGCTGGCATCAAATTATGAATTACTCGCGACGGTTTGGCAGAACATTCTGGCCGTGGCTACATCAGGGGGTTGACGAGCACCTGATGGGATGCTGGTAGTCAGGTTGGCTGCTCAGAGACTGAGCACCATAGTATACCACACTGTGACCACTATGGCATCATCCCTCCCGAGTCCCTCGTGCGTTTAAGCTCCCTGGCAGGTTGTGTTAGCTAATAAGTCGAACGATGTAACACCCCGAATGGGCCTTGGAGTCGGCTTTTGGGCCGCATCGCCACAATTTGTGCCGCAGCCTTACACCCGTCATCCATCGAGTTGACAGCTGTTGATGTATGCAACTGAGAGCCTCGCCAAAGTGCACCGTCGCGTCCAAGATACGGCGCTATTGCCGGCCCATTGACATGTCCAAGACAGTGATGCTTCTCTTCCCGTCTTTTATCCCCCACTGCAGCCCACCATGGACGGAGTATCGTCAGTGGCGAGCATTATCGCCATCGTGCAGGCCGGCGGCATGCTCCTCCAAGTCGGCAAGGCTTTCCACGAGACCTTTATCAGTAAGGACAATGACCATCGTGCCGAGCATTCGTCGCTGCAGGTCGCTAGCATAGAAGAGTTCATTGAGAAAATCGAGCTGTTCCAGGTCGTAAAGACCATCTCGCCCCAAGTGAGCCTCACCGGCAAGCCACAGAATCCTACGTTGAGCACGGCAACTACAGCATCCACGGCAGCCACAGCACCTGGCTTAGACACCGTGTTGGAGCAATGCAAGATACAGCTGCGTCGACTGCAGGACAAGGTGAAGAAGTTCCGTGTGCCTCCCGGTGCAGGTAGACTCAAGCGCTTGGTCAAAACCATCAAGATGAAGATGGATGAGGCCGAGTTCGCTCAGATCGACGCGAACATCACAATATTACTTCAGCAGCTCACTCTCTACATGTCGCTTGTGAAATTCCAAATATCGAATGAAGGGTAAGCTCCTTATTCTAACACGGAATTCAAGAACTAGATCATTACATGTCGCTTATTGCCATACAAGTTTCGCTGCCAATCAAGCGCACCACGATGAGGTCATGAGGAAATATGGCGAGATAGAACAACGCTTCGATGTCTTCGATGACCTAGAGAGCAATCATCAGAGTACTCTACTCGAAGAACTAGGGAAGTTACTAGATGGGCAGCTGGAGCTCAAGGCCCAGATGGCTGCCTTTGAACAGGGCCATCAAATGATCGTTAGCAGCTTCGAGAAGCTTTCGATTGCACCTAAGCTGGAGCGGTCTTTGTCAGGAACCACCGCAGCGACCGACGATGACGAACTCGATGATGAGGAGCTCATTGCTCCGATAGCGCCCGGGCTCATGAAACATCCCGGCTTCGGCTTTCGTAAAGATCGCTTAAAGGATCCCATGGTGGGCAAATTGGTCATGGACGAGATCGACGCGTGGCTTGGGCCGGCAGGTTTATTACGACCGATCCTCTGTGCTCGGATCTCCGGCGACGAGCATGCTACCCACGACCTCTGCAACAGGATTGTCCAGGAGATTGCAAGCTCAGGCGCCAAACTGCTCTGCTACAATGGCCAACCGAGGGATGGGCCCCCACCAGCGCCGGGTTGGTATAGCATGAGACATGTTATCTGGTGGCTGGCCGGGCAGCTACTTATTCCTGTGCCGCATCTTGACGGACATATGCCCGAACGTGCGTATGTGCCCAACGTTGAAGCAGTCTGCGAGAGAATCGAAAAACAGAAACAATTCCCGGTGTTTGTTGTTTTCTATCTGCTTACCAGGTCCTGTCCGACTGAAGTGGATAGAAAGCTATATGAGCTGCTTATAAGCAGGCTGATTGACCTTGCAAAGGCCGGCAGCATCAGGCTGCTCGTGTTTTCCGACGATCCCACTGATGATATCTTGGGGCGGCTACCGCCTGAAGTTATCATCACAGTCAATGAAGACCAAGAAAAAGTTTCGCTTGCAGATTGGGAGCCAGAAGTCGGTGATGCTGCCGACCCAGTTGAGTGAAGATGGGGTCATCACGATACATATTTGATGACACTGTCAGGGGAGCAAAAACAATCCGAATTCATGTTGTCTGCAATTCCCCTTAGCACACAAGCAAGGCAACCAGAGCACCAAAACGAAGGCCAAGCAGACTACATCTGACTCAGGGAGGCCCAAATGAGGTCCAATTAGAGATGGTGATTATTAATTCACCTCATGTCGATTTTGGCCACTGAACTTTTTAGTGACTGGTGGTGAAGAGCCCGCTCAGGGGTTTTCTCCGGCTAATCCTCATAGTACTCCTCGTACTCTTCCTGGTACTCCTCCCTAGCCTCCTGAAGTTCTTCGAGATCACTGCTACTGGCACTACTCGAAGCAGCGGCCTCTATTGCCTCCTCATAGTCCTCACGAGCCTCTTGGAGCGACTCCCGGTCGCTCTCATCACCCTGTGGCGCGGGGTAGGACTGATAGGCTGGCTGAGGGGGAGGAACCGGAGCAGGTGCGTAATGACGGCGCTCATCATCCGAGTCGTCTAGTGAAGCAGGTTAGCAAACCCGCCTGCATACGGGCAAGGAACTGTCATCAGAATCAGTGAAGAGGAACATACCCAACGCGTCAGCGATGAGTGCGCCGCCTACGGCGCCAACCGCCAAGCCTCCAGCGGCACCCAGCAGCATGCCACTACCGGAACTTCCCTTCTTCTTCTTTTCCTTCTCGTAGTCAGCACCTCCACCGTGTCCGCCATAGCCGGAACCGCCATGACCGCCCTGATCATGGCCTCCGTAGCCTCCGGACTGGGGGTAGCCGTAGCCGCTAGGGGGCGGCGGCGCACCGCCACCGTACGAGGACTCATGACCACGCGACTCCGTGGCCGGGTACCCGGGATGCGAGACGTCGTAGCCGGGGGCCTCCCACTGCGAGCGGCCGGAGGCTTCCTCTACGTAGTACCAACGCTGGTTCTGCTGGTCCCACTGGGGGATCCAGCCGCGAGGAATAGGGGGCTTATCCTGGGGCGGTCGGTACTCGGGCGCCTGGGGATTGCCGCCGCCTCCTCCCCCGCCGTACTGCTGAGGCGGGGGCGGGGATGAGTACTGGCCGTGTCCGCCGTAGGGCGGCTGCTGGCCGTACTGTTGCTGCTGCGGAGGTGGAGACGAGTATTGGCCCGGCTGGGGTCCGGGACCGCCGGGATAGCCGGAGGGGTCGCCGTAGCCGCGCTGGCCTGGATAGCGTTGTTGAGATTAGCTTTGGATTTGAGCCTAGACGGGGATGGCAGGACGAGATGGTGGTGGATGGTGGATGGTGGGGGTATGCGGCGATTCGGTACAGCGAGGGATCACAAGTTGGATCTTGATCCGTGCTATAGAGTAGCTGTCCAGACCAAGACAAAAAGTTGGCTTACCAGAGTGCCCTTCGTCCTTACGCTTGTTATCGTCAACAGTCAAGTCGTCGAACTTGTCGGCGAGCTTCTTGAAGAAGGACATGATGGCCACTGACGATTCAACCTCGAGCTTAATTTAGGTGAAGGCGGAAAATGAGCCGAGCACAAGCAGTGAGAAGGGGAGAGGGAGAGCACGTTTGGACGGTACCAGCCTGGCCGTCGTTTTTGGGATTGGAGAGCAAACGGAACAGGAACGTCCTCTGGGATGATGTGCGTTGGCTCTCTGATTAAGACTCGCAGCCGGGGCGGCCAAAGGCTCGCAAACCCCAAAGGAATGGAATAAATGATTGCATCTTATTATTGCATCCACAAGTGTCCCCATCATGGATGTAGGTCAAACTCGACGGTGACTGCCAAGCCGCGCAGAGATGCACGCCGAGCAAATGTCTCAGCGGGTTTCCGGCGGGCGACCAGCCCTATAGGACCCCCAAAGCGGCCCCTGTGGCCCCTGTGACCGTGGTGCCGTCTTGTGCCGAGTTACAGGGCAGCCTCCAGTGGCCCAAGGCCCGTTGGAGGCCCGTTGGAGGCCTGTTGGAGGCCTGTGGATGGGAGCCCTCCCAACCGTCGACGGTGCCGAATAGCCGGATGCGCGCGGTGCAGCGACGCAGCAACCCTGGAACCCGGAAGCGAGTGCCAATCAACACGGGGCAAACTGCTGCGGGATGGCCCGCTGTTCTTGGCCCCCTCCAACCCAGCAGCTACCTGACGGTAGGAAGACAACTAGAGGGGGCTTCTAGGTTGAGGGGAAACAGCTGGGCATCCATGATGGCGGGATGGAACCCCGACGGGAGTCCCTGGCCGAAACAGCTTCGGTGTGGTCTCTCTCTGTGTCTCTCTGTGTCTCTCTGTCTCTCTGTCTCTCTGTCTCTGTCAGGGCTATCCTATCTTCCATGCCTTTATGGACTTCTAGTGGGATCGGGGGGCAGGGAGAGAGAGACGAGGGTGGGGGAGCTTGAGGGGCAGTCAGCAACCCCTCCATCTCCCTCCATCTCCATCCATCAGCCGCTCAGCCGTGCCCCGCGACCTGTAACACACGAGACACCCATCCGACCTTACACCTGGGCACGCCATGTCCAAGTGCTAGCTAAGTATGTTTCTACGCCACTAGGGTGCCTGTGTACGTATGTACTCACCTTACTTAACTTAGGGGTCCGTCAGCTGTTGCATGGCACTCGAGCTTACACATACCAAGACCAACCCTGGACTTGTCTCCATCCCACCTCTCTAACCCCCCGTTGTTGATCTCACCTCATATCCCAGGGCGACGCGGCGCATACCCTGCATACCTAGCATAGTCACTTTACTGCATCGCGGGGCTTCCCATTCTCTTCTTCATTCTCTTCTCTTTTCTCTCGTCCTCCCCCGAGTAGAGCTGTTACCGTCCTTTACTTGCGCCCTCCCCTCACAAGCTCACTCGTCCTTCGTCAAGAGAACCAACCAACATGTCCTATAACCAAGGCTACGGCGGCGGCGGCGGCGGCGGATATCCTGGAGGCGCCTACCCGGGGAGTAACTATGGCCAGCCTCCCCCAGGTCCGCCGCAACAGCAGTGGCAGCAGCCACACCATGGCGGCGGCTACGGTGGTGGTGGTGGATATGGTGGTCCTCCTCCTGGCCCGCCGCCTCCGCAGTCGCAATACGGCTACGGCGGCCAGGGCCACTACCAACAAGGCCCTCCTCCTCCCCAGGGCGGCTACAATCGCTATCCTCCCCCGAGCGGCCCTCCTCCCCAGGGCTACGACAGCTACGGCTATCCCATCAACGCCGCCCCCGCCCACGGCGGCTACAACTCTGGCTACGGCGACCAGGGCCGCTCCAACGCCGCCGCGCCGCCGCACAACCCCCAGCAGTTCGGCCACGGCGCCCCCTCCAACTACACCTTCCAGTACTCCCACTGCACGGGAAAGCGCAAGGCCTTGCTGATCGGCATCAACTACTTCGGCCAGAGCGGCGAGCTGAGGGGCTGCATTAACGACACCAAGAATGTCTCGAGCTTCCTCATGGAGCGCTACAACTACAAGCGCGAGGACATGATCATCCTGACCGACGACGCCCACGACCCCGTGCTGCAGCCCACCGCCGCCAACATCCGCCGCGCCATGCAGTGGCTGGTCAACGGCGCCCGGGCCGACGACGCCCTGTTCCTGCACTACTCGGGCCACGGAGGCCAGACGGCCGACCTGGACGGCGACGAGGAGGACGGCACCGACGAGGTCATCTACCCTGTCGACTACAAGACGGCCGGTCACATTGTCGACGACGAGATCCACATGATGGTCGTGCGGCCGCTGCAGGCCGGCGTGCGGCTGACGGCCATCTTCGACTCGTGCCACTCGGGCTCCGTGCTCGACCTGCCCTACATGTACAGCACCAAGGGCGTGCTGAAGGAGCCCAACCTGGCCGCCGAGGCCGGCCAGGGCCTGCTCAAGGCCTTCTCCTCGTACGCCTCGGGCGACATGGGCGGCGTGGCCTCGTCCATCCTCGGCTTCGCCAAGAAGGCCTACAAGGGCGACGACGCCTACCAGAAGACCAAGGATACCCGGACCTCGCCCGCCGACGTCATCATGTGGTCCGGCAGCAAGGACTCCCAGACGAGCGCCGACGCCACCATCGCCCAGCAGGCGACCGGCGCCATGTCGTGGGCTTTCATCACGGCCATCAAGCAGAACCCCAAGCAGAGCTACGTCGAGCTGCTGAACAGCATCCGCGACGTGCTGGAGACCAAGTATTCGCAGAAGCCACAGCTGAGCTGTAGTCATCCCCTGGGTAAGTCGCACACCTGTAGCACAAGGCCTGGAGTCGAAGACGGGGCGCTAACACGTCGGCAGATACGAATTTGTTGTTCGTCATGTAAAGGGGGGCGGGTAATGGGGCAAACAGGGCAACAGGGACGGAAAAAGGGGCTGCATGGGAACGGACGGGGTCGCATGTTTTTACGTGTTACGAGTTGGAGGAACGACGGTCTTTGGATTATGCTAAGCTGGAAGGTGATTAAACCGATCATCACCCACATCTCGTCGTTCTCCTCATTCCACGTCGTGCAACTGCTCCCAGTGACTACTACAAAGACCCTGGCGCAGAGCTGCCAGGCTGACACTTTTCGAGAGCAAAGTCAGGGGGGAAGACGCGTTTATAGCGTGAACAGTACCCTTATCCCAAGAACTTCACATTAATGCAGTAAAACCCCTAATTTATTGCACATCAAACAACAGCCAGAGTAGAGACTCCATTGGACCCGCAGAAAAAAAAAAAGAACCCAAGTCAACACCCGGAACCATGAACGCATAGAGACGAATATGTATACCGTGCCATCAGACCGACCCACTCCTGTCACTCCTCTCCATGGGGTATCAATCATGTGTCATCTCCCCTACGACTGCTTCTTCTTGCCCTTGTAGAGGTATCTAGAGAAACAAAAAAAATCAAGCGTTAGCCGGTGGTCCACATGGAGAGGCTTGGCGATCGTGAGGAGTGGACAAAAACGTACCGGCCGAAGACGCCCTCAACAGCGCCGACGAGGCCCAAGACGCCCAGGCCCAGGCCGACGCCCTTCCAGCCCAGGCGGCCCTTCTCGTGCAGGTCCCAGGCCTTGTAGCCGAGGAAGCCCGAGAGGCCGATGACGCCGACGAGGTTGCTGACGACGAGGGCGGTGCTGGCGCCGTCGCCGAGCCCGGCGAACCAGCGCGTCAGGGCGTTGTCGGCCTTGCGGGCCTTGCCGGCGGCCTTCTTCTTGGCCAGGTCGGCCTCGGCGCGGGCGGCCTCCTCCTCGCGCTCGCGCCGCGACGCCTGCGTCTCAGTCTGCACGTCCTGGTCGGCAAAGTCGGAGGGCACGGTGCGCACCGACGGGGTGTCGACGTCGACGAGCGACGAGGTGCTGGCCGACTCCGAGTTCTGGATCTCGGGGGGAGGGGGTGCCATGGCCTGTCGTCGCGAGTTGCCTTGTTAGAAAAAAAGATGTCCTCTCGGGGTCGACCTTGGCCGTGCCGGAAAGCGGTGCGCGTGCACGCGATGGACGGCGGACGGCGGACGGACGAGCAAACCGGCAGGCAGGGGAGGAGGGGAGAGCATACCTCGGCGGCGGACTGCTTGGGGCCGGATGCGGCTACGTCGGCGTACGACACTGTGAGGTCGCCCTGGTTAGCCATGGTCCTGAGGTCTGCAGACGCATTGCCGTGATGGCGATAGAAGAGTTCCTTTGGAAGCTTGGCGCAACTTACTGATGACGTTTTTGAGTAGATAGATCTGCGGAAGCTGTGGCTTTCTGTGTCGCTGGGAGCAGGAAGCTGCGTCGAGAAGGACTGTGCAGCGGACGGAGGACGGCGGAATCAAAGAAGAGAAGATGGTCTCTTGCAGGTCGGGCGGGATGGGATGGGATGGGATGGGATGTGGTGTGATCAAGGAATGATGGGCATGTGACGAGAAAGACAAGTCAGGTCGGGAGGGAGAAGGAAAACCGGGCGGTCGAGCTAGGGGCAGGTGTTTATGCGTCCAGTGACTTGACCCGGATCTTCCAGGTTGCAGCCAGCTTCCAGAGGGCTAGCTCTCCCCCCCGACGACAATGACGTATGCGGCTCCATAGTCCAGGCGAGCGCCGACAATGCGCACCATCAGTGAGTTGACCACGACGCGATCCGGCGGGAGATTTTCCTGTCCCCATCGCACCACCCTAGCCTAGCCTGTCCTGCGGTAACTGACACTGATCCACAACTCCATGTGGGCCATGCCCCGGTAACAAATGTCACGATGCCTTCATGCGACTGGCAACTAACAGCCGTTCATCGGACCTCACTCGAGCCGCTGTACGTAAGATAACCAGTAACGCGTTCTCAAATCATGGAACAAACAGCTCGGAGAAGTCGGGGCTGACCGCGTCTTTGAATCCCTACATCAGCATCGGGATGCAAGGCCGCAAGTTACGGAACACCGGTGCCAATCACTTGCCAGATCTAGACATTTTGGTGGCCATGTCAGCCGACCGCGAACCACAGCGAGCGACCTCGGGAGTCTGCGAGGCTGAGCCGCCTGTTCTTCCAGGCAGTCATCCCAACGCTCTCTTGAGCTGGGGACGACGGTGAGTGCAATGCTCTCGCCCAGCTCGACCAAGCGCACATGTAGTGCGTCAAGTGAGGTCTCGATATGGATCGCTTCCCGAGCCCGACAGCGACCGGCCCACAAACAACACCGTCCACCCCGTCCGATGTTGCAGTCGCCCGGGCTTCGCAGCCGCCTGAAGGGAGTACTTTAAAGCCAGAACAGGAGCCGGATTCTCAACAAGACTCGGCCTGTGCGATTTGCATCCGAATCTCCCACACCGTCAAGGCAGTCATTCCAGATACGAAGCTGTGGTCACTCGAGACGCTCTCTGGGCTTTTTCACGAGAAATGCCAAGAATGCGACGACGCCCGCAGCTCTGAGGATGAGTTACTGTGTGTAGAGTGCAGACACCTCCGCCTGAGACATTTGTCTCTGCATGTTTCCTCTGACGATTGGCATGGCCCAATCAGCCTACACGCCGCGCAGGCTGCCCGCCGGCAGCTTTGTCCTCTCTGCCAAAGTCTAGACGCAGCCAGACGCTTCGAGCTAGAGCAGCAGCGGCGAGGACAGTCAAATCGCGTGTCGCACGGCGACTGTGATGGCTTTCTCCTCGCCGCCCTTCCCACTTGTGCCGACGGCCTCATCCAGCTATCTTTTCAGAGCTACTTCAAGAACGGGCACGGCCTTGTCGACTTGGAAATCGATCTTATCCTCAACGTTCATGATGTTGGGTCCGCTTCCTCCCTGGCCGGAATCGAGGAGCCGGCGCAAGGGTGTGGTGGCCGGACACTATCAAGTTGCCCCTCAGCTTTACACCCGTCCTTGATTTCATGCTGGGATCTCATCCAGGCATGGCTTGTCGACTGCTCCTCCATGCATCAGTGCCAGCCTAACCTGGGCATTCCGCTTCCGGTCCATCTCCGCTTGTATGATGTCGAACAACAACGCGTCGTGTGCGCTGCAACTCTGGGTAGCCACGTGCCCGAGTACGTATGTTTGAGCTACGTATGGGGTAAGGATGAACGCCATTCCTGGAATAGCCTCAAGAGAGCAAACATGGGGCAGTTCATGGATGACCTATCTCCCGAGATGCTGCCGGCCACGTTGCAGGATGCTGTCACCGCGTGTCGGCATCTCAATGAGAGATACCTGTGGGTAGACTGGCTATGCATTGTGCAGGACGATGCCGACGACCAAGCCTCCCAGATCCATGGAATGGGTTCCATCTTCTCGAGAGCAAAATTGGTCCTGGTGGATGCGTCGGGCGACAACATGAACTACGGTCTGTCTGGCCTCAGTCGGCCACGGTCAAGTCAATTTGGACATCGTATAGAGGGCTTGCAGGTTAATCCAAATCTGCCAGGTATTCGTTGGGCGATGGAAACAGGGCCTCACGCTCAACGTGCATGGACGTATCAGGAGCTGGTACTCGCAACACGCATTCTTGTATTTGCTGATACGCAAATCTATCTCAGGTGCCCGTCCGAAAGCAAAGACGAGCAATCACTGGTGTATGGAAAAAAGAAGCGGTCGCTCGTATGGGGCATAGACGAGCAATCAATCGTGCATGACACCCCCAGACCAGGAACCCTGACTGTAGCACCCGATAATCTGACTTCTCGAGCGACTGCATCGTCCGCGGTCGAACAAGCAGAGCACAAACGACGCAGGCTATATAGTGATCATCTCACCAACTATAGTCACCGGGAGTTGAGTCATCAATTTGATAAGATCAATGCGTTAACCGGCGTTCTCAATACTTTCTACCCCGAAGGTACTCACTTTGGCTTGCCACTTCCCTCATTCGATATGGCCCTACTATGGATACATGAACCGAAGGACCAATCGGGTTGCCTGGAACATCAGGCAGATAGTGCGGCAGACATGCAGCAGTCGAACGTGGTCTTTCCGTCATGGTCTTGGGCTTCGACACTCAATGGGACAGTACGAATGGCGACTGGCGCGTCAATGTTTCAGGGAAGCCTTGTCGTGTGGTTCAAGAAAGTGAATAGTCATGATTTCTTGACAACAACACTTGAACCGATCAGACCACTGGATGTCAGTCTTTGGTGGGAAATACAGGCCTCGGCTGTAAATGCTCGCCTATCGTGCGCAAATGCATTACTGCTTGGGCTAATCGAGTCGCCCGCGACGAAGCAAACAAAAGCCTGGGAGGGCCATCCTTGGGGTCAACTCGATGCTTTGTGTCGAGCGAAATGGAAAGACTACGCAGAGTTCTGGGATGACGTATTTGGTCCCCTCTGTAACGGGACCAGCATCGCATTGGGCAATGTACAGGCTGCTGGCCTTGGGGATGGCGTGTTGATAGCCAGAGCTCAGTGCGCCCTGCTGCATGTTGATATTAAACACTGGAAACACGGTTCCTCCAGAGGTGGCGTCGAGCAGAAAGCGTACATCGTGGACAACAACGGGTTGCAGGTTGGCCATGGAGAGTCGCATGGAGTGTGGCCCTTGTTACCGCACCTCAAGGAGGGATTCGGTACGTTTACCTTCATAGCTCTATCCATATCGGCACAATGGGTAGTTAGCAGTGAGACAGCCAGTGGCGACCACACGGGGTCCGCGGTTCGTTCTGTTGTTAACACGATGATTGCCATCAAAAAGGACCATTTGTTTCACCGATTAGGGCTCGCGCAGGTGGCCGTGGACAAGTGGGCTGAATTGAAAGCCCCCTTCGAAACGATCTATTTGGCCTAGGGTCTGTTCCATAGTTTTATGCCCTGAGGCAGTTAAATTGCCCGTTATCCTTATCAGAATTCTGCAGCTGATTTTGAGACGGTACGATTGACAGATGTTGAATTCTTAAAGTAATACTTGGTCTTGAGGGCCTTGGTCACATGGATACGAGGTACAGCAATACGATTTGGTAAATCAAGGGGGGCCTCACATGAATCAATACTACCTGTTCACTTTCATTGAGAAGTTACATTTGCCTGAAATAAGAGACAGATGAACGGTATTAGTTCGGAGACGTTACCATTGATCATTCGCGGTCGGAATGAGGACAGCTTGTTCCAGCGTCCAAAAATGAGGCGACCAATGTGTTCATAAACTCCTTTGCGGCTGGAGATCCGTTTGGATTATGTATAAAAGTGGGCTTCCACTTTTTGACATGAGAGTATAATTCGACGGCGGCAGTGGGCCCTGACTTATGCAGTTATCATTGGCTCGTTTATAGTCTGCATCCGAGTGGTTCCTGTCAACCAATTCTGCCCAATGTCACCCCTTCCCAGCCAACTGGGTAATGCCGATACACAGCATGACTCCACAGCACCATAGCCCAAGTGTGCATAGACGTGGACAATCGATGAACCTGTGACCGCATCAGGCGATCTGGTGCAGGCACTTTTGAACCCAAAGTTGCAACTTTAGGATACCCAGCAGCCAGTTATTTGTTTCTGGGTGAGCTTGTGCCCGATTTTAGGACTGCCACACTGGCAATGCAGTTTGCGGACGTACCGAGCATGCACTGACACAAACTGGTTCCGAAGCCTACCGCTTATACGCTCAGTCGCAAAAGCCATGCTGGCGCCGAGCGCCGACGATCTCCTGCCTTGTACTGAGTCATAATTCGAAGGCAGGCCGAGTCACAGCTTGACTTGTACCACTGGTCGTCGATGTGGCACGATATGGTTAGCAGAAACATCATGTTCGGGTTTTCATCCCGTTCCTCTGCCACTACATTCTAGGTGGTGGATTCTCTGCGAGGTGATGCACCTGCTTCATACGAGCTCACATGAAAACGCGTCCCTCGTAGTAGGGCAGCGTGATGTTTGCGTTTGGGCCCGACTATCTGTACAGCTCTAGCTACTTATAGCCTGGGTGCTTGAGACAATTTTTTTTTGTTCGACATTCACACAGCATCCTGCAAGCTCCTCCCGTGCAATGATGGCAGAAGGCGACCCGTCGATCCTCCTTGAAGGTTTCATACGGCATGTTGACGTTCTTTCCCAAGATTCATCCTACCAGTATCTCAAGGGCGTTCTCGAAGAGAATTCAACGCTCAAAGAGCGCAACAACATCCTCAATATCACTAATGATGAGAACCACCGGGCCATCTCACGGTTACAAACGCAGCTAGACGACTCAAACCAGCGCTGGGAGGAGCAGGCCGAGGAGTTGGCTACGCTCGCTCAGGCAAAAGCTCTCATCGATGAGAAGGCTGCCACGCTCGAGTCAGACATCGAGACGGCAAAGGCACAGCTCGACAAAAGCGCGGATGAGGCCTCGAGACTACAAAAAGAGCTCAGCGATAAGGCCACGGAGCTCGAGACCGCCAACGCAGAGCTCGGCTCGGCCAAAGCAGAAACGGATTTGATGATGGCCCAACTTGACGAGGCTAGGGTTGACTGCTCGAATCTGAAGGCCGACATCAGCTACCGCGACTCTCAGATCGAACGTTTGACAATGAGCCTTGAGGAAGAGAAGGTAGCTCATGAGGCTTCAAAGTCAATAAAAGAAGAAGTCACCAAAGAACTGCAGTCCATACGCGAAGACCTCGAAGCAAAGAACACGAGGCTCGGAGAGCTCAACGCTCTGTCCTACAGGATGAAGAACCCTCCACAAGAGCAAACGTAAGTGTCCATTCTCCCCTTCCTTTCATCATAATGCTTCATGTCGTTAACCGGTATGGATGTATAGCCAGCAGCAACTCCATAGCATGTTCACCACCGCATACAAGTGGGCTGAGAATCTGTTCTCAGCAGACTTTGATGAATCCATGTTCGCTGCACCGTCCTCAGGCACGCTCTGGGCCAAGCTACGCAACCATGGGCGCGTCAACAGAATCATCCCCATGCCGCTGTCCAACACGTTTGAAGCCAAGTGTATGCGCATCAGTGCGATCCTGGCCATAGTGGCCTGGTCCTTCTCTATGCACATCTTCCAGCCGACGTTCCTACTGCAGTGCAACGAGTTGTCAGACCTGCTCGCGGGGCTCGCCGACGACGACCCCGTTCGCGAGAACTACCTCCGCTCGGTGATGCTGCCTGTGTTGCCGTCCAAGCAGAAGGCCAACGGCAAAAAGCGCATCGAGCAGGTCGTGCTCGATGTTTTCGCCTGCATCGGCCCCGTGCTGCCCAATAACAGGCGCGACGAAGTCCGCAGCTCGCTCGAGACCATGTGCAAGCAGGTCTGTGGGCAGTGGATGCGCTTGCAACTGCTCGACGAGAAGATCGAGCCCAACTTCGAAGCCTATGATGAGGAGGACTGGAAGCTGCTCCGGCTCCCAACCCTTGAAGACTCGCAGAACAGAGACGCCGAGGCAAAGGTCGCCGCCGACGACACGGCTACCGAGTCTGCCATTGCCGACGAGGAGGACCATTTCCCCAGCGTGGGGGATATCGAGGACATCGCCGCCGTGGTGTGGCCGAGCTTCTTGTCGTTCCGCGGCGGCGAGTCTGAGTTATTGACTGAGGGGTTCGTGCTCACGAAGGACCAGGTCAAGCCGGCCTATGCGGAGGAGAAGGCCGCACTGCTGCAAGGCATCCACCGCGCCGCACGCCAAGTTACCCGGCGGGACCGCACTAAGAGCTTCGCAACCACCAACGGCGATGACTTGTCCTCTTCTGGCGGTGCGAGGGCACTTGTTAAGGATTTTTTACCCGCCGCCGACTCCGAAGACCCGCCGGGCCCCAACAACGAGATCCAAGGCGAAAGCGGTGGGGCGCCGACCATGATGGAGCCGGAGCCGGAGCCATTAGAATGAGAAGTTGGGCTGGGAGGTGGGGAGACCGGGCCCTTACGGGGAGCAGTGAGCTCGTATGGCGCTGGTCAATGAGCTCGAGCAATCAACCGCTGGTTCTTGGAAAGAATGTTGGGAAAGGAAACGAAGGAAGTGTATGATGAATGAAGTTCCAGCAGTATGTACTAGCATTGGGCATGATCGGAGTTGGGACAATCATTAGCTGAACATGTCTTGATCAAATATCGAAGCTTGGGTCGCCACCTGTCAACCGTGTTCTATAATGTAGTAGCCTCAGCCATGGCTTGACGCAAAAAGAGAATCACTTAATCGGAATGTTCTTTGTCTCTCCAGGTCTCAATTCATAGGGTCGCTCTCTCTATATCTTAGTGGCAGCCCATAACACCGAAAGAAGCAGGGACCCCTCGCCCCTTTCGTTAATTTTTTAATAGAGTTTCAAACTTCGAATACTATATTTGTGTATAAGAGCACCGCTTTGATAACGGCGCGAAGTCTAGACTTTAAAGGTGGCTACATTATTAAAACTATGTGAAAACCGGAAAAAGTTGCGGGCTTTTGTATACCGTCATACTATTTAAGCTCAATGCCTGGAAGACCTTTACAGGCAGGAGGCTATAATTTACAATTCTTAGAACAAATCTTTACAGCTCTAGACGACTTGACAGTGGAGGCTTGAGACGGCCGGAAAATGGAGTTCCTTCGTTATCAAAGCACTCGAGAAAATGTCATTACACCACATTTCATCCAGTCACTACAGAATGAAAGGTGAGAAAGAGAAGAGATTGTTCTACGGAAGATGTGATAAATGGCAGCGATCGTATCGGATTGGCGAATGTCGACAGTTTGAGTTAGGACTGTTGGACTGATATACTTTATTCCGTACTCCCCCTGAGCTTCCGTAGACGTGTAAACCATCAATTTACCCATTTGTGCTGTCTAATGTCTTATGCAAAGCGGTTCTAGTGGCTAGCCGTAAATCTCATCACATGCGCATCATATGCGTCAATTGCCTTTGACCAAGTACTATGCCGCTTCAATGCAATGTAAACTTCCGAATCCATATCGTACACATGGCCAAGAAAGCTCAACGTGGTGTTAGTAAAACAGCAGAAAAGGAATATATGGATAGCCGACGTGATTGGCAATACCATACGCCGGGTTCGGCCGAGCTAGCGCCTACATGACTAACAGGTAGTTGGCGAAGGGCGCGCTCATCATCTGATGCTCCTCCAACTTACAACTCTTCGCGTATGACTGATAGATTCGACGTCCCATATAATCGCTCCAGCTAAGTTTCTCTGCGTAAACAGCAAGATACCTTACGGCAATCAAGCCAGCTACAATGGAGTCGGCTACTTCCCGCAAGACCGCCGTGATCATAATTGACGTCCAAAATGGCTTTCTCCACCCGACGCACTGGGGCACAAGTCGCAGCACCCCTGACTGCGAGAGAAACATCTACCGCCTACTAGTAGCAGCCAGGAGGCACAATGCAAAGCTGCAAACAACCCAAGAACCTGTTGACAAGTCGGTCTTGATCTGCCACGTACATCACCACAGTATCAATTTTGGCTCAGCACTGCATCCCCAAAAGAAGATCGAAGTTGGGGGTCAACTTGTTGCCTCGGTCGATCCACAAGCTGAAATGATTCCACTAAAAGACGAGAGTGTGTGGGTTAAGAATGTCAACTCGGCCTTCATTGGCACCGGGCTGGAGGCATTTTTGCGGCAGCAACAAGTCAGGCAGCTGGTCATATGTGGTCTTACGACCGACCACTGCGTTAGCACAAGCACCCGAATGGCGAATAACTTACGAATTGTTGACATCACGAGCGGAGATGGAGACGTGGTAGAGGAAGGAGGCATTGTGCTTGTGGGTGACGCATGTGCGACCTATGCGAAAGGAGGGTTCGATGCGGAGACTGTCCACAAGGTCAGTCTTGCGAGCCTGAATGAAGAGTTTGCACACGTGGTAGCCTCCTCAGAAGTTATGGACAAGATATTCGCAATATGACAGGGGCGTCGTGGAGCCCAGACGTTGATGGGGATTATTGATACCCATTTGGTAGAAATTTGAATTTGCTTCAGGGTGTCTATTGATTTAAAGCAACCAAGAAAACTGCAAACACCGACGCTATGCCCCCTCCAAATCTCTCAGCGCAACTTGGTTTCGACTACCTCCAAATCGTAGATCTGATTGTATCATATAGCCGCGGCGCTCGATTCTTCATGAAGTGTGCAGTCTTGATGAAGATTAGATACACACTGACCCCAGCCCAGAAACCGACAATTATGGACAATCCCCAAGCGAGCCTTATGTCACCGAACCGGGATGCAATCGACCTTCTCAAAGTAGTGCTCATCAGAAACCAGGTGTAGAGCGGGCCCCCCGTCATAACACGAGCGGCCGTGAGTTGGTGGTTTGCCTCCTCACCCTCCCACTCCTCGATGGTGTCATTCATCTTCCAAGCAACCTTGTTGCTGATTTTCTCCCAAGTAGCCTCACAAGCTTGGACGCGGCCGGCCTGGCAGAACCGTTTCCGTAATTGGGTATCGTGGCTAAGCAGGAGGACCTTCTCAACGAACCCATCGAGATCGTTTGGCGGGATAAGGTAGCCAGATGTGCCATGCTCGATGATATCACTGGGCCCTCCTTCATCCCTGGCAACGACTGCCACTCCACTTGCCATTGCTTCCAGCACCACTAGACCAAACGTCTCGGTGATGGAACAGTGAAGAAATATATCTGCGGAAGCGTAATGTGTCATCAGATCTTCTCCGACCTTGAAGCCTGTGAATATAACTTTCCCCTTCGCTGACAGTGGCGAGAAGAGATCTTTGACCTCCTGCTCAACCACTGAATTCCGGTTCCCTCCAACGACGACCAGCTTGAAATCCAACCCGCGCTTATCTAACTCGATCGCGGTATCCGCGAGGAAGCCAAACCCCTTTTCGCCTGCTAGTCTAGAGCAGGTGAAGAGTATCAACTCTCCTTTGGGTGCCCATCTCTCCCGCAAAATCGCACTTCGCTTGGCAGGATTGAAACCCTCTGTATTGACTCCTCGTCTCAAGACATCCAGTTTGGCGCTTTGAACACCTGCTGCTTGTTCGAGATATCTCCGTACGAAGGTACTGGGGTAGAAGAGGGTCTTGACGGATACATGCTGGAACAGATATCCTTGCACCTTGGCAAAGGTCCAACTTGCAAAAGCCCCTAAGGGCTGAGGAAATAGTATCTCGCAATAGCCACCTAGGTCGGTTTGAAAATTGCAAATGACGGGAACTTGTGCTTCTTTGGGTTGCTGCCGCAGCTGGAGCATCACCTGGAACCCCAACGAAGCAGGGCTACCAAGATAGATGAGGTCTGGAGGCCCCCCGAAGGTCCTTTCGTAAAGTTTTGAGAGGCGGACCGGGTAGACGATTGACAACTCCGGGTTGAAAGGCAAAGGGTATCCTGTCAGCCGAACTTCCTGGCTGACTAGCGACTCCGGGGCCGCATTGTCTATCGCTTGGAAAGTGTTCACCTTGGTGTGGTTGCAAGGCGCCACGATAGCAACAAGAGCGCCGTGTGAGCGTAGATGGTTTACCAGGTTAAGGTTGGTCCTGCTAACGCCGTTGATTGGACCGAAAGACTCAACGCAGAGTAAGATGCGGCGGCCTTTCAACGCAGGTGGGAATTCCGTAAAATCGTGGGAAGCCATAACGGCAATAGGTCTGCAAGCAGATGTCCGACGATACAAGTGTGCCGCAGTACTGCTGCTTTCGACCAACTCTTCTACGTTATATGCTTACCCGGCGATAATCTCCCCGTAGTACGTGAACGCGGCATATACAAATGTGTTGTAGTATGTATATACTGCCTGACCAGAGAGATGGGACGCGGGAACAATTGGCCGATGCCGGGTGATAGGGACGACATGAGGATAGGTCTGCGTAGAGCTCTAAAATAAAGTCGGTGAAGGCAGGAGCTCACGATCCAAAGATAAACTCGCGCAAACTACGAGTTGGGCAATTCACGAGATCACTCTTGCGACTTGGTCACGTTCTCGCCACGACTCGCGATCAGTGGTGGTGGTGGGATGGCACTGACCTGGCGGGGCACACCCAACCTGGAGGGGCGGTTCTGAGGGCCATCTGCAGGGCCTTATTTAGTGGGTGTCGACGAAGGGGCCAATGCCTGTGGGCTGTTCTGCACGTTTTCCATGCAGTCGCTCTAGCATCTGGTTGTCTCACTGACTTGTTACCCAGGTCGCTATTTGCCATTTTTCTGAGAGCTTAGGTAGTCTCAGCCTAAAATATGGCGCTTTTTACGTAGCAATTGTGATTGCATACACCCGTCAACTGGGGGTGCGCGGACCCTATCCATGTAGGTAACTTTCGCGATTCTCCAGATACCAGAACCTGGGCCACAGTCATCAGTCACCCTTGTCTTCCAGGACAAGGACCGTATAGGACCAGTGCTGATAACAGCAGTCTGGAAGACAAAATGCACGACCTCAGTCTGGGCTCTCGAAATGACTGTCCTGACCTCAAGATTCCTGCAGGGTGACTCCGTGCAGCGGAAATCATCACAGTTTGAGATGGTTTCCTTATCGGCTCTCGAGTGAAGCAGGCGAAAAGCTTAGAGCCCGTCTTGGCAGATTCTATCTCACCAATGGCAGCCCACGACGCCTGCACGCCAGGCTGTTGAGCGAGCCAGTGTGGGTTGACAGGTGCACCACTTCGATTGCAGATCATTCGGACGCCCCAAGTGGAGTGACTGCAGGGACCCAGGGCAGACTGGGGTGTGGACGTTGATTCAACGGAGGCGCATGCAGCAACATCAGCTTGGCCACTGACCGACGGCTATCATACCCTCGTGGGGCCTGGAGACAAGACTGTTGGGTGTTATCACTATGTAGCATGATATTCTCACCAGCTCTAGATTTCTGGATCTTGGAGGTGAATTGCTTGTGAATCGGCACATGAGCCGCTGTTGTGAGCGAGGCGACTCTGACCGATGCAAAGAGGGCCTTGCCATACCTCATCGGCCAGAGCCTACGAGGTCCGGACGTGTCATGTGCAACTCCTAAGTGCGTCCAACCCAAAGAGAAAATAGGGAGCAAGCCATCCTCTATGTTGCAGTGGATGGAGACATGATTAGCTTAATTCTGATAAGGAGGTACAGTATGCTGATTCTCTTGTTGATAACAGTGCCAGCAAGAACGCACCTATGAAACCCTTGCCGCACGGCACACGTTCTGAGGAACGGATACTAGAAGTGGCATAGTCTTATTAGTAGGGAGATCTGCAGGGTGCAAGTATCTACTACGTACATCTTCTTTATCGTCCAACACCTCCACTCAGCCTGCCACCGGCGGCCACATGGTAATGGCTCACATGGACTCGATAGAAGCCGGTAAGAGCCCGGTGCAAGGGTGTCCTGGCAGTCACGTTGGATCAAAAAGTTGCACATTCCGATGTCGTGACTGCTACTGAATCTTCCTTCTGGCACTTTTCAGCATCCGTGTCACCTCCCACTCAACCTAAGCGAACTGATACAGACGAGGGCTTTCTTTCTTCGAATCATCGCAAACGAAGTGCCTTGGTGATCTATGACTTGTACTGAGTTCTGTTCAACCCTTTCTGGTGTCGACAGTCTTGTCCGGTTCTACCGTTGTCGTCTGTGCTCCTCACGCGACTGAGCAGTCAAGGAAGAAGAAACACTTCTGCTTCGTTCCACAGGAAGACTTGAACCGTTTCAACCTTGCCGACGAGTTTCAATAACAGCAACATGAATCAATTACCCATATCTGTCATTGGTTCGGAGGAAGGCGCATTTCAAGACAATGCTCTCTCTACAGCTCCCACCACACCAGAGGGCAGCTTAACATTCAGTCCGGTGCTGCGCGCTGCTGCGGATGGTCCCCTGGACATTGAGTCTACTAGCCTTGCAGCACAGGCCCAGAGTAGCAGATTGATGCCCTCGGCGTTATTCAATCCAAGTGTGCGTCACGTCCAGAATATATGTTGCGTTGGAGCCGGATATGTTGGTGAGTTCTTTGCTTTGTCTCGGAATGATGCGGAGTATCTACTAACATATTTAAGGGGGCCCGACTGCGGCTGTAATTGCGTACCAGAACCCACATATACGCGTGACTATTGTCGACAGAGACGAGCGACGAATCAGGCGATGGAACTCTAAGCATCTTCCCATTTACGAACCCGGCCTCGGAGACATCGTCCGCATTGCGAGGGATGGATCGCGGGAGTGCTCCTTCCTCAATGAAAGGAGTTCATTGGACACGTCGGACGGCCTTTCCGATGCCACCACATCCTCATCAGAATGCGGAAGCCAATGCGAGGGTCACCATGAAGGCCCAACGATCATCCCGGCCAGGCAGCCCAATCTTTTCTTCTCAGCTGACGTTGCGAGATGCATCAGGGAGGCAGATATTGTCCTCGTCGCCGTCAACACACCCACAAAGTCGAAAGGAATGGGTGCTGGAAGCGCTACTGATATGACTGCATTTGAAGCTGTCACAGGTGTCGTGGCGCAGCACGCGCGGCCAGGGGCGATCATCGTTGAGAAGTCAACTGTACCATGCAGAACTGCGCAGCTGGTGAAAGAGACGGCAAGTCCACCCCTTTTCTTATGAAAGTCTCCAGATTTTAACCGTGTCTCTAGATGGCAATCCATCGCCCTGGTGTGCACTTCGAGATCTTGTCAAACCCGGAATTCCTAGCAGCCGGAACAGCAATGAAGGACCTTATGCAACCTGATCGTGTACTCATCGGCTCATCGACTACTCCGTCTGGGCGCCGGGCTGCGGAGGCGCTTGCTTCAGTATACGCTGCATGGGTTCCCCGAAATCGGATCATCACCACGAACGTGTGGTCCTCTGAACTGTCTAAGCTCGTGGCAAACTCTATGCTGGCGCAGAGGATCAGTTCTATTAACTCCATATCGGCCATCTGCGAAAAGACCGGTGCCGATGTAGACGAAGTCGCCGCCTCTATCGGCTGCGACCCACGAATTGGCGAGAAGTTCCTCAAAGCTGGCATCGGTTTCGGAGGGAGCTGCTTCAAGAAAGACATCCTCAGCTTGGTCTATCTGGCTGAGTCTCTGGGACTTGAAGAAGTGGGTGAATACTGGCGCCAGGTCGTAAAGATGAACGAGTACCAGAGGGATCGCTTCAGCAGACGAGTCATCAAATGCCTCAACAATACATTGGTTGGCAAGAAGATCACCCTTCTCGGTTACGCATTCAAGGCCAACACGTCCGACACGCGAGAATCTCCTGCGCTGGAAATTATCAAAACCCTGCTGGAGGAAGGTCCGAGGGAAATCGCCATATTCGACCCCTGTTGCAACCCCGTTGTCGTGCAAGATGAGATTAAGTCTCTGCTGAAGGGACAGATAGCTCTGAAGAGCGATGGCGGTCCGATTATTGTCTATGGAAGTGCGTACGAGGCTTGTGCGTCTTCCAACGCCGTTCTCATCACGACCGAGTTCGATGAATTCCGAAATACGCCTGCTACCCTTCCGACTCTGTCCAAGACCGCCAAGCATCTAGATCCCCGGCCGTTCGATAGGCTCGAGCCTAGCGAAACGGAGATTCTATCATTGCACAAGTTCCTGCTTCGTTCAAGTCCAGCGACAGTGCATGCAGGTGGCGATCCGCTTCAAAGATACGTGACGGAGCCTGCATGCGCCGAAGACTGCCCCGACTGTGGCCTCGTCAAGGGCGGTTATTCGACTGCTGGCAACTCGGATGACTATAAACCAAAGGAAAGACTAGACTGGAACAAGATTTCATACCATCTTGCTAAGCCCAAATGGGTCTTCGACGGGAAGGGCCTCATCGACCCCATGGTCATGAGCAAGCTCGGGGTCAGAGTCGAAAGCGTCGGCCGTCAAGGACGATCCTGAGCAGACTCTTGGTTCTCTTGGTTGATCGAGATTTGAGCAGCGCATGTTTCAGTTGGATTGGACTGATGAGGTGGCGCATATACCCCAATTTCATCCTATCTCGTTCTGGTATTTCATTGATTCAAAGACGACGGGAGTTAGAAGCATTACAATTGACGAGGGACTGTAAGCATTTGAGATTGGCGTGATTGGTGTTTGTAACTACTCGTTCAACAGAGTGGTGCGTAGTTTGGTTCTCTGCAATCGTTTCCATAGATCCAGGCGTAGTTCAAATCATTACATGAGTCGGTGGTGCGGCAACAACTTGTATGCCGCTGCCCACTATTTATTTTCCCCGAAGAGACCATGAACCGGAAGGGTACAAGGTGTTGCGGAGCAGCTGCAAAAGGATTGCACGACCTTTAGACCACAAAGATACTTCTGGTCGGTGATGGCCTGTTCAATCCAGGGCTGTTGTATCTGTTCCAACGGGCCTTGAAAGCCACTGATACTCATTTCGCCAAACCCCGAGAGACGGCGAGTAACCCGACGGCCGAAATGTAGTTAGCGGCCGGCCCTGAAAATAAGGGTCCCCCGTCCATGGCAAGTTGAACCTTGCGCGGGGGCTCCATCGGGCCTTTATGAAGCACCGACGACGACCTCGAGATTATCTACCGAGGCGCTCGTTGTACGGCGCCGACGTCATGAATTAAAACCGACTGCGTCCCCCGTCGCAGGCAGTGGGCTGGAATTGTTGCTTGAGCTTATGCAATCGGCAACGACTATAGCTGGTCTCTGTCACCGTACACAATGGCGCGATCCAGCAGAACGCTTCTGAGGGCCTCGCTCCAGCTGTCCCAGGGCTGGCGTGCGGCCAACAGCGCGAAGCTGTATGCCCCGCTCGTCCGGCGAATGTACTCGACAGACGGCCCACAGCCCACACGAGGCGGCTCCAAGGTGTTCAAGTCGGCGGATGAGGCTGTCGCTGACCTGAAGGACGGTTCAGTTATCCTTAGCGCGGGGTTCGGGCTTTGTGGTGTTGCCGGTATGTGATCAACGTCCTTGCGGCGTGATTCTTCCGCAGTTTTAAGATAAAGCTGACCGAGTGCCTGCAGAGACTTTGATTGAGGCGATACACCGAAGAGGACTTAAAGACCTTACGGCAGTCTCGAACAACGCTGGCGCAGGGGACAAGGGACTGGCGAAGCTCACCGGAGACGGTAGGGTGAGCCGTATGATCATGTCCTACCTTGGCAGCAATAAAGAGCTAGAGCGGCAATACCTCAATGGGGAGGTCTCCATTGAACTATGCCCGCAAGGAACATTGGCAGAGAGGTTACGGGCGGCCGGTGCGGGCATTCCAGCATTCTATACCTCAACCGGCGGCAGTAAGTCTCAAGCCGAACTCGTATAGGGCTTGAACTGATCTCACTCCCAGAAACGTTCATTGAAACCGGCGAGATCCCCCAACGATTTACCCCCGAAGCAGGCATATTAGAGAAGGGCATACCGAAGGAGACAAGAATATTCGATGGCAAGTCCTACATCATGGAAAAGGCGCTTCCTGGAGATGTCGCCATCCTCAGAGCCTGGAAGGTCGACGAAGCAGGCAATTGCGTCTTTAAGTGAGTAGTCCAAGCAGCATTCAAGAAACCAGGTGTTGACCGTGGGCCAGGTACACCACCAGAACATACGCGCCCCTCATGGCCAAGGCCGCACGAGTTGCCATCGTCGAAGCCGAGGAAATTGTGCCAACTGGCACCTTGGATCCCCAGAACGTGCATCTGCCTGGCATCTTCATCGATCGCATTGTGCCTGCGACGACAGACAAGAACGTCGAGAGCCTCAAACTAGCGCTGTCCAAGGACCCGGCTAAGTCCAGCGCACCCGACTCGCGGAATCGCATTGCCATGCGTGCAGCCAAGGAGTTGAAGGACGGCTACTACGTAAACCTTGGCGTGGGAATCCCCACGCTCGCGGCATCATACGTCCCTGAAAGCACCAAAGTCTGGCTGCAGTCCGAGAATGGCCTTCTGGGCATGGGCCCGTACCCCGCTACAGAGAAGGACGTGGATGCGGACCTGATCAATGCCGGAAAAGAGACGGTCACATTGCTCCCCGGTGCGTCCGTATTCGACTCGGCAGAGTCATTCGGCATGATCCGCGGCGGACACGTCGACGTCTCGATCCTCGGCGCATTCCAGGTATCCGCTTCTGGCGACCTGGCCAACTACATGATTCCAGGCAAGGTGTTCAAGGGCATGGGTGGAGCCATGGACCTCGTGTCGAACCCGGAGCAGACCAAGATCGTGGTGGCGACGGAGCACGTCGACAAGAAGGGCCGCAGCAAGATTGTGCAGGACTGCAAACTGCCGCTCACTGGCAAAGGCGTCGTGAGCACCATCATCACGGACATGGCCGTCTTCCAGGTCGACCGGGTCAAGGGCGGGCTGACGCTGACCGAAGTGGCCGAGGGTGTCGATGTCGAGACCGTGAGGAAGAACACGGATGCTGAGTTTTCGGTCGCCGAGGACCTGGGAACCTTTTAAGGCTTTTATATACCACATTGCATTGCATCAAATTGCTGGCATGGCCCGGCATGCATGGATGGAGATGTGTTTCTGCATTGAGGGGTACCTGGCGTTTCAGTGGGCATCGTCAACTTTTAGATCAATATATGTACTCTTTGATATAGCGAAATATCTCGATTTGTTTTCCTCCTGCAATGGGCCCTCCGATCTATATGGAACGGCAAGAGACCTCGATTCGGAATTGTCGATGAAGGGAAGACAACACCGAAGCGCTTTTCACGCGACTTTGGATTAATTGGAGGACCAAGTGTGCACATGACAAAGTTTCCGACATGGTATTTTTGGTATCAGAATCTTTCCATAAACAATCAAGCATGGTATCTATAACTTTGACCGCAGCCCGGGTGCAAAACTTGTGCCTGCACCACCTCCAATGGCCTCGGTAAGTCTATCAATGTGTTCCAAAAGCCAGAGATTACCCTCGTCGCTTGCTAGCCACTCTCCGCCCTGGACCTCTTCCTCCCCCTGGGCATGCGCATCGCCGTACTCGTAGGCCTTTCTCAGGCCGAAGACGTGCGAGACGACCTGAGGCCCGACACCCGTCTGCGCTCTCAGACACGAGATGGCCACCAGACTCGTGAGCACCCGGCCGACGGCGGCACCGGCCTTCTCCCCGCGGGGGTTGGAGAGCAGGTTCGAGTAGTGTCCGTTGATGATGTGCACAGGGAGATCCGGATGGCTCTGTCCCAGTTTGGCCAACAGCTTCCGCTCGAAGCCGATGTACACCGAGTCCCACAGCGCCAGCCCGTCCGCTTTCCTCGTCTCCAGATTTTGGGGCGTCAGCTCGCGCGTAGGCCTCGTCTGCAGCTGCGACGCCACGTCCGAGGGCAGGCTGCCGTAGAAAGCGCCGAGGGTGTTGATGGATCGCGGAATGCCGTTGAATGATATGCATTTAAGGCCAACCTCGCGGATGAGCTCTGCGTTCTGGGCCGGTTTGCGGTTCGGGTTGGTCTCGTTGGCGAGGTGGAAGATGGACGTCATGGCCTCGGGGCAGTTCATTGTCGCGCTCACGGCTGTCTATGAGATGAGTGTTAGTGGTGACATCAACACCATCCAACCAACCGAGCACGAGCAACCACGGTCAATCGTAGGTAAGCCAGGAGGGGCGCCATACCGACATGGTGACCCAAGCCGGCAGTCCGACTTGCTTCTCCGTCGCATCGCTGGCGAACCGCGCCAGCGCGGGCTTCACCTGGGCCGAGGCACGCGTGTAGCCCGGGCTGGCATGGGACGCATTAATGAGAGCCTTGACGGCTTCTGAAAGCTTCGACATGTCGTCTACAAGCTTGTTACGACGGAACACGGTTGGGCGCCAGACATATACCCAGCTTCACGGTCCGATGTCAATGGGTTTATGTACGGCCGTTGCGCCGGAGGCGTCCCGCCAGGCCAATGCCGAGTTGCCGCCCCGGGGTCGCAGTGATCGCAAGTTGACGTTTTCGGGCCTTCAACAATGGCCGACGGCGCTAAAGCCCCTCTGGGCCAGCTCCCGAGGGCTGGACTGGACCTCCCCGGCCTCCAGCTGTGGGAGCTTCAGTGGCAGAGTGGGGTCACCAGCCCGACAGCTCCCCACTACCAGTAAGTTAACCTAGGTCCGTCTGCTGGGTCGGCGCCAAGAAGGTTTCACAGTTCCTGGTTGTCGGTAGCCAAACAGCCCAATAGGTGGCGCTAGTATTGCCCGTCGCATTACACCTGCATTCCAATATAGTAACCAGATCGATCGCCAATCAGAAAATATCGAATTACTTCGGGAATGGAACAAGCTAATTTTCTCAACGAACATGTATTATCTCAATTATGTCTCTATCTTATAGTTGGATAGCTTGTGTTATATAAAGCCAGCGTCCAACAGACTTCTGATGCCAGCTGTCAACATATTACCAACGTATTGGGTATCATCCTCGAGTAGCATCCAATCCAGTCCCAGTGGACCTGTATCCAGCAGGATTCTTCCCACATCCTCGCCTACAGCACAAGCCTGAAAGATGGCTCCCGGTCATCATTCGAGCCGATGTACTTGTCGTACTTTCCGTTCTTCTTGTCTCTGTTGATTTTCCAGCAGTAGAGGACATTGAAAAGAATGCTAGACACTTTTATCAGCAAAGTCATACGACCGAGGGGCCGGCGGACCGGAGGCGATTCACTTACAGGAACCAGCCAGCCACAAGCAGCCCGAGAATAATTGTGTGCCCCTCGTGGTACTGAGGTCCCTGTTTCTTGGGATAGACAAAAACAGTCACGAAACCCCCACAGTTCGCAATGGCCAGTTGAAGGGCGCTCGTAGTGGCTCGTTTATAGTGGCCAGCCGAGTTGTTCGAGAGCCAACCCAAGACCGGCGGGACAGAGCAGTAGAGACCGATGGCCATGAGGAACGTCATGCCATACTTGACGTGCGGATCTGAATGGTTGGCGATCACCGCGTAGCCTATAATGGCGATCGGTAAAGTAATCAACATCATGATGCCACGGATGCGAAGCCGATCTGATAGGAATGCCACAATCACTAGACAACGAGTGAGCGTTCCACCACAGAGCATGCAACATTGGACAACTCACCAGTACACACGGCAGCGACAGCGTATGGGATAACCGACCACAGCTGTGTCTCGGAGACGGTGTACCCACCAAGCGCATTGATGATCGTTGGCAGCTACATCATCGTCAGTTATGGCATGCCTCTCGAGGCCTAAAAGATACTCACGAAAAGGCCAAACGAGTAGAGCCCGGATAAGATGCCGAAGTATGCGCAAGCCGTCAGCCATGTCTGCGGGCTCAACACGCCGCGCCGAACTTCAGACCACGAGAACCTCTCCGCTGACTCCCTGTACGTTCTCATTAGCCTTTACTTCGAACGTATTCTTACTTTTGACCAGCTCTTACTTCTCACGAATACTGCTCTGATCGCTGCGTCCTTGTAGCCTATTCACAGCGAACTCGCGTTCTTCGGGCGTCAGGAACTTGGCTGTTGCCAGGCCGTTGGGGAGGATAAAGTAGACCAAGATTCCGATAATAGCAGTCTCGCAAGTATTAGCAAGACGCCGATTCTTCTTTCATACTGCACTTACAAACAGGCCCTCAATGACGAAAATCCAACGCCAACTACTGAGACCGCCACGGTGCCCGATCTGGGAAATACCGTATGCAAGGAGGCCTGGTTGACTTAGCATTACAGATCACATAGTCGCACCCCGTCACATGGATATTGCCTACCACCAAACGCGCCCGAGAGCGATGCTGCCGTGTAGAAAAGACCGATTCTCAGCGCCAACTCCTCTCGTCGATAAATCCCAGATAGGTACAGGATCTTAGACAAGATTAGTACTCAATTGAGAACATGTGATTGGGCGGGCTTACCATTCCTGGCAACAAGCCACCTTCCGTGAACCCCAGGATCGCTCGCACAGCAACAAAGCCAGCAAAGTTCTGAATAAAGCCGAGACACATAGCCACAATGCCCCAAGAAAAGGTAAGAAAAGGCAGCCATACAGCTGGTGTCACGCGCTTGAGTACCAGGTTAGAAGGGACCTCGCTAAGCTGCGTCAGTATAACGTGGACCTTCGTGTGAGTGAAACTGTAGGAGACTGACCTCGCAATGTAGGTCGCGTAGAAGACCGCAAGTCCCTGATCATACTGGTGATCCGTCATCCCAACATCTTGTTCAAGATTGTAAAGTCGAGCATTTCCGACATTAGTTCGGTCCAGGAAGGAGCACAGGAACAGGACAGCTAGAATCGGTAATATCCTGGCCAGGTCAGCTTTCATGGTTGGACCCCGTTCACGGGACACTTTCTACGTACCTGGTGTCCAGCTTCCAAAGAATATTTCGCGTCATGTGCTTGTCATGGAGGTCCAGGGACACACCCGTCCCACCTTTCTCGATCTCCTCCACGACGCCTTTGTGTGCGGTGCTCGTGCTCTCGTGCTCGGTCGACATGGTGAGGCTGTGTATCGAGCAACCGTTATAGTCAGTCTGTGGGCAGTTTCAAGAAGAGGCCGGTCCACAAAACGAGCCGAACCAACAGTCTTGGGATGCATTGCCAAGTGAGCTTGGGGAGCTTGCCTTTTAAAAGACAGCTAGGCAGACTGGCTGACAGGGTTCATACTTTGGGACGGTGTGGGGGAAGGCCGGGGCACGCCTGCGGGGAGTCTGGTGATGCAGGCGAAGGAGTGCGGGGGAGGCTGACTAGCGATAAGCACTGGAAGGGATCGTTGCGTCACACGGATTTTGATGAATGCCCGAGAGAAGATGCCAGGGTAGAAGTCGATGGTATTGTTGGATATCACAAACATTGAAAGTCCACTTGCAAGGGAGGTAGCTAGATCCACAGCCACGAGAATATGCGTGCCAACAAAACACAGCAAGCAGCAACCGCCTACTCGTACACGGCGGCACAGCACATAATCCAGTCAATACTCGTACGATGCGTGCGTGTTGAGGTCGAAGCCCACAGGCAAGCAACCAAGACCTTGTGAACGCTTGACCGTGATGCAAGGGACTTTTGTAATGCCAAGCTAGCTGTCGCCCAGCTACTGGTGAAAATCACAGCGATTTGGAGATCCCCGTTTTCCAAGTAGGTTCTCCGTTGTCTTGCCTGCCATTAGGCAAACGTGGACCAGTCCATCCAATCGAGGTCTGCTCCGTTTTGAAATTGGAAGTCTTCCCAGAGCGACTCCAACCCCACATCAGTATTGTTAATGGCCTCGTCTAGCTGTACATTCGACATTGTCGAAAACAGGGGATAGTCCGATGGCATGGTGGAAGGCGGCATTTCCACGGGCAAGGTATGGTGGACATTTCCGGTGTTGATATCTGGAAAGACGGGGGCCGTAGTGGCTTCTCTACTAGGGGCAGCGTGACTCCGGGCGTTATCTGCAGATCTTGATGCAAGTTTGAGGATCTGCCGGAGCTGCCTCGCAAATATGCACGATAGTCCTTTCCGCTGGATCGGTGTAGACCCGATTCTCTCCAGCACATCAGTTGTCTCAGTGATCAATGTGCGAATGCTCGGTGCTAGGCTTGAACCACGAGCATCGGCGACCGTCCCAACGCGGAGGGCGAAGCACGCAGCGCAAGATATCATGATGGCTGTGTTGTTAGGCATCGATTTCAGCTGGTTCTCGCCCTGCACTGCCACCCGCAGCACGTTGAGGGCGGAAGAGAGTCCTGCTGCTCGGAAGTAGTGCCGGGCTGCAACTGGAGCAGTGAGATGATTAATTACACTGCTATACATTGACAACCGGGTGTGCGATGCTAGGATCTCCACATATGGGGGTAATGATAGTTCTCCAGAAACATTAGCTAAAATGGAACTCAAGTGGTGCCGTGGATAGGTACTCACGCTCCCGATCACCGATTTGCAGCGGCCATGTTTGGTACCATCTATCAAAAAACAGGGTAATCTCGGTTTTCAACCTACACAGGTAGTCATATTAGTGAATGAAGACGGCTGCACGATCACATCATCTCTAGCTCACCTCTCGACAACAGCAGCTTCGCTGTCGTTGTTGTCTACATAACCGTCACATATCGCGCGAACCCGGGCAATCAGGTTGGCCTGCAGAAACTTGTGTTAGCAATAGTTTTCCGAGAGCATGCAATTACAAACTAACAAGATCTCTCCTCAGAACCGCAACGGAAACTATTGAGCCATCCCATCGGTCTGCTAATTCTGATAAATGCCACTGGTCGCAGCTTTCGATCAATGGGGACATGGGGAGCACGTAATCTCTTCCCCGAGCTAGACAAACTCTGTAGGCTGTTAGCAAACCGTTTCTTGGGGAATCGGGCACGGACATTGTACCCTCTCTCTAAGACAAATAGTGATAACCAAGTCCGCTCCCTCCGTCTCAGTAATCGTCTGCCAGGCAGAGAAGCAGGATCGATATCGCCAAATCCGTCAATGAGAAGAGCTTTCCTCGCGGTAATACAGTCCGCAGTAGCAACACCGTCTCGTGGTGTGTGAGGGTCGCAAGAAGATGGCAGGATTATCTTGTTCAAGGAGATATCGAGAGCTATTGTCAAAGCCATGGAAAGCCATGTCGAGGTCTCGTCATCTGCCCAATGGTCCCCGGCTGAAATCCAGGGTATGTTGACCATAAAAGCCAAGACAATCTCGACGGACTTGTACTGTTTGGACAAGATGATGCCGGCTAGCTTTTGTCGGTGGTTGGACAGTCGCTTGTATAAAGACTCCAGCGACGGTGAGAACAGAGCCGAGGCTGCCGCAATAGACGTGAGAAGGAAAGAAGAGCGGCTTCGCACGAAATCAACTGTATGTATCACAGGGTCAATCCCCCATCGTGTATGTGCGAGTTTGTCATAGAAGCTATAAGGCATGATGAGCAGCTGCGTCCTCAATGCACCAGGTTCCAACGTACTAAGAGAACAACGCCTCGGCTTCCGCAAGAGTGATGAGGCCCAGCTCGACAGGGTCCAGATCGTCTCCGACATCCAGGCGTGGCTGATAAGGCCCGAAGAACTTTTGTAGATCATTGTCGTTCCGCGACGCATACTTGAACGCAGTATGGCCGGGTACACCGTTTGGGGCCCGAGGCTGTATGGCGGACAGCAACTCGGAAGTGCGCGCAAGAAGCTGCAGTGGGTTCTCTGCGTCGTCAAGGCTCAGTTGGTCTCCCTCCCCTTTCTGCATTGGCGGGTGATCACGTGCTGCCAACTGAGAAGGTGGTGTATCTAGGGACGTCGGTGTGCGGTTGGGAGAGGATCTCTGGTCTTGTTCTTCGGACTTCAATGTAGCATAGTCATCTACACCGGATCGATCCCCGGAAGCCAGGAGCTCGCGCGACCTTTCAAGCAGGTAACGGAGCTCGTTGGCTTGCTCCTGGCTCTGTATCTGCTCATGGCCGGCGCTGGACCGTCTCAAAGCCTGTTCAATCTGGTGGACGGCTTTTTCGAGCCCAGTGTGCTTGCTACCGTCTGTTAGAAGGCATTGCTAGCATGTAGGGGGCAGAATGTCTTACTTCTTCACACCTGCGACATGTTAGCTGAGTGTACACTATTCCGAGCATGCAGGGGCGCTGCATTGGAAGGATCTGACCTTTGTGGCGGCCCACATGATAAGCTGGAGCAGCGCATTCTATGCGCCGCTGTCGGCAGCGCGTGCAGACTGAGGACCCGGCGGTTCTCACGCACTTCAACTTGGACCGTTTGCAGTTGAAGCACGCAGCCAGCCGTTCGTCATCCCGCGTGTCAGAATCGGGGCCTGAAGCCACAGTCTCCGACATGGCGCCCTATGCAACAGGCCGGCCATGTGGCTTGAGATAGCAGTGAGGGAGCGGCGCGCGTTCGTCGTCACGTCAGGGCATGGCTTCGAGAATAGCACAGAACGGCATCCGACCTCGTCAGTCGTCGTCGCATCAAGACTTGGAAAGGGCTTCAATTGCCTAACGCGGCTTCCCCGCTCTTTACTTCTAGCTAGGCGGCGGCGCATCCTGGCACTGGATCTCAACCGGCGGGAATGGTCGCAGTCACGTGATGCTTCAATGCATTCTGACTTCAGCCGCGAAGTCCCAGCTCGGAGCAACGCTGGCAACGTCCGAGTACTCTTTTCAGACGCCGTGCACGGCTGAGTCTCTGATCTACCGCCTATCCAGTTGCGTGTGTATCAGAGTAGATAACTAGCCAACATGGCAAAAACCGGCCCGCGGGCTTCATCTGTACCGGGCCAAGGAACGGGTTAATCCGAGCCCAGGGGCTTGTTTGGAAATGCGACAGGTCCTGTCATTTGGCTGGCAACTCGCAGGTGGCATCCCCCAACCGGCTCCACGCCAGAGAAGCTCTGGAGGTGATTCGAGTAATGAGGGTCCAAGGACGGAAAAGGTCGCATCCCCATGGGGATTGACCCGTATTCCCCTTGTCAAGGCCAAATAATAGCCCGGGGATACAAGAGGCATTTTCCAGGACGACAGCGATCGCAACTTCTTTTGTCACCAGGTCCGGGGAGACTGTGGGTCATGCTCCTAGCATAAGGCCGACTGGTCCCGTGCCAAGGCCACTTAAGTCCATGGCACGCATGGCTGCTTGGGTTGTCATGGTTGTCTGTATCGCCAATCTGTGTGCGCGTAACTCGTACGACTCACGAGGACTGAGAAGGAACGGACTAGCTCCCAAACGACCCAGGTCAAGCCAAGGCGCCGTTCCACGCAACGGTCTGGCAGATGTGAGGACGTCATCACAATGGTCCACATGGCTCGGCTGAACCTGAGACAGAAGTAGGTAATTGATGACGGCGAGTGCGGCGGTCGACATCCTCACACGAACCAGGACTTGACGTCGCGAACTGCGATCGTCCTACGGTGAGCTTTCATCACGGCAAACCCAACACGGGAAAGCCACAACGCGGACATGACATAAACAGGCTACGTCCCTTCTAGCGCCTTTCTACCAATCTTCCAACACCATTCCCACCTGAGGAAAGATTCGGCATTTTGACGAAATATCCTCCTGCCATTGGATGACAACACTTCCCGTGGCCGGCGTTATGTCATCGCAGTAAATCAATACCCATACTCGAATGAGCCAAGGACCAGATATCGAGCGAGATTTGGCGCAGAGTTTAAAAGCGCATGCTTGGCAACTCACTGTCCACAAAACCGTCAGTCTGGGCAATCCTCCATCATATGAAACCTCCCCACGAACGCGGTGCCTCCTCGGTGACTTTTCCCCATCGTCTTCTTGGTATCGTCCAAGGGCCCCAGATTTCTCTCGACTTCTGTGCAATCGCATAACGTGGCCAGCGTACTGGACCGGACCGAAAGACGCTGCGCCTTCAACTTTTGATCTTCGTTCAAGTCGATTGCATTGCGCGGCGACCGCCAAGCCTACCAAAAGTCATGTAGTTGGACGACGGCTGGGCTTCAGGGGCTCTGGTGGACACGCCGCCGCCGCTATGTTCAACCCCGGATCTTGCCAAGGTTTGCAGACAAGAATCAGAGGTATTCACGAGGGGGTGTGATCAGCAAAAACAGGATGTTTTTCTGCTTGTAGTAAGGCTAGTCGGATGTCCCTTGTCCCACGGCAGTGCAGTTGGCAAGAATTATACATATATGTAGCACTCTGCCGCCCCCTCGGACCGTCTTGACCATGTTACTCATCCCGGACTGAAGCACCAGAGGGCATAATTCATTCCGACTCTTACTGTCAAGATGGGTCTTGCGCAATTCTTCAAGAGCCGGTCGCTCAGGGCCAAGGACGACCAGCGTACCAACGCGGCAGAGTTGACACTGAAGCAGTCCATATTCCCTATATGCCTGGTAACAGTGCTGTTTTTTCTCTGGGGTTTCAGTTACGGGCTCCTCGACACTCTGAATAGTCACTTCCAGAATACCCTTGGTATCACCCAGGCTCGATCAGCCGGTTTACAAGCTGCTTACTTCGGGTACGCAAACCATATTTAGAACTGCATAATATCTGTCGGTCGCATTGTTAACACTCACAGTGCTTATCCGATTGCTTCCCTTGGTCATGCCAACTGGATTTTGCGCCACTACGGCTACAGGGCTACATTCATATGGGGTCTCTGTCTCTATGGCAAGTGAAATGCCCATCGAGGCTAAACATCTTAACTAACTTGCTGGTAGGCATCGGTGCCCTGGTTGCTTTCCCATGCATCAAGGCTCACTCGTTCGGCGGCTTTTGCGCCGCCATTTTTATCATTGGCAACGGCCTAGGCTCGCTGGAAACAGCAGCCAATCCCTATATCACCGGTATGTGTCCTACTCAATACACGGGTGTAGCTGTCGAGGCTTACCAGTATAATCAGTCTGCGGACCTCCTAGATACTCCGAAATCCGTATCAACCTTGCCCAGGCATTCAATGGTATCGGAACTGTGGTTGCGCCAGTCATGGCATCCTACATCTTCTTTGCCGAGCTGAGCAGCGAAGCAGCAGCACTCGCGAATGTGCAATACGTCTACATCGCCATTGCCTGTTTCGTCTTTCTCCTTGCGTGCGTCTTTTTCATGGCTCGGATCCCGGAGATTACCGATGCGGACATGGCCTTCCAGGCAAACGAAAGCGAAGCCAATGCGGATAGCAAGCCCTTCCGGAAGCAATATCGTCTATTTCACGCGACGTTTGCTCAGTTCTGCTACACCGGCGCACAGATTGCTATCGCTGGATACTTCATCAATTACGTCAAGGCTACTCGTCCAGGGACCCCTGACTCAGAATCGTCGGTTCTTCTCGCTGGTGCTCAGGCTGCCTTCTCGATTGGACGTTTCATCGGTAGCGGTATCATGAAATACGTCCGCCCGAGATGGGTGTTCCTCGCATTCCTTTCATTCTGCATCGTCTTTGTTGCTCCCGCGATCACCCAAAGAGGGAACATCGGTATCTCCATGCTGTTCGTGACTCTCTTCTTTGAGTCTATCTGCTTCCCTACCATTGTCGCCCTTGGTGTACGTGGACTGGGACGCCACACAAAGCGAGGATCTGGGTTCATCGTCGGTGGTGTGTCAGGCGGTGCCCTCGTCCCACCTATTCTAGGATTAGTCGCCGACAAGAGAGGTACCGGCTTTGCTATGATTGTGCCGTTGATGTTCTTCATCGCTGCAGAAACATATGCCATTGCCGTCAACTTCGTTCCCTCTTACAGGGATTCAGCAGATGCCTTCAGCAATACCGAAATTGGCTTGAGGCCCGCTACCGGCACAGATGAGGAAACCGCCAAGGCAGCTGATGCTCAGAATGAAAAGACGGCCGTGTCTGAGAACGAGTCGCAGTAGTTCATGCAATCCTAAATGGAAATGAGAGTGGAGCTATAGGGGAAGCCGTTCCATGGTTATGGATACATGAATGTAAAGCTATATACCAAGATACTCGGCCGAAATTCATTAGCATCAGAGCCATAGCTAAAGGATTAGCTACGTTCCCATGATATGTGCTTGCAATTTGGTTTGAAAATTTAAGTCGGCTAATGCATGGCATCGCCAAGGGGCATTTAGTACTGAGAAGTTGCTTACACCTACTGCAGACACTTTGGTGGATGGTAGCTTCGTCTTATAATACATCTGGAAGGACTTTCATCTCGTAACCCTTATACTAGGGCCTTAACTATCGAGTCTGCCTTTCTGTACAGTCCAGTCACGTTCTACAAGGATTGCAGCTCTTGTGGGCACATCTCCATCTATATCACCCAGTGTTGAGGCCCTAGATCGACCGTTCAGTTTAGGGCATGTTACTTTTGCCTCACACCCAGTCTTCAATCCAAGAACCTCTGTAGGCTCCTCCGCACTTCGAACTTCCTTTTGTATTGTAGCACTATGATGTGGTGCATCTGTGTCGAGATCTTTCGATACTGACTTGTTTTTAGTCGGCGTTCCTGGCGTGCTCGACCCTAAACTATCGAGTTCCAATTCTGCATCCCGCCGGTAGAGGATCTCTTCACTGATGGCGGATGATCTCCGATCGCCTTTTTTCTTTCTCATACTTGCATATTGCTGGCTGGAGCCAATCGTCGGTAAATTTTTGTCATTCTGATTGTATTGATTCGTCGATCCAGATGATCTGGAAAATATTGAAGGGAATAGTCTATTTCCCAGGGGACGCAAGGTAGCAAGAGCTGCGCATGTTATTCCTGAGGCCAGTTCAGCTATAGAGTAACACGCTGACGTCGATGAGTTGTATGTAAAGTCGCTTCCGTCACTCTTGATGGTCGTCAGGCGGACGATAGATATTATGCAAGTGCTGGGGAAACTCAGTTAGTTGATCATCCAGTTTAACAGCAACGCGCCAGCTTACATGGATCCAATCCCAAATATACAGAATAGCGCAATCTTTTGTGCTCGTGGCAGACGCAACTTCCACAGCGATGGTAGAGGCAACAGTATGATACAAATATCAGTTACGAGGTTTCCTGCTGCGTTCAGGAACACCCCAAGTTGTTGATCCTGACAAGAAGCTTGAATGGTTTTATCCCAGAAACCAGAGACAGGGATGCAGAGAAAGATGACCGCAAAAAGTTGACCTATGTTCCATCCAGACACCAAGAACATAGCAACAATGTAGGTGATTCTCATCGTCCGTATTTGCCGAAATACTCTGTAGTACTGGAAAAGAAAAGTCATCTTAATGAAAAGAAGCGCGGCGTTGTAAAACAGCTCAGTGATCCAAAAGATCTGTTGTCAGGTCAAGCCGGTTAGCAAACTACCCCAAACAGGGTCCATGAAGTGGTCTGGACATACCTCGAGGAACGGTGCAAGATCACTCGGCATATTCAGATCCCAAACATGGCGGCCGAGGTACTTGCCAGCGTTCACATTCTGTGATGTCGCCATTCCAATGGTGCACAGCTGCTGGTATGTCAAAAACGTGTTTCTGGACACCACAAAATTCTCATCAAATTCAAGAAAATATATGGGTACATACAAGTCCTAGAATTGCAAACCAATCATCTGTTCCCACCTGATGGTTGATATAGAATCTTGTGTATAGGCGCAGAGCAGTCGCTATGGTGGCAACCACACTGCAGAGTGCGCCGGCCATGATAACAACATCGCTTCGGGAATCATGGTCAAGCTGACTCAATTGCAAGCCTTGACCCGGAGCGGGATGTTGATCGGACATGTATTGGAATTGAAGTTGAGGAATCGAGAATTGAATGCAGAAGAAAAGACGGTGGAGAGACAGTGGGGACTTGGATGAAAACAATCACGGCCGCAAGGTATCTGACCCAGTCTAATAGTCTTACCATTGCCACGGGACAAGATGCAACGGTCAAACTTTCAGTCAATGGGGGTATGAGTGTTGCGCATGGGCTTCATATTCAGCAGCTGGCCCGTCCAATGCATTATCTAGCCATTCTCATTGGTCGGCAACGCATGACCGAGAGTCAGGCCCCTGTTTTATGCTGTGGCAATCGGCCGGCTGCCGCTTGATATACATTGAAACCCCTGCTGACGCTCGGATGAGTATACCTCTTTGCGGCTCCTTGCAGACAGAATTACCTGCTGAAGCCGTCGATCCTTCATTGGATGGACAGTTCGTGTTGCATTAGTCCAGCCCCTTAGCAAGAAGCGATCGAACGTCTAATGTCCAACGGGAAGCCGAGTCGGACCATGTTCGTCGCCGGGGCCAAAGGCGTGGCCTGAGTGGATCTCGAGTTTAGCCTGATCATGCGTCTACATGTGAATCGTGTGCGCTCAGACGCCAACCCTGTCTCGAACGTATGCGCATAATCTGGGGTATTGGCAACGTGGGGCTCGATGTGCCAGATCTCGGAACATTGCGAGAATCCCTGGGGGCTTTCTCGAAGATCATCCAAGTATTCGGCGGTGTAAATTGCACGGCCCTTGAATCACGGGGAACATGTGTTAACAAAGGGCGAACTGTTAATGGAAACAAATCACTGCTGCCCGAAGGACGTCGACACCGACTTGGGCATTTATCGTGGCTACTAGCTCAGTGGAATGCACAGCGTACCGTGTATCTCTGGTGCACCCTAGCCAGCTTTCCTCGGAGTAGTTGCCCACCACAGCCAAGCGGAGGGTTACCATCTTTCCTTCTATTGGCTGCTCCACACACCATGACTCTCAGCAAAGGTAAGCTCTTGGAGATGGTGAAACCTGATTAATACGTTGGTGCTGCTGCATCGAAGCACAGCGCCCGCGCCGATGCATCCCAAGGACGACAGAAGATCTGCCTGCAAGTGGGCCGCCAAGCCAGTATGAGAATACCTTGTCGGCACGTCTGTGCCAAGCCCCGTTCTCATGAACGAAGCGTGCGTTTTGAAGGATAATCCGACCCTGGCTGAGAAACAGCAGAGCATGTGATAAATCTAGTTCTTTGCGGTACGAATCCAGTCTACAAGTATAATTGCACCAAAGTGTAGGGACAGTATAGTTATTGAAAAGCCATGACTTCGAGAAAGATAGTAAATCACAGAGTTTACAATCACTTGATAATGTGCTCCGTGGATAACGTGCCCCATGTAGGTAGTACTGCACACTGAGTACAGCTAAGATGCGCATGTCTATTAAAGTTAAACTTACTGTGGTAAAAGACGCGAGACCCGCTCCGCGGCATTTACTTCATCGTATGGTTCTCCAATCACGATCGCGCAAAGTATTGCTTAACTAACAAGCGTGCTTGACCTTGCTCCTGGATCCTCGCCAACGACTATGGATCCCATGTTGAAAACATGCCACGTATGTCCAGGTCGCGATTAGTCTCCAAGTGCCAAAGAAGTAGTAAACAAAATGATTTGTTTACGAGACTGTATATGTACCCAAGGGTATATTTCTCGTGAATTCTTCAGTGACACCCTAATTCTATGGATTTTGACTTGATTGTAATGACCTGAAAGCCAATTCGCGTCCCTGAGTACAATGGTATATCAAGTCAATGCTGATTTAGACAGGCTGGTAACGATATGTCACTAATATCACTGACTAGTGCGCATTCTCCCTTGGTCGTCGAGATCAATGCGATTATCTTTTCTCAATTCTCTTGTGGTCGCTGACGGGGATATCGGGTCGTGCGAATTCTAATTCTAGGGGACCACATAGTTTTGATGCCCTATTGAACTTCAGCTACCGCCGTACCAGCTGTAAAGCAGCGGCGCAATGTCGGATTTGAGTGCACCATCGTTGCCATGCCCAGTCAGTTCCTTGCTCGAGAAAATGGGCTAGTATTGAAGCAGGAATCAATGTTCCTAAGGTCAGGATGGGTAATGGTATACTGTGACGACGATGAGGCACTGACGTTTCCTCCAAGCCGACTAGATTATGACACACGTGGCAGAGTGACGCAAAATCAAGCCACCCATAGGTATCAAAGCTTGCAGCCCTACGACGCTTTTTCCATATCAGATGCCAAAGACGTTGTTGCGCACAGCTTTGGTCGAAAGAGTCGACTATGAAACGGATGTAATTATAGCATGGCAGAAAACTAGTGGGCCCTGAGCGGCTGCTGGTCCACGCGCTTCGCACTGCAAGGCGGACCGGCAAGGTTCAATTGCAGCCCCGTAGCTTCTGACGTCGACATAAATATCTCACCACGAAGACGACGTCGTGCCCAATCACCATGGACAGCCCCTACGCCAAGGAGCTGCAGACGGCCATCAATGTCGTTCAGCAAGCAGCTAGGTTAAGCCAATCTGTCATATCGTCGGCCGACAAGGGTGTTGTTGAGAAGGACGATCTCAGCCCCGTCACAGTAGCCGACTTTGCGATCCAAGCTCTTTTGGCCGCCACCATCCACCACGCCTTCCCGAATGACAAGTTTGTAGGCGAAGAGTCGGCCGCAGAGCTCAGAGAAACCCCAGTATTGCTCGATCGGGTCTGGGCACTACTTCAGAGCCTGAAGGAGGCCGAGTCGAACTCGCTGTGCAAGCTTCCCGCTAGCCCGGAGCAGATGTGCGAAGTGATCGATTGGTGTGGAAATGGGGTTCCCGGCGGTCCGGACTCGGGGAGAATCTGGGTTTTCGACCCGATCGACGGCACACAGACGTTCGTGAGGGGTCAGGCGTACGCGATCAATGTTGCGCTGATGGATGGTGGAAAGCAGCTGCTCAGCATCGTTGGCTGCCCGACAATACCAGTGAATGCCGAGGCGCCAATTACCGACAAAACGGTTGACCCGACTGGACGCGGTTTGATCATATTCGCTGCAAGGGGCTACGGCACCTACGTCCGTACACTTGTCGGATCAGCTGCCGAAGTTCAGTCAACGAAGGTTGAACCTCACGCTGAGACGGCTACCCTCGGGTCTCTGCGTTCCGTCACCTGCTTCCAGACCTCAAATTCTGGCCTGGATGAGGTGCACAAGACCGTTGTTGAGAGACTCGGGGCGGTATATCCCGGATGCGATTTGCTTGGTTGGGTGCCTCGATGGGTTACCATGGCGTTAGGTGCATCGAACATGACTGTCTGGGCTTATAAACGTCGGGATAGAGTCGCAAAGATCTGGGACCATGCTGGAGCCATGCTTCTCTTTGAAGAGGTTGGAGGAAAGGTTACGGATGTCCACGGAAAGGCCATTGACTTAACTATCGGGAGGAAGATGACAGCTAACTATGGCTTCATCGCTGCACCAAAGAATGTCCACGACGTAGTCCTAAAGACTGTTCATGATGTTCTCAAAGAGCAAGGGAGGGGAGATGTACTGGTGTAACTAGACTTCTTTCGACTTGTTCCCAATGCAATCAAGGCTCTCTAGTCCTGAGGCAGCGGCATGAAAGGCAATCCGGGGCGACCGGTACAGCGCATCGCATCCTTGGTTACTTCGCTCCACTACATCACACAGCAATAGTTCCGAAAACCCCTGAACAAGTCGTACAGCAGCGAGTACAGTTAGTAGTCGTGAGTGACCAAAAGTGCGTTTGATGCTGGACTGGTATGTGTGACGCTATCATGTTCCCGGCGGCGCTTCTTGGCCTTGGAAGTCACGGTGACATCCGGGGACAAGTCATGTCCGCTAATAAATTGAACTTCTCCTGTCACGCCGTTCGATCAAGGCCCGACACAAACGCGATCTTTCTGGTCATCTTCCGGGATTGCCCCTTTGGGATGGTCGTACCCTTGGCCCCACACTTTCACGGGTTCCCATTACCGAGTGAAGCAAGGAATCAAAGCATCTTATTCGATACCAGATTCCTCCTTGGCCAGATTCGGTGCATGAATTAATATAATTGCGGCCCGTGCTAGAAACATTTCCTGGTTTCGTTCCAAGATCAGTGGTGGAATCCCAGTCGCGCAAGTCCTTGAGATATCAGCGGAGCAGCCGGTAATCACATCCAGACACTGCAAAGACCAGCCAGTCATGGTTCAAATGATCAATAAATACATATGTAGCTGCGGTGAGTCCTTAGACGCTGGTGGATTCTAGAAAGGAAACGCTACCACCATAGTGATTTTCATATTTCCAGCTCAATATGAAGAACGCCCTCCAAATCATCGCAGCGGCTGCGCTAGCTTTCAACAGTGCATCAGCTCATTACATCTTCCAGCAACTTAGCATAGCATCGACCAAATACGATGTGTATCAGTACAGTAAGCTCGAAAAAACATTCCTGATCTGGCTGGCATTCCAGCCGAGCATTGATTCGATGGCTGATCTTCCACTTTTTGCAGTCAGGAAGAACAGCAACTACAACTCTCCAGTAACTGGTTAGTCCTCGCAAACCGAAAGATGTGACACGGGTGCTGAAAGTAAACAGACTTGGCCTCAACTGATCTGCGATGCAACGTTGGGGCCAGCGGTACCGGAACAGACACTGTCGCCGTCAAGGCTGGGGATTCCTTCACTTTTACCCTCGACACGGTGTGCACTTAAATACGTTGCGATGGAAAAAGGCTCAGCTAACGACTTACAGGCGGTCTATCACCAAGGTCCCACCTCAATGTAAAGTTGGCAGTAGGTAGACATACTGCAGAAATACTGATCTGTCACAGTTACATGTCCAAGGCTCCGAGCACTGCTGCAGCCTATGACGGCAGCGGCCAGTGGTTCAAAATCAAGGATATCGGTTAGTGCCATCAAGAGAGCTGTATAATTTATCGGAATATTGACTGTCTCTAGGCCCGACGTTCAATGGCGGCTCGGCAACTTGGGATCTGTCACGTGAGTAGTCATCTGCCTTGGTTATACAGATGAAATACTTGACACTGAGATGAACCAGAGACGTACACGTACCAGATTCCCTCTTGCATCGCTCCAGGAGAGTATCTTTTGAGAATTCAGCAGCTCGCTATCCATAACCCTTGGCCAGCTGGCATTCCTCAATTCTATATCTCCTGCGCTCAAATCAAAGTAAGCGGCAGTGGAAGCAAGACATTTTCAGGTGTCTCCATCCCAGGTGCTTTTAAATCAACCGACCCTGGTTACACCGCCAACGTAAGTTATTTCCATGCATCATTCTGACCATACAACATGGAATAACACGGGCATAGATCTACAACAACTTCTCGAACTACACCGTCCCTGGCCCGAGCCCAGTAAGTGGAATACAATAATTAGGCCAACATAAGCTGATTGTGGCAGGTCTCTTGTTGAGTAGGGTGTAAGCACACATCGGTTCCTGAGGTATTGTCTGTCTTGAGACAAGGTTCTCCTGCATTCCTAAAACTATTGGGCAATTTGGAGACGAAGACACTCTTTGGCTAGCAGACTGCGTATCCTGAATTATACACATTTTTGCTTCAGAATTCCACAGGATTGGTTGCGTTGCTCATCTAACTTTCTTCATTCTCTTCATAATGCACTGTAATAACAAAAGATCCTTGTCAGTACTCAAACTCACGCCCAGGATGCGTGTTCTTTGGCACGCTTATTTGCATGGTAGTTGAAACATCCCCATCATTGGTATGAATATCCTCAAATCACTCGCGTTCATCAATGGATCACGGTCTGTACCCAATAGAGGGTCAATCTGTTCGAACTATGCAGGCCACGCCTGGGTGCTGTATCGATTCAAGGTGGCTGCGAGACTGCGATGCTTTGGTTTCATCATGCAGCTTGCTTGTAACTGCGCGGCGATAGTCAAAGCCAGCACGCATTCTAGTTCTCAAAGCCTCTTCTACTAACACACTATATAGCCACCTCTGCTTGATTTATAGTGCCAGGAAGCACCAGAAAACGATATCGAGAGAAAAGAACGTTCCGACGCATCCTCTACATAAGCCAGGAGATCCGAACTCTTAAATCTTCGGGCGGGATTAAGTTAAGCACAGGAGCATTGACGGTACTGATGTTGGCTATGCGCACTCAACCCGGAAGACATTAGACCTTCCACCCTATGTGATAGTTGACATGACTTGACATGCCGGTTCTACGAGGCAGACAGGTAGATTGTGACCTCAGAAACACGGGATGCGCTTATCTTAGTTACTTGACAGCTCACGAGACTATGTAGACAATCGTCGTCGCCCCCAGCTATCAAATAACAAGGTGTATCTCAGCACCCCCCATTCGCACTTCCGTGTCAATGAATACGATGACTGAATAAAATAGTCTTGTATATAGCATTATAAGACCTCATCAGTACCTAGTGGAACATTGTCATTATGCTTGCCCATCAATCGGTTTAAAACTGAGTTCTTGGACTTGATCTAAGTTCAGAAAGCGGGCCTCGAAAATTTGGCCGAAGGGCCTAGGTCCCTTGATCAGCACTCAATAGTCAGTGGATAAGAGGCCTAGTTCAATCGCCAAGACCTCGGAGTGGCTGCCGAGACGCCTGGCGGCCTGGGCCACCAACCTCAGCTTTCAGCTGCAATCTTGTATGCCATCATATCCAATTCGGCTTTTGGTTTCAAGTGTCTAAGAGATACCTACCGAATCCTCGGGGAAGACAGTCATGAAGAAACATTGCGTTTCATGCTTGGAATCAAGTTTCCTGCTCGGCGTTTTGCTTGAACATTGATGGCACCAGAATGTACATACCTGCGGGCATTAGCTAGATACACAATGCCTAACTTAGTGGGCACAGCCAGAGCAGACTCGCGCAGCCTGGCATATGTTGTCAGCATGGCCTTGATACGCGTGGTGCAGTCTAGAAGCTCCGATAAGCAAGGATCCTGCAGGGCGGGACCACAAAGCTCGTACTCAGAGATGCAGCCCACCACCTCTGCTAGCTGCGCGCCGACTGAATCTGGCTTCGTGGCGCTGGTGCACTCTTATCTGGCGCAGGCAGTTGGCTCGAACCTGCATTAGCCCTCGCATTTGCAGGTGCTAATATTGCTTCGGGTGTGCCTGTGCCGTTGGAGATCCAAGCCCATCTGTTGACGAGAAGCTGGGCGAAAACTGTTTGGATTATGTCCTACTTATCAGCGCGCCCTGGCTCGCTTGGGCGCTGCTTGTCACTTTATGTTTTTCGTATCACAAACGTCCTGTCAGCGAGATTTGCTGCGATCGCAAATCCTGTCAGCCGCTGTGTCGTTGGGGGCAGTTCCTTTTTTTAGGAGCCCGTGGGTCGCCTAACCTTCTCGCGACTCTCTCGAGGTCTGTCGACCAGCGCATTCGGATAGACGACGGTCGAGCAGAAAACATCGGCCTTTTTACCAATTGACTTTTATTCTTTTTCTTTCTTTTTCGACTTTTTGTCACGATGTTCTACACCCGCTCGTTACTGCTGGCGTTTGGTGCAGCCGCTGGAGCAGCATCCTCAAAGCGCGGTCTGGTTTTCGTCCCAAATTCCCAATGGCCCGAAGACAACAACGTGTGGGTTCAGTCAGGGTCAGATCTGACATGGTACTACAACTATGGCTCTACACCATCGTCTGCCTTTACCGGTCACTCCCAAGAAGACTTTGAGTTCGTGCCAATGCTGTGGGGTGCCATCAGCGGCACGTCTTTCCTCGACGAAGTAAACGGGCTCATCCAGGGCGGTGTCAACATTTCGCACGTCCTTGGCTTCAATGAACCGGATGGCGAATCTTCGACCGGTGGCAGCAACATTACTCCCGCGAGAGCCGCTCAGGTCTGGGTGGATAATATTGAGCCGTTGGCAGCGAAGGGGATCAAGCTTGGATTGCCAGCCTGCACTGGAGGGTGGAATGGTATTCCGTGGCTGCAACAGTTCCTTGCCAACTGTTCGTCACTCGTTAGTACAGACGCCGAGACAAAGAACTGTACTTACGACTTCGTCAACATCCACTGGTACGGCAATTTTGAAGGCCTGGCAAGCCATATGGGCTCATACTCCGCCGCGTAAGTCATTCCAATACTGAGTGGCTCCGGGCGGGTTGATCGAAGTCCACTAATCGATAACCTCCAGTTTCCCCAATGTAACCCAGTGGATCACCGAATATAATCTTGACAACCAGGACCTCTCAACGACGCAAAGATTTTTCAATACGTCCGCGGAATACTTTGACCGCCTGGACTATGTTGGTCGCTACAGCTACTTCGGCTCATTCAGGTCAAAAGTTAGCAACGTTGGCGAGAATGCAGTCATGCTGAACAACGCCGGAAAACTCACGGACATAGGCTCCTGGTACCTAGGTGTATCAGCCACCGGAGTTTTGCCTACATCAGTCGCAGGAAAAGGGTACTCACCCATGGCTATGGCGTCTGTGGTCGCTCTCATTAGTGTCATGGCGTTGTTTGGTTGTTGAGCAATACTGTCATTTATAATAGCGGCCCTGCACCTGTAGAGTAAGGCAAACTCTTTCTCAGTATTGGCTTGTATTCCCGCATGGCTTGACGCTATGTCGTACGGCTGAGCATTGGGCAGTCAGTCACCCTTTCTCATTAACCGCGGTACGGCCTGGGCAAACAGAAGTTTGTGCCAGATATCGATGGGGGCTTGTCCATTTGTGAGCATCTCTTCATGAGCAACTCAATTATACACATAGACATATAGACGTACTATAGACATAGAGACAGCTTATGAGGATATTAGTGGGAAACCAGCGTTATTGCAATTACCGAGCAATTTCCACTTCCCTTTCTGGGCACTAAAAGGCCTACGCGTTTGCCGTGGCATCAAGACGGTTTAAATGTTGTTGCTTCGGCCTCGCCAATAAACCCCCCCACCATTTCATGCTACCGAGTGTGATAGCTCCCTCCGGCTGTGACAGTGAGTTATGAGGTAAATGCTGTGGTACTGGTTTGGTCTACGTGCGCGCTCACAACCGGTGGTCCCATCAAGGTCAAGATCCCCGACTACTACTCTGACTTACCAGACAGTCAGCTTGGAGGTTATGGATAGCTGGGCTGCATTTTAGTAGTTGATAGGTTACGGAACTCCACATCTGAATTGCTTCCAACCTGGATTTTGTTATATGTCCCGCCGCGGTGCGAAGTTCTTCCGAGTACGTAGCACGCAAGAGAAGCATCGTTTGTCGATGGTATATGATGAATTCACTTAATATTAGGATTTTGTCATGGTAAGCTTGTCTTGTAAACAGCAACCATAATACAGACTAGCTGTGGAATACTTCTACAACAGATAACCCAGGGACTAATTGGGAAGGAACTACAAATGAAATGTCCACATTGTACTTTCAAAAAGACTTCCAAAGGAACTATCTTGCGCCGAAGAACGGTGCTTCATGCTTCACCTAAGCAGAGACCGTCACCTGCAGCAATTTTGGTTCAGCCGCTGTCAGGAGCCCAGCCGCGTTCTGACCCACGGGATTGACATCGTCGTATGGAAATGAATAGCCCTTGCCGTCAATCAGGTGCTGATGCAGGATTCGGCTGTAGTGGTTGGTAACATTTTCTGAGTAGTACTTGCTCTCATCCCCGTAAGGCTGAACTTCGCCTCCCTCTAATAGCAAGGTAGAACGAGCAAAGGCAGCACACAGGCGCGCAGCCAGTCTCTTCTGGACCAAAGAAGTTTCATTCCCAAACGGCCCTGTGCAACCCCAGATATCGGTAGTACTTGGCTTGGCAAACTGAGGATCCCCAGTTCCATTACATTTCAAGAAATCCTCGTTGACACGACAAATGGACTGAGCTCCATTCCCAGCTACTGGCAAGTCTTCTCCATCCTCCGCACCCTGCGTGTTGATTCTCAGATCAACGTCTTTGTATTTGGTCCAGACTTTTTGTACGTAGCTGCTGTAGTAATCATTCATGGAGTTCTTGGCCGCGTCGAGATGGGCGTAAAAGTTGGGTGATACCACACGCAAAATTGTGTTGTCTTGTGATCGCACGCACATCCTTCCCCATTCGGCATGAGAATCAGTTCTGGACTGGGCCTCCATCTCGCTGCAGATGTCATTGAGGCTTTCAGGGGTAATGCCTTTAACATTTTGTGTGTCAGGGGCCCCCGTGGAGTTGGTAGAGGTGAGTGCCATGCCGATGGTCAGACTGACCCAATCAACAAAGGATAGATTCACATGAATTCCCTCGTTCTCCAGATTGCTAAGCTCGAGGAACCCCCATTTGATGTTGTACTCTGGTAGTGACGGATTGGCTACTGTGGGCTCGACAAGAAGCCCCTTTGTAGTTGTGTTGAACATCAGTTCGCCTTCTGCCAACCATATGCGCCCACTTTCAAGGAATCCGGGAAGCGTAAAACTAATTTGCTTCTGATTGGGAACGTTGATCGCGAGTTTGATGTCAGGTTTGATTTGCTGAGGAATGTCGGTGTACTGACTGTCGCCAGGGTCCAGTACATGCCATTGCCAAGTATCAGACCGAAGGAGAACAGCCTTACCAGTTCCTGGATCTATGCCCGAAACGTACGCATTTAGATCGGCGCCATGGGTGTTGTTTATTTGGATTTCCAAGTGTGCATTTCCACGGGCTTTGATTTGGAATCCTGATCCCATGATATCATATTGGTGCATGCCAGCCCGACGGGGCTCGGAGGCAACGGACGAGTGTGCGAAAGGCGTGAACGCCGCTGCAATGATAGCGAGAAGGAGTCGAGTGGATATATTCATTTTGCACAGACTTGCGCATGAGGAGGAAAGTTTTATTCGTATGCATAGAGCTGGAGAAGCCCCGAGAGAGTTCATTTATACACATTTCACCCGCCTGCTGAGATGGCGTAGCATGCACGAGCTACCGAGATGTGCAAAGAAAGCCATGATTCACGCAGTGTGGTCCAGTCACGGGAACGTGATATCCAACAAAGGGCAGACGGCGGAGAACCAACGCTCGTGGGCTCACACCAAGAAGAACAAAGAGCACGGTGTTGGCCCGGTGTCACACGACGCTGATCACCTTGGTCTCGAGATCATCACCAACTGAGGCTTGATAAGAGCAGATGTCAATATAATGGTTATAATGGTGTCATACAAGATTAAATCTGGGGACTATGAGATATAACATGCAGCCCGTCAAAGGCGCAGTACTGCATCTGACCGAGGCCCCTGCCGCCCACGACTTGGGATTTTCCTCACTCAGGATAGCACTTGTTGCCATTGGGAGCATAGGTGCTCTTATCATCATTCAGGAGCAGAGTTGAAACGTGAGGGCCGCTACTCTGTCTAGGTCCGCGGTGACGCTCCGATTTAGTCAGGTTTCAAATCGTAGGGCAAGATGTACGGTTGTAGACCTTCAGCAGGGGCGGTGGGGTCAGAACTGAACCAGGCAGCTGTTGTCAGGATTGAACTCCGAAAGCCGTCTTGGACAAGGCCAATCGATTCATGCTGTTGCGGGATTGGCACCGCGCCAGGAGCCATGTCCTACTTACGTACGGTACCTAACTGACTAGGTGCTCAAGTCAACCCGAAGGAGCTTGGACGGAGCCCGGGAGGCCCTGTGAGCTGCTAAGTGAGGGTCCAGACACTCAACCGCCGGGACCTGGGGCGGATGGGGTGCATGTGCTGCCGCCGAGCCGAGGAGAGCCGGCCGAATTAAATACGAACGAGGGACGACGGACAAAACATCGCCGCGCGTCGCCGCCTTGCGGTCAGCGCAGAGCAGCGGGAATCCGGCAATGGTAGCCAAGCAGTCGTGGTGATTGCCAGGCCACCGTTCGGGGGTCTATGGGGTTCTATGTCGGGCATTCTGCATTGTTGTTCCCGATTACCTAGTGAAAACGATCCGATGCTAGTTGATCTCGCCCGTTGGAATCGCCGACGGGGATCTGCTCCCCTACTGAAGCCAGCGAACCAACTGGCAGTACTGGCCTTGGAAGTACAGTAGCCCAGTCCAGTACGAGCCGTGGGCAAATGGGGTTCACAGCGCAGGACTTACCCCAGATTTCTCCGGCTTTAGTGCTGATTAGTGATTCTCGGGGCGCCCTGCAATCTGCCGAGCTGGCCCCAACGCCAACCGAAACCGGGAATTTGCCCGCCGTTACCTCGGCAAGTCTGGAGCCTCCCCCACGCCCTTATGAACTGCGGCCGGTCGTCGCGAGCTCTGTCGTCTCCGAGACTGCTGCTGTGCCTGATGCTTTTCTGATCTGCGCAACCTCAGGTCGTCGTGTGTCTGTGTGTCTGTTATCAATCCTGTCCAGAGAACCTGTCGAGTAGCCATCCAGTCGCCCAGCCGCCTAGCCGCCCTCCGTTGAACAAGATGGCCGCCGAACGCATTGGTTCCATCTTCAAGCACCTGTCGCCCGGGTCCAGCTTATCGCAGATGTACGTCTTGTCCTCCTTTTAAACCACTCTCCTCAGACGTGCCTTTCCAACGTCCGGCGACTGCCCTGTTGTCTTATTCGTGTCTGCCCGTGGCATTCTTCTTCCGAAGCCACTAACTCACTGCGCCCAGAACCTCCAAGAACCCCGACGACATCGTAATCACGCTTGCCGTCCGTACCCCGCTGTGCAAGGGCAAGAAGGGTGGTTTCAAGGACACCTCGCTCGAGTACATTGCATATGCTCTCCTCAAGGAGGTCAAGGACCGAATCGGCTTCGACCCAGCGCTCGTTGAGGATATCTGCTTCGGAAATGTTCGTATACTAGTTCCTATTTGTCTCCCTGAGAAGCCGCCATAGTCCCCGGTGCTGACGACACCCACCCCTAGGTCTCCGATGGCAAGGCAGCTTACAAGATCCGCGCCGCATCCCTCGGCGCTGGATTCTCCAACACCTCCGGTGCCTCGTCCGTGAATCGTTTCTGCAGTTCCGGCCTGAAGGCGACAGCCGACATTGCACACGCGATCTCACAGGGCTCCATCGAGGTTGGTATCGCCATCGGTGGCGAGTCCATGACTGTCGGCGGCGACCGCCTCGAGGCGCCCTTCGACGAGCAGATCCTCACCAACCAGGACGCCAAGGACACGATGGAGGCTATGGGGTGGACCAGCGAGAACGTCGCCCGCGACTTTGGCATCACCAGGGAGCAAGTCGACACATACGCCGCCGAGAGCTTCCGGAGAGCCGAGGAGGCGCAGAAGGCTGGCTGGTTCGATGACGAGATCGTCCCGATCACCACCAAGGTCAAGGGACCTGACGGCGAGCTCAAGACGGTGACCCTCACCAAGGACGAGGGTATCCGCCCCGGAACCACCGCCGAAGGACTCGGCAAGATCCGCGCCGCCTTCCCTCAGTGGGGACCTATCACCACTGGTGGCAACGCTAGCCAGGTCACCGATGGCGCGGCTGCCGTTGTGCTCATGAAGCGGTCCAAGGCTATCGAACTCGGCGTCCCGGTCGTCGCCAAGTACGTCGGCACGACCGTCGCTGGTCTGCCTCCTCGTATCATGGGTATCGGCCCCGCAGTCGCCATCCCCAAGCTTCTCAAGCAGTTCAACCTCAACATTTCCGATATCGATGTCGTTGAACTGAACGAGGCCTTTGGAACTATGGCTGTCTACTGCCGAGACAAGCTTGGCCTCGACTGGGCCAAGATGAACCCCCGTGGAGGAGCAATTGCCCTCGGACACCCTCTGGGCACTACTGGTGCAAGACAGATTGTCACTGGTCTCAGTGAGTGCAGGAGGCAAAAGAAGAAGATCCTGCTGACGAGCATGTGTATCGGAACTGGTATGGGAATGGCTGGTCTCTTTGTGAACGAACAATGATTTTGATACTTAAGCTATCTAATGAAAATATCCATCATTAGCACCAACATTCGCTTGTCATTGTCTGCACCTCCGGGAATCGCGTACTGTCTGCAAATTGCATTGTGTTTCGATGCAATTGACTGTTGCATTTTATTCCATGTTAACATTCTTCAAGTACTAAGTCTGCCTCATGAATCTTCATATAATCGGGAACCGCAAGATACAGGTTTCAAGAGTCCTCTTTCCTCCAGGTTCGTCAGCAGTTCCAGGAGGTCGGTATCCATGTTCCGCGGTGCGAGCAATGAGAGTGCCACAGGGAGGTGTTCTTCTCGCTTTGTAAACTTCGACGTGAAGCTGACCTCACCAACGGGGATAGTATAATCCGGACACCCAGAGGAGTAGCTAAGGGAATACACAGAAAACCCATTCCAGAAGACCTCTTTGCTCTCCAATCTCCCCAGCTCGTCCCTATACTGCGGCCTCCCCCAGCTTTGCGGATAGACTAACAGCGGTATCTCCTCGGACTCGACCCCTGGCGCTGGGAGGAGTACTTTATTTACCCAACCTGCAAATGCATGCAGGGTCTCGATAGACTGTTCCAAATCACTGTCTGATACACTTGCTCCGTAGTCTAATCGTGCCTGCGTGATCTCTTCGATGAATGGTGGGCGGCCATGGCGCTGTTGGTACTGCTGAGCAAACGGTTGGACGACATCACGGGACAGTTGCCCATAGACAATGTTCTTGTAGATGGAGCCGGTCGCTTGCAGCAAATCTTCGGGCTCAGTTTCCGGGTGAGTTTCCTTCCAGAGATCGAAAATGCAGACTTCCTCACGTTTCGCCTCGAGAAAGTTCTCCAAACCCTTGACAAAATCTTCCATCAACTTTCCAGCAGGTGTACCAGCTTCTGGACCCTGAAAGCCCCGCGAAAAGAACTTTGGTGTTTCGCTTGGTTCCGTCGAGTCCTGCTCAACAGCATAGAGAAGCTTATATCGTGGCCTCTTCGGCGGTCTGGCGACTGCGCCGGCCGGCATACCCATCATGACCTTGGCCACAGATTCTGCAACTTTTGCTGAGCGAGCGAATACTCCTGGTGTGTCCATCAATGAAGTGCAGACGAGGCCGGCACTCTTCATTGCATCTAGAGATGGGCGAATGCCATAGAGGCCGTTGACTCCCGCAGGATGCCGAACGGATCCCCCCGTATCAGTGCCAATCGTAAAGTCCAACCAGGAATAGCTGGCGCAGCTTGCCGCCGAGCCAGAGCTGGACGCTGATGGTTTTTGGAAGCTGTCACCTCTTGGATTCGTCGGCGTGACCTCCTCCAGGCGCTGCAAAGGGTCTTGGCCATCACACCACTGGCAACATCTCAATTTGCCAACCATAACCGCCCCCGCGGCGATTAGTGCCCCGATGCATGGGGCTGTCGAGTCTCGGGGTGGGAAGGATTCGCGGTAGCACTTGCTCCCGTTTCCGGTTTCCAAACCGGCAATGTCAATGGCATCTTTTACGCCAAAGCGCAGTCCAGTCAGTGGTTGTTCCTCCGACGGCTCGCTGTCATACAGCTTTGAGGGCACCGGTATGTGACTAGATGCTTGAAGCCACCTGAACCTGGACGGACCATCTGGGACTGTGCCACCGACAAAGGTATTGTTGGTATCCTCGAAAAGTCTGAGAACGCTGAAGACGCGACCAGTAGATGACTGGAGCATATAGGGCCCGGCTGACAACGTGATATTCTGAGGTATCTCACAGACAATATCCTGGCCTATGTTCGGCGGCGTCCCGTGGCTGTCTTTGACGAGAATTGCTTTCAGGTGTCAATCAGCCACAGTCCCGAATGGCCACTACAGGCTCGCCAGTGGATGTCTCGGATGTCTTTACCTTTCAAAAATTTGTCCGACCATACGTCGTCGAGGTCGAAGCCAGCGACGCCTTGGGAAGCATCAAGGCACGTCGTAGGGATGAACCTATCCTCCCCGTCCAAAGGGTTTACTACGGCTTGCACCTGGTCGAGTAGATATGGCTTCTCACCCACATCCACAATGATGGTAGGTGGCGGCGCTTCGAGCGCCAATCTTCTACGCTTGCTCATTGCTTGTTGTGTCGTTGTGAAGACGAGGAATCCCTCACAACCCTGGCGTTCAATTGTGAAGAGGTTAGTGGCTGATCCCAACGCCCGGTGACGCCACTTACACCTAATATAGCTAATCGCTTACAGCGGGATCATCGAAAGCCTCACAACCCCCACCATTAGGATTAACAGAATGTCGCTAACTGCCTAGGTACCTATGAATGTACGGTGTGTAGTTGGAATCTCGGGTCCTTACTATGACGCTATTTCATGCTGATAATTTTTTCTAAACAAGTTGTGTTCGGTTGAAAGGGTTCTCAGAATACGTGATTACCTGAAGGTAGGTTAGGCCTCTGGCTTGCCAAGCTCTATTCAGCTGAGCATCTGATAGGAATTAGCGGCGCCAGTGGCTGCAACTAGATGGGCTCTCGGTTAGCGGGAAAGACTCAAGTATCCACCAGCGATCCCCTGCTGGTGGCTGGCACTGATGACCAAATCTCTGGGCGGTCAATACTTGATCATTATGTGCTACGCCGGAAAGACGCGGTAATATGTTCTCTCAAGTGCCTCATCTAGTTGACTGTACGCATTATGACCTCCAGGCGCTCCAGCGAGAAGGGTCCATCATGGACATCTCAGTCACGCTTGACTACAAGCGTACCGAGAGATCTATGCGAACTACTGTATCAAGACACAGTTGAGAAGACATTTGCAAATGAATGTGGTGGTGGTACCAATCAGTTCTCACTGTTCTCGAAGGCCGACGTCTTCGAAGTATTTCCGCAATATGGTGGTCTTGTTACGCAGGATCTAGATGATGCCGGCATACGATCTTGGTTGAAGTCTGAGGAGCAACCCGCCCGAATGAGACTCCTGTTCTTGGACGCGATCCCTGAGAAGCCCGATCTCCTTCCTGTGACCGAGCCTTTGCTTCAAGATATTTTCGACAACTTCAAAGTCAGCTCCCGCTTTGCAGACAACCTTAGCCGGCAGCATATGCCGGGGAGAGCAATATATCGTCTCGGTCGCCAGCAGTTCCGCCACCAACTGTGGTATACTGCCGTGCTCAGAAGTGATGGGAGCGCTTTGAGTTCTCAGTTTCAAAGCGCCAACCAAACGCTAGAATTTACAAGACAGTACTCATACTGGCAAAGGTTTTGCATGTGGTCAGAGTATCAGCATCATATAGACAGCGATGAAAGAACAGCGGTTGGAACAGCGACCTACATGATCTGGCGATGCCCTCGGGCGACCAAACAAGCTTTTTTCTCTACCTTTTCGGGAGAGTCTGGGCTCAAGCTCCTGGAACACCCAATGGCTGTACATGCCTTTTTCACAGAGAAGATCGTAATGCACACCCATGACTTCTTAGCCTATTTCTCCAATCCGTTATATCAATGGGAGAACCGTGCCTCTGAGCTTCGCACTCCCGATGATTATACAGCAAGATCAAGGGCATTCTTGGCACTTGCCCGGCAGATCCATCAAATCTCGACTGACTATGATATCTTGGCTGGGAGTATCGAGCACCTGAAAACCCAGACCGCCTGGTTCGGGGACACTCTAAAAGGCCAAAGCAGCATTGAGAACGATGCGAAGGGTATTCAGTGCGACATGGAAGACATCTTTGAGAACCTTGTCAAGGAAGTGAAGCTGATTGGCGTCTATACTAAGCTGTACTTGGAGCGCAGCAAGATTGGGGTTGACGAATGCTTCGCAATGATCAATCAACGGGACTCGGAGCTCAACATACAAATCGCACAGGCGTCCAATCAAGACAACCGTTCGTTGCGAATCATTCAGATTCTGTCCATGATCTTCTTGCCCGGGTCTTTAGTCAGCAGTGTCTTCGGGATGGGTTTCTTCTCGACTTCACCCGCCGATGACGGAGGAGAAGCAGTCTTCGCAGCCAGCAGCCGGTGGTGGGTCTACTTTGCCGTTTCCGTGCCATTGACTGCAATTGTCATGGCAATTATGCTCTATTATCAGTGGAGGGACGGCACCAAGGCTGAAGATGAATGGAGCCGACGCAGAAGTGTGGTGGATCCAGAAGCCTTGAATATTGAGACGAAAGGGTGATGGCCCGCTCGTTATGTCTTATGCAGACACGATCGCTTTCAGCGAATACCCCTCAGCACACTTACAATGTCGATCATGGTCGAGACTTGTATATACGTACACGGAATCAGCATTAAGGGTGGAATGCGGGGCTCCAATCAGCAGCCGAGGCAGGTTTGTACCGCCGTCACGGAGACGCATATATTAGAGCCGGCGATCCTCTGCCCATCTCGAAGTGTCACTTATTTTCACGCAAGATCTTCACTCTGACTACATCCACGATTTGAATTTGTCGAGAGAAAAGGGCAGTCTATTTGCGACAGAGACCGTATTTATATTATTATAGCGCAAAATGGACGAGGTCCCAATTGAAAAGCGACCGAAATATGGGCTGAATATTTACGGAGCCATTGCAGTAAATCCGTACAAGTTAACCATCCTATGCGAGGAAATCGGGTGAGCATTTGTTTCCTTCACGAGTGGGAGAAAATCTCACGCATTTATAGCATTCGGTATCACTACATTATCGTGGATCATAGCAATGGAGAGCAAAAGAGCCCCTGGTTTACCAAGATCAATCCGAATGGTCGCCTTCCAGCAATCGTCCATGTCAAAGACGACGGGTCTTCAGTATCGCTTTGGGAGAGCGCAGCATGCTTGATGTACATTGCGTCAGAGTTTGACCAGGAACATCATGTGTCGTATCCTACGGGAAGTGAGGAGTACTGGCAAATGATTGCTTGGGTAAGTAGGTCAGACATCGTGAAAAGCAAACACCAGTCTGAATCTCTCTCCATGGTTAGTTATCATGGCAGATATCTGGGCAAGGGCCCATGATGGGTCAAGCGTGCCACTTCCTGCGATACGCAACTGAAAGCGTCCCTTATGGCTTGAAGCGCTACACAGCGGAATGTCGCCGGCTGTACCATGTTCTGGATGTCCATTTAGTAAGTCAGAGTGATGGACCCGTGACTTCAACGAATATGTGATTCTTACTGGGATTCTCTATCACAGTCATCAAGTCCATTTGTGGCCGGATCACGCCTTACCATTGCCGACATATCTATATACATCTGGGCGCTCTCTGCGAAGTGGTGTGGCGTGGACATTGAAGAGTTTCCTGCCGCTAAAGCGTGGCTTGATGCGCTATCACAACGACCATCATTCCAAAGAGGGCTGAACGTGCCAGCACCATATCCTTTTACTGACCTGAAGGTCTCAAACCCGAAGAGAGCAGCATTCTACAGGTTAGTAGAAAAGAAAGGAACAAAATCAGTGCAAAAGGATACAGATAAATGGGCCAAGAATGCCGGGATGCTGTAGATGAGTTTATTGTACCAGCTGTGATGGGTTTGTATTTAGGGAACGGTAGTTTCATGGTTGGCGACTACCGACACGTGGTGTAGTTGCCGTTACGTCAGCACTTTTAGGGTGTTCTATGAATTGAGACAAGAACGGTATCGCATTTACTGGATCAAGTACCGCGGTGTATGTGGTGTTGTCAATATCGTCACTGAATTGGTGCATAGAAACTGAACTTGTGATCCGGGTCGTACTTCGACTTCAAAGCCCGCAGCTTTGCAATCCTCCATTCTTCGTGTCCGTACCAATCCTCAAGGGTTTCCTCTCCTACCACGTAATTTACGTAAGTGTTCATTTCTGAAGACCCAGTGCCCTCTAGAAGGATGGCCCTGATAGCAAGTCCAGCCTCAGTGGCGACTTGATCCAAGAAAGGGTCCGGCGCGTTTCTGAAATTAGCTGACCTACATTTTGTTACTCTCGAGTCACCCTAAGGTTTGCTTGAATATTACTTACAAGAGTAGGTTGTTAAATCTTTCCGGATAAGCAGTACTGTCAGGTGGTATTTGCTGGACAGCTTTGACCGAATATCCCTCATTGAGGAAAACAGACCCATTCAAGCCAGGATACGTTTGTGTTACATTGTTGAACAGATTGAATGCTTTACGTTGAGCTGTTAGGTTGAAAGACCTGATACCAATAGGAAAACGCAGCCTGTGTGTATCGGAATATGTGCACGACCCCTGGTTCTTGCCGTTTAATGTTAGTTGAGCTATCCCGGGGTAATCTGTTGGCTGAGACGAGACTGTGGCTGGACCGAGTGCAACGAGCTGTGAGGTGTAGGGAGAAGCCTGGTCTTCGGTGCCTTCGTATACTAAAAACAGAAGTATCGACGCCTGGGCTGTTAGCTCATGTTATGCATTGTAAGGGTGATCCCTTGGGGGTCTCACATTAGCGGGATCTACGCTGGCGTCACGGAGAAAGTCAGCCCAGTAACGGAGCTCTATAGGCTGCTCGCCACCGGCTGTAAACTCGTTGAGCAACCCGAAAACTGACTCAAGCTTGTCTTGTGTATACTTGTACGTAGCGACAGTCCAAGTGTTGTCCTTGGGCACGTCGTAGATACGGTATCGGACGGAAGTTATGATGCCAAAGTTGTGGCCAGCGCCACGCAGAGCCCAGAAAAGCTCCGGATTAGAATCATCCGAGACCGTAATCGAGGAGCCGTCTCCCAGAACAAGATTGACTTCGACAAACTGGTCGAGCCCGAGTCCGTAGCGGCCTTGATTCCAACCGTGTCCGCCACCGAGGGCTGGGCCCATGAGCGAGGTGCATTCGCAGACACCAGTAACTGTTTGGCGTTAGATATGAGAGGGTACAGTTGGACGCCACTAGGAGTCGTGTGCCATTACCTGTCCACTTGCCAACTTCCCATAAGGCATCAGTTACTTCTCTGGTATAAATACCGCCTTGGATTATTGCCGTCTGACCATCTGCTTGGACTTCTACCTTGTTAAGTTTCCTCAGATATATGTTAACCCCGCAATTCACTCCGGCCAAAGTCTTGATCGCGCCATGGTGCCCTGAAGTAGCTAGAAACGGCAACGCATAAGCATTTGCAAATTTCACCTATGATGATTACTCAGCTTTGGTCCAATGCGCTTCCGCGGCAGTGCCATTTACTTACAGTCTCGCTAACATCGTCCTCGGTGGCCACCTCTACGACCACAGCAAACGTCGGCTGCCCGTAGGTTGACCACCGGACGGTTGCATTTGAGAAGTCAACGGATTCTGGGAAGATAATACGTGCGTTCTCAGATAGGGACGATTGTAACTCAGTCGCAAAGGCTCTGGCTGTCTCCTCGGTGCACGACCCTGAAGCACCGATTACCAATGGAGTCAGTGCCCCCAGGAGATTGAGAATGAAGCGTCGCATTTTTCAGTTGATCGCTTGCTGGCTCTGCGGTCACGTAAAACTTGGCAAATCCACAGCGAGAAATTTGTAAACTATCATGAGAGCTCTCCATGGAGAACTTGATAGCCTTTCTTGAAGGGCTGCTTACTTAAGTGGCGCCTTTGAAAGTGCACGGAGGCCCCCTCACGGTGCGGCATAATATATCTGCAGAGTGTGTTACATTCTGCAGACTTTTCGGTGGATGTCATTGGTCATCATAATAGATGCCCAATGACTACCCTTGAGTCCGTGGTCATTTCTTGGCATCATCTGTACATACGTGACATGCATATGGACTATACGGCTTTGGATTAGTGGATACTGGGTCAGTCTGCCTATCACAGGCCTGCGAAGCCGGAGACGATAATTATTAGGTCATTGAGCATGTGCGAGTAATGTAACATCTGGTAGTTTCAGAGCAGTCTCATGCATCTGTAAAATCATTTATAGTACTCTATTTGGGTATTGTGCGATCTAGATGGCAAAAGCACCGGATATCTCTGCATCGACAAATGGCGACCGTTCCCTCCTGTATCACTGATGCTGAATCGTTGTCTTTCATCACCAACCAATTACTCCTTACCATCTGGAGGATAATCAGCCTGCTGGCCTTGACTGGTCTCTGCATTTGCAACCCGCGAAGCTTTTCTCTCCTTCTTTTGTCGTCTTCTTGCCTCTTTTGCTTTTCGCCATTGAATGCCGTTTCTCATGACTAGTAACAGAACGGGCGCACCGACGAGTTGGAGGGCACCGAGGATAAAAAACGCCCACCCAGCACCGATGCCTTTGATCATGGGATTGATGACAGCCGTAGCTGCTGCCCCAATCAGACATCTCGTGAGGTTGTTACTCGCTGTTGCGGCACCCGCATTGCTTGGGTTGACATCGACTATGAGTGCACCAGTGGTGTTGCTGTACCCAATGATACCCACCCCCATGATGAAGAGCAAGACACACAAGACGGCGAGGTGAGCATGATACTGCAGGGCCCACCCCCAAGCAAAGAGCACCACAGTCGAGAGCGAGAGAAGCGGAATGCCAACCTCCAACCTCGCCTTCTCGATAGGGAATTCGGAGAGGTCTTGTTGTTTGGACCGCTCGAAAGGCACGCCAAGCTTTTTGCAATGTCTCCGGTAGTTCCAGTTGATAACTCTGCCCATGGCGATAGCGGCAAACATGGACCCGCCGCCCAGAGGTAAGTACATTAATCCGACTTTCAAGTCATCTAAACCGTAGTTTTCGCCAAGCTGCGACGGCATAGCCGTGGCGATGGCATAGAAGGATGCGAAAGGAATGGCGCTATAGAACAGAAGAATAGACATCTCAACTTCGAACAGGATCGTCAGACTTCGCAGCGGATTTGGCCTTTTCAACCGCAGGCTCTGCCTCACAGACGCACGGGAGGCGGTCCGCTGTAATGCTGACGCATCTTCGCTACGCCTTGCCTTTCTTTTCTGTAGCGCGTCCTTCCAGAGCTGCCAGAGGGTACGGTAGATGGGGTGAGGTCGCACGCTGCCGTCATCCACGATCCTTCTGCAAGTTTCCGGCATGAACATGGCGTAGAGAATTGTGATGGCGCCAGCAAGGATAGTGAGGAACCAAAAGATCCAACGCCAGCCCAAGTAGTGAGCGATGGCACCACCGAGTACGGGCCCTACAGCTGGGGCAAGAAGAACAGGGACTGTGACATAGCCGACGTACTGTCCGCGCTCAGCCGAAGTGATGATGTCGGAAACGACAGCCTGACACAAGGCTACGGTGGTGCTTGAGCCGGCGGACTGGAGCATGCGCAAGATAAGGAGGGCAACGTAGTTGGGGGACAGAGCACAACCGATGTTGGCCGCAATATAGACAACAAAACACAGTAGATAGGCAGGTCGTCGGCCGGCGCCATCGGCGAAAGAGCCGATGAACATGGGTGTGATGCCTTGGAATATCTGAAGCATGTTAGTGGTGGTTTGTCATAGCGACAGAGTGGCATGCGCGTGAATGGCGTGTCACATACCATGTACGTTGTCACGGTCAAGTTGGCCTGCGCGTCTGTGATCTTGAGATCTTGAGCAAGAAGGTTGAGGGCAGGCAAGTATATCTGACCGGTGAGGGGCGAAAGGAAGGCCCCGGCGGCGGCGCCGAGGACAATACTCGTCTTCTCCCACGTTGTGAAGATGGAGTAGTCCGGCCGGCTGTCAAGAACGGGCGCCTCACTGGGAGGGTCTGAGGCGGCAGGAAGAGCCTCAGCGCCGGCCTCCTTGGAGTCGTCATGGTAAGATGCTGGCGCCATTTGATGACCTTTGACATGGAGAGCTACTGTCGGGTCCCGCGAGGCTGGCTACTTAGGCATACAGCGTACGCCTAGCTAGGAGTTGCCATGATCTGTCGGGAGGCACCATCCCTTTATGGCAGCATGAAAAGTGCTGATATGCGAGTCGGCAAACTCATGGTGGAAGCGACGGGAAGCATAATCCCATGTCACGGGTGTGGGGACGGCACTTATAACACAACTAACAGGCACGTTACCTGGGGGTAAGTTAGTAACTTGGGTCCCCAAGAAATTGTACAGGGATTGGCGCCTAAGCGAGCTCGGAACCGAAACCGGCTATCTGCGAACGAACTACTGGAACGCACCGCTGATTCACTACCTACATACGCACATGGACGGCAGACAGTATATGTGCGGTGTCACGGACAACCGATGATGTGACAGCTGTGTCGCGACAAGAATTATCCGCAACGATGAAGTTCTGGACACCCTGTCAACTGTGGCGAGTCTTGTCGGTTACATAGTATTGAATGGTTCGACAGATGGCTTGGAGATGCTGTGCGCCCTCCAGCAGCTTGGCAGCCACTGGAGAACTCCCCACAGTTAGCCACTAGGCCCTGGAGAAGCCTGGAGGGGAGAAAGAATTCTCCGTCCAAACTTGGAAGCTGGGCACCCGACCGGACTCACTGTATCCAATCCGACCCCGACCAGCTGTAGCTAGAAACTGGCAGGGATCCGCCGCTGAGACTTGAGCATCCGGCCCAGGTCGGACATGGAGCCAGATTGCCAGCAAGAGAGGATACCGAACACAACGAGACAGCCGGGCCACGACCACACTTGCCTCGAGCTATCCGGCACATAACACGTTGGGAAACACTTGGGGCTCTTTGACGGCATCCAGCTTCTGCGATACCAACTCTTGCGCCGCCAAAATGGTAACTGCTCTCCACGCCGATGCACGACGACCAGAACCCCCCGGCTGACTTGTCCCCAGGCGCACGTCCAATTCAACACGGCACTGAAGCAGTCGTCCCAAATCCGAAAGGAACTGGGCCTGCTGACATCCGGCGCCAACCCAACGTCGCCTGCCGCTCTGGGCGGGCTCTCGGCCTCGCTCACGGCCTTCTCGCGCACGCTCGACGAGTACAACCAGCTGGCCAAGCAGGAGCTGGTCATCGCCAAGCAGGAGAAGGCTTACGAGCGGCTCAAGAACTTCCGTAGCGAGCTCGCCGAGTACAGGGAACAATTCAACGCTCTCAAGGCCGACGGCGCCGAGTCACAGTACCAACAGAACAGATCCGACCTGCTCGGCCGGAGGCCGTACCAGGGTACCAGCACGCCAGAGAACCCCTATGCGAACGTGGGCGCCGCCGAGACCACCAGCGGAGAAGTGCCAGCCAACAGATATGGCAGCGGCGGCACCATTGGCGGGCAGCTGTCCATGGGGAGCAACGACTACACCCGCGAGTCGCACGCCTTCCGCGAGCGCAACTTTTTCAACAGTACAAACCAGGCGCTGGATGACTATATCGCCAGGGTAGGTCTCCCCCTGGCATCAACCCGTGGCCCACTGCTGATCATGTTTTAGGGCCAAGCTGTACTGGGAGATCTGGGAGAGCAGAGGGAGATGCTGAAGAATACACAGAAGAAGCTGTATAGTGTGGGCAACACCCTCGGCATCAGTGGCGACACGATTCGTATGATCGAGCGAAGGGCCAAGCAGGACAAATGGATCTTCTGGGGTGGCGTGATCGTCTTCGTTGGTTTCTGTTGGCTGTGCCTGCACTACCTGAGGTGAACAGATGAAGCAGCCTCAGACGGCACTCGGCCCGGTGGACTGCTTTTGAGGGGCGGGTTAGCATTTTGCATTGCATAGCGTGGAGTGTGGCGTTTCGATTTGGTACGCAATCTATTGTCCCAGGCATAGTCCATTTGATCAAGACCGCGTTGCCCAGCCTTCTCGTGGTATCAGATAAGCGTTGAGCCGGACGAACCTGTCCTTCTATAACGATAACCGTGTCCTACACCAGCATGCTGGTGTATCCGCGCCCCCAAAAGAAAACGGCCTGACTCTGCATCTCCTGTCGTCCTAATCCTCGCCCCCTCGCCCCTTCAGAGCAATCGTGAACAAAACGTCGGTGCTTGTCCAAACCTCCACCACTTCACTTTCCGGCAGTACATGGTTGCTCGTGCTGAGCTGCCCCCCAAACTCGGTCGGCCAGTCCTCCACATCCCACTCGAAACCCTTCAGCGTGATGACGCTAGGCTCCTTGACCGGAATGATGCCCGCATGCTTGCCAAACACCTCCTCGGCCCACCTCCCCTGGGCCTCACTCTGCACGCCATCTGCCAGCGGCCCAGGCTCAGAGGGCTCGCGGACATGGATCCTGTGCCTGCCTGCCTTTAGAAGGAACGACAAGCTCTCCCCGCTCACGAGATATAGCCTTCCTTCCGAGTAGGTCGGCGAGGTCTGGAACAGGTACAGGTGATGGAGCTGGCTCAACCCCTGATCCACCCGTCCACCCAGCCCACCCATGCATACGATGTCGGCCGGGCCAAAGCCAGCCTTGGCCGTGACAGACCGAGTGTGTCGCACGGCTTTGGCGAAGTCTGTGCTATACTGGTCCGCCTCGTGAATTACCTGGAGGGAAGGGTTGGCCGACTCGAAATACTCTTGCGTTTCTGGCAAGAGCGAGTCCAGGTCCCCTATTATGACGTCCAGGCCTGCCTGAGGGGAGGGTGAGTCAACTTGCGCCAGTCGGTCGCGCAGATCGTGGCCTTTGCTGGCTGCGAGCCGCCGGTTCGAGTCATACAGACGATTGGCGCCGCCGTCGGCCGCGATGTGGAATGTTGCTGAGGCACGTCAGTTGCGAGGACTGAAATGGATCCCAGAGGTAGGCGGTCGGCTACGTACAGTTTTGCCATAACCTCGCCAGAGTCTGGAGATCGTTCAGGGGCTGGTTGAGGATAAGAAGCGCAAACCTCGCATCTCGAGGCTCGGGTTCAAGCAATAAAGCGGGATGCCATTCTATGGTCGGACCATCTGGAACTGGTGACATCGGGTATAGTTTGGGAAGGGATTTCAAATGTTTGGTGACGTTATCGGACCAGGCGCAAGTCCTTCCTTCAGGTAATACAAGGGCTCTATACTCTCAACCTCTTGAGCTATCTACCACCAGCAAATATTCGTCCGTAATGCTGACCCTGACGCACGAGCCGTAATGTGCATGTGCATGAGGAGGAGCTGAGTTTAGGGCTGAGCCGAAGCTGGACAGATGGATGCATTTGCGGAAGTCCGGGAGTGGGGGGCGACGATAGCGGCGCCGACAATTCAGAGAACAGTAGATGCCGGAACCAGCCCAGTGTCACTGGCAACACACAGGGCAATCATTCCTGTCTACCTCCCAATGCCTCTTGGATTAATCTCGAGAGACCAGACGGCTAAGCTTGGAGAAGGCATTGGTCGGCGTATGGCAGCGGAAGTAGAGAAAGTCTGACGGAAATTACGCTTCTCGTGGTATTTGCTATGGAACAATATACCTAGGTACCTAGGAACTGCCCAGGTGGCTGTGGCTACAGTTGGCCGGGCTCATTGTGCCGTTTCATGCGCTCAAACCACCACATGATAAACTGCCCAAGGTATTGTAGGTATACAAAATACACGCGACAGCTGGTTACCTGGGCAGCCAGTGTCAAAGCAGGGCTGCATGAAGAAACATTTGAGTTGATCTCGTGGCAGACAGGGGTTGCCCGCCCATGGATATGTCAGTCTGCGTTTCCGAGGTGCATGGGCAATTGGAACCTTTCTAGGGACAGTACAGGCTGAGGCAAGTCCCTGTACGCACCATATGGTAGTGGAGGTCCAGTGGGCCCGAGCTCCCTGGAAGATCGCGGAAAGCCGGAATGCGATGCGCGTCACCAACTAAAAAATTTGGCGGAGCTTTGGAGACAATGCCCCCAGATGCTTACCAAGCCCGTTCATTCATCGCACAGTCCAATTCGCAGCGCCCGGGGGCCTCACCGTGACTTGTGCTACGCTGCCGGCCGCTTTCGCTGGTTCTCTTTCTCTCCGTTTCGTCACTCGTTCAGAACAGACAGACCGACGTCAACATGTATCGATCAGCGCTGCGGTCGACGCCGCGGGCCGCCAACGCCATCAGACAGAGTGCGCCCAGGAGTGTTGCGCCGCGACGGTTCGCATCGACGTCGCCGGCAGACAAGAAGAGGAGCTGGAAGAGCTCGGCAGTACGATGGGGGCTTGCCCTCGGGGCTGTATACTGGTATAGCACCAGCCCAACCTTCACAGAGGAGCCGCTGCGTATGCGCCCATCACAAGACCCCCTCCCCCCTCCCCCCAGTTTACCCACGCCGCAACAACTGACATGGACTCATTGCTACAGCTCAACACGTAGCGCCGCCGCCGCAGTTCTCCGATGACGACCTGCCAACAGTAGAAGCAGTGGTGGCCCAGAAGCGCCGGGAGGCCGAGGAGAGGTCAGCAAAGGCCGCAGCGCTGCCCAAGGAAGAGGTTGCCGTCCCGGCTCCCGCCGACGGAGATGCTACTGCCGAACCCCCGGCCCCAGAGGCGGAGGCTGGCGCACCCATGGCAGGAGGACCCGAGGCTCTCGAGGCAGAGGCCGATCAGCAGGGCGCTTTCAACCCTGAGACCGGAGAGATCAACTGGGACTGCCCGTGCCTGGGCGGCATGGCCGACGGCCCCTGTGGTGAAGAGTTCAAGGCCGCATTCAGCTGTTTTGTGTACTCTAAGGAGGAGCCCAAGGGTATGGACTGCATCGATAAGTTCCAGTACGTCATGGACCCGAGCCCACTATCCCGCCCCCCTTCCTTCACATTGGCCAAATTGACTGACACGACTTGCCTTAGACATATGCAGGATTGTTTCCGGCTGCACCCAGAGGTCTACGGAGATGAGCTCGCAGATGATGAGGAGGAGGCACGGCCTGAAGGCGAAGCAGAGGCCGGGGCGGCAGCCACAAAAGCAGCGCCAGCCGAGGCTGGCCAGCCCATCGACGCTCCCACGGCCGCAGCGGTTGATGCTAAGAACGACGTGACGTCTACCACTCCAGCCCACCAAGTTCCGGCAGGCAATTCGGAGCAGAAGCCGGCCTCGACGGGACCTGCTTCGGGCGTGTAATAAGGCCGCCCCCGCCCCCTAGTACCCCAGGGCTGGCATAAGAAACCATAAGACGCATCTCGACTCAATCGATGCAACCCGCGGGCCCCTTCTGCTTCACGTGCGCGTAATGTGGGGGGTGGAACGGGAAACGGGAAACGGGGAACGGGGAACGGGAAACAGCAGGCTCCCCCAGCAGGCAAACGACCCCTGGACGTTAATATGTACAATACCTTGTATCAGTGTGTATGTATATGAGACACGGCTCTGGCTTTCTAGATCGATAGAGATCCCCCTCTGTTTCCAGTCACTCGCACATGCTTTTTTATTTTTATTTTATTTTTGGTTCTTCCGTCCCGCGGCGCAGGGGTTTAGCTGACCAGCTGAGACGTACACGTCGCCTGGGCATCGTCTCGCGGCCAGCTACATCCATGGACATGTACCCAACCCCGCAATGGCGCATGCACTTCTCACGCTGGCCCCTATGCAATAGCGCATATATAGTCATGCAATAGCCAACCAGCCTGCGGAGATTAGAATCCCATTTCGGCACCTACTGTGTGAAATACTTATTGCGCCCGCCTGGTCAAGTGACTTGCCTTGCCCGCTCGAATTCTCGAACCATGTTGACCGAATAGGCTGCCTCATCATGGGCACTCAGGTCGACCGGCCATCGCCGCCGTCCACCTCACCTACCACAACCCATAACGACAATGCTGGTAACAGGAACGACACCTCAGGGGCTAGGCGGGCGTCGGCAGACGATGCCTCGGGGACGTCGGGAACGGCGGCCAGGCGAGTAAAACGGGCCCAAGTCTCACGTGCCTGCGCGAGGTGCAGGCGGCTGCAAAAAGGCTGTAGCGAATCGCGACCTTGCCAGCGCTGCATCAAGACAGGCCTGGCTGAGCAGTGCCTCGCCGGTGGAGGAGGAGGAGGTCCCCCTACGAGCCTGCAAGCGCCGCAGCCGCGCTATGGGACTGGCACCGTCACCTACGAGCTCAGCACCACCTCGGCCTTGGTCGCCTCGCCTACGCTCTCGACGCTGGGCCTGGCCGGCTCTGCCCACACCAACTTCTCCCGGGAGTCGTTCCAGAGGCAGGCTGACCTGCTGCCCGGAAGGGTTGTGGACTACTGTGTAGAGCGCTTCTACCTGCGTCTCAACCCCACGATACCGGTTGTGTCTCCGGAGTATGTCACCGCCCTGCGGAAACGAGTGGCTGAATCCACCGAGGCCGGCGCTGAAGCATACTGCGTTCTCGTAGGCATATGTGCCATGGTGCTTTTGCAGGTCGAAGACCCCGAAGCACGGCAATTTGCCGATCTGGTGACCGCCGAGACGAATTCTGCCTACGGCTGGGTTCTCCTGGAGGAAGCGCTCGCTGCACATCGCCATCTGGCACGCCGCTCGAATCCCAGCTACGAGAACGTGCTGCTCACTTTCTTCATCTACGCCTGTCACGCGGCATTGCTACACCACAGCCAAGCGTTCTTCTTCCTTCGCGAGACTACGACGTCATATCTGCTCTTCAAGCCGGAAGAGTGGCCCGATACTACGAAGATCCTAGCCGAGAGACTATTCTGGGTCCTAGTCGCATCCGAAAGAGGGCATGCAATACGCTATCGCCGGCCAATAACCCTCCAAATTACATCTGCCAGCCCCACGATCCCATCGCTGTCGACAACCACGCCAGACGGGCAGTCCCTGGCTGGATTCTGCTGCCTGGCCGCTCTCTTCCGCCCGCTGGACACGTCCTTCATTGCGGTTATCAATTCGGAATCCATCTCATGCCCACCTTCACAGGGGTCTCTTGACGAGATTGAAGGTGACATCAATGCTGCGCTGAATCAAGCATCCCCATCCGCATTACATCAGACCCAGAAGGCCAACCTACGCGTAACGCAGTTATGGCTGCGCATCATCCTGTGGCAGGTTCGGCTCCGACTAGGCCATCTGTCGGAAACGGCGATCGCGAAATCAAGTCATACATATCACTACCCATTAGAGGTAGCCAAAGATCTAGCATTGAGCACCCGGGATTTGGAGCTTGAAGCCATGACTGTGCACGGGGCAGGGCTTACCGAAAAGCTGTTCGACATCGCGTGCGTGGTGGTCAATGTGCTGGCGAGAGTGCCTTTGGGCTTCGAGCGACGGTCGGCAGAAGAGGACGTGAGGTATCTACGAAGTCTGATCACTGAGCTACCAGGAGGCAAAATGGTATACGAGAAACTGATGATCAAGCATTTGATGGCTGTACTGCCTGGGCTTGTGGGACATTGAGGTCGGAACAAGGTCCGCCGGACGTCTAGTACCACGATCAGGACTAGCTCAGCATGGTGAGGTAGCCGGGCATGACATAAGACATCACAATGTTACTATGGCAAGCATTATGACGCAGCCAAGTGGACCGCACAGCCAGGTTTTGAGGATGATATACGGATTTATCAAAACCCACCAAGTATCACACCGACGACTCCTGCACTCGTTCATCGGGTCTCTTATCCGTCGATGACCGCTCCGGCTCGTCGATTGATGTCGAATACGGATCGATCTTGGTTCTAGCGAACTGGCGAGCTGGAATCCGACGTTCGAAGAGGGCGTCTAATTCCGCGTACGTTCGGCCTACACGGGCGCCGCGTTAGGTTGCCTGTACAACTGGCAAGGGGGAAGTATACGAGATAGAAACACCCACCTTTTGGTTCTGGCAGACGAAAAAACACCCAAACGGCACTGAAGAGACAGGTACCGGCCCAGAAGTACGCTGCCTTTGCTCCCCAGTTCCAAGCCGTGGAGCTTAGCTGATAGTTTGTCATGACATTGACGAAGATATTGCTCGCGTTGTAGCCGGCCCTGGCTAGCACGATCGTCTTAGCCTTGAGTCGCGTGCTTGACAATTCTGATATTAAGGAATAGGTGACGGGTCCGACGGTGAAGTCATAAACAAAGGTGAATATGATTAGCAAGGCCCCTATTGCCCACACGGAAGCTTTGGTCCCCGCAAAGGCCAGTGATCCTACGATGACGAGCAGTAAGAATTGCACACAAAGACCGGAGAAATGGATCGTTCGACGCCCAGCTCGTGCCATCAGGAACCAAGACCCGGCGGTGCCGATAATACCGAGCGCATATTGCGCCATGGATAGCGAGAACGAATTGCTCGCTTCCATACCAGCCTGGGTGAGGAAATAGGAAAAGTACCCCATGATATTCTGTCCGCCAAGTGTCTGCACAAGCCAGATTCCTACCACAATCTCGGTTCTTCTTAGGTCGATACCTTTGAAGCAATCCCGAAACGATGTCCCAGCTTTCAATTGCTTTTCCATATTGTTCGTATGCTCGATCATAGCGATCGTCTCGTCGACATTGAAGCTTTGATCTTGAGGACTGGTCAGCCTCAAGAGGCTGTTCCTCGCTCCCTCGCGGTTGTTGTGTCGGACATGCCACCAGGGGCTTTCGGGGGCGAATACGACGCCGGCGAGGATTGGCAGCGGCCAAACCCACTGCACTCCGAAAGGAATTCTGTAGGCCCATTCGTCGGTTCGGCCTATGGATCCCTTGTTGACAGCCGCGGCAAAGAACTGCCCAATGACCCAGCACATATTTATAAAGGTCGTGAGATACGGTCGTAGCACGAGCGGTACCACCTCGGAGGCATACGCCGGTGTTACAGACTGGAACGCGCCCCAGGGGATTCCTACATCGGCTATTAGTTTTTTCAATGCTCGTCTGTTCATTGCAAACCCAAACGAGAAGTTTACAGAGTATACGAGACGGCCAAATACTTGGAGACAGTAGTAATTAATACATACCGCACAGAATCTCTCCAATCACCAATGTCTTCGCATCTGGCGCAAAGAAGAGCACGAAGATGAACAGAATCATCAGGACCAAACTGCCGATGATAGTATTCTTATACCCAAACCGATCTGCCGTCCACCCAGCAAGTATCAAACCAAGGATCTCTCCGGCCCGGGCACCATTTGATAGTCCTGATTGCCACGCTGCCGACACGGCCCACTTGCCCGTCTTGGGATCCTGAGTCCCAAACTTTTGGTTAAATACGGGCGAGTTGTAGAGTGAACTGAGTAGGGCCAAGTCGTATCCTTCCATGATGAGGGTAGATGACAGCAATACCGACCAACCAATTGCCTTGGGGTACAGTTTCAGTGCCGTCCACAACGTCATCTGGTGTTCATTGTCGGCAGCGCTTTTGGCTTCGATTGCGAGAATCACCTTGCCGTCAGCTGACGCTGCAGCCTCTCCCATCTCGACCTGTGCTGTCGTTGGGGCTTCATCGTTGGTTTCTGATCCCGCCATCTCGGTGTATTGCGGATCGCTTCAGCCTCAGGATATCAGATTTGTGAACGATACCAGGCCAGCTCACTTCGCCAAACGCGGATGGGCGTAATTGATAAATAGTCGCCGCTGTCTCATCACGTCTCTAGTCTCGGCTTTAGTGAAGGTTCGCCGAGTATTAAACCGCCTAGGACGAATCACAGCTAACAGCTCGCTTCACCTCGGGTTTTCTGGGGTAATTTCCTGGGGCCGGATGGTCTGATGCGATGCGGGGGGCTTTGTGACCTGGAGTTGGCCCACAGATAACTTCCAAAGCTGGAGAGCCTGGCCGAGAACAGCAGGGGTATCGGAGTGCCAATTTGACCGTTGGCTTATACTCTCTCCCTTCGCAAACTAGCGGAGTTGAAGCGGACTTGTTGAATTTTGTCGGAGAATGGCGCTCTTGTCGGAGTTGCGCCAAGCTGTCGGGGTTGGCACTAACACGTGAACTCGAACTAGACCCTGCACCGGAGGCCTTTACTTAGGCGATATAGGTAACTACCCGGTTGGCTGCCCAGTTCGAAGCCCGCGCTACTGCACACATGCATACGAAATTCCTCCGCAACCACTTAAAACATCCATATTCATCATCTCAACAAACCTACAAAGTAGTAGCAACAGTCTTCCCGTTATCCCTGCAGAAGCCAGATGCAACATAAGATCGGGCCTACTGGGGGAAAATCCTGCTCTCGTGCACTCCATCGAGAGGATCGTTCCCAGCCGCTTCCCAATGGAGGAACCCGTACCGATATCCGTTTCTATAGATCGAGTTCTAAGGTTCCCACGACTCAACAATGCGCTGGGATCTTGGATGAAGACTCATCCAGAAAGACTTCATCTACTATAGGGCGGGTTGTCAACCTAGCAGCATATGGAGTGCACACTGCGGGTAAGCGGGTCGCCGACGGGGGGCAGTTGATGGAGCTGCCGAGTTTCGGTTGAGGATTCCTTGGCCGTCGGCTTGTTTGTTCCTATGGTACAACCGGTGAGCAGAAGTAGAGAGGGAACAGTACGAGCTGCCAGCTACGACGAATGATGAGCTTGGTCGGTGAGTGCTACTGACGTGCGGCTTGTGTCACGAGTCATGAGTAACTAGCGTACTGTGTTCTATTTGGGGAGGTGTCTCGCAAGTAATCGGAAAACAACTGTTTTCTTCGTTCCTTCGATCCTCAACCCTTCGCCGTATCCTCTTCTATATTCTACAGTCCTCAAAATGCACTCACATGGCGCGGAAACCCTAGTAGAAAATGCCAACAGAGTCTACTACGCCAACCTCTATGCCAAGGATCATAGACACAAGACATTCCATGGCTTACACCACCAGGCCTCACACGACGGCCAGCAACTGCTGGGCAAAGAGCCATGGTGGAAGGCCGGTGTATTTTATCAAGTATACCCTGCCTCCTTCAAAGATAGCAATGGCGATGGTTGGGGAGACATTCCTGGTCTCATATCCAAGCTCAACTACTTAGCCGACCTTGGAGTAGACTGCGTGTGGCTGTCGCCGGTTTTCGACAGCCCCCAACAAGATATGGGATATGATGTTCGAGACTATCAAAGTATATACGCACCATACGGAACCGTCGAAGATGTAGATACTTTGACTTCGGAATGCCACAAGCGTGGGATGAAACTTATACTTGACCTTGTGGTTAACCATACCAGTATTGAGCACATCTGGTTCCGAGAATCACGGTCTAGCCGGACAAACTCCAAGCGTAATTGGTACATCTGGAAGCCTCCTCGATACAACGAAAAAGGCGAGCGCATCCCCCCTACTAATTGGCGCGGTTACTTCGCCTGTCCGACCTGGACTTGGGACGAGGCTACCCAGGAGTACTATCTCCACCTCTATGCGCCCGATCAGCCCGATCTGAATTGGGAAAACAAAGAGTGTCGTGAGGCCATCTACGAAGACACGATGCGGTTCTGGCTTGACCGCGGCGTCGACGGCTTTCGCATCGACACAGTCAACAAGTATAGCAAGCGGACCGAGTATGTCGATGTACCCGTGACGGACCCTCGATGGGAGTCCCAGCCCGCGCCAGAAATGTGGTGCAACGGCCCGCGAATACACGAGTTTATCCGCGAGATGACAGCCCAGGCCCTCGCCCCCTACGGTGCCGTCAGTGTCGGCGAGCTGTCCAACATGGCCGGGCCGACCGATGTGCTCCCCTATGTCAGCGCCGCCCGCCGCGAGCTCGACATGGTCTTTGAGTTCAGCATGATCCGCCTTGGCACCGGCGGCGGCTTCGGTCCCAAATACATATACCGACCGTACACATTGCCAACACTGAAGGAGCACGTGGCCCGGTTCCAGACCTTCATCGAGGGCACCGACGGCTGGACGACGGTATTCTGCGAGAACCACGATAACGGGCGTGCCGTTTCGCGGTTCGGTGACGCCAGCAGCCCCGGGCTGTGGGCCCGAAGCTCACGCGTTCTTGCCCTGTGGCAGGCCACGTTGACGGGTACGCTGTTCCTGTATCAGGGCCAGGAGATCGGCATGGTCAACATGCCCGAGACGTGGGGCATTGAAGATTACAAAGACGTAGAGAGCCGTAGCTTCTATGAAGATGCCTTACAGAGCGGCAGCACCGAGTTGAGGGACCAGACTATGGACGGACTCAGAATCTTGGCGCGCGACCACTCGCGGATCCCGTTCCAGTGGGACGGTAATTCCAAGCATGCTGGATTCAGTGATGCTGACGAGACCTGGATGCGAGTCCACGACAGGTACAAGGATATCAATGTCGCAAGGCAGACAGGAGATCCAGGAAGCGCGTTGGAGTTCTGGAGGCACATATTGAAACTAAGGAAGCATTTCGCGGATTTGTTCGTGTATGGCTCATTTCGGTCGCGGGAAGATGCAGACTTGAACCGGTATGTCTACATTAAGGAAAGTAGCATCGACATTCGGGGCAGAGCAGGGGTGAAGAGGAAAGCATTGGTGATCATGAACTGGTCTAAAGATACCCAAAGCTGCGTGGACGTTCGAGCCGCGTTGGGTTGTCAGGAGCATGAAGTGCATCTGCTTATTACATCACTAGATGGTATTCAGACGAATGGTGTCGAGACGCAAACGGCTTTGGGGCCTTGGGAAGGGAGGGTCTATATCAATTTCCAGCCTCGGATATGATTATAGCGATGGGTATTCCCTTCCAGGTAACGCTACTGTTCTATAGATATGACAGGACATTTCGCGGCAGGTACGACTAACGATAAACAACACATTTATTCCACCACTCCCAGTCCAGTACTTGAGGTTGTCCTTGTCGCAGCAACGGCGTAGTGTATGGCTTTACGTGATAAAAACCCTGGGCTCACTTCCGCTCCACTTGGATAAGCCAATTACCCAGAGTCATATTCAGTATATTCTTGGCGAGTCCGTGTATGTGATTTCCCCCTCCCCCCCCACCCCCCCCCCAGG